TCTCCTCCACTACAAAATATCTCCTCATGTACTCAAAGTTCTCACTGAAACCTAATATCTACAACTTAGGCGTAGAGGGAGCAACCGATGGATTGTAGCGACCCCCACTATTTTGATAGCTAATCAAGAAGAGCGTGTTTGTTTAGTTGTATGGTGATTCACTTAATTAACAATTTTTATTCCGTTGACAGCCTCCTCTCCGCAATTGTATTGTGTTCACGAAGATCTGAAGGCGCAAGTGCAACAGGTCCAGGGGTAAACAATATGTATAAAGCGTTGACCAAATTGAATTGAGTCATTCTACTTGGAATATGAAGATTTTTGCTTAATTGCTTTGGTTCGTGATGCAACTATGTTATGTTTGAAGGTAGACCAACGCAAACAACAGCACAGCTCCAGGGCTATTCTGCACATTAGGTAGTTGGGGCATTAATTGATAATTATTTGGGATTATTCCTACAAGTACATAATTTGGAACGTGCCATTATATTGCATTGATTAATAGTTGTTTGAGATTTTTCAAATGAGTGATTTGACATGTTAAACTCTCTTATTTTTGAAAATGGAGTCTTCGAAGTGGAATATGAAGATTTTGGATTAAGCTTGGTTTCGTAACGCCCTTATGGGTGTTTATTCTCTAAAATGCAGCTGTCTTTCAAAGTGCCCGTTGCAAATGGCAAGTCAGGATACAACGATGGTACCGGTACACGTTTATATCATTAGTAGGTAGCAGATTGTGTCCATTCTACTATATCATTTAGCTAAATACTTAGTTGTTCTTTTCAACTAAAAATTATGCTTAAATGCTGTGATTGGCCTCAGAAATGTATGTCTTTGCATTAACTGTTAATGATTGTGAGTTTTGGTTTAATGGTGAAAAGTCCATTTATTTAGAAGTCTAAATTGGGCAAACCTATTGGACAATAGGAATGCCATACATTAGTGTCGTGGGAGCTTTGTTTGATGTCTCAGGGTGTTAGATTTTTAAGAAGGTTGTTTGTTGTGGCAGAGAGTCCCTAAAGCTAGCGAGGTATTCCTATGTGGGCTTTTTCTTTGTTTGACTTTTTCTCGCCTTTTTTCTTATCTCTTTTTCTATTTTTGGTTTTTGTGTGCTACCTTCAGTTGCTACGTCTTCATTTGTGAGCCATCTATACTTTTCTTATTCAGTGCCTAAAAATCATATATACTCGATTGCATAGTAGTTACTAATAGATACATTTATACCAATAGAGAGATTTTAAGTTTTATCAGTTGTTAGTTTTAATATTTACTTACATTGGTTGTTTATGTAGTTTTCTTTGTAATATTTCTCATTATACAACTAATTACTATGGCTACGTAGTTGTATAAGTGGGGGTTGGACATGATAGTTCTTAGAAGCATCAATACTTGAAGGTTATTATAATGACCAAATTCTAAAGTTATGGTTTGCCTTCAACTTGCTTGGAGCATTTCAATTATGCATCAATTGTTCTCTCCGTGTAGTTAACTCTCAGACAAATCGAAAATCTTGCTGATATGTGCTTGATTGTAGTTAAATTTAGGGTTCTACTGCATTGTTGCTTTACTCTTTTTTCGTGGTTGAGTCTGCTTCAAAAAATTTAGTTTGATTTTAGAAAATTTTGCTTCTGCAGTCCTGTCTTGCCACCAACGCGTTCAATAGATGGAGACGGGAGAGGCGAAGGCTATTTTTGTGTTGTTGTTGCTGGTTTAGGGATCGGTCTGTGAAGAAGAGGGAGAAGAGAGGGGGAAAGGGAAATGCAGGAGAGGGGGATAACTCTTTTCTCCGACAAAAATGGAGTGAAGAAAGGAATTATGATCAGTAAGAATATGGTTATCTTACATAACGGTCTCTATTCTGTTTGAATTGAGCTTGAGAGGCAGTGATAAGGACGAGCTGCAACCAATTCATAGTGAGAAGAGAGCTATGAACTGTGATCATGTCTTATTTCAAGTTAGAAGGTAGTTTCAGTATAAGGATTATTTAATTTGACAAGTTGTTTCGTCCATGATTCTTGGTAGTTTCAGTGCCATTCTAGCCAATGTTTAGTCTGTAATTTTTGAGAATTGATGTGCGAGTAATGACTTTCACTTAGCTTCAACTATTATGTGTGTATTTATTGGCATGTGATAGAATTCTCTTTTACTTTTCATTGAATTCATTTTCATACTCTAATTGTATTATTTGTACATAGGCAAATCATGCTCGAGATGGCAACTCGCTGATATGGCTGGTGCAAGGAATGAAGCCATCATTAGAATTCAGACCGACAACGGGGAGGGATGCCCAGGACTAATTCAATGATGATTGATGATGGTATAATAAAAACTGCAGTCTGCATCAGCACCAATTTCTAGGCCTAAGTAAAGGTATTCAACCCAGAACTCTGCTTAGCGCTAAAAATTGCCCTCACCCAACCTTGATCCTGTTTGACCCACTTCTGAAGAGTCAATATATATGACTAATCCTCCCCGTTCGTATTTTCTTATTGACTCTTTCTGACCCTGTAGGTTGGGGCGGGTCGGGAAGAATTGGATTAGTGGGTCGGTCCTAATCAAGTGGAATCCCAATCCCTTCACTCTCACTTGCTTTCTCTCCTATTCCACAAGTGGGTAACACACAGTAATCCGACCAACGGGCCGGGTAATAAGCTAGTAGAGTATATATACAAACAATTAGCCTCTGCAGCACTGAACTCTTACTTAATTAATTAATAGCCTCTAGTTGTTATTAATTAATAAATAATCAATCTCCCGGGCCTAATTAGATCTCTCCGTACGTGCATGATCTGTTCCGATCTCCCTCTGTATCTGCATGTGCCTCTCCATTCCAGCGCGCGCTTCCGACTGCACTGGGCTTGGGCTTCAAATTTTGCCAAACGACCCAAATCATTCGCCTTTCGGTGCGTTGAATGTGCGTTCTTGGGCTTACAAAGTTGCCGAGCGGCCCAAAGATCTTGCGTTTACTTGAATGCCCAAAGACCTTGTGGGGAAAAAAAGGAAAAAGGAAAACCCATCCGGCTGGAACTAGGGTTGGCAAATAAATCGGTTCGCTTTGGTTAACCGAAAAACCATCCCCAACCAGCTAGAACCCCAATCACACGTGTAGCTCAGAACCGAACCATCAATGTCAACTATACCAAAACTTAAAAGGACAACACGAATGTTGGGTATACTACAGGTTCTGGTACTTCCTTCTGGTTACTGAATTTTTGTAATTTTCATCGAAAAGCATTCAAACCGAAAACCAATATGTTGATCTCAAAAGCATTCAAACCGAAAACCAACATGTAACTCAGAACCAAACCATCCATGCCAACGATTCTGAAACCTACAAAGACAACATGAAGTATAGTGTAAAATAACCGATCGAGACGTATATATATGCAGGTTTCGACACATAGTTCTGGTTACTTAATTAATGACTTTCTGGGTTTGTAATCGAGGAAAAATCCAAACCGAAAACCCAACTTCTTGATCACACATAATCATTATATATGAACTCTTAATCGGTTCAACTTCTGGTTAATCACCAAAAACCCGAAAACCGAATCCATACTTCGATAGGCCTGTGTAAACTACTATTAAAGTGGAAGTATATGGGATAGGAAAATATCTTCCCCCGAAGCACTCTGCCGCCACACAAGTTAACTTCCCCAACCATCTCATCTACGTACTGTACTCTCACTCTCACTCTGACGCTCCTCAAATGTATGTATACCTCGTCCAAGAGACGCAACTATCGATCGTTCGTCTTCATTTTGGTCATTAATTTCCCTTTTGTCACCAACCCTTGACGCCCGGCTATCGAACAAAGAAGCTCCATTTCTCTTCAAACTTCACGGTCCCTCTTTACTTGGAAATTGCCCTACACTACACGCCACGACAAAGCTTTCGAAATTGCGTACTTGTCTCAGCTTCAGACCCACCAAGGCTACATATGTACATGCAAACAAACAGCGGCGCAACCCTTCTGTCTTCATCGTGGGTGTAAATGTCGAGTAAATATTCATAGCTTCTTCTAAACCCTTGGGTTAATTTGGAGTGTTTCCAAACTTGGTGGGCATTATGGAACTAAATCAGCGGTATTATTAATATAGACCGTTCATTTAGGTTGAGGAGGTGTGTCCATCTATAATTGGGTCCAAACCTTCATTATCCTAATGACGACTATTTACAGCCTTTAGTATTTGTTTGCGCTGGAGTTCATAATTATGGTGGGTCTGATGTTAGCATTGTCCATGTATATATGAATTCTTAGAAGAAAAAAAAAAACTTGAACGAATATGATGGTGTTTGGTATTTGAAGAAAGAATCCAAGTATATATTGCGTCGGTTAATATTTAGTTCTACAATTTTGTGACTATGCTATAGAGAAAAGATATTTAAGTGATCATCATAGGTGTTGTATGTATGATTTGAGTTTTCTCTCGATCTTCATCAAACTTTCATTCAGGCCCAACGATCTACAAATGTGCTACATACAATATCGTCATGAAGTTTTCGCATATACCATCGATAGTACTTTTGCAAGGCCACGACAAACATTGACACACGATTGCGCAAGAACGAAGTCGATCGCTCAAGGTCGAAGCCTCGACGACCTCCCTATTTGCCAATAGAAATATATAGAAACTGTTTTACCTACCTAGCTAGCCAGGCCTAACCCAACTCAATCGATTTCCATCATATAATATTATAGAGTTTCTCTATTTAAACTCTAACATATTGGTCGACTAAAGAGGGTCGATATGACACTTGCAACGGACGCAAACAAATAAAACTATCAAATCAACTCGTTACACCGATTAAACTGTGTATCGAACCAACTCGAGTTTATTAACATATATTATAACTTATATTATACTTTTTAACGTCTGACTGGTTAGTCAGTTGAGTAAAGTTTCTACCACACATGACACATCATATGCACTTCAAAATTAAAAATAAATAAAAAAAATCAGGATGGACCCCAATCGCATTCGCATGGCTGACACCTAGGCATCTTCTCCATTACATTACATATATAGTTCAACATATATATCTCCAACACTTTCCGCATTTCAACTACATCATCACTCCTTCTTCCCAACACAAACCGAAATGGAGGAGGCCAGCAACAGGCTACTCGCCGGCGATGTCGACGACGGCGGCGACTTCGACGGGAAGATCCAAATGAATCTCCTCAATTCCGATCCCAAGAAGAAGAAGACGACTGTTGATAATAAGGGCGGCTTCCGAACCATTCCATTCATCATACGTACGTACGATTCCAACCTAATTTTCTCCCCACCAATCAATTCATTTCCACCGTTGATTTTCTTTATATATATAAAAAAAAAATTCCCTGGTTGCGGCAGTGAACGAGGCGTTTCATACGCTAGCAAGCACGGGGCTGAACGCGAACATGGTAATCTACCTGACGAGTTCCTTCCACATGGAGGCCGCCGCGGCTTCCAGCTTCATCTCTCTGTGGGCCGCGGCTTCCAGCGCGCTGGCCGTATTCGGGGCTTCGCTCTCCGACTCCTTCCTGGGCCGGTTTCGGGTCATCGTCCTCGGCTGCTGCTTCTCCCTTCTCGTCAGTCCACTTAATTCCCTTCCTTCCCTGCCTTTCATTTTTCACCGCTACTCTTTTCTTTAATTATTTTTTTCCTTTTACCTTTTTGCCGTTTGGATTCCTTCTTCTTCTTCTTCCTTTTTCATTATTAGGTGCCTTTACTATTTTCTTCCGAATGTTGACATGTGTGTTTGACGTTGGTGATGGTAATTGGTACATGTGACTTGTCTTGCTGCTCCACGTCTCTTTGCTCTTACAGTCTTAGGTGTAATTACTACTGCATGATGTAGATATTAGAGATTCTGTTGAGTAATTGAAAATGTTTCTGTCCTTATTTCATTAATGGAGTATAGTATAAGAAGCTCTTGATAAACATATACATAATGCACATAGTTTAACTTTGGGCTAGAAGTTGAATGAGTCGTAACGCTTTCTAGACCATACGTTAAATATTATTGGATTTGCTTAAATTTGTACAATTTTTTTTTTTAATTTTTGAAAAAGATATAAAATAAATGCCTGCCATATTCATTAGCTCATTTTAATTGAGAAAAACAACAATTGATACCAAAGAGGCCAAAAGAAAAACCAAGTGGCGGTGGGCTTTAATATGTTGTCACGGGAATCATATGATCTTCATAGGTAGAGAGTTACACTACTCCATAAGATTCAAAAAATTTGACCCTTCAACGAAAGTTACTCAAAATTTTCCAAAAAGTAGTGCTACTTCTCAAAATTTTGGAACGCAAAATTTTATGTAGACATCGTAGATATTGAAATTGATCATAAAGTTCCACAAACAGGTAGTTATTAGTTAACGTGCCAACCACATATTAGTGACATTCTACTACCCCTACCATTACCACTTTCAGGGGCGCCCCTGAAATTCGGGACGACAATGGGTCGGGTTGGGGTGGGTTTTGTCAAACCCAAACTCAAACCTATGAGTTTATCCGCCAAAAAAATTCGGGGTAAAACTCGTTGGGTTTGAAAAACTCAAACCCAACCCGCGGGTTCATGGGTACCCGTGGGTTTTTGTGGTAAAAATTTACAATAACAAGTTTCTTTCAAAATAAAAGTTTAACATCAATTTTCTCATACAAATTAATCATACAAAAAACACCAATCTAGAGCATGCAAGCAAACCGCAAATGATCAATACAAATAGTTCAAAATTAAAGATAAACATATATAAAAAATAAGATTAATTGAAAGCTTCTTCCTCGTCAACTAAGTTTCTTCACTCTTCACTTCATAATATCAACTTCATTCTAAACAATTAGAAAGAACAAATTATACATGTCTCCACACACATATAGAATATTAGTTGTTTAAGGAAGATATATTATTTAGAATATTAAATATACCGTGAAAGTAATTATATGTGTGTGGGCGGGTACCTATGGAGCGGATTTACCTAAACCCAAACCCAACCCGACCCGATGTATAGTGTAGCGGATTTAAACCCGAACCCGGCCCAAAACCCATCAACACGAATTTTACCCGCGTTGACCGGGTTGAGTGGGGTGGGTACCCGTGGGTTCGGGTTTTGTTGTCATCGCTACCTGAAACTGTGCCAATAGGTCCAATGGCACAGGGCTCAGTCAATAAACAATAGTTGGGTAGCCTATTTTTATAGTTGAATTCCTAACTTGTAATTCGTTTGTGATCTCGATCCATTACTAGTAATCGCTACACACAAAAGGAATTAGTGTCACAATTAATTTTTGAACAGAGTACCTCCGAAATTTCAGAGCAGGCCCTAACCACTTCTTTCTAGCAAAACCCGAATTAGTACGTACATTAATCAATGAACTAATGTTCATACATTTCTTTCTTACTTACTTTCTGTCTTCCAGGGAACCACTCTATTCTGGTCAACGGCAATGCTACCCCAGCTCCACCCGCCGGCGACAACCACCGCCACCGCGACCCCGTTCCAGCTCTCCGTCCTCTACGCATCGCTGGGCCTCATCTCCCTAGGCGCCGGTTGCCTCCTGCCGTGCTCCATGGCGTTCGGGGCCGACCAGCTGGACAACAAGGACAACCCGGACAACGACAAGGTCCTGCAGCGCTTCTTCAACTGGTACTACGCCGTCGCCGGGGCCGCCACGCTGCTGGGGCTCACCGTCCTCGTCTACGTCCAGGACAGCTACGGGTGGGAGGTGGGGCTGGCCGTCCCTGCTTTCCTCATCCTGTTCTCCGCGCTGCTCTTCTTGCTCCCATCTTCGATCTACGTGAAGCACGAGGCCAAGAGCAGCTTGTTTGCGGGCTGCTTTCGGGTTGTGGTGGCGGCGGGGAGGAAGGCAGGTAGGGTTGGTGATGGTGCGGTGGCGAGTTTGGTTGGTGATGGCGGTGGCCGGTTTTTCCAAGGTCGTGTTGGTTCCGGCGAGTTTACGATTACCTGCCCAACTCCTAACTTTAGGTAACATTTTTCCCCCCCTCACCATGCAGTTAGTTATCCAAGGTTATAATGTGAGTATTTATACCTTGAAATACTATATAAAGTGGTATAATGGGAGTTATATTAGTCTCTATCTTCAAAATTTACATCCAATCCAATCGTTGAAAATGTTCATAGACGGTTATGATTTGCACCCCGTCTTTTATGGGTGAAAGCTTGGCTCTGAATACCCACTGATCTCGTCTGACTGGGACGGGCGGAGATAGCTTGTCTATAAGATCAGCTTAGGGTCGATCGGATCAATTATGGTAGTGTCACTTTTTGGTCCTAATGACCCATAACAATAACTAGTGATATGATATTATTCATATCAATACATTGGACTTTTTTTTGTAAAGTTTTAAATTTTTAGGCTGCGAACCAAAACCTCACCGTCCATATTTGAATAATTCGACATATAGCTCCAAAAACTTTGGCAAATAGTTCCAAAAATGCTTTTATTATACTGTTATTAGAAACTTAAATGTCTTTTTACGGTCTAGTTCTCGATCGTTCAGTCAAACCATATGATTTTATTGATTTTGATTGGTTTTGATTGTTGTTGCAAAATAGTGACGTTTCGGTTGGTTTGGTATCCAATTCGAATCATCCAAACATGAACTAGCTTGAAACCATGTTAATCTAGCCTAGCTAGCTATAAAAGTTAAGTTAAAATTTCCGAAACTCCCAAATCCCAAACGTACTTGTGATTCGAGACCCTACTCATTACAAACGTGACTTGTTTTCTTCCACCCGGCCTACAGAAGAAGTTTCAAAGTATAGTTTTGACCAGTTGTATATATTTAACAATTAGACATTTTCCCATCATAATTCAAAAGCTTTATTGTATTAATTAAGTATTAACCTTGCATTTTTATTAATTCACAATTAGGGTTTCATATGGACTCCTTTTAGCAAAAAATTACGGCAGTTGATTGGCCTAATATCTTTTTTCGGTTCGAGAGAGCCGAATCCAACCAGGCCGCGGTTAAGCCCGTTTACACAAGGCCCATTTGCAATTTGTTAAAGGTAGTGTACAACAAAAAAAGGAGATGGATAGAGATAGAGGTTGTGGAGGTTGGGTGACCGACGGGCCCACTGAGGTGGCAATGTGATGGGGAAAGTTAGGTACCGCCTTGGTCCGCACGAGAAAACAAACAGCGGAGCTGAACAGAACCAGACGACAGGCGGACAGACAGACCGGTACAGAGAGAGAAAGGGAATCTAGAGAGAGAAAGGAATATATAAAACGACGCGGGCTTGTGGATGGATGGGCGAAGGGCGTAAGAAGCTAGCAGCTGCCTTTATCTCTCATTCCCACCTCATTAGGTGTTTCTTCTTCTTCGTCTCTTCTATATTCCTCTCCCCTTTGCGCCAAAGGAACCCATAAACAAATACCAAGAGTAAAAGTTGGACGACAGAGGAGCTCTGGATTCCTCTCTTCCCGTCCTGGGCGACGGTCCCTCTTATGCCGCTCCCTTCTCAGGTCAGCTTCCTCTCTCTCTCTCTCCTCTGCGTGTTATGTTATTCCGTCGTTCGATTGTGGATCTGGAACTGGATCTGACACCATCGGGATCGGAGTTGATTCGTTTCGCGGGGTCTCAATTTAGTTTCGTCGTGTTCGGCGATGAGTCTGAATTAGGGTTTTGAGATCGTCTGGTGTGCTCAACGAATTTTGGGATGTTTCCAATTGGCTATCTGGTTAGGGTTAGGGTTGTTCGATCGGTGTGAATCGGAGATATCTAATTTGGACGCAGGATTTGGGGCTTTTCTCTCGCATGTGATGTAAACGTGTATTCGTGCTGCGGCTACCATGTTACAGCGGTTTTGGAGTTTCTGTAGGTTCCCTTGTTGAAATCGGTGCTGATATCTGTTGTTGCTGTGTCCTGAAAGGATATTCACCCGGGTTCTGTATGGTCTCAGTCATCATGATGCTTGGATTTGGACATTTGCTATGGTTGCATCATGCATGTACTAATAACAAGGATGTATTGATTAATGTCCTGGTAGTGAACTTAGCTATCTTTATCTCTGGAATCTGTCCTGCCTGCATTGGCCGAAGGCCAATTGATTCTTATCTTGGGTGATCAGGATTAAAATGAGGGGTGGTCTCTGTTTGCTTGATTTTTTTTGTCATGAACCTATTTGCAAACTGATACACAATGCATCCACTAGCTGAAAGACAATTTGTGACCGCGTAGAATTCATGTATATTTATATATCTGTATACATAAACAATTTTCTATTAGGCAGGACAATGAACTATTATTTAGACAAATTCTACCATCTTTCTAGGGACTTCATCTTCTCATTGTTACACAAGGTAGTTTGAGCCATAATGGTGTTTATTTTGCCATGTACGGACTTCGATGAAGTTTTTGTTGGCCGTTTATGATGTTTTTGTTTTGTGTATGTGTATTTGAACTTGTATTAATCTGTATCTATGATTGTTGCTCTAATCTGTATCAAAATTCATAATCCTCCTCTCTTTTCCTTTTTTGGTTAGGTTTTGCCAGACTTAGACCTAAACGGCTTTGTTCCCTTCGATAAGGCATGGAGCAAGTGCACATCTGGTCTAAATGCTACCAGTTTCGGGCTTTTACATTCCAAGAAGTGCTCGACTGGCGGTTCCTTGTCCTTGGAGATTTTCTTTTGGTTTCCTTTGTCAATTGCACTTAGTGGAAGGACTCTCGTTAATAAACAGTGCTGGAGGTGTGATGCAAAGTTTTTCTGAAATTGGTGTTGGATCGCTAGTGCACTGGTTAAAGTAAGCCAATATGTCTTTTTCTTTCTCTCGCTCTCTCTTCCTCTGGAACTCGTTATGTTGTCTGACAAATCCTTCTTATGTTCACAGTGAATTGCTGACACAAAAGCATATACTGTTCCAAAGTTTTGCCAGCAAATCAGCTGGAATACAAGAAGAGTAACCGGGCCGAAGCCTTCAGGGGAACAATCTTGAGCTGTCAATTTAGTTCTCTTTAGATTAATTGTTGCCTCAAGTCTCCACAGATCGTTTTTGTGCCTGTAGTCTCTCTTCTTATTCCCGATTCATACTGTAAACTGTCAAGCCAGCAGCTCACTGAAGAATTGCCATAGGTTATAGATGAGGTAGCCCCTTCCTGTCGTTTAAAACCTGCCATCAACCCTTCATGTCAAGTCAAGCTATCTGAGGTCTTAGTGTGTCGTATAGTCTTAATATGGTCTCTAGCATTTATTTTTCTCTATTGTTCATGTCTTTCTCTCAAAAAGCTGTGGGTCCGTGTCAGTCCATGAATAAAGCAAGGTCTCCTCAGTCCCCCCTTTTGTTTTAGTCAGTCAAGTACTTCCCTGAAATATAGCAAAGGATCCTTCGTGTCGGGATAGCAAGAATGGAGAGGTGAATATCAATCCCTCAAACTTCTTTCATGGGGAAGGTTTTGTGAATTATTGATTTTGTTAACCTCTTCATGCATGTGATATAGGTACAAGTTAATCAAGGAAGTTGGTGATGGAACGTTTGGAACTGTGTGGCGAGCAATTAATAGACACAACGGTGAAGTTGTAAGAACATTTTACCATATCCTTTCCTTGTCTGACTCACTGGAAATTGTATTTCATGTACATGTTACTGACCAGTTATCTCTGTGTAAAGGTTGCTATTAAAAAGATGAAGAAAAAGTATTACACCTGGGAGGAATGTGTAAATCTCAGAGAAGTGAAGGTTACCAGCTTGATACATTTCTTCCTTTCTACTTTGTTTTTACAATTAAGTATTAACTCTTATAAAGAAAGCTTTCATCTTGCAGTCGCTGCGTAGGATGAATCATCCCAATATCGTGAAGCTCAAGGAAGTTATTCGAGAAAATGACATATTGTTTTTTATCTTTGAGTACATGGTATAGTATTTAACTTTGTGCTGTCAATTTCAAATCGCGTGGGTTTCTGGTTATCTGATATTTCTTGCTTTGGTTTTTCACTTGCAGGAGTGCAATCTTTACCAGCTAATGAAGGACAGGGAAAAGTTGTTCTCTGAAGCTGAAATAAGGAACTGGTGTTTCCAGGTATTCCAGGCTCTTGTTTATATGCATCAACGTGGGTACTTCCATCGTGATCTGAAGCCAGGTACTTGTTAACTGATTCTTCTTTACCTTCGGTTAAAGTTTGTATGCAACCCCTCGGTTTGTTTATTGTCTATATTTTGTTGCTTAATTTTTTACGATGTGGAGATTGTTCTTTGCTTGTATGCTTCTCATGTTTCTTGCTATCCTATTTGGCTTATATTGTTGTTCTCTTGTGCATTGTTTCAGAAAATTTGTTAGTTACAAAAGCTGTGATCAAGGTTGCTGATTTCGGTCTTGCACGAGAAATCAATTCACAACCACCATACACTGAATATGTCTCAACACGATGGTTTGTTGTGCTTTAGTTATGCTACTCTTGTGTTGAAGGAATGGTTTCTTGCTCCTGTGGTAACATTCCTTTTATACATACGACAGGTATCGGGCCCCTGAGGTTCTGCTTCAGTCATCTCTATATGGTTCTAAAGTTGGTATGTGGTCTTGGCAGATTGGAACAATCGAGTTTGTGATTTAAGCACTGAATACAGCAGAAAGTATAATGCAGTTTCTTCTCTTTTCGCAGATATGTGGGCAATGGGTGCTATCATGGCAGAGCTCTTCAGTTTGCGACCGCTTTTCCCTGGTAGCAGGTATAGGTATTATGTTCTTGGCTAAGATTTATAAAGCTGGGATGGGCATTTGGAAGTTGCTAACATTGCATCTGGCTTGCGCCTTGACCATTGTGCTCGTGCAGTGAAGCAGATGAGATCCACAAAATTTGTGGTGCTATAGGAACTCCAACAGTGGACACATGGGCTGAGGGTCTAAAACTTGCAGGCAGTATAAACTACCAATTCCCAAGGGTAAGATTTGTCAAAACTCAACTACTTTTGTGCGAGCTTGTTACTACTTGATCACAGCTTTTGTAACTACCAATTCCCAAGGGCAAGATTTGTCAAAACTGTAACAGCTTTTTAGAACTGTACTCCCTTTGGTGCTGATCAATTATGTGGTTAACATTGCAGTTTCCTGGTGTGCACCTTTCTTCACTGATACCTTCAGCCAGTGACGATGCGATTAAACTTATCACTGTATGTTGTTGTTCCTTCTGTTTCTGTTATAGTTTTACATTTACAGTGTTATGGTATCCTGTTGGTTGAAGATGTTTTGAGTATAACCAGTGTTTTTACCTCCTCTTTTTTGGTCATGTAGTCTCTGTGTATGTGGGATCCTCGCAAGAGGCCGACAGCTGCAGAGGCCCTTCAACATCCTTTCTTCCAGGTATTCTTCTTATCATGCCTTTTCTAGCCCAAGGACTCCTAAGTCTTTTCTCCTCTAATCACACTCAATTCTCTGTTTCAGAGCTGCTTCTATGTTCCGCCATCTCTCCGTCCGAAATCTTCTATTACTAGGACGCCTCCTTCTGGTACGTTCAATTCATGCTGTATTGGATTGGAATGTTACTTACTATCAGGTGTCCTAATTGGGTTGGCATTTATCAGCTGCAATGAAGAGTTCCGTGGAGCAACAGTGCGCTAGAAGATACTCTTCCACTTTGCCTAGTTCAAAGCTGATTCCAAATTGTGCTACTGTGAAGTTGCACGCTTCGTTGAGCCCTGGTCAGTTCTATTCAATTTGTGTTGCCAATAAAGCAAATGGTTTTCTTGACTTCATTGTGGCTCGCAGTTAGCCATCATCACTTGTACTAATGGTTTGTCTGGCAATTGTCCATATGGAGTTGAATATGATTGTGTTTATTGCATAACTGGTGGAAACTCCTGTTACACATGATACCGAAACAAGTTTAATTATTTGATAGTATCATATTTGATGTTTGAGTTTATATGTAATGTAATCTAGTTTAAACCATGGTATTCGGTGGAAATGCCTTACGCGAACAGTATTAAATGCCTGGTACATTTGACATATGTTCAAAGTATTTGATCAACTGAATAATCTATCCTTGTTTATATGTTTGCAGGTGTCCAGCGGAAACTTGATCTTGTTAATCAGGTAAAACAACCATCACGTTCTGTTGCTGTTTTTCTTGATCTTGTTAACCTCAGCCCACTACAATGTTGAACACACTGTTTGTATTGACAGTGCCTTTATATCTTGCGTTCGTCTTCTTGACCATTGGGCACTAGGCAAAGAAAATCGAATATGGTCTATTGGCTTTAAATCTCTAGATTTTACTATTGTAGGTTAAGACGGTATTTCTTGTGTCCAATTGCACGGATTGAGTTTGGTTAGTACTTTGTTCTTTGGTCGTTCATCTGTTATAAATTCATCTTTTTTTTTGGTGTCAGGATGAGAACAAGGATTCCAAAACATTGAAGAGCGCAGACAGACAGCCAAAATACCGTCCTCCTGCGAGGAAAAGCCCTAGTAAGATTCTTGGACTCGTCGAGTTAAACAAATGATGCACACTTTTGATGAAACTTTTGGGAAATGACACTGTTTTGTTTACACAGCTTCGACGCTCAGGGGCAGAGTAGGTGCTGGTGCGAACTCGGAGTTGGCAGATAAGTTTGGAAGCATGAACATGGGGGCTCGCAAGCAGACAATTGGTCCAGGTAGCACCAAAGCACCTCCAATGAAGACTGGTGGGCAGTGGAACGGAGGAAACAGTGACATGTTTCTGCGATCAGCAGCAAAACTCCAATCTGGCAAAAGTATGACGAGGAAAGTTGCTGGGTAACAAGTTGATGACCATGAATAATAAAAATATATATCTACGGTTTTGTTTCTTTGGATGAGATCTTTGTGGCTTACCTCAACTTTTGAACAAGGTGTGAATTGTGTGTGTGTGGTGGATGCGCTGGAACTTTGTTTGGCAGAACGACAAACACACAGCTATGGCTTTGGCTATCCTGTACCACTGTTCGTTCTGTCCGTTACAGTGAATGATATGCCCTTTGTGTCTGGAATAATAAGAATACATTTCGGTTGTTTTTTTCTTTTGTTGGGCGAACACGGATTTGTCTTGCGGGATCTTATGTGGCACAAGTGCTAGGTCAGTCGTTGGGTCGATTTGGGACTGGTGCATTGATTGCTGGTTCTGTCGATTGAGCCGACGAAGTGACATCAATTGGGAGGGTGAAATGTCGACGGATTTTCTCACGTTGGGTCCGCAATGATTAGACAAGTTGGTGCTCGTTAGTTGATGATACTTTTCGCCTGGTTTCCAAATTCCAAGGATTTGAAAAACCTCTCTCGGTTCAATTTACTCATTGTTAAGATGGATGGGTATATCTCTTATCTTCTGCTAAGAAATTAACAAATGCCACAACACCCAAGCTCGTTAGACTTGTGAAATTCGACCAAAACACTTGGCATGCATGATGCATTGTTCGGTTATACATTACGCATGCGTTTTGGTATGACACATTTACGAGTTAAATTTTGTCGTTAGGATTTATCTGATCTTGTCGTATCTCTTTTCGTAGTAATGTTGGACAGGAAAAAGAGAGATAAGGAAAACGTGACTAATTAGTTAATTTGGTAGGTTATATCATTGATTACTTTCGAGATAGTAGGGCTTCTAAATAGTAACTCTTTAGCTAGGAGTAGATTTTATATTTTGCCACTAGGCCAACAATCCAACACGTTAAAAGAATAGGAAACGATAATTTTGTTATAGTGAAACATATCAATCCGTTGAATCAAATAATGATAGGAACAAAAACATCACAAGACTGCTATCGTAATTGACAAATGATTGCAATTTTGCTTTTTATGTGTATTCATAATTTAATTTGTGTCTACTCAATAGTGAAAAGGAGAAGAAGAAGAGAATTGTACATTGAAATTTAAAATTCTAGATTTCAAAACTTTAGGCCTAATACCAGAAAAGGGCCCATAGTTTAGGGTTTAGGTCACTTGTACCCCTATGTTTGTACCGCGTCACTTATGTCCCCAAGTTTAGTGCCTTCATGTCATTTTTGTCCTCCTTCGTTTCGTTGACTGTTAGACTTAACGGTCAACCTAACGGTGGTCAACATTTTTTTGACTTTGTGCCAACTTGTCTGCCATGTCACCAACTCATCAGGAAAAAAAAATTAATTGTAATTAATAAATGAAAGAATTTAAATATTTTCGCCCATCATCACATACATTCCTAAAAATAATTAATTTTATTTTGGGTTATAGGTATAATATGCCCCTCTACTATGACGTTTTATCAAACATGCCCCTCTACTATTTTTTACATCCAATATGCCCCTGTACTTTGAAAAAATTATCAAACATGCCCTTCTGTTAAAATTTCTATTGAAAAAATCGTCAATCATGGTTGAATTAAGATTTAGACGACCCGACATCGACAAATGGGAGGGAAAATGTCAGTTTTGTCCCCTGTTTTATTTCTCTGGGTCTTTTCAAAGTGAAATTGTTTGAATGATTTGATTATACAAAATAACCAAAAAAATTCTAAAGTGAATTTATTAGGGATATTTTAGTCGTTTGTCTCGGCCAAACTAAAGTTCGGCCTTGGTTAACGGTTTTTAGATGAAAATTTTAACAAAAGGGCATGTTTGATCATTTTTACAAAGTACAGGGGCATGCTTGATGTAAAAAATAGTAGAGGGGCATGTTTGATAAAACGTCATAGTAGAGGGGCATATTATACCTATAACCCTTTTATTTTTCAATTAAGACACTTAAACATGAAAAAAAACACCATCTTCCTTCCCCGACCCAAAAATCCCCATCTTCCTCCTTCAAATTGCCTTTGCCGCCGTCAATTGTTGTGATGTCTTCATCGCCAGTTGCCGGAGGAAAGACGGAGAGCAGCGTGGACATCGTCGCTCGTGGGTCTGATTCAATAGACAGTGAGAGAGATGATGAATGGAGATCCTGCAGGGAGAAGAGAAGGATGAATATAGACATGAGTATTTGTTTATAAGGGAGGGGAAGATATTGAAGCTACGTCGGCAGTGGTCTAGCAATTAGGTTTCTTTTCTGGGTTTAATGGGAAAGAGGGAAGAGACAAATAGAGTCCAGGTTGTGGTCTTCCTTCCCCAACATAAAAAGAGACCTTTGCTTCGTCGCCTTTTTCTTCCCGTACTCAGATTTGTCGGCTGAAAAGCTTTGTGAATGAATCTTCTTAGCGCCTTAACGGAGCGCGAGATAGAAGAATCGTTGGGTCAGATTTGGGGTTTTCTTTGCTTCTGAAATTTCGGATTCAAGCTTGGTGATTTTACGGCGGGATGGAGAATGAGATATGGATCAAAGATTTGATAAGAAGAAACGTGGAGGAGCTGGAGTTTCCCGGCGCTCCCCTCACTCGGAGGAGGAAAGAGGAGAGCTGTATCGTCCCTCTCGCAATGTATTTTCATTTGATTTTTATTTGTTAACTTTTTGAAAGTATGCAATTTTATTTCTATGTATTAATTTTTATTTATTTTATATTAAATGATGTGGCAAAAAGTCCACATCATATGCCACATCGTCAGTCAAAACTTTGACTATTGACTACTAATGGTCAAAGTTAACGGAGACTAAACTTGGGGACATAAGTGACCCGATACAAACATAGGAGTACAAGTGACCTAAACGCTAAACTATGGGCCTTTTATTGGTATTAGGCCAAAACTTTATGTCACAATTTAAGTCTCCCACTATTTGTTTGTTGCATTCCATGTTCATTTGATGTGGGTGACTGGTGAGTGAGAATGTTTTTCCTTTTTGCAATTCAGTGGGACTTGGAAATTAATTAGTTTTAGCCGTTAGGTCATTTCGGCGAAGAAATTTTAGGAAACAAAAACGCAATTTTCAATGTAGAGAACAAAATCGAAGATAGAGAATGAAGACCACAAAGAGAAAAATATCGCCGCCTTCCTCCCCCCATTCTCGGCATCGAGAATTTTGTCCGATCACCGGATAAATGCTTCCGGTGGACGGGAACCAAAGTGTTTGTCTACGTATAAAATCTACCTTCTTCCTCCCACCTTTTATCGATTGATCCGTTGTCGTGAATGATGGATTCTCCAAAGGAACCAGAGGTGGTGGAAATCTCTGAGAGCAGAAGGACAAGTTCCTGTTTCCGTCTGTTCCTGCGATTTGTTCTGCTTTTGCTTTTCCCCTTCTTTGCTTTCCTACTCTTGTCAATATCCATGGTCTTCATAGCCCTGCTGTCGGGGCAATTATCTATCGCAACGCCCGTCTCTGTTCCCTCTCGGTGCCGGATAGTCTCCAGTGGCAAGTTCTTCTTTGCGCCCCTGTCTCTGTTTCGAATTTGATTTCGCTTTGTTCATTGGTTTCCGGCTATGAATAAGTATAGGAAGTAGAACGGAATCGAAATGATTGAATTGCTGAGTTTGAATCGTTACAGAAAGAATCGGAAAAGGTAGAATTATGATAATTGTTTTTATTTTTATTATAGAATATGATAATTGTTATTGAACGGTGAGGGAGAGACCTGCTTCAAATCGAGACCTTGTGTGTGTTGGGAAGAGTTCGTCTTAGGGTTTCACACTGCTTGTCCACAGTATCCATGGTCGAAGTTCTGCCATTAAGTTTATTCGTTTGGAGCTGCAGATGTGGGATTGTAGTTCTTATTTGGGTTTTGTTCACTTGGTTCTGATCTTACTTAGAATTCATGTCTGCTCTGCTCATGCTTGGTATGGGTAATCGACGGTTTGCATTTTTCATGTTATTGTGATGATGAACGCATGATGCTATTATTATTCCCGAATTACCTCACTTTGTTTTAAAACTTAGCATAAGTTACTATATGGATGTTGTGAAGCACACAGAAACTTCTGTTATCAGTCAAGTTTTGCTTGTCTTCGAGGAGGTAAATGTTTTTGTTTGGACCTTTTCAGGTGTTGATCTCAGATCATCTAAAGTTTGCGAACTCGGGTTGTTGAAGTACAAGACCAAGAACGTCTTTCATCCTTTTGACAGAAACAAGTTTCGATGCCGCTATGATTATTACTGGGCTTCAGTGTTTGAGGTGATTCTCGTGGCTTTCATTTCTCTTCTATTTTTTCCGTGTGTTACTCTTTCAAATTTCGCTACCACATTGTCTAAAACACAGTACGTTCATCACTCATTCTGGAATCTAATAATAAGTCCCATCAGGCCATCCCTTGATATGTCATATGTCCATCTAAACTATCCCTGTCCTAGATTTGAATTATCAATGTGGCTCTGTTATGTAGGCTGGACAAACATTTTTTAGGACCTGATAGGTATGCCCTTGAGGATTTTTTCCCCAGGTGATTCTCATTGGTATTGTTTTGGCATGGTTTTCATAAAAGTATGTGGCTCTATATGGTTTATTTGAAGAATTATATTTGATGATTCCTGTATTGCTACATTCATTACATAAAATACTTCAGATTTGTGAACTTATCCGCTGTATTATTTACCGACTAGTGTTCCAATTGACAAGTCAGTGGGAACCTTACTAGTTAGAAATCTACCATGCTATGCTGCTGACAAGATAAAGGCTACTGTTTTGTCTTTGGAAGTGATGGAAGTTTGGAGAGTTGTTAGAAGGTGATATACAGATGAACAAAGTGATCCAAAGTTTTCAATATTGTCCAGCACTTGTTTACCGGTGTACAATATTCTTGCAAACAATTGACTTCCGATCTAGAAGTCCAATTGTGTCCTCTTCAAATATGTTATCGTTAGGATTTCTTATTATTAGAATTTTTCTTGTAAGACTAAATCATTAAGCAGTTGGCATCGATGAACTTGCAAATAAACATGTGTTGGTCTTCTCTCATTAGGATAGAGTCTGTACTAGGCGGATAGGCGTAAAATCTGTTAAATGATGTACCTAAGACCTTACACACAGGAATCTTTGTGAAGCCTCTCTATATTTGGTTATGTGAGTCTGGGTTTAAGTTCTAATTCCTTGTTTCTGAAAGTTATTTTGAGGCTCCCAGCCAGAAGAAAGTTCAATACCAAAAACAATTCTAGAGTGGGCTGTCTTAGTACCCTCTTTCCCTTACTTGATCTCCCAATTCAGAATGGGCCATTAAGGAAGTTAGATTATTAAAATTCACACTGAGCTAACTTTGATTCATATAAGAAGAGAGGATAAACGAACAAGAATCAAACTACTATGGAGCTTTATGTTGGCATCCTTTTTATCGTGCTATTGATATCTCTATTATTTTTGCATAGACCCTTAAAAGAAAACTTTTCATTTTCTAATATATGGTATTTAAAAGGAAACCTATTTTGAATGGACACCGGAAATTCATTCTGAATGTCGTCGATTTAATTACTCTGCCTTAAGAAGTTTTGTTCAGGCTATATTGATATGCGAATTAGTTTTGGAAATGAATTTTGAGTCGGAGCTATAGAGTGTTTTTGCTTGAGAAGAAACGCCATGCCTACTCCAGATTGCAGTTGTGAGGAATAGAATCCATGGTAATGTTATTATGGAATCTCCGAGTAAATCTGCTAGTATCATTGTGAATAATTGCTTATCTTGTGCCTCTTGTTACTGAGTTCCTACTCTTAGCCCATGTGATACAAGCATCTGACTAGAGCATGGCCAAACCATGGATGTGTTTACACTTTGTATCTTCAACCTAAAAAGTTGGTGCATTTAGATCATGTTTCACTTTACCATTACAGGTGGAATATGAAGATCACTCCTCGGGTCGTACACATCATGCTTTAGCTGAGGCTCCAAGTGAGGCGCTTCCCCTAAATTGCAGGCCTAACTTTGCTGGTGCATGGATGGCCAAAGATAAATTTAAGGTTTAAATCCGTATCCTCTTATTCACTATGTACGGAGATAGTTTGAAATTTAATGAGATTAGCCTCTTACCTTTAGTCATGATGCAGAGAAGTTTAAGGGGATTCTGATGTTCTTTAACATTTCCTTTAACTTTTGAATTTGCAGGTCAACGAAACTTACAATTGCTGGCACAGAGCTGGGATCTCTAAAGTGAGCTTATATGTTGATGACTTCCTCCACTGCAATTCCAGAGATCCTTCTGTTTTTGAGATGATAAATCGATATATCAAATTGTGAGTATATAGGTTCCTTATTCTTTTTTTTTTTATATTTATGGTAAGAAGGTTCCTTATTCTTTGCGTCCCCTTAATTCCTGACAGGCTTGTTCCTTCCTCTTGTTTCGTTTTTCTGTGAGTTTTTCCTCCTAGTTTGCGTCCCTACTTTGTCATCTAAAAGCCCTATAGTTTTTTTTCTCTTTGGTGTTGAGAAACACCTAAAATATGATTATTTAGCCATCTGAAGAACATAACTAAAAATAATAATTGAAGTCATCCCTTTGTCAAAGAAATTGGTTTGCCATGTTGATTATGGAAAGAGTTATAGGTTATATATATCTGAGGCAGTAGTGTTGCTTGAGGGAACATACCTAGTCAGCATTATATATATGGTAAGCAGAAACAAGTTCTTGAATGTTTATAGCCTTTCACAGCCTTCGTTTAGTATCATACAAGTCTATAGTGCCAAACCCTCTGACTGACAAACGTGGATCAAGCAACCACCGAATAAGAAGTTGCTACTTTAACAGCCTTTACAAGTTCTGTGGCTTGTAGCTCTTTGACCAAGTGTACCATTGCGGCTTGTCTGTTTGCAAGTTGCAAGGTACTTAACAGGGTAGGTCATTCATTCATTCTTTTTGCATGAAAGATGTTCTTAATCTTTCATTATGTTTCATTGAAGTATGAATATCACTTAAACAGGTTTTGTAACTAAGTGGACTAGGGGTTTAAATTTATAGGGACAGCATAGTATGTAGAACGACTGGTGTTTGGAGAAAATAGGCTCTACAAGCTGATTTGGTGCAGCTAGTTATGTATTATGGTTTCTGAGTGCTATCTTAGGCTAAATGGAAAGGCTGATGTGTAAACAGATTACAGTTAGGGGAAATATATTCATCGGGCCTGAGGTTGTAGAGTGTCAAGGCGTCGTCAATTCATGGAGAGTTTGAAGAACCTGTGGTAGGAAATCCCCCAGCCTTGGGAATCTTTGTGGACTCTACAATCTGGTTGGGTCCATATGAGTAAATTGTCTTTCCTGATGGCTGTCAATCTATATGCCTGCTATTGCAGATCTTCATTTTACACATGTCAGACGCAATGTCTAACTAGAACTTATACGTTTGAACTGTAAGAGGTTTTATTTTTCTTCTGAAACAAAATTGATGTGGATTTCCAATTAATGGTACCAAATGGTGGTTTCCCATGCTTCTGTGTTGTCAGGTTGATCGATGCCCCGAGCTCCTTGTTCATCCTGAAGACGGGAAATGCCACCAAATTCTGGAAGTGGGAAGCTGTAGCTGGAGCTGTTGCCGGTTTCTTGACTTCCTTGATCACCATCTTCTTCTTCTCAGTGGTGTGGAAGTTGATGTCGTGGGTACCCCAGACATGGACATACATAGTAAGGGTTCTTACTCGGGCTATCAACTTGGTAGTCTTGAAGCGTGCTTGTTTTTTTGTGGCATACTTCTCCTTCATGGGCTGGTTAACCATCCAGTACGGGAAACGGCTTGGCATGCCTGAGATTCGAGTTGGTTATATTTAATCTACTAGTTGAAAGAACTCCTGTGAGCCGTGAAATGTATCATCAAATTCATGGTAGTTAGAAGAGAAACGCTGGAACGAAATGTGGCTCCTGTTTTGTAATTGGGAAGCACTTGTATTGCACAGGGAAACTGTACAATTGAAACAAACAAATAGTGTAAGTGATGTGAATAGCATTCTGTAACCCATTACTTTTTTTGTTGTTGATAAATTGAGATTATGGCTGATTGAATTGGTTGCAGCTTTCATATACCCTCAAGTTCTTGCTAGTTTTGAGATTTCATTTATTGTCTCAAATACTAGAATCAATACCCACGGCTACGCCGCGGGAACTTAAGTTGCAGCAATATCATTTTATAAGCGAGGAGGTTGTCACCAGGGTTAAGGTAATTTTGGATTATGGTGTGTTGATGACTTGCAATGGATGGAGCAAATATCACAATGAAAACATCGTCAAGAGAATTTTCAATAATATGCCTCAACTTGTCAAAGATAGAGCATGGCCATCATGACATGAGAAAGTGAGTTTTTGAAAGGAGAATTTAAGATCTCCAGCAATAACAAAATAGAAGCTGCCGCTAAACATTATGCTTTGAAAATGGCATTGTCATCCTTCTACAAATAATTATGCTTAGAAATAACAAAATAGAAGCTGCCACAAAACATTGAAAAGTAGACTTATGAGGGTGAGAACAATCATTTAGATTAACGAACACGCCTATATAAGCAAAATGAATGGTAAATTTGATGAGCAATGACCTGATAATCTACCGTTCTCCAATGTATAAGCCAGACACAGCAAGGTTGCCAATTTGTAAACTGCCACTGTCCAACTGCATCTAGTTACACCTCAATGCTCTTAGTTACATTTTCCTCCTGCTCTTGGTAATGCCAGTAACACCCTCCATCTTCTTTGTTTCTTCTTGTTACTCTTGGAGTTTGGATCATAAGATGACATCTTGATGGGTCTAGCGAGTTGGGAAAAGATGAAAGAACTACCTTGTCGATTAGATTGGTTTATTTTCTATTTGGATTGTTGCAGAGGAAAATAAGGAGAATAAGAATGAGATCCTTGTAGCAAAAGGCAGAAGAAAGGACCTAGCTGACTTACTGAGTCCTTAATAAGCGTGTAAGCTACCTGCTCAATCCCATGGATCACCAAAAAACCTGTGGGAAGAACATATTGAGAGTAGGTTGGTGACAACAACCAGTGAAATGTTCCGATCATAAGCATCCAACCAAAACCGTGTGAAAATAAGCAACCAACCATGACGAATCCCCTTAGATGTGTTTCTTCTTTCTCGTCCCAATACCAATCAACTACCTTCCCTACCTTGCAGAAGCTTTGCTGTATAAACCGAAAAATAAAATTAGAATAAGAGTTCGTCAATGGGAAAACAGCAGCAAAACAAACCAGGACTCAAAAGAATGGAAGAGAGATTTAAGGATCGCAATTGGAATGTAGCATATAATTGTCGGATAGGAGAAAATGCAAGGAGAAAATGAATTACCTGGTCCTGTCAATTCCCTAAGTTTCTTCTCATCGTGTTCTTCCCTTGGCTGATCCCACACTCTTCGAAGTGATATGTGCAGGTTCATCTATTAAGACAGCAAAACCAAGCTGAATGTAAGTCACCTAAAAGCAGTTAAAATCTAATTCTCTAGATAATCAAATCACATCCAAACACTGTCAATTCTGTCCTAAAATGCAGCAGCTCTTACTTAACAATGAGTGTATAATTGTTGATTGATTCCATTAAGTAAATATCACATTCAAAGGTAATGATAAGGTAAGAGAAATGATCATTAGAAACCTGATCTTCAGCCCTCCCCCTTACAAAACTGTAGGGAACTTGTTAGGATACGCTTGTGCCTTTCATGTGTTTCATGTACTCTGGTTAAACCAATTTATAGGTGATAAACTTGATTATTACCTTCACAAAGACTTGCTAGAGACATTTTGGTACAGTGTACACCTATATAAACCTCTATTTTACCGAAAACCTAGTACTATAGTAGGGGGGGGGGAAGGCAACTCGGGCAGGTTGGCAGAATGAAGGAAAACTACCAGAAGGTGGCAGCGTTTGTAGAGAACTACATCTGAGGCCAACAAAAGGGTGGGATACTCCTAGAACTATATTTACATATGTTAAGTTTACCAAATATGCCAAGGTGCCTCTAGCTAATTTCTTTCTTGCATTTCTTTCATCATGAACGCCAACTTACCGGAATGAACTTGATATGGTATATCACCCTTGTCTTCTTTATTCAAACAAAGTAAAACGCTATAGTATGACAACAAAGCTTAATGGTAAAGCAAGAAGGCAGAAACACGAAAGGAATGAAGAGATGGGTCATGGGTATCTTACATCACAAAGCAGAATAAATACAACACAGTTCATTTGCTGCCGGTTTACTAACCTGAAGTTATTTCCTTTTGTTTATTTGCATTGTCTTGAGTTTTTAATAAGTTCTGCACCTTCACCAGCCTCACTTGCTGTCGGTTTACTAACCTGCGAGTTCATCAATTTGAGACAGTAAAGAGATGAAAGCAAATTTAGAAACATAAACATGATCCAAAGCTACCAGGACTGTATTTCTCATTGACATAGGCCTCCCTTAAATTGAAGAAAAAAACTACCAGGACTATGGTTTCCGATTTCGGTGAGATGCCAAATTCAGAAGTAGCAGCAACCTTCAATTCCAACGAAAGAAAAAGTTACCTATCTGAGAAGAGGATCCCGCGCAGATGCAGCCAATACAAAGGAGCTAAGTACATTTTCGTAACACCACACTCTTCAAATATTGATCGAACCCCATGATCTTCCAACTCATGATTTGCTTCTGAGAGTCGCAAAAATTTGGAAGGCCAAAAATTTGTTGTGAAGCTTCTTAGATTGAGAAGGAACACATGTCATCCAAGTCGTCGCTGTGCTTAATGTTGAAAGAATTGAACCACAGTCAGATCCAAAGATTCCTACTTTACCTCGACACTCAATTACCCAACTAAAATTTAGAAACCTGAACTGAAGCTCACCAAATTCTAGAAAACGAAGATTCAAACTCGAAAAGAACATAAATTTATGCAGATGGTTGGTTGGTGCTCTCCCTCTTTCTCTCGCTTTCACGGTTGGTGGTTTCTGGTAAATGGAGGGCTGACGTCAAAGAGTTCTGCTCTATACTTCTTCTCCATCTGTTGAGCGCATCATCTCTTTCACGACTGCCATCATAAGCATCCCATGAGCAGTTTGCGCTTTCGGCTTTATTGCTGCTTTGAGGATCGGTTCGACAACGGCAGTTATGTCTTGGGCATAGGAAGAGGAGGCAGGGGAGGAGTAGCTGCTGTCGCCGTCTCGTCAAACGGACCTTATACGCAGTCGCCGAAGATGATTGATGAAGCCGAGAGAGCTGGGGCAGTAGGGCCGACTTTTAGCAGTCGGTTTCAGGGATGAAAATTGTCTTTCATCGAAGAGAAAGAGTGCTCGAGGGCGGGGGTTTGTCCAGATTTATTGAGTGAGGATTGAGTGTTGGGAAAGAAGAATGGCAGGCAGAGGTTGCTTCCTCGTTGGAGTGTTGAAGAGGGTCGCGTGCTGAAGTGGTTATACTATCAAGAACCGAGAAGCACACCAAAATGGCTAGATTTGGGGCGTAGGAGAGATTTGGGGAATGGGTGAGAGAACAGTTTCAGAGTCAGAGGAGGTACAATTCGTGGGGTGAAGGGATGGCAGTGGAGAGAAATGGAGCGAGTGTGCTAGCAAGGCAAAATAGGATAGTTTTTCTTCCTTCGCTAGCCGACAAATATTGAAACAGTAGAGACCAATAAAGCGTACTCACGTTTCATATATAAAAGAATACTCGAATACATTAAAGGTGTCACCAAAAAAGGGGAAAACAATAACTTAGAAGCCGAAAGTATTCATCGATATATAACACTTGAAAATTTATCAAGCGTTATATCTGCAATTATTTGAAATTGCAAGTAGAGATACAATTGCTGAAGAAATATATATCAACCATTCTTCCTCCCACCAGAACCTCGTCACAAATGGTCGGTCCTAAGAATCTTTTTTATGACATTAGAATGTGGAAGACAAGTGTGAATCAAAAGCACAAGGTTGCTAGGTTCTGTACCCCTAATTCAGATGTGTTCTTCTCTACCAACACAAAAAGAAAAGGTAGTTTAGACTGTTGGCTGCAGAAAGAACCAAATGTCAGCATCCATCATCTGTGAGATTAAATTTAACGCTTCAGACCTTCCCGGTTTCAGACATTATCCTCTCAATCTCCTCTAGCAGGCGTTCTTTCTCGTCTACCAAATCCTCGTTCCGTTTCTGAAGTTCTTCGATCTGCTTAGTCTGCTCAGAATCCTTCCTGGAAGTTGCAGCAAACAAACAGTTGATTGTTATCCATCATTCATCAAAGCGGAGCTTTGAATAGTCCATCCTTATAGGAGTTTTGTCTATTGTCTCACCTGTTCATGAAAGACAAGTTAAGCTTGAGTGATCTTACTTCCTTCTCAAGGTTCTCACACCTTTTCATCACCGACTGCATATCAGAGGGCACCACAGGTGTTAAATTCCTTTCCTTTGCTTCAGCCATCCTAACAATTGCATTAACAAATTTCATCATATCAGAGACCTGTTTCAATGAAAGAATAGAGAGAGGAAAATGGGAGGAGAAGTTACTTGCGAGAACGCTCCACTCTACGCTTCTTAGTTGGGTCTCCTGTCTCTACTGCAACACAACAGAACTATTAGTTTCTTAGGATGCAAGTAATTGTGTCTTTTGCTACTGAATTTTTCCAATAACAGAAGCTTGGCATACCTGAACTAGCAGATGTCACTGACCCATACCGGACAAGCCCTTTACCTCTCTACAATAAAATGGGGATCCAGAAAGTGAATCAATTGAGACAGTGCAGGGAGTAGCTTGATGGGCAAGCAATGTAAGACAGTTAGGTCTATTTACCTTTCTATCATCCTTCAGATTGTCGATGATCCTATCTCTGAACTCTGCATTCCAAAAACAATAGTGATTGTTTAGCAATGCGAATTTCAAGTTTCAAAAGCAAAATGAAACAGACAAGCATAGAGTTGTTGTATATGTGGAATGTATATACCTTTGCCTCTACCACCTTGTTCTGAATCTTTCCCAACAGATTTCTTTGAGCTCTCACAGGTGGTCACATTTTGACTCGAAATACTAGGACCATCACATGCATCGAACCCAGATGAAATGACTGGTGCAGCAGCTGAAGATTCACTCAGAGAAGAAGGCTCTCGAGAGACTGTGTTCATCTGCATTGGGTTCACCGGATGATTTGCATATCCTTCCATTTCAAAATCCACAACCTCCTGAACCGTCTCTAAGAGCCCAGTAGACATGGGGTTCTTTGCTATTGCAGATGCAAGCTCTTGTAAGCTATCCATCCCACCCCCATTTCCTTGATTGAAGCTATTCATCATCATAACTTCTTGACCATGACCGTGATGATAGATCGAATTCGAGCTGTCTTCCACGGTTTCATGATTTCCAAGCTGCTTCTTGCGTTCGAGGGTACCCTTCAGCATGCTCACTACTGAAGAGACATTATCCGTATTTCCTGCGTGTGGAGTGTTGAATGCTCCGAATTGATTCGTTGCCTCATGCATAGAGAGATCACTGCCGAGTCCACTTGGATTTGAAAACTCTTGTTTCAATAATCCACTTTCATCGTTATCTCCTGTAGTTTGCATGGCTACGTATCTCCTTCTGTATAAACAAAACAAAATTACTTGTTAGACAAGTTATTGAAATCCTTAGCAAGAAGAGATGGTAAAGAATGATCACCTTAGTTCAGAAGATCTGCTCCGTGTCATGGGTTGAGAACTTTGAAACCAGGCCTGCATAGAAGGAGACAGATACTATCTGAAGTCATGAAGCGTTTCAACACTATGAGATCTTTTTTCAGAAAGCTGTAAAATGTGGCAGACCTTGGCCATGTATAAGTTACTGGACTGGATGTTTCTGTCAACAACCCCTTTACTGAAAGTTAAAGAAAAGAAGGCAGTGTGAGGGAAACTGAGTTTGGCACTAACCCTAAATAATTGCAAAGAGGGCAACAAGGGAAGGCTGTAGTTCATTACTTGTTTGATTGTCTACTCGAGACATCGTATGCTGTTGGATGATTATGTTGTGTCAACAGCACATCAGTACTTCTTTTCTGTTGCAGAGTTGCCTGCCCTTGTTGCTGATTTGACAAATTTGAGATTTCAGTGGACATCCTGCAATCATCACAAAGAAATTACTTCTTTCGGTTATATCTCATCTAGCACCTCATTGAATCTAGTGCACATCTGCAAAGTGCTGATGATGTTTGGCGATTGTGCGCTTGAATCGTCTTTCTGTAGTCTCTTTGCTTCGATCTTAGCACAAGATTGCATTTACACAAACAACAGAAGTATGAAGGCACTGTACACTCACCTCTTAGATGATTGTCGCGTTCGATGTGCAATGCTTGGTGTTCCATAACTATGATTCTGCAGAGATAATAGATCACCTTTCATAACTATTTGAAAAAAATCCAAGTTGATCATCAGGGAAATAAAGACAAGGAAATCCAGAAGACAGAACTTTGCATCTGAAAGCCAAAGCTCATGATCCTGACTCTCCTTGATTTAAAGTCATATCACCAAAACAAATCAGACAACATATAGGGTTTGATGGTATCCACTTTCATGTCTCACCAAACTTCCATCAGCTCAAAGAGCAACAACTAAAACCCTCAAAGCAAACAGAGGTGATCAAAAGCCACACTTCTGAAAGAGAAGGCTGTAAAATGGAGAAGAACAGAATAGAGATCTTTTTTAGTGCTTGCCTCTCCAGTAGTAAGCCAGCTCTTGAAGAGCTCCTCGCTATCGGTGCGAAAATTGTGGTGGAGATTCTTAAACCCTAGCATCTCCATGGTTGGTGCTGCTGGCATCCCAATAGAGCTTTCCATCAAGGACTTGATGAACAACTCCTCACTCGTGTTCCTATACAAATCTGAAGAAAACCCTCTTCCTTCACTAGTCTCCATCACTCTTCTTTCTGATGATCCTTCACCCTTGTGTTGCTGTTGACTACTACTACTACCACTATACAAATTCAAAATCTCATCTCTTTCTGCATCCCTCACAATCGATGAACTCCCTCCTTTGCTTCCACCATTGACCATAATATTACCCTACCATCCCCCCACCCTTCACAAAACCCAGCCAACCATTACTTCCAATTCAAGAACTACAAAAAAATTATCAAAAGGGTAAGAAAGAAATCAACAACCCAGAATCTGAAATTGGCTGAGTAATCAAAAGATCACTACTTTAATCCACAACAAACTGATCACACGAAGAAACCGTTCAGTTGCAGACTTGAGAAGCTAGCAATTCAGAGCAAAAAGGAAGTCAGTTTCTGGGCAGAAAAACTGCACCAGATAGAAACTGACTAGTTCTTTCAAATTCCTAACCTAAGTAAGATGAATCGAACTGATTTTGAATTGGCAGCAGTGAGTTGACTAATTGTGCAGTTGTGGACTTGCAGGCCCAGCAGAAGGCAAAATTAGGAAGAAAAAAAAAACTAAGAAAATAGATTGTTGAAAGGAGGCATGTCAGGGGGGATTATTGTGTAAGGTAGTGAGGAAATGAGAAGGGGAAGGAGGCGACGGGATCAAATTACGCAGAAAGAAGTACAGTTCCAATGTATTTAGCATTTGTCAGCTTCTCCTAATCTTCTGAATTTTATAATTTGATCAAATTAATAATCAAGTTATCAGAAAATTACTCTGCCTTCCATCCTTAATATTTTTTTGGTAAACCTGCTCCCTTTCCCTTTCAATCTTGAACAGTTGAATTCCGCGGGAAACCCCATCGTATCTTGCCACAGCACACAGTTTAGGTTATCGTCGTGTGCTCTCACAATGGTGGAAAGGGCCGGCTTATATCTCTAGTCCCTTAATGGCCTTATTATGACTTGAAGTACCAATAAACTGAGTCTAATTGAGCCCTAGTTACAGTTTTCCTAACCTAATTACCTACTAAGCTCAAATAGCACAATGGCTAGATAGTTCAAAACGATTATATGTTTGTCTAACAATCCTATTAATCCTATTGACAGCAAATGTTATACATTTCGAATTTTTATTCGAACTCCTAGAAATGAGAAACTCATAAGTTCGTTTAAATTTGTTAGCAAATCAAGTAAGTAGCAAGAAGTTTCAATGTGTAAAAGTACTTCGTTAAATTCCAATCATAAACTTGTGCCTAAAAAGATACATTGTACTATCTCGAATTGTTCAATTCCGGCAATCAGTGATTTTTTTCTTCATAATTTGAATTAGAGACGTGTTATTTACAAATAAAGTAAGGGAAGCATAAAATTCATTATATGACATCGTTGGATAAAAACGATATCCAATTATGGAGGACACATGTAATTCAATTGAGTTGAAGCGTTTGGAGACTATATCTGTCGAAACAAATACGGTTGTCTCGATAAGATATTCCTTTCATTCTCTCTATGTTGTTTATGAAATCCGATATTTTTAGGATTCTAGTATGGAAATAAAGTATGTATATATGGTATTAATTCCTACTACCGAGTCTGGTGGCTGAAATCAAAATGATTTGAGTGATTTTTCAGCAAGGAAAACCAACTAAATGCAAGGGTATACTAGGCCTATATGACTGTGACAGCAAGCAATTGGGAGCCGGCTTCACACCATGACAGCATTCGAATACATAAAGTTCTAAGTTTATAAAAAAATGAGTCATGGCTTTCGTCATGTAGCTAGCTAGCTTCTATATCAAATATACAAGTAGTAATATTACATCAACTTGATGCAGGAGGACGAGAACTAGCGGACATACCTCCCTCCCTGTCATGGCTGCCTCTCATTATCTTCTCTCTATAAAATTTTCTGTTCTGCAACTTAAATGGTTATTACTTATTAGTATTTCTTTGGGTGATTGGGGTCCTCATTGACTGGCATTTTTGTCCTGCTGCAACTATATATATAAGAATTTATAATGAAGAAGGTGTTATCTTGGTTGAAAAAACAAAGTCATTATGAGATTGCTGTCGGGATGCTTTAGTAGCTGAGCTTACTTCAGGGATATGTAGGGACAAAGGATTGTAAAATCATACCGGAAGTTGTACCGTAAAAAATAGTGGTAAGTAAGCTTATACTTAAATCGGCTATAAAATTCCATTGTACAAATTTGTTCTCCTGTCAATTGATTGATCTACATATTTGTTGTAATAACGTTCATGACAATTGACGAACTTGTTAAGATCATAGAATAGTCAATGACAATTCAGTACCCTAAAATCAACCGTAATTCAATAAGAATCAAATACGTAAAACGATGAAAGTAACCAAAAAAAATTTAACAACAACAAGTAATCAATGTAGAAATGGATCGATGTGTACAAAACAACTCACGACAACATTTATTTATTTGTATACCAAACATAAAACATAGTCATCAAGAGCATACACACACGTACAAAGGTGTCCTGATCATAGCAGGAAACCAACCCATATAACGTACATATGACTCGATCGATAAGAAGTAAAACTCAAACATGCTATATCGGACCTGCATGCAGTTACGTCCAAATATTACAGCACACAAAGGAAAACGTACGTAGTAGGGTAAAAGTTCAGGCGTGGACATTCAGTCGTCACATCGCGTTTATTACACAACAAACACTGAACAACATAGAAGTACGTAGTAATATGATGGATACTTTTGTCTAGTCTAGAGAATAGACGGATAAAGTTGCCGGAGGCCGGCCGGAGGCCGGCCGGCGTCCCTCGGCGGTGGATGGGATGATGGAGATGGATAGGCTTAGCGACGGAAGCTCCTGACCGGACGAGGTGGGTCGGATTCGGTGTCCCGCAGCTTCACGACGGTGTAGGTACCAGCTCCGGCGAGAGCGCCGAGGGTTGGTGCGACCAGGTATATCCAAAGCTTCCTGTAATTCCCTGATGCGACTGCCGGCCCTAGTGTCCTCACCGGGTTCATCGACGCACCGGTTGATGTCCTGCATATATACGCACCCTCCAATAGTTAGGCTGTAAGTAGAAATTCACTTACTCGGTCTGATCTGATCCGATCCAATTTTGAGTAGGGTTAACTCAGAGACGGTTCATCTTTTTGATTTTATAAGAGTCGGGTTGGGTCGGATCAAATTAAGGTCGGTTTAATTTTTTATCCTATGATCCATAGCAAGAACTAGTGATTTGAAATTGGAAGAGTATAGGCAATTGGGTCAATTTTTTTTCCGTCCTGTGATCCATAACAAAAACTAGTGACTTACTAGACTTTAGTCGTATGATCCAACATATCAGACCTGTTTGTAAAATTTCGAAAGCTCGGGACCTTAAGTACTATAATATAAAGAAAATATAAACATACCGAAACATAATTTTACCACCAAAATTTTCTGACGAGACGAAACCAATTTTATAAATTAACCCTACAAAGACGAGTCAGACATGATTCTTAGATAACTCTACCATCGGTTTAAGACTATATATATATATATATATATATATATATATATATATATATATATATATATATATGTAGAGAAAGTAAGTCACTCACCCTGCAACAAGAATGTTGAGCATAACGGATATATATATATGTAGAGAAAGTAAGTCACTCACCCTGCAACAAGAATGTTGAGCATAACGGTGGCGCCAACTGCTATTCCCGCCAACTCTCCCACCTGAATCGCCGTAAAAAAAAAAAAAAGATTCAGTAGAAAGAACAAAAGAGAGAGATGCTAATAATAAGTCAACAGCGCGCGTTAATGCATGAGTAATTACCGCGCGGGTGTCGGTGGCAACGGCGGTGACAACAAAGAGGAGGACGAAAGTGATGATGAACTCGAGGGCGAAGGCCTGGCCGGTGGTGACGGAAGGCACGGTGACGCCGCCGGACATGAAGGGGTGGAAGACGCCCTTGAGGGCGAAGGAGGCGCAGATTGAGGCGGAGACCTGGGCGGCGATGTAGGCCGGGACGTGGACCCACGGGAAGTGGCGGAGGAAGGCGAACGCGATGGTCAGCGACGGGTTCAGGTGGGCCCCCGAGATGTGGCCCGTCGACAGGATGATGATCATCACGGCTAAGCCCGAGCAGGCCGCGTTGCCGATCAGGGTCTCGGCGCCGGCGTACTTCTGGTTCACTATGGGCCCCGCCGTCGCCGCGAAGATCAGTATGAATGTTCCCACGAACTCCGCTCCTAGCTGCAGCCGTACGCAGGTGTCAAACACGTCAATTTTTTTCTGGCCGGTTGGTTGGTTTAGAGCTTGATGCATGCATGGCTATCAATTAGTTGTTGTAAAAATGGCAAACAATAAAAGAAAAATACTACAGTACATAATTACTAAAGGATCTTAATTGTACTTTGTTTAAGAAACGTTTCTAAGTTTTGAGATATAAATTGAAGGTGTACTATAAAGTTTGAAAGTAAGAGAATTTATACTTTTATATTATAATATAATCAAGTTGTACTATAATATAAAGGTCAAATTTTAATTTACATCATAAATGGATTATACAAAACCGTATAAGTACAATATGAAATTGTATCATAACACTAAAGGTACAACTTTAATTTGTAAAAAAAAAGTTACCGTACCAATCCTTTAAAACATTGTAAAATTATCTTTAGGACGAATTCAAAGGAAATTGGAACGTTGGCTGTCAGTGTGCTAAACCACAGAATCATGATTAACTCGGAAAGAATGTGATCGTGATTAAGCATTATACATATTTGATTGAACACTGTTCCGTTAAAACGCGTGGAATTTGTCGTAGGTATAAAACTGCATGCAGGAAAAGGGTAGAGAATATAATTAAGGAATTTAACTCTCCTTTTCCCAGTATATTGATGAGTTTTCCTTTTTTTTTTCTTTTTCTTCTTCTTCTTTTTCTTCCCTCATGGCCATGTGTTGTTGGGCTCAGGTAAGGTTGTACTTGTACAGGGCATTTTGTTCATATTGTTTCGCTGTTTCTGGAATCACTATAGTGCTGTCAATGAGACGGTGATTAGGAGGGAATCTCCATTTCTCTTTAAAATAGAATATGATTATATTGGGGGAAAAAATGGGATGAAAATTTAAGTTAAAAAAATTAAATAGAATCCCATGTTTTTACGAGTTAAGTGATGCATAATGATGGATTAAATAGTGTTAATTAATAAATTCCAGTAAAAAGTTTTGTTAATTGGTTCGTCTCTCCTATATCCTATCAATAATACCTATACATTTCCCCGAAAGTCCAATCATGCTGCTGAGTGAAAAGGGTTCGTATACAGGGGCAAAACTGAAATTTTCCTTTTCAGTAGTACTAATATTAGTACTTAATTAATAGTAGTGGATATATTATTGAAGGAAGCATTATTCTCCTTCGCAGGTTGTGCGGTTGCTGTGCAGTATGATCATTTCATCGCACCACCACCGCCCATTGTTGCAGAGGAAATAGAAAAAAGGGACGCCGACATTAAAGTGCAGTAGCAATGTTGAACTTAAGCACATGGACATCTAAAAATAAGGTAATGATGGACCTTTTCCCCCCCTTAACTACTGCACGCGACGCAAACAACCGGATCCGGCGGACTCACCTTTTCTTTATTAGCATAAAGTTTTGCTTTGTACTATTGCAAGGGCTTATTTCTAACTTTCTACGAATTTGTTCATCTAATGCAATATGAAGAAAGCGGATCATTTGGCTTTAGAAACTTCACTTCTCTTCTCTGTATATGTGTCTCCGGACTCTATCATTTGAATTTTATTCAAATGGTTATTGCCTACATTTGGCCCTTTTGTTTATGTACTTTTACCAAATAAGCTATTAAACTTCATAGTCACAACATTTTTTTTTTGGGTAGCAAAGTCACAACATCTTTGAGGAAGAGATTACTCGACAAATTATATTTTGAAAGACTAAATTATTCTCGGCGTTGTTCTGCTTGCATACACCATTCCATTCTTTTGCACTCCTCTTGCACCACCTAGACCGAGATAATTCAACGAGTCATCTTATTTGAGACTTATACATTTTTTAACTTCCATAATGATTATGAGTCTTAACATATCTCGATTGTTAAGAGTGGTGAATAACCCTCATTGAAATGATGAAGACCAGATAGAATTTTTTACAAATTAAATGGATACATTTTTTACTTATTCATAATTCCTCAGTATTTCTCTCATTATTATGAAATTAAATCAATCAATCTACTCACAATTACGAAATATTAATATTGACGATCCCTTATCTAACTCCATCCCTGCAAACGGATGCATAATTTATATGCTTCAAGTAAAGTTAGTAAACTCATCATAGCAAGTGAATCAAAGAGTGGACTCGATTGTTCATAATTCAGATTATAATGATGTAAGTTGATTATAACAATAATTGAAGCAGCGAAGAGAAAGAAGTAAGTGGGAGTGGGGTATGAAATACGAATTCGTACCTTGCGAGTGAGCGAAATATCGGGAGTGGGGAAATCAGTGAAGCAGGTGGGAGTGTCGGGTTGACTCCACGCTGGCACCGTCACCGGCAAGCACTTGCATCTCGCCGCCATCGACTTCCGATCGTACGACAGCGAATCCACCCTCTGCGCCGAAAACAGGGGACCCCCCGGAGTCCCCGGCGTCGCCGGCGCAGACGCCACCGGCGTCCCTCCTTCCGATTCCGGCATCCTTCTTCCCTCCTCCGACCTCTTTTTTTCTTTTTCTTTTTTGATACTGGAAACTAAATAAATTTTTTTGGGTTTTTTTTATGGGATTGGTGGGTACTAAGATGAACCGAGATTACATAATTTGAAGGTTTTTATGATGGTCTCTCTACGGAGTGATAATCTCGACCTTTGCCACGATCCAAACGATGGCTACAACTAGAATCGATGCATAAACATAAAACAAAGAAACTTTTTTTGGGGTTTTTTTTGGTGGGTTTAGTGAATTGTAGAGGAAAAAGTGAAGCTTACATACTTGGAAGGGTTTTTATAGAAGTTGAGCTAAGGCAGAGGAAGGACGGGAGCCAGAGTGGAACACACACAAAATTAGATCAATGGAATGAAATTGATGGATGATGAGGGAGAGTAGAGAACAGGATTCGCAGCTATCTCACGGAGCTGAAGAGACGGAAACAGGGGAGAAAGAAAGAACAAGTTGCAGGCCGTGGATTGGATTCGAATGCAGGTGGGTTGTACGAAGTGTGGAAGGCGTTTACAGGGGAGAAATGATGCAGAGGTTTTTCAGGGCAGGGGAGGAAGGTTGCAGAGGAGAGGGGAAATTGAGGTATTAGAAAACGCAAATCGATATAGGGGATGGGTGACGTCTATATTTATATATAGACTATGGAGGAGAAAGGTACGTCGAACTTAGGCGGTGTTTGTTAAGCTCTACATGTCAGCGAGTTCCTTTGTTGTTATTCATTCAAGGATTTCAATAAATGGTGTCATCTATATACAATTCTTTTTAAATATAGAGGGCAAACCAGCATTATAATTTATATGAAAGGATAATAAGTTAACTACTCTGTAAAGATTGAGTTATAGTAGGTTTTCTTTAAAAAAAAAAATTATAGTAGGTTAAAATTGTGTAAAACTATATGGAGTCTAAACATATAATTATCGATTTGTTGAGCACCGTGATCTTATCACAAAGTTGACTTTTTTTATATGTATGCCAATCGAAAATGAGACCATGTCGAGTAGCCGTGCATCAAAGGCGGTCGAATGTGTTTGGTTTGCCTCATAATTAGTTGAGGTTGTTTGGAACTTGTGTCGAGTATCCCCAAACCTGTATGGATGTATATATCCAAATCATTTGGATGCACTAAAACAAACTAGTGAAATACTCGGAGAATTATGAAAAGCTGTACTCATATCTTACTCGAAATTACCAGTAGATGTATAGATATAACCGTGAATAACATCACACGAATACGTACATTATTGTATTATCAAAACTCTCGCGGCAAGTTACATTGACATAACGAAAAATAATATGCTGAAAATAAAGTATGTATGCTAGACATACAGTCTATAGATTGAATATCTCTTAATGGTTTACTATCTCTTTATTATAAATTTCATATTCAAAATAGTCAGAACCATCAATTTTTTTTCCTTCTTCTTATTTGGTTGTATAAGGCGACTAAAGTGCAATTATCGTGATAATAAAACAAAATTAGGGGTAGGAAAGGGTCAAGATGGTGAAGTGAAGGGGTAGCTAGCTAGCTAGCTCTCCCTGTCTCTCATCTCTAACATAGAATAATTAGAAAAGAAAGTCAATGGCCATATCCCATCCACCATCGCTACCTCTCTTCTCTAACAACCCCTCTTTCGGTTAATACATCACATGACATTCTCAATATTATTGTTATCATTATCATATCATCTTCTCCTTCATCATTTTGAAAGTAAAGCGCTCAAAAAGTGATGGTGCAGATTTCGCATCTTCTGGCAGGCACGATTTCAGCCGTGGGATGTGGGCGGGTGTTACCTCATCCACTCACTCCATGTTTCTTCTCTTCGTACGAGCCGCTGTCATGTTATCTTTCTTGTTCTCTGTTTTTGGGTCTCTTCAATTCAGTGGTGTGCTGCTGTGGCTGTGCGTCAACTTAATAATGACGCCGCACCTTCAATCAACCCTTTGCTTTCTTTTTCATTCATGTTCCAACCATTTATTCGATTTGGTCTACTCTGCTTCTTATTATATTGCATATACATAATAATGGTCTGGGTGCAGAGATGAAGGGAAGGAAGCTTCATCAATTATTGATTGATGGAGCCTGGAGGAAGGTCCAACTTCCAACGAGCAAATTGCTCTATCCCTCGTGCATATGTATAATTTTAATTTATTATGCGCTAGCTAGCTAGCTACGACTTCATTAGTTAATTGTGTGCATATATAATAGCATTGAGCCAGCTCGATCTGCTCCTCGATGGGTTGATCAACTCGTCATTATTCAGTTGCGTTGCACTGCGACAAACCGGCCAGTTGTCAGCTGACCGGTTCGCAATAAGCTAGCTTGGCTTGTAATTATGGGTTCTGATCGAGATCGATCATGGGTTCCAAGTTTCCCTGCGACCGCAAGTGGCCGAGCTGCAAACTATATTTTCCCAGTTTCAACTTTCAGGCCCCTGCCAAAGCTCTATTTGGCAGAGATATATCCTCGTGGTTTTCTGAAATACATGGTTTCCAGCAGCGCATAGCTTTTCTTGCATGAATGACCAAACAGGCTCTAATAGTGTATAGCACTCACTGTATATATGTTATTCAATCGACCTCAGACATCATACCATACATATATGCAATTATTGTACTAAGTTTGGTTCCTTGCCACAGGTTCAGTTGACCACAACCACAACCCAACCGCCCACCACTCTGCAGTGTTTAGTGTTGTGTTTTGTTATGTTTCATTCATGTCAGTTGTCACTCCACCTTTCACAATTACATATTCCACCCAATGCCAATAGTGTATGTAGTCTACTATCAACCACTATAGTATTCTCCGTAACGACTTCCCATGGCCCGTACTCAATTATGAAGCATTAAGTAAGTCCAACGTTTAAGGAGAAATAACTCATGTATCACTAAATTATTAGATTCAGGGGCAGAAAACTACAGTGAAAATCGGACTGTACATACCATGAAACTCGATAATAAGTGCATCCATCAAAATTTTCGTCAATTTGATCAACAAACAAAATTGAATATAATCTTTCGCCACAGTGGTCATAGCTTTATCACTTTATGGGCCTCAGTAAACGCTTGCGTGACAAACAGTCAGTGATAAGAAAGAGGATTACTCCAAGGAAGAAAAAAGAACACTTGGACACCAAGTAGCCAGAGAGATGCCTCTGCTGGTTAACACTTTGTTGATTAGCGTGCTAAGCATATTGTAATCACGTTGTTGCAGGGCAAACGATCATGTCATCATGTGTACTAACAAACACTAACTAGCATGCTAATCAAGTCGCCATCAGCAAGTAATGTTAAAAGGCTATCGGGTCAAGGAAGATCATCTTGGCCAATGAAGGAATGATGATTCACCTTACTATTCACTCGTCGCGAAAAGCTAAGAACATGATGTCGACTGAAAAGGATTAGCACAAATTTGAGTCAATGCAGGAGAAGAACCAAATTGTATAGACTCTGTCGACTCAATGAGACCAATCTGACCATCATCTGTCCACTGATAACTTAAGCCTCCCATTGCAGGTCGTCGTCGCTGTAGCTAGGCATGGCATGGCATTCAATAAGGACTATAGTATCCCGTCACCCAGATGATGAGACGGTCTAAGATCGATGTAGTTTCTTCTTACTTCTGGATTGATCGTATTATATTCTCCAATCACCCCTTCGTCCAGATGATGAGACGATCTAACATCTTCGACTGTACTGTCCCTTAGCAGTACAGTATCTGGATACAGAGTCTGGGCAGTTACCAAGAAAATCAGAGACCACACTCTGCAGCTTGCTTCACCTAGCTGAAATCAGCATCATTAAGTACTAATATACAACAGACTGACGGAATGCAACGAACAAACCAGCAGTAGGTCCGTAATCCTTGGCTATGTTCTTTCCAGCTTCTTAAACTTCTCTGCAAGTGCCTGATGATTACTGCTCTCGTACACTTGAATCAAAGATTGGATTGCCTTGAATATCATCAGTTTCTTTCTGCTGGCAATGGCATTCTCATCCTCGAGTTGAGAGCTTGTCTCCACTAAGGAGGAGCATAGAAGTTTAAACCACTCCTCTAGATATGATCCCTTCTGAAAACACAAAAAAGAATGATTATGAACACTTGTAAACAGTCCACTAGAGGCACAATAAGGAACTCCAAAGAGCATTAACAAATATAAATTCAAGGAACGCTGAGAACTCCGTTCCTTTTGACAAGAAAGAGAAATTAAAATCTAAAAATTTGTAAGGGAAAATTGACTGCATCACTGCCTTAGACCCCCTACACATTCCACTGTATAGTTGTGTACAAATTTTAACATCTGCGGAGACCCTTTGGGAAGAAAAAAACTTTCATCTTATTGTCCACTTTTCCAAAGTTCCCACAATTGCCTATCTGATTAGAGACTGAGAGTTAGCAATGGAATCTCTGGACATGTTCTCAATGCCCAACGAGTTAAAATTCTTACTTTGACAAGAAAATCCTTCACGGATTGGTGATCACCGCTGGATGTAAGGCTAATGACATGCAACATGGTTGCCGTTACCTGTTACAGCAAGAACAACACAGTTACAAAATAAAAATATAAATGGAAAAATGAAAATACTATGGGAATCAAATTACGGATGACATGGAGTCCTATCCATTAGGTAATGATATCCTATCCACCATCAATGGGAAATTATGACACGTCCACATCCACCATAAATCAGGTATGAACAACCTACCTATTCACCCATCTTGGTAAACTACAATAGATCCATCGCCTTCCGACCCATCTGAAGAATTGAATATTGTATTTGATACATACCACACCAATAATCTACGTTAGCAGCCCATTAAATCAAGCCATACAGATGCTACCCATATTTGCCATCCATAACTCAAATCTGCATATTAGAACTAGCAAGCTAAGTTGAATCAGACGCTATGTCACATTTTCTTTTGCCCAGATCAAGGCTTTGCCATAATGAAGCTACTGCATCTCAACCCAATCTTCTACATCTCATAACCACTCAAAACCATTGTCTACTCAAAACCTTTGCTTCCAGTGATAATTGCCCATAACCAAGTTAGGAGGCAGTCCTGAAACCTAAAATGCAAACTTAAGATTTTCATAATGGTTCTGTGTAAGCTGTAAAGAGTTATCGCACCTGTTTCTCTAGTGCAACCCTATACTTAAAACTTGACGGTGCTGAAATCTGGTCTGAACTTAGATTCTCCAGCACATGTTCCAAGCCTTGGACCACATCAGGAAAAGATTCCCCATAATCTACATTAAATCAAGAGATGAGATGGAATGGTCAATCGAACTGGTAATTGACTTCAACAATTTTCGGAATGAACCACGGTTCCAATTCAAAGCATCAACCAGCAATTAAGCCTACAATCGACAATCAGTCCACAAGCTGAGAAATAAATTGCAGTTAAAATGGGCTAGCAGTAATAAGTAAATGGGCTATATTATGACCAAGAAAGACCAGGTCACATGTAACCATGAAAACATAGTATAATGGCTACTACTGACCAATTACCGAGGCTGGAACAGCCAGAGCAGCAGCAGCTTGTATCCTGATCTTGAAGTTAGAAGAATCACGTAACAGCAGTAGAAGGATGCTAAAAACTGACGGAGCCCTGTCAGTCAGAGAAAGCAAGAATAATGATTTCATTAACTATGACATTACGGGACCAACTTGGGCAGACAAGAAAAGCCAAAGCAGGCATGTGAGACATTTTCTTGGGAGTTTGCAGGGTTGCTGAAGGTGATACATAATTGATTATACATAATCATCAAGAAGACAGGTCTCACGCATATCTGAGTATGTGCTCACCAATCCCTATCCTGCAGCCTCAAAGACTCATTTAAGAACAGATTGCTGATAGCATGGCAGACATTCCATTGGACCTAATGAAGGTATTTAAAGCTTTAGTAAAGATGAGAAAGAAAGAATAACATGTGTATCAGGTCTGCAAATTGATATTTCTATTTACTAGCACACACAAAAAGTACCTTAACATTCCCAGTAGTAACACAAGAAAGGAAAGCTTGAACAATTCTCTGCAACAAACATGCATCTCCTGATGAGGCACAATAACAAGAACTTCCAGAGCCATGACCTGCTAGTCGGGTACTTCTTCCTCTGATGCTCTCTTTGTTGGCAGACAAATTGTTATATTTCACTGGTCGATCATCACCTCCACAAGTATCAATACATTGGACAAATCTTGAAAGGTTCCCAAGAGCCCTCACAGCATTCGACTTTATCTGATTGTCATGAAAGATGCGACAAAAAAAGATTAATGTGAAACGCTAACTTTTCACATACTAAGCTCCAGTGTTAAATAAATAAAGTGCACAATGCACAAAAATAATATAGCTAAATCAAAATGAAATCACTTGGTTAGATGTAATTCAGACGATGAAATATGCAATTAAACAAATGCATTGTTTTCTGTTTACACTTTTGATGGTTTTGAGTGGATGCAATCTCAAATATTTGGATGTAGGAAGTAACTGAGAATCATTCTATAAAATTGGTCCCATAAGCCTTTTTCTGACAACTTTTTTACACAAATGCATTGAACCAAAACTTTTGCAAATATATTTCACATGATAGCATGCGAGTAACACAAATATATAACATCAATTTGTAAATACACCAAACCAATGCACCCAACAATCAAAACCATAATAATGTCATACATTGGACAAAATTATCATTATGACAATAGATAGGTAATACTGAAAATGACACCTTGCAGTTATAGTTTGCAGTTGCACACCACTCTCATCGATTCCATCCAACTAGATAATAATTTGTGAAGCAATCCATGGAACATCATGAAACAATGGATATAGTTTGTCTGCAGCCTACAATTACCTTATCTCCGTCTTTCGTCAGACGCAAGGCAGACTCCATCAGGAAGACAACTACATTGGAGTTGGAGTTTGAACCTATAAAAAAGAAAAAGCTCTTAAGCAATGATAACAAAGTCAAGTTTCCCTCCAGTTGCCATAAACTAACCTGCAGACTGTCTCAGGGGGAAATCATCAACACAATGACGCAGAGAATCACATATATTTGCCAAAGCCCAAGAACCTGCGATTCTCACCTGCAATAAACTGTGGTCAATAAGGGAGCACATGGACACATGAAAATCGGAACTGAAAAGGGTATTAAACTGACAATAGCATACCGAGGCCAGAGGATCACTAGTATTCATTCCAATAGCATTGATGAATTTATCAAGGATCTCTGCACTAAAAGATTTAGAAAATTTCATAAATACCCCATCCCTTATTCCTGATCATAAAAATGTACTGAGTAAACGTGAGAGGCAGAACAATAACATAAGAACATCCCAAAAATCGTGACCAGAAAACAAACATTAAATTACCTATGAGAAATCATTGGAAAACAAGAAATCACGCCAATTGCTCGACAAGCAGCTGACCTAACTGAAGCAACTTTGTCGTGCACAGCAGCACTGATCTAAAAGATTTAGCAGATGTAATAAATAACTTTTTTTTCGTTGAATAGTAATAAGAAACTTTGACTAGAACAAGATAATTTTTTTTTTTTTTTTGTATCCATGGCATAAGAAGCCAGTGCTCAAGCTTTTGATCAAAATAACTTACACAAGACTGTACGACAAAATCCCGCTTCTCCTTTGAGAGAGTTCCAAACACGAACGAAGTAATACCAGCGAAACAAGTGATTGATGCAGTTCTCACCTTTGAATGAAGAGCAACACAATTCAGCTACCCATAAGAGGAACAGAAGAACTAACATAAAATCATAAGATTTGCATGTCAAGACTGAAGGCATTGGTAATGCACATACAACAGCTCTGATCATCTGTATTATGTCTAGATTAATTGACAAACTGATAATGTGTAGAGTGGTACAGTTGATCTGTTGCATAATCAATTCAAAATTGTTTTTGCCTAAGGAGAAGAAACCTTTCCCTTGGCAAAGAGTCTTAGACTACATAGGGAACACATTCCCAGCACTTGGTTCACTATCCTAATGCTGAACATAAATAATGGCGAAGAAACACAAGTCCAACAAATGCATTTAAATCAAAATATACATAGCAGAAAGGTCAGCACTATAAGTTCTGGGATCCATAATAGACTGCCGAGGTTTCTTTGTGAAATTACACTAAACTGACACTTCATTACCTCAACAAATTTTAAAAACCAATACTTAACTTTCGGTGTTCGATGCATCAAAACATGCGGGAGATTATCTACTTATAAGAGCTCTAGATAAGACCACAGTTGAGCATGATCCTACTTTACCTGATAAAGATGGAAAGGGGAAAGCCACATACCTAGCTTTTGCTCAAGTAAAATTATAAAAGTAACAAGTTTATCCCTTGAACACTGGTGTTTCTTCCCAGAAATTTAATCCAAAAAATCATTTCTACAAGGAGAGAAATATGCTTGATTTGGTTGACTCGTCAACTTAGAAAACCATCATGTGCCAGCAGGAGGTAATCACTCTGGTGACTTGCATATCATACTACATTCATCTGAGACGACAATTTGATTCGAGATAGATACCACATACACAAACAACTGCACATGTTTCTCAAATACCAAATAAAAAACCTGAATCCAAAAAGCTAAAACCTACCATGGAAGAATAGTGCTGTAGTATCTGAGGCATAAGCCAGTCTATTGTCTGTGACCAGTGCTCACTTCCAGTTTCATTTGCTTCTGATTTAACTTCATTATCTGCAGCACTCTCTAATTCATACAATGGTGCAGAAGAAACTTTTTTTTCCCTTACACAGTCATTTGTAAAAGGCATATCCGATACTTTTTCATCAGGTTCCTCTGTTCCTTTAAATCCAGAAATTGCACGTAAGCATTCATCCATAACCTAAAAGAGGTAACAAAGAGCGGAGCAGAGGATTAATGGCTTTTAGCATAAAACAAATTTATATGTGTTCTCCAGAAAATAAGAACCACCAAGCAGACAGAAACTGCATTTATCCAAGGTTAAGAATGTGAATCCCTGACAAGGCCATAGGAAACGGAGAAATGAATCTGTCTTCAAACCTGTGAAAGATATAAATACAATGAGCCTCTCAATCTTTTTACCTTGATGACTGAGGTTATGACCTTCTCTCCAACAAATCCAATATTGTACTCGCCACCAGCTTGGCAATTTGTCGAGGACACTTCTACAGTGGAGGCTCTCAAGATATCAGAGACTAAGTTGGTGGTGTGCTCCCAACATGCTGGTGCTGTACTAGGGTAGTTGTGTATCACAGCTCTAAGAGCCTACACCAAATAATGTGGAAATTTAATTTTTCGGACTAATTACAGAAACAAGAACAGCAGGAAGAAGACAATGGTTTAGCAGGACGAACGAAATATAAATCAAGGGTGATGTGCAACAGCTGGATATAACCACACTCATGCCACAGAATAATTTTAGGCAATCAAATCTGCCGCACGAGATCTCCGATCCCTTCCCATCCACTGAACCAGTGAATCTCCAGTTTCTAACTAAACAACCAAGCAATAAGAAGTTATTTGAAAACACAATGGTAACACAAGTCGACAACACCCGCATCACAACATAAGCAAAGAAGACGCAGACATGGATCCATAGGTTGCTAGATACAGCAACTGACTGACAGGAACCACAGTAAAACACTATAACCAAGACCTTCATAATGAAGACAGAACACCTTAAATTTATGAAAATTTACCTGCAGAGCCTCAAAGCATATTGATGGGCTGGTCAGTCGATCAGAGAACCGAAATATTGTTGAAAGAACGCCTGACGCTTTCTTATCTACATAAACACCTGAAGAAGCCTCCAATCGAAAGTACGTGTATTTGAGATTGAGCAAGGGAAAATAAGAAGTAAACTCAGCGAACTTCACATATACAACTAAATCCTGTACGTATCGTTAATGTCGCACATTGATTGTGGAAGCATTCTTCCATTTCTCCAACTCAGCCAATGAAAAGGATGAAATAGATAGGACCTGCCTTTCAAAAGCAGTACAATGTGGAGGAGGAGGAACTCTAACCTTTTGCTATTTCTTCCGCAAGCATTTTTTTAACAACCAGTGATGAAGGTGAGGTGGATAGAGCAGCTATCAAGCAATTCATAGAGGCAGCCTGCAAAACAAGATCATCTGTGAGCAAGTATGTCAGAGTACAAGCTTCATCTTCACTATGACGTCCCATCCCCACCCCTGGACCAATGAAACCAGAGATCCTCAAACATTCTAATATACCACAGAGCACACTAACCAATAAACCAATCTGGTCGCCCTTGGAAGAGAGCCCATGTTCCATCCCTGCCAAAAGAGATGTAATTATTCTGGGCAACAACTCATCTGGCATTCTCGAGTACCTGAAGGAAAATAACGAGAAAATTACAAACACGGATAGGTAGAGCAGAATATACAGGGAAGTGCAATCCATGGTCAAATAACAGTCAGATTAAAAAGTACTCAGAGAAAGCTTTAAAGAGTAGCAGCCTTGTCAGCATGAAATTTTGCATATTTGGGTTTGCAACATTGTGGTCACAGGCCCTACTGGCGTCCAACTTAAATTTCACCACGAAGAGGAATATTATGTTCAAATCCAATACATACGCAATCAGGACCCTGTCAATACTGGTTCATGTAAGCCCAAATATGTTATCAAAACGAACAGATACCCCTCTCATTTCTTAAGACTGTAGCAATTGCCAGCCATTTTAGATCTCACTTGCAGAAAATTCCCCTTAAACCAAGAACATGCTGAAACGGATAACAGGGGCACATCTCCAAAATCTTTAGTGAAATGGTTTTCCCCCAACAGAGGAAGAGTCCTAAGGTTTGTTTCTCAACCTCCAATGACAAAAGAAATAAGAAATCGAATCAGCTAGGAGATCCGAGGGCAGGACTATTTGGTTTTGAAGGAAGAGCCAGCTCTTCTTTTACATAACTCATCAGATAGCCTTGAGTTGACATAGTTGCCACACGCCCAAAAAATCGCGTTTCAGTTTCAAATTTGAAATTAAAGCTTCTCTCCATCCATCTCTGGCCAAGCTTTACTTGAATTCCAAGACATGAATTCCTCTTGGAAGAGAGACACAGGTAACCAGCAAGAAGTAAGCTTGACTCCAAAATCATAACCGGAATTAAATTCTTCCAGGTTGAATGTTATCTTACGAAGCTACTAAAATATAGTAAATAAAGTAGATGAAAATACGCTAAGCTTTTGAGTTACAGAATACATACGGTGTGGCTGATATTAAAAGCACAAGAATCTTCAACAGGGATGCTAGCAATCTACTATGAGTTTCTTGCTGGATTGAGTACAGCAAGCCTGAAACACAGCAAACCAGAACGAAGCATGTAAGCAGCAAGCAACAAATGTCAAAAATGTGAAAAATCACAGTCAGCACAAATGTAACTCAACCACGACAGAATTCTCTCTGTTACCAGTATGAAGTTGCATAAGTATAAGTCCAAGTGAGCTTGACAGGGCCATAAACGACCCCCGCTTGCTGGACTCTTTGTACTCAGCTACCTGCAGGAAAACTGATGAAGGGCCATCCAGCATGACTGCCAGAGTGGATGCAGATGCCATCCGTACCTGTATCATACCAACAGTAAAGGAAGTCGATCATCACACCTTAATCCTAATTGTAAGAAGAATTATGCAAATCAAGATTCTAAGAATTGGAAGCGGGGCCAGCATGTTTCATCTCTGCTGGAAAACAATCCAAGTTCAATAAACAACCCAGTAAATACCTTCAAATAAGGATCAAACAGCAAGCAAGTCAACAGAGTAGCTTCAAACTTCCTGCACATAAATGAACACTCAATTACTCAAGGAACAATTAACTCACAAGAAATAACCTAAGTGATCGAGTGATGACCTTTTCCCCATTTTCTATGGGAAGTTTGATGATCTTACCTTGATTCTAGTACGTCAGTTGTTGGCAAAATCATAGTCCACTGAGTGGTAAACGATCTGGGATCAGCTTGACAAAGATCCTCCAAGAAACAAGCAAAATGTTGAGAGTATTAGCATTCTTTTAATTACAAACATGGTGACAAATACATTATACATATGCATTTTCATCACAAGTGATGATGAGAGGATAGCAGAATATACTTACTTGTAGGCAAACTATAGCAGCAGCCCTGACTTTTGAACTTTTAATAGTATCATTATCTTTAACAGATCCATCACTGTCACTGCAATCTGAATCTGATGAAATAAGTTCCAATGCAAAAGACTCTTGATCAGAGCAACAAGATAATTCCTGAGCTTTAAGCTGCTTCATGTTTACATTTTCCTTTCTGCGCAGGTGAGGAGGGCGATACGGAATACATTCTTTCTTAGTGTCTTCTGAAATCAATTTAGCAGCATTCTTATGTGTGCCAGCACTACTGGAGTATAAGGGTTGTGATAGGCCATACGTAAAGAACATTCGCAAAGTTGTCACAAAAGCAGGAACCTGTGAGAATGACAAGTATCCATACTATAAGGCACACAACATTCCTAATATCAGGAAAATAATCCTCAAACCTGACAGCAAAGATTCACATACATGGTCATTTTGAAAACCCTTAGCATTGGTAAGAACCAGATGTAGACATCCAAGAAGCGCAGCATAAAACCTGCAAAGAAGACGTGCATCATCATACTTGTAGTCAACATGAATTACAGAATCAAAGCCATAAGGTTGTGCACTGTAATGTGTGTTTAAGTGCATCTATTGTTATTAGGTTCAGACGGATAAATTCTAAAAACCTTGTCGCAGGAGCACCTTCAACAAGGAAATTCTGAGACAGTAAGACGTCCATCACTTTCCTAATCACCTGGATATGGATCGGAGGAAAAAAAGTATATCAGTCTCTTTTCCCAAAAACCATTTCATCAGTCAAGCCCACAACATACCTCCATAGCAGATTGCCAAATATAAGTGGGGAACGAAGACCCGATTCTTGTGAATGCTTCACTGAGCAAAGCAAATGCGGCTGTTGGAACTTCCCACAACTGACTACTTTTAGATAACCTCTTGCAAGTTGAGACAGCAACATTTTCACTGGTGCTTGTGCAAGTTGACAACAGGCACTGAGCATGATAACTTTCAAATACTCCGAGAAGAAACTTTGCCAAGTGGACATCATCTGATAGCAAACTTTTCGGCTGATAGATGGAGGCCAGACATCTGGGGATTCAAGAAACAGCATAAAGTATTCAAAGTTTAGCACGCCAGTCACATAACATATCAAATAATAAATGAGAAGACAAATGTAGACACTATTGTCAAACAGAAAAGCTCAAACCTAGTCACAGTAATAGATGAAGTTATTGGAAAATAGGCCAAGTGCGAGCACAAGTTGAAAGAGTGAAGAACCAAGAACTAATACCTTATGGAGCCCAAGCATTCCACAGTGTGCCCCAACGAAAATTGGGGTCTGGAACCAGCTTGGCCGAGGAAGAATTGCACCATAGCGGAGAAACAGTTGATCACAACAACCCAAGAAGAAGAATTCAATTGAAGAGGAACACGTTGAAGCTTGCAAATATCATGCACCTGGATAGCAGCAAACAAACCATGTAACATTGAATTTGGTAAACCTGAAATGCAGAAGCCAAAAGAGCGAGGGGGAAACGAAGGAGTACCAAAGAGGAAACATGAACATAGATAGGTGAAAGATCTTGGCCGCTTGGAGAACTTGCAGCCAGTTCCATCAAGAACACCAGATCAGAGGTCACCTGAAAATTTAAAATAGTAATGAGGTTCCACATTAAGCTTTGTCTTTATTCCTTTCTATCATGGAGGGCTGGGAGCAATTACAAAGATGCAGTGGTCGACTAAATTCTATATTGATTACCCAATGAGCACTTGTACAGTAACATGAACAGCATCAAATTGCAGTGTACCTCGTGAGGAGGAAGGTCGGGGGCGGCAGACATGAGAGCCCGGGAATGAGAGAAAATGAGATCATTGAGAAGTTGCGTTATTGACTTCGATTTAGGGCTGCTCGTTAGGGTTTCGTCCCGGAGAGTCAGAAAGGCAGTCCTCCAAGCTCTTATTGCCGAAGACGACGACGATGATGAAGAAGAAGGAGTATCCGAAGAAGAGGAACCCGACATTCCGGGCAAGCCAGAGTATATCTTATTTGAGCTCCTATGTAGCAGCAAATCCGGCACCCTGGATATTTGATTCAGTCGAAATGTAGAAAATTGGGACAGTCAAAATGGATGCGCAAGTCACGAACGAGCAACGTCTGACGGGCACTTTCAGCAAAGCCGCTAGCTGCATCAAATCACAAGACGCTGAGGTCGAAATTACGTTCATCAGTCGAGGAAAGAGGAGAAAGCTTCTGCGAGTTGCAACTGTAACCTGTTGATCATTGTTCACTCGTAAGTTCTGACAAAACTCTCCCTCTGATTGCCAAATTTCCGGTAGTAGATTGGCCAAGAGCCAATCCCACTGCAGTTTCTTTCGTGGTTTAAGGGGTCGGTTGCTGGTTGGATTTGGGTGAGTACCAAGTACCAACCGAGTTGTTTGGTTTTGATGCAAGGGACCTTGCATAATTTAATTTAAATTTAAAGGTGAATAATTATTAATAACTTGTCACATCACTATTTATAAAATGACGAATGTGATTAATAATTTTTCTATAAATTTTAACGGGATGTATCTCTTTCGTTTTAAAATGTTTTATTTTCATTTTTCATAGATAAAACAAAATTAATTGTGATCTTCAAAACGATATCTACTTTAATATATTTTAGGGGGAAAGATAAATTTTTTTAATAAACACTAATGTGTGTCCACATCTATGAAAAAAAATTCAAATTCCCCAACCCAACTGATACCACCTTCAATTTTTCACATTCCCGAATCTAGCTTGGTCTAGTATTTTTTTCATAAATTTGTAGATTGAATAAATCATAATGAACTCGTTCAATCTATGTACAAAATTTCAAAATTCAAGTTAAAAATGAAGGTGGTATCAAGGTGGTATTGAGTAATAAGAGGGGTATGAAATTTTATCGAAATATATTAAAAATGTATCTCATTTTGTAGATCACAACGAACTTTTTTCATAAGTGCAAAATAAAATGAATCCAAGTTTTTTTTATAGAAATCTGCTTTAGGTTGTATTAATTATGATCGACCATTACAGAATCCAGCTCCAGCTGGTCAAGTAAACATATAGGAGGTCGGTCGAACCAAACCTCAGCTACATTCCAGTTCGTGTCCAAATGCGCCATTATATCTATATGTGTCGCTTTGTTCGCTGTCCGAGAAACATGCTTACACTCTCTATCTATTGTCTCCTCGAGCAGTCGATGAATGCTCCTGCATAACACTCCAAACTTCGCCCGATCATTAGCCGCATTTCTGACGCAGTTAACCACCGACAAGCAATCCGTCTCAAGTACAGGGACTCCCAACTGATGCTGTCTGGCAAGCTGCAGGCCAAACTCGACTGCTAGCGCCTCACCAATTTGAGGATCATGTTCTCCTTTTATTCCTTTCGCTGCCGCCAACAAGAAGTTTCCGTTCGAGTCGCGAGCCACCACCACTAAGCCTCAACCACCTGCAAACACGCCAGCATCAATATTGATTTTTATGCGCCCCACGTCTGGTATTTTCCATCGTCTCTCCACTGGTCGTAATTGCATTGGCAAGCTAACACCTTGCTGCTGCATATACTCCTCCAATAATGACACCGCTCGTGGTATATAATCAGCTTCTGGCAACTTTGTTCCGTTGAACATATGTGCATTCCCCTCTTTCCATAGCATCCACAAGAGCATACTCCAATCTTCGAAATCCTTCTCCGACACTGACTGCGTCACCTGCGTCATCCAGTCCAAACTATGTAAGTCGCTTCTCATGTCAAAATAATGCACCACATGAGATGCTCTCCACAGCCTGCATACCCATGCGCATTCTCCAAAATTATGTACTTGGGTCTCCTTCATGTTACAAAACGGACGAGCATCTCCTCGTCTTTGGCTATGAGCACTCACATGATCTCCCTGTCGCTAAAGAGTCTCGAGCAAAACACCACATAAAGTGTTTCGCCTTTGGCGACACGTTCATTCCCCACAGCTGTTTCCATAGCCTTGGATCCCCCGACGGCACCTGTCCACTGTCGGCTCGAAAGTCCCGCAACCATTTCCTATATCCTTCATGTGCTGAATAGTCTCCGCCTTTACTCTCCGCCCAAATTAGTTGATCTTTCTCAAGATGTCCACGCAAGGGAATACGGACGATGGCTTCCGCCATTGCTGTTGCAAAGCAGCTTTCAATTAAGTCCCTATCCCATTGCTCGGACTCCTCATCAATCAACTCCCGAACAGTCGAGTTAACTGGGATACCCATAGGAGGCGATTGGACTATGAAACCAGGGGTAGTGGGGATCCAACGATCACCCCATACCCTCACCTGCGATCCATTGCCTATGCGCCACCTTAATCCGCTCACAAGGAAGATATTCAATTTAAAAAACTATGAAAAATAAAAAGTTATTAATTCTCACCCTTAGATATGAGCCTTTCTTGCCTCACTCAACTAAGAGGCCAGATCTGGTTATGCACACTTACATAACTATGCGTTATGCACTCTATCCAAGCCCCCCTTCGGATACATCCGATAAAGTTGTTTGGTTTTGGTTTATATTGTTAAGAATTTTGTCAAGACTTAGTATTTTTATTTATTTTATGTACAAATAATATAATCATTGTTTGTTATAATTCAATAGTTTGTATTTTTCCTACTCAAATGAAACTAAAAGTCAATTTTAACATAGAACAAGAGATTAGATCTATATAACGTGGAGAGACACAATCAATATAATTTGTATTCTATTTTTCTCTCTTCCTAACTCCGCCGTACTCTCATTGCATCTGAGCATCTCAACCCTTTAAATCAAAATGATAGTGTGCAATAGCCCTCAATGGCTCAATCCCTATATTGTCTGGAGAAGTATATATATATATTTCATGTGGTTTTGTAATATGTATCTTTTCAAATATAATGAATCTGACTCTTTTCTATCCGTAGATTAACTAACACAATTGTTTTAGTAAATCACGTAAATTAGTTTTTTTTTTTTTTCATTGTTGGTTATCCGGATTTGTTCTAACATAATGACTTCCTTAAAATTTCATAATGTTGATTAAAAAATTTCATAATGTTAAAAATATACCACTCAGTCATACCTAAACCAACCTAGTTAGTTGCCTTCTCTTTTTCCAGACAGGCGTTGGACACAATGAAGAAGAGTTCTTTTGGAATTGGAGTCCCACAAATAGGAAATTCAAAATCAAAGGGGTCCCGTACTTAAGAAGGAACATCTATTATTTGAGGTGGTCAAACTCATGCTTTGTGTTTAACGAAAGAAAGAGAGAAAAATAGACGGGGAATGATAGAGTGAAAACAGGCTAATTAGTCGTCTCTCCCAAAACTCACAACGTCCCCCCCTTGTGTCCTCCATTAGACTCAGTCCAAGCTTCATTTCCAATCTCCTCCCTCACTATTTTTGGCAAAGAAAAATGGAGAGCTCTGTTTTGGTGGAATTAACAAAACTTCTCTAACCTCCCCCAGCGATTCCTCCTGCTAAACTAGTGAGAAATTCACTACACACTTCTTTTCTTCTTCTTCTGATTCTTGAAGAAAAATGAACTAAAAGAAAAAGGAAAGGACAATAGGATCGATATATTATATATCAACTTTCCATCTTCCACTTTCGCTTTCCACTTATCTTGCTCCCCATTGTAGTAAAGTTTGCGACTTTTGCTGCCTATAATCGCCATTTCTTCTTTTAACGACCACCATTGATGAAGCATCAGTCGCTCGTCGAGGTAAATCCCCAGCGCAGTACTAGAGCCAATGGCCGATGCGATGACATCAGCAATCATCTCCCGGACTGGATGCCTTTGCTACTAAGGTGATCTTAGCGTAGCTCGATCTCCTCCAGTCTTCATAAAGGTTCAATCTTTTGTTGATCAATTCCATCATTTAGTCGGTTTGGTGCATCTCTTAACAAAAAGAAAGAAAAATGGCGAAGGACTACGGTGGATCGCCGAAAGCCCATCAGCTCGAGTCGAAAAGAAGGCGCCTGACTTGGATCCTAGGCGTCAGCGGCCTCTGCGTGCTCTTCTACATCATGGGCGCCTGGCAGAACACCGCAGGCCCTCCCAAGGCTCGCGTCGGAGTGAAAACCAGAGAAGATTGCGAAAACTCGTCAGCCAACAACAACAACAACAACAATCTCACGGCCTCCACATCATCGTTAACATCACCAACGGAACTGGATTTCGAGAGCCATCACCAGATCGAGATCATCGATTCGAGCGCGACGAATAAAGATTTCCCGCCCTGCGAGATGGCATACAGCGAGTACACTCCCTGCCAGCACCCTCCGAGGGGAAGAAAATTCGACAGGGACATGTTGAAATACAGGGAGAGGCACTGCCCTACAAAAGAAGAGCTCTTGTTCTGCATGATCCCCGCTCCGCCAAAGTACAAGACCCCGTTCAAATGGCCCGAGAGCCGTGACTACGCGTGGTACGACAACATCCCGCACAAGGAGCTGAGCATCGAGAAGGCCGTGCAGCACTGGATCCAGGTCGAGGGCGAGCGGTTCCGGTTCCCTGGGGGAGGGACCATGTTCCCTCGTGGTGCCGATGCCTACATTGACGACATCGGTAAACTCATCCCGCTCACCGATGGCAGCATCAGAACCGCCATCGACACAGGCTGCGGTGTAAGTATTATCATCGTCATTAAGACTCGGAACATGTGATTCATTGATTGATTTGTGTCTGTTCCGCTCGCGTTTTAATTTGCTTCCTGTGTAGGTTGCGAGTTGGGGCGCGTACCTGTTGAAGAGGAACGTATTGGCAATGTCGTTCGCTCCAAGGGACACTCATGAAGCCCAAGTCCAGTTCGCACTGGAAAGAGGAGTTCCAGCTATGATTGGTGTAATGGGGTCGCAGAGGCTTCCTTACCCAGCAAGAGCTTTTGACATGGCGCACTGCTCTCGCTGCTTAATACCTTGGTTTCAATATGGTAACTAAATTCCTCTCCCTTTATGTCAACTAATCCTAGACCGAGACAAAAGAGACATAGAGAAGTTGACTTTGGATGTGTTTGTGGGCCTATGACAGATGGGCTGTACCTGATCGAAGTGGATAGAGTATTGAGGCCCGGTGGTTACTGGATCCTGTCTGGGCCTCCAATCAACTGGAAGAGGTATTGGAAAGGGTGGGAGAGAAGTAAACAGGATTTGAAGCAAGAGCAGGATGCGATTGAGGATGTAGCCAAACGATTGTGCTGGAAGAAAGTGGCTGAGAAAAACGATCTCTCGATATGGCAAAAGCCCATGAACCACTTTGAGTGTGTCCAGAATAGAAAGGTCTACAAGACTCCTCATATGTGCAAGTCCGACAACCCGGATGCATCATGGTACGTATCTACTTTCATATGTTGTAGTTTTACGATTTCACCTTAGGACGCATTGTTGATCGTTGAGTCGTGAATTTCATAATGTGTTGATCTAATGGTTTTGAATGGTCGAATGTTGTTAGATGGTTTTACTCCGTGCATAAATGTGCATTGTCTAGGTAGTAAGAAAATTGTAATTTATTATTTGGATGAATTAATTGTCTAGGTGGTAACTTATTAATTGTTCATATGGTATTTCGGTGTTATTTTAGTGATAATTGAATTAAAGTATCTCGTTTTGTTGAACCATACACATGTGGTATTTGAAAAATGCTGAGATATAAAACAAGTTATTTCAAAATAACTAGAGATAAGAGTTATTTCAAATAACTCGTTTTGAGTTATTTGTAAAAACGAGTTATTTGTAACTAATTCACAGACCAAATAACTCATTTGAGTAAAATGCTGACATACGAGTTATTTGGACCCAACTAATTCGTAATAGGTTATTTAGATCTAATTAACTCACAAAAATACATCGATACTACTATTCCCTAATATTTCTTTAGTTGAAATAAATAAATAAAATGTTGGGTTGAAAAAAAATGCAGGTACAAGAACATGGAAACATGCATAACTCCACTGCCGAATGTGAACGGGCCCGACGAAGTCGCCGGCGGCGCGATAGAGAAATGGCCGGAGAGGGCCTTTGCCGTCCCGCCGAGAATCGCGAGCGGCTCGATACAGGGAATCACGATCGAGAAATTCAACGAAGACAACGAGGCGTGGAAGGGGAGATTGAGTCACTACAAGCAGATCATCAACCCTCTGGCTCAAGGGCGGTACCGCAACGTCATGGACATGAACGCGTACCTCGGTGGATTCGCCGCCGCGTTGATCAAGTACCCCGTCTGGGTTATGAACGTCGTCCCCGCCGATTCGGATCGAGACACTCTCGGCGCGATCTACGAGCGAGGGTTCATCGGGACGTATCAGGACTGGTGCGAGGCCTTCTCCACGTACCCGAGGACGTACGATCTCATCCACGCAGCTGGCGTTTTCAGCATTTACCAGGACAGGTAAGTAATTAACACGATTCAAGCTGCGGAGTGTGATGGTGCGACTCTGATGGTTGTGTATGTTAATGAACACGATTCAAGTTGCGAAATGTGATGGGTTGAATTCGTTGTTTTTCTCAGGTGTGATATTACTATGATTCTACTGGAGATGGACAGGATCCTGAGGCCAGAAGGGACGGTGATAATTAGGGATACGGTGGATGTGTTGGTGAAAGTTCAGGGGATAACGAATAGAATGAGATGGACGAGCCAGATTATGGACCATGAGAGTGGACCGTTTAATCCAGAGAAAATCTTGGTTGCTGTCAAGACTTATTGGACAGCTCAAGGTCAAGAGTTACCGAAACAGAATTAGTAGTATCAACTTATGTCCTTACTTTCTGCATACACATATTAGGCATGTAACTTGTTACAAAATCAATCAAATTTTGTCTCTGCACTTGCTGAAGCCCGTTTCTTATGGCGTTGTCTCTCAAAATATTAGTTACTTCGTTTTGGTTATAGGAGTGGCTAACCTTGCACTTAACCTCGATGTAGGGGTGGCAGTTCGGTTATCGGTTAATCGAAATAACCACCTCCTACCGAAAATCGATCGAAATAGGCTTCGATTTCTCGGTTATCAGTTATCCGAACCACTTTAAGACCACAAATCATTTCGTCCAGCCTCCGATATCCGATAACCGGTACGAACTGCCACCCCTACCTCGATGCAGTCATCAAAAGTATGTTTCGTCCTAGATACTGCCAGGGTGTGAACTTTGCCGGTATTTCAATTAGATAACTGGACACTTACATTTCACGCATTAAGCAAATTTTGAAAGTTTTTGGAGCAATTTTAGAAGTTGAAAATTTTGTGTAATTAATAATTGGGCATCCGAACACGAGGCTCAACAAGTTCCTCATGATAAATGAAGAATTTCACATGGAGGTTGTGTTGGTAAAGTGGTCGCGAACGTAAAAGTATTCTTAGTACGACTCAATATTTTTACATTTTTACTGAGTTGAAAATCGAAAATGATCTTAGCGATCAATTAACGTGAATTCTTTTATTCAAGTATTTGTAATTGAAGTCGGAAAGAATTCAAGATTTAAAATAGGAAAATACGAGAATCCAATCGAATATTTGGAAGGTGTGACATAGGTGATAGGAGGATTCAGGATTGAAGATAGAGGAGACGTTGACAGACCGCCGATCGGAGACCACAAAATGTGATTATTTAGGATTCTTGGTGAATTTCTGGTCCTAGCTATAGCCCTAAATCAAGCAGAACTGGCCCAGCAGCTCAGGAAAAGGACGCAGGCGGGTGTTAAATACGTTTTGGGAAAGACGAATGGGTCGATCGCACTTCGCACATCATTAATTTGATGGCTCTAGTCGACCATTTTTTTTCCTTCCTTACTACTGTGGGTTTCGTTACTTTGAGAAAGTCTTTTGGCATTTAATTGCCGACTGGCGAACCATATGTCACAGAGAAAGGGAACCATCTGGATGGTGGGATCGACGTGGAAAGACTACCGGTGGCGGTGTGTGGGTTTCTGACTGAGTCACCATCGTGATATTTAACCGCTCAAACACTGAATTGGAACTTGAAAGTGAGGAGAACAAGTGACTAACGGTCAGACTTTGGCGTCCGGCGGGCGAATTTCAGTGACAGACTTGTCTTAGCTGCCAGGGTCGTTTACCGGTGGCCTGGCCGGCAAAGAATTGTCATCACATTCACCGGTGGCGGATTTCAGAGATTGCTATTTGCTAATATATTCCAAAGACTAGTCACTGGAATTTCGTCGGCTTGGTTGGTGGCGGAAAATCCACCATGATAGTCATTTGGAACATATTGTATATGTGAAAATTACTAATGACAAATTTATGAGGAAATAATAACTTTCTTATCGACATGAGGTGCACGAAGGGATTGATATCAAAAATCAATACAAAATACAACATTGATTTCTTATCCTGACAAAGGACAATTACAGAGAAATAAACCTAGATACGATATAACATACAAATGATGAGTTGTTTAAGAACTCAATAAATATCTACAAGTACTACATTCTACAAGTTTTTGAGAGTATATCTTTTTTTTAATGAACTGCAATTCTATGAATTAAATGATAATATATTATTATGACTTTTGTGGACGTGAAGTAATTATATACTTAAAAGATGTAATCTTTGAGATTTGTTAATGGAAGAGCAATTGAGATATCAAAATGTCGTTACGAATCTTAAATTACAAAATTTATTAGAAGCGTTTGTGATATCCAATAAGTATTTTTTTTATGGTGAAGGAGAAAATAGAACAACTACTACGTCTAAGATGGAAAAAAGAAAAATATAGCATTTTTCATTGAAGTCATTGAAATTCGACCATCCAGTTATTGATACAATATGTTACACTATAATACAGTTGAACTATCATCTAAAAATACCTCACATCTGATTAGTCATACATTTTAGTTTCAAATAACTAACACATATATTAATTCCTAAAAATCAACATCCCCATATACTCTTTTTTCTTTATTCAAAATTAGGATTCCTCTATTTAAAAAAAAAGAGCTATGATCTCCTCTATTAAGAAAAAGGACTATGATTCCTAGATTTATCTGGAGCCTACAAACTAAAAATAAGGATAATTCATTTACACACACAAAAAACAGGATAGTAACATGCAAATACAAAAATACAAAATAATTTAATTAAGAAAATACTAATGCAAAATAATAAATCTTAAAAAATATTAAAGGACTTTCATATTTGACCCCATGCCACGTAATCCATTCTGAAACCTGAACGTATCCACGTCATCCACCCTACTTTCCCTTCAGCGACACTTATTCCGGCCCGCCATTCTTATATTCTAACTTTCGCTACCAAAACTCCAATAAATATCACATCCTTCAAACTTCAAATTAACCGAGAGCGGTTATGGAAGCGGCGTTCAAATTGTTTGCCCTCGACGCGGTGGGTGGCGGCACAGTAGCGACGTCCGGAACGACATTAACGAAGCCACAACAGCCCGTAGAGCGTCTTTTCTATTCGGCAGGTAATCCGGCGACAGAGGCAAAAGAGGAAGGAATTGCGATTCCGAGAAACGGAACCATTTGATGGAGATAGTCTTATCGAAAAGGGTTCCCGACGAATCGTTTTCTTATGGAAACACTCTCATCGAAATCAGAGTTGTCGATGTACAAAACAGAGGACATAGTGACGTTGCACGCCGCCAGGAGAAATATATGACGTGGGTTACAGCGGGGACATCCTGGTGGTGGATGCCGCCGGGACTCAGATCCCGAAATGCTATTTTCTTGAAACTCACGTCGCAGGGGATTTTGGTACAAGCGGTCATGAATTGACACCTTCATCCACTCCTGCTTCATTAGACAACATTGCACTGTCGGCGAAAGCGTGGTGAGAGGTACTATTCCGGCATGGGGACCGATATGGCAGGGGACGTACGTCACCAAGACAGTGATTTTCTCCTTAGGGTTCTGTTGAGTGGCAAAGGCAACATTCTGAGAGAAGTTTACGCACACTTACAACTAGGTTTGGATCTTTGTTGGGATCGGTTTTGGTCTAAGTTAACACGGACTACAACCGAATAGCCAACTGCTTTGTCGATCGAAGAGGAGGAAGGAATTACGATTCAATGTGGGGAGAAACAAAATCAGATGATGGAAATGAAATGGCAATTGCGGCAGCCACATCGACAACGATGGTGCCATGATTGGAAAATGAATGTTGTATAAGCTGGCTCTCAATCTGTTTATGGTGGTAACCTTGCTACTTCATTGTAAAAGATACGTGTATCAAAATTACAACAGGTATGACTAAAGTGTGATCGACATATGACATGCAATCTCTATAATTTGTTTTCCGCCATTGTTTAATTTCATGCTGATTACACGATTCAGCACCATTCTTCTTCTCATGTTGATTCCCATTTGCATATATGTAGTGGTTGGTTAGGTGGTTTATTACTCCAGTTGAGAGATTTTCATTTCTTTGGGATGCAAACTTATAAATATATCTTTTATTTTGTTTGGTTCATCTCTTTTTTCCAACTCGCCAAATATAGGTTACGGGATAGCTTATTTCAACCTCTAAAGTAGAGTGCAAGCATGTCTATTCCCTTTTTGATTGCCCTTTATCACAATCAGTATACATCGATCATATTGTTGTTGTACTTTGCAGACCATAAACACATATTTGTATAATTAAGTTTCTTTTATAATTTCGTGGCTTGCTGTTATTTTCAAATTATGTGATCGTGGCAACAGAGGATAGAGTTATTTAACTAGGTAAACCATACTTAGTGGGTTCCTATATATTCTGGTATTTGTAAGAGGTTTTCTTTGGTAATTCCATATTTCAATATATACAAAACGTTTTCTAAAATGTAGATCGACCAATCTAAATTTGTACGCCTTACAAATTTATTGTTCAAAATTGCTACAAGAACAATGTTTCATAATATTCTATATATGTGGTATATAATTATTGCACATAGTAACTTTGTGTGTTTTAGTTGAGGGTTTGTTCAAACATAGTAATTTGTATCATTGTATATTCATAAGTGGTCAAATAGTTAAACTATATGCATAAAATAGTGCTCATCTTAAATAAAACTAACTAAATAATTAAATAGGTCTCACCCGGCCGACGACCGGGAACAAAGCTAGTTAAAAACTTTAAAAGGATTAGCAGAAAGGCTCATGTGGGAGCGAGCGCAGCCAGCCAGAAAAGAAATATACACAAGGGTGGGAACTGGGGAACAAATTTACCGCTGGGAGAAGAAGGGGCGAAAGGCGGAAAAGCAAGCGCAAAGGGCTCTCTCTAACTCTCTTTGTGTCTCCTGTCTCCATTTTCGCGGGGCTTTCCGCTACTCTGTTTGCTGATCGCCGATTCAGATCCACGACGCCACCGTTCACCGGAGAGAGGGAGACGGGGAAGAAGGGAGTCGAAAAATTAAGAAACAGAAGACGACAGAGTCAAAATGGACGGCGGCAATTCAGCGGCGGAGGAGTCCGCTAGCCAGCTGGAAGAAGAGATAGGAAGAGTAGTGGAAGAGGCGAGGCAGCTGCAGGAATCGGCTGCCTCTCACATCTCCAGGAGCTTCAACGAAGAGCAGACACTTCGCCAGCGCGCTAATTCCATCGACTCTTCCATCCGTCGCTGCCGTTCTCTCCTTCACTCCGTCCTCTCCCGCCGCCTCATCGACGCCAAGCTAGCTGACAAGGCAATTGATTAGTTCATTCCTGTTCACCCTCTCTTCGGGATTGATAATGATGATGTGTTTTTTGATCCGGCTGATTCCTTGTAACAGCTGGAAGACGAGCTGCAGAGAGCCAAGTGTGTCGTTTCCGATGGGGATGCCGCTTCTTTCCTCCCTACCAAGTCCCAAGGTACTTTGTCCTTCTGCCACTGCAATTTGTTTATTCCTTTTTTCTCCCGAAAGGTTTCATTCCCATCTGGTTACCGTTGTGGGTTTGATAGCCAAATCAGTGCTTCCACGAATCCCGTTGTGGGTTTGATCTATTTCAAAGAACTGCATGTCCTTAATACTGTACTAAGCTTAAGCAACTACCCCGTTCGTCCTTTCAGGTAGCTTTCTCAGGATGTTTCTGGGTCCAATTAACGTGCGTGCATCCCGCAAAGATGTCCAGTTGAAAGTTAAAGAAGAGTATAACAGTTACAGGGTACGTCCTATTCGAATCTGGAATGTGTACAACGAATCGATGTCATTAGTTGGTTTCTCGAGCCTACTTATCACTCATAATGCTCTCTCTGTTTTGAGCAGGATAGAACCGCCCTTTTATTTCTTCTTTTCCCATCAGCTCTACTAATTCTAAGGTCTTGGCTATGGAATGGGTGCTTGCCAGCGTTCCCTGTTCAACTATATCAGGTAATCCCATTTTACCTAGTTTATGAGATTTGATCTTTATTGACCAATATTTACATATTTTCTTTTGTTCCATCCCCTCTTCAGGCATGGTTATTGTTCCTTTACACTGGATTGGCCTTGCGAGAAAACATTCTGAGGGCCAATGGAAGTGATATTCGTCCATGGTAATTGCATCGTACCTCTCCATTTCTTGAACCTGTTAGACCAACTTAGATCAGTTTTTTTTTTGTGTGTGTTCTTTTTGGCGTAAACCTATTATTTAACTTTCGCGGAATAATGGAAACCATAATCAGAGAGTCCAACCATTATTTTACAGTAGAGCACTTTTTCCCCTCTCTAAATCCCTTGTTGGCAAAAACTAAATTCTTTGGCATGATTAGAGCTGTAGAATTTTCTTTTACCTTAGCTAAATTGTCCTCACGACCATGGAGGAAAAGTGTGCCATGAACAATAAATGATAAAAATGGATGTGAAATTAACCATTACGAATTTACGATTTCAGTATTGTTTAGCACCAAGTCCTGGTGTAACTGCACAAATTAGGAGTTTCAGTTACTGCATGCGGGTCTAGGAGACAAAGTTCTGAGATTACTTCTGTCGGAGTATAGTTTCGGATGCTGTTATGTTTTCTGTCTCCTCTCCTCTCACTTCCAGTCAAACTCCTTAGTGCCTATGATTTTCTTATTACAAGTCTTCATGGCGTTATGTATTTGGAAGATGCCAATTCCGAGAGAAAAAACCATCTTCATACTTATAAAAATAAGATCACCGGTTTGAGGACCTTGCTATCTCAGTTTTAGTTTTTACTTCCAAAAGCTTTGAAGAAATATCTTCTTTTACTTATTGGAGAAGGCAGTGATATAGGCTATCAGTCACAGGTTAGAGAATACCTTCATCAAGTAACTTATGTTTGATCTGGATTGACACAATTTACCTGCATTATTGCCTATATTTCAAATTTTTAGCTGTGGATGAATGCTTTACCATCAGACACATTTTAGAGTAAGTATGGCGTTCTGGTGGTTGAGATTCCCTTATGACAGCCTCTGAGGGAAATGCCAATTTGCCAACTATACAAAGAAGTGCAGCTTTCTAGGAAAACAACCATGAATCAACCCGTTCCGTGCCCGAATATGGTGTTTTTTGTTTGCGATTCTGATACCTTCCTTTACGTCGAGGGAACATAAGCTTCACGGCCTTTTGAAATCGATGTGCTATCTTCTCTGCATAAAATTTCCTGTGTTTCCAAGGATTGGCTTCTTGTCATTCTTATAGTACTAGCTTTCCTCCCCATAATGGATTCTTGCTGTTTTATAGCTTCAAATCATGGTTTTAAGCTTTCACTTTCCCTCCTGTGTGGACAGGGGTAATGGCCTAATGGGTGGCGAAGGGTTCTTCAACATAAAAATTTGTCGGAAATTGGGTAGCCTACTAGCCTACTTCTTAACAGAGATAGAAGTCCTACTATCTAGAGCTATTTTGATGTCACATTAGTTTACTAAAATTCTAGTTCGTCTCCCTTTGGACACTAACAGTCTAACACTATCATCAGCATGGGTGAGGTAATCCTGTTAAGAGTTGAGAAATTTTGAAAGTAGGATAAGCAGATATATAAATTAGTTCCATACACGAAGAGTTGGGAGCTCTTCCAAAATGAATTTAACTCTAGCAGTGTGAGACTCCAGTCTACAGTCTTGACTCTTGACGACTTGAAGAAAGTTGCAGCATTCACTTGTTTTAAGTTGTATCCAATATTCGAAACTTTGACACAGAACTGAATGTAAGATTATATGACCCATATCTTTTTTTTATAAGGGTGACATCAATTATTAAAAAAAACAAGTTTGTTATGGTTTCACTTTTGGGCTGATAGCATGCTCGAGACTGACCACTTCATGCAATCACTTTAGGTGTTATCCATGGTGTCAGAATGTTATTTTCGTTTTAGATTGTTCTTCCCATTCCTCAGGCTTGCTTCACTGATCAGTCTTGGCTAATTATTGGTGGCTGATGACTGATATGGTATAGCCAGTATTTGTGGTTTCGCTATGGTCTTTATTAGGTGATGATCAATAAGTGATGGTAGTTGAGATTTGGTAACTTGTAACTGTTTGGTGAACTATTCTTGATCAATAATTTATACCATGAGAGTATGTTAATAAGGATACAATTGACTAGTTCCTTCGCTCAGAAGCTATATTTTTATTGCTATAAGTAAGTATGATAGATATGTTTATGTACGGTGGTTTAGAGTTGGATAAAGCACAAAAGTGGGTCCAGGAACTGTCATCTGTTTAAGAATATTATGACTTTCCCCTTTCTCCTACCGGGGAAAGTCTTCCAGATTGTCTAGTTTTTCTTTTTCCTTATTATCTGTGGTTTGCATCCTTCAGAGATCACTGTTATAAAAGTGGTTTAACAAATTTGTGTTTGTGCGTGTTCGCACGCACGAACACCCACGGGGGTGGGGATTGTTTGAACTTCTGTCAAATCTCAGCTATACTGTTAGGACTGCCTCCTATGCGAGCTTTGTTGGACTATTTGGAGGATGTAAAAGATATCAGTTGTGATCTTATAAAGATGACCACATAACATTAATTCATTCACTATGTGCACGCATAATGTCAATTACCAATTTAGCTAAATTTCCCTTTCAAAAGGTACTATTGTGCTTCCTGCTTTTATATTATAAGCAACTGTCCTCACAAGGTTGCACGTAAAACAACTTGAGATGCGATTAATAGCTCCATCTTTTACATGAGAACTCTAAAAGTATACTGGTATTCTTTCTTCAGGTGGATAAAACATCACTATTGCGCAATGATAATGGCACTTGTAAGTCTTACATGGGAGATTAAAGGACAGCCCAATTGCGCCGCAAAACAGGTTCTTACTTCTTCTGCAGTGTGCTTATCACACTTAGTTATCCTAGTAATAATTACAGTGTTTTTACAGAGAGGGGTCCAACTTTTCTTGCAATGGGCTATGATGCAAGGAGTGGCGATGCTTTTACAGAATAGATACCAGCGTCAGAGACTTTATACTCGAATTGCACTGGGGAAGGTATTGCTAGAGAATAATTTGTTCATCTTTTTCGAAACAATTTTGTTTAGAAAATAATTCCCTTTCTTATGAGGATTAAGTCCTGCACCTTTGGTTGTGGACAGCTTATCTGCAAGGATGATTTGTGCGTCATGGGCTACACTCATCCAATTCATGTGCAAACATTTTTCATACTGTTGTTTATGAACGTTCATGTGTTGGTTTTTGCAGGCCAAGAGAATGGACGTCGTCTGGGGTGAAACTGCAGGTGTAGATGGCCAATTGTGGTTGTTGTGCCCCATCCTCTTCATTTTGCAGGCAAGTTTATTAGTTATGGCTCGACGTTGTTAAAATTTGAGAATGAAGGAACTCCACTTTTTACCGTATCATAGAGCACATAAATTGACAAGGTCCTAACTATAGTGCTTTGACAACACTGAGTTTTGCTTTTAGGGTTTCGAGGCATATGTTGGGCTGCAGTTGCTGAGGACTGCATTTGTGAGGGTCGTCACTGAGTGGCAGGTAATTTTCTGCCTAGAGAAACCAGCAAAAATTCATGAGTTGCCATTTTACCATAATGCAGTTTAAGTGATCGGCGAGAATGTGATTTGACAGGTAATTTTCTGCGGATTCCTTCTGGTCCTGATGGCCGTGGGGAACTTCTTGAACACGGTTCAGACATTGCTGACAAAGTCGAGGTTCAAAGCCAAAATGAAGAGGGTTAAGAGTAAGCCAGAGTTGGATTGAATGCAAAAGCTAGTAAGATTGGTAGGATTTCTACTTTGTGGTGGCGAAAGCAAGCCATGAGATGTCATTTGTGACATTTTCCCCCCTCTTTAGGTTTCTGCAAACGTGTTGGAAATATCGTCTTATAAGGTTCTTGTTTTGAACATGCCATCTGCGCTCGGATGTGCTTTTCTCATGTTTGCCTGAAGAGAAGTTTGGAAAAGGAAGGTAAGAGAGTTGGGTGGGGAAAATGATAGAATGAGCGGATAAGTTGATCCACCAGAGTCGCTGTTTATAGGTCGTATTTTTTTTTGTCTGATGGGGGTTAGCTTCTTCAGGTCCAGTTGGTTCGGTTTTGGTCTTGTTTACAGTTGAGGACTTGAGGTGGCTAGTTTTGACACCTGTCCATGTTGGTCAGGTGGGTTGGTGCTGGGTTGGCGATTGAATAACAAACAATGTGAACTATTTTGGGATTTGGAAAGAGTGTCCCTTAGGGTTAGGGGGCTCTGTCTGTCTTAAGCAACAAGAAACGTAGCTTCCAATCAAAGCTGCGAGAAATGAATGGAGATTTTCATTCTTGTTCACAATGAAGTGAAATGTGAGTTTCAACCTCGGTAGATGAGAACTGTTCTCGCCCGCCAATTCAGATTATATGGAAGAACATGGAAGAAGCAAACTAAGTTTGGTATTCAACGACATTTAGTTCCAGAAAAGCAGCATCACTGCATCCGTTTGACCCTTCTTCCATTTTCCTGCTCGAAGAAGGGCTGAGCTACTCGGCAGGGCTTCTGCACAAGGCATCAACAGTTCTGTGTTTCAAAATGTTCGGCGTAAACTCAAGCGGCACAACAAAAATCAAGCCAATCGATGTACATCAAAGCCATAATTCTCCTCATAAGTACTGTCCTTCCAAAGCAAAATTAAAGGCAGAAGAGGCATGCTTCCAGCGGTGGGATTAGCACGTAGCATGACAAATTAAGCTCAAGACTCAAGACCGTATAAAACGAGATGAGCCTCGTACCTTCCACACAGTTTCCACTTGGCAGATGCGTGCTAGCTCTATATCGATGATGCAGGATGAGCGTCAGACCTTCAATGAGCTCACAAGTCACAAACCGTCTGTGTGTGCCAAGGAACAGTTAAGATCTTGCAAGTAGGAAGCTAGGCCCATGGTACCTATAGACACCAATAAGAATCACCATGGAACTAGCACTCCCTTCCTCAACAAGTCATATCTGTCGATATGATATCCATGTAAGTTCACCAACGAATTCATGTTGAATCAGTAAAAGCACCAGATGATCCCTTGTCGCACTCTGCAACTGTAATAGTCAGGTGTTGACTAGTTGTATGATTAACTCTACAGCAGAGGCGTCGTGGAACCTGTTCCAATCCGGTTCCTCAAAAGATCATTTAAAAGAAGCATAATCTGAACAAATTCAGAGCAAAATTTAAGTACCCATTGCATAGTTTCAAACTCAACTCACCAGGTGCCAATTCTTCCTCAACGGATGTCCTACCACCTCAATATCAGCCACATTTGGCAGAGGACGGGAGTGGAAAAAGCAAAAGACCCTTCTTTTCAGACCTTCATTCACCCAGCCTCGTCCATACGATCCCAAGGTAGTACCATTGTTGTCCTGTTTCGCAGCATCTTTCAAGAAAAAGAAAATAGGCTTCTTACACAAAGACCTGTAGGGATCTCGGGTATCCACATCGAACTCATCTCGTTTGCTGATACCATTCCATGCCGAGTAGGTCTTTTCAGATCGCTCGAGCACTCGAGGCAGGACAATGGTTGGGAAAACTTGAACAGCGTACCCTAGTGAGACAGCAAAAGAAAGGTGTCGAGTATGGTCATAGCATATCGATCTCTGCAAGAAGCTCATGGGATCAATGCTCATGGCTTTGGTGAAAAGCCTGAGACTCTCTAAAGTGGTTAACCCAGGGTAAAATGGTTCGACAGCTTCAACATGGTGGATCGAGACAAAGGGCGCAATTGGGTGTGCAGATAAAAGGCCACGCGCATTTCCTCTTATGTCCCACTGCCAAGACACTGATGTTCATAAGGAACTTCGTTCACATTCAAACAATAGAAGGATTTGGCAATCGGGAAAAAGGAAGAAGGATGGAGAAAGGAACCTGGTGGAAGCCATGCTCTCTGGATAAAGGAACCCCAAGCTCGGTAATGCAGGCATGGAGTCGATCATCGCTGCCGTAGAAGCCCTGGTATCTGTCAATACAATCGTCTAGAATATTGGAAAGGGCCTCAGCCAGGGGACGGCTAATGGCGATTCCACCGCCGCCGTAGGCCATGGAATGACTGAAGTAGCTGTTGGCGGAATGGCTCTCGGAAGGGCCACCAATGTAAACCATCTCCGAGGAATCGTACTTGCTGAGTACTGCTACAAGGTTATGGGGGTTGAAAATGGTGTCATCGTCGCAGAGAACGAACCACCGCACATTGGGGAGTCCGAGGCGGAAGCTCTCGGAGACGATTCGAGAGATTCGTAGCCCCGAAGGGTGGCCGGTGGGATTGGTGTAGCGGAAGCGGGAGGCGTCCTCGGAAATCATGAACGGCGGCAGGGAATCGTCCGTCTCGGCGGCGACCTGCTCATCGAGCCACACGTGGCCCCGCATCTCGTTGGGACGCCACCACAGCCGCAGAAACTCCTTGCGCCGCTCCCACAGCTGCGAAGATCCGGCTATGCCGAACACCAAGTGTTCCAGCGTCAATTGATCTTCACTCCCGCCGCGGTTCTCGTCGGAGAGGAGGGCATTGCGGCTGGGCAACCCCGGGAGCGAAGAGGGAAGCGGCGTGGGGGCCGCGGCGGCGGAATCGGCGGCTATGGTGGTTTGGAAAGCTAGGGATGCGCGGCGGTGCCAGCAGGGGGCGGTGGTGCCGGAGGAGAGGAGAGAGAGCCAGGCGGAGGTAGCAACGATGAGTGCGGCGACCACAAGCACGGCGGTGGCGAGAGGGCCGTGGCCCCATCGGCGGCCGCGGGGTCGGGCGAGCGGCAGTCTCAGGGGGGTTTTGGCGGCGTTAAGATTTTGAAGGGAAGAAGGAATGGAGCAATCGGTGAAGCTGATGGCCATCTGCGGCCGCTCGAATCATCTCCGTCGTCGAAGGCGACCGGAGAGAGTTCACGGAGCAGAATCTGGACACTGGATTGTTAAGAAATTGGAGGGTGAAAACTGGAGGAGAAAGAAGAAAAAGAGCAATGCGGCGGCGGCGCGGCGGCCTGACTGTGTTAAGAGATAACAAGTTGACGGAGGAAGTAAGTGGAGAGAGTGTGAGGGCACAGTCTGCAAATTGTGAGGTGGCGGAGACGGTACCAGAAATTAGGTTTCAGGCGGTTAATGAAATTGGTGGTAGATGGTTTTCGTTTCCGATTTTTTTTAGTCGCGACGGCGGGGACAGAAATGCTACCACGTCAACATCTGGGTGCTCTCTTTCCCTTTCCTTAAGAACGAAAAGTCGGTTCCTTTCCTTTCTCTTTCCCGAATTTGAATTTAGAATTGACTACTAACCGTCACTTACGCACCACTTTTTTTACGTACCACTTTTGTCCAAACGAAAAAATCAATTATTCCTATATAAAAAAAATCAATTATAAATAAGTGCCTCATTTTATCAAAAACTACAAAATGCTACCTCTTTAGTCTTTACCTATGAGCCCTATGTAATATTATAAAAAAACTCCGAAAAGTAGAGTTGGAGCGGTGATAGATCAGTCCCTCTCAATATTAACAATTCGATCTATTGAGATCAATTCGGTCTTCACATGGTACAGAGTCTACTGTGACTCAAATATTTTCTGTTAGAATATCGTTGACCCATTTGTTAAGCATATGACATTATGATGTTTGTACAAACTTCAAGCCCTATTGAGTTGGCATTCGTTTGAGAGGTTGTGTTGTAAGTGGTATATGACCCATAATTGAACCTCAACAACTCGAGTTATTAGGGATCAATAATTTCTTGACAGTTTCGACTATGCCAGCCATTGAAGCTCGCTACAAATCGTATTAGGACCCCGAAGAGGTCATACTAATAAAAATTTTGTGCATTCGAAGTGGATTGTAGGGCAAACCTTTTTAACGGAGAAGATCTTCGCTCAAATTTCATTAAAAAAAGTACTCATCTTTGTTACTCCAAAGTATTGCTGTAAGAGATGTTATGACTTTACACCTCGCTTTCATACTCAAAATCCTCTTCAACCCGTATAATCCCACAAACACTGACATTTCATAAAGGTATACATTCAATCAAGCAATTCAAAGAGTACCACTTATAACCAGAAGAATTCGAAAAGTAAACAAGCCGAGCATGCTTTATCTCAACTCTCAAAATCCGTAGATGTAAGTTTAAATAGTATAAGTCGGGAAGAAAAATGTAGGTATTGAATTGTAAATTCATATAAATTCACTACCCCAACTCATGAACCTATCAATATAATGGATTTGATCCATTTAAATTTGAATTAGGGAAATATTATTGAGTGAATAAATTAATTGATAGTCTTTGGATTGTAGTATGCTATTTCTATCCTCGTCATACCTGAATCTCATTCTTTCGATGTACCCGTGAATCACATGTATGCATGTGCAAAGCGGACCCAGTCCCACTAACAGCCCAAATTATAAATCCAGCGCGGTAATGATAATTGAGCTAGAGCCCATATTTATATTTGGGTTCTACATTGGGCCACTGACCCATGTCTATCGAATTTGAGGAAACGAGAATCAGTCTCCCCTGACCTTCAGGCTCCAACTGCAAGTGCAAACCCCGAGCAGGCGAAACAGGGCAACGCAGGTCTCAGACCCACTCTTGGCAGCCGGCTGGTTTTTGCGAGCGAGGAAGAGCGCAAGGAGGAAGTACAGAAGAAAGATGAGGTGGGGCTTCGCCGGCGGTGGAAGTACCGGCGGTTTGATTAAGAATGCGTTGGTTAGGTACTTCTCGAAAGAGCGCGCCGTCAACGTGAGGAAGATAAACCCTAAGGTCCCTTTCCCGGAAGCTTTTGCGATTTCTGAGTCACTGTACAACATCATCAAGCAGAATGGCCCTCTCACCGTCCCCAATACATGGAACTTCGCTAAGGTGCATTTCCCCTTTCCTACTTGATTCGTTTCGCGCGTGGGTGTGCCCAACTATTCATTCGGAATGGAGAAAAAAGTTCTTTTTCGTCGAGATGATGATCCAATTGCCTCAATTATGCAATGGAGTTGATGATTGTTTGAGCTCTTATCTGTCTGCAACATCCTAAGCTTTCTTGTTCATTCCACATTTTTGCTCATTTCGTATGGTACCCAGTCCATGGCCATGTTTATGCTGCTGTCAGTCTCTGGGGTTGGGCTAAATTCTATATATCCTGCGTTTCGGGCTGTCGTGTGATCATTTAGCTATTCGTCTGCATCCGGTGGAACCACGATCTTGTTTGTTCTGCTGATTTCGTTTGGCATTTCACTGAGATATTCATGGTAATGAAAGCTGCAGCTTGTTGATTCGAACCCTCTCAACTTCAAGTCTGCATATATTGAACGCCCAGTTACTACCTACGGTTCCTGTTGCTGGTTTACTTTCTTCTCATTCTTGAATTCTTTTCTTCTAATTGAAGTGTTCACTTATGAGCTGAGATAAAACAGCTCATCTATAATGGCTGTGAAGTCTCCTGCCATGTTTGGTCGCCAATGCATTAGTAATGTAAACGATGGTGACTGTTAGCTTATTCAAGTACATAACATGGCAGGATGGTTGGAACAAAAGATGGGACTGAACCACGCTAATGCGTTTTCGTTACTTCGTAACAGGAAGCTAATATAAGTGGATTGAACAGCAAAACGCACATGAAAATCATGCTGAAGTGGATGAGGGGACGAAAGATGTTGAAGCTGCTGTGCACCCAGGTTGGATCCAACAAGAAGTTTATGCACTGCACTCTACCTGAAGAACCGCAAAGTAATCCGACTCCCGATTCGGATGGTTTGAGCCTTAGCACCAAGAAGCCCATCGTCAGGAAGCAGAAAAAGAAGCGCATCTAGATTGCATTTGCACCAGCTCGAGGCCACCCCCATTTCTTCTCGCGGCTTGGATGCAGATGCTTTGGTCATTGTTGGTTTGAACTGCCGCTCCCCGATTTTGGCAGGGAAGGGCCATGTCCAGTCCTCCTTGGTGGTAAATTGGCTGCAAATTCCCCGCCTTGAGAATCTACTAGTAGTATAAACATCATATAATAAGCACTTATTTATGACAATGTAGGGCGTGGATATGTGTTGGGATATTTTGGTTATGGTAGCAGTGTTTTAGTTGGGGTTGGATTGCTTGGCCAGTAGGTCTGATGTTTCTCATATTTTATATGGTTGTATCCCGTCCCCATTGGAGTGGGTTTTTAGTTCATTAGCTGCTAGTAGGGCATGTGAAAATATTAGTTGCACAAGGAAGGGAAAATATGAGATGCTGTTGTCGAATTACCAGAGCTAAACTGTCCCTTTTTCTTGTCAATTCTTCTGTTTCTGTCAATCTTACTGCAAGTGACAGAGAGTGACTTATGGAAGAATGTTGTCAGTCTTCTAGAGTTGCAGTGCCTGCAACCTCTAGACAGACAAGCTCATTCCAAACCTTAAAACTCTGCAAATTTTGGGTCTTTGGGCTCTGTTGCAGATGGAAGAATAATAAGAAAAGGTTACAACCAGGATCAGTAATTACGATGTCTCGTGCATCAATAATTGGGGACACACAATTATGCATTTAATGAAACAAAACAAGAACGTTGATATCTCTGTCTTCCACTGGATTATTTCCCTAAATACAGTGAAAATTAAAAGTAATTCCCACAATACATCACTTTTATAAAAATTTCCCAAAATACCAAAGTTTGAACCGGTTCGAGTTTAACAAACTCGAACTATGAAGCAGATCGATTGTTAGGGGATCGATCCAAGTGCATCGAGTGAAACAGCAGCGATTAGCTGGAACGGGACGACGCGGATCGAGTGCAGAAAACTCGATCTACGTGGATCGATTACAGTACCCTCGATCTGATTGACATGGATCGCTGACATAAGCAGCGCTCCACCATAGATCGAGTTAAAGGGAATCGAACTCCACCGTTCGATGGCAAAGTCCGCGATTTACTTTTGACGCGGATCGAGTGGGGAAAAACCGATGCAAGTGGACCGAGCTCTCACAAATCGATCTACTTGACGCGGATCGATGACGTCAGAGGCGCTCCACCGTAGATCGAGTTTGCCAGACTCGATCTAGTCGTTCGATTTGCCTGCACTCGAACTGCTTTTGACGCGGATCGTGGGCGGAAAAATCGATGCAGTGGTTCGAGTCTCCTAAACTCGATCCACTTCAACTATCTGCACCTATAAATACCCCCTCCCATTCCACCAAAATCCCACACCACTCCATTCTTCTTCCTCTATTCCTCCCACCACTCTTGAAGAAAAAAATATGCTCTGTGGTTGCGGCTAAGCCCGATCTTCCGCATCAGATTTTTTTTCTTTAGTTTGGTACTTCTATCACTCAAAATTGCCGAGATGGATCCGAGTATTTACGATCCTAGATTATACATTCAAGGCGGACCGCGAGAAACCGATTTGTTGGATGAGCAACCTTACCATCGGTCTGAAAGTGTTTGGGCGGCAGATCCGGTAAGCACTTCCTCATTTACTTTTCTTTTTTTAAATGTGATAGTATTCTTCTAATTTTTTTTTGTATAATAATTGATATTTTTTTTTTCTACAGGAACAACTTGACGTAATCACCCATCGGTCGCTATCTCGCTTGCCTAAATGGGATGATCGTATCGAGCCCTTCATTGAAAGAGCGCGATTGCTGAGGGTGCGAAAGTTTGTGGGGATGGAGATGGACAACAACCTTCTTACGGCAATGGTGGAAAGATGGAGAAAAGAAACGCACACATTCCACCTTCTAGAGGGAGAGATGACGATTACGTTGAAGGACGTAGCCATGCTGACAGAGCTTCCAATCGATGGTGATGCAATAATTGAAAGTTCACAGAAACCATTGAATGGTTGGGGCCAATTTATAAGCGAGCGTTTAGGTATCAACATTCCCGAGGAAGCAGAAGAAGGTCGTCGTGTACCACCTCTACACAAATCTATGTTATTGATACCTTGGCTAGTGAGGACCGTTGGGGAATTACCGGAGGATGCCACGGATGCTCAGATAGAGAGGTATGCTCGCATCTACCTTATTTGTTTGGTTGGAGGATTTTTGTTTCCGAACAAGTCTGGTGGAAATAGGCATTGTATGTGGCTTCGAGTTCTTTTGGGAGATTGGGACGAGATTGGGAGAAAAAGTTGGGGATCTGCTTGTTTGGCCATGATATATTCGGAGTTGTGCAAGTGTACGGATCCGAAAACAAAGCAAGCGGGTGGTCCCATGTTCATCCTCCAACTATGGGTTTGGGAGCACCTTCCTACTTTCGCTCCGATCTGCCCTGCCAACAGTTGGGGTCCCGATGAGCCACTACGACAATGGGCTTATGGTGCTAGATGGATTGGAGCTATCACGAGTGGCACCTCTCTAGACGGGTACCGCCAACATCTTGACCGTCTAGAATTCAACGAGGTAACATTCTAGCTTATGATTATTTATTTATAATTTATTTGTTGATGTTATTTGTCTTAGTCTTAGCCTATGATTTATTTTTATGATTACGAGTTCTATTTTATTTGTTGAAATTATTTGTCTTAGCCCATTATTTATTTTTATGATTATGACCACTATTTTATTTGTTGAAATTATTTGTCTTAGCCCATTATTTATTTTTATGATTATGAATCCTATTTTATTTGTTGAATTATTTATCTTAGCCCATTATTTATTTTTATGATTATGAATCCTATTTTATTTGTTGAAATTATTTGCTTCGATTTTAATTTATTTGTTGTGTTGAAACTTAGGTGGAGTGGGATCCGTATCCGAACGGAGCAAAGGATTTGTACGAGTTGCGATACCCTGAGGATCGCCGACTCTGGTCGTGCAAGTTGCCTGTGATTTGCCACAACATTGTCGAGTGGCACCTCCCGGATAGATGTGTTCGACAATATAATTGGGCGCAACCGATTCCTCTCCCACTCCCGGACGTACATAAGTCACTCCACAAGTACAGCAAGGATCTGCGGGGTTCAATAAGTGATTGGCCAACCAAGCACCATAGATGGATCGAAATGTGGGAGTCTCGTCAGACGTATGCAATTGATGGGGAGCCAATGACGAGGCCAATGGGGTACCAAGATGAATACATGGTTTGGTACCGCAAGTTCACAAAAAGATGGGTAACCAAACGTGGCGCCGTGATCGGTTCATTGGTAAGCACAATATCTATTTACTATAATCACTTTAGCTACACAAATAGTGTTTACTAACATAAGCGGGAATCTCTTCGACTAAATAAAGTCACCTTATGCCATTTTGCCCTTTCTGACCATGGTTTCATATCATCCGTAATCTTCGTTGGGATGTAGATTCCAGCATTCAACATCTGATATGCTGCTTGGTAGCGTTCAACGAACCATGTCACCGTACGAAAGAAGGTATGCAAGAGCAAGACTATAGATGAGATAGGCATTGCACGAAGACCAACATACAAACCATTGAGGCACTCACCCATGTTCGTTGTTGTTATTCCATACCTATACCCTTCGTCTTGATGTAACGTCCACCTCTCATAAGGATGAGTTTCTAGCCAATCTGCACCTTCAGAGTGGACCTCCCTTATGCTCTTCATTTTGTCTACAAACTTTCGAGTCTGAAAAGCAATAGCTACAATAAAGCAAAATAAGGTTAGTAAAGGAGTATACACATTCAACCAATTGATATAATCACAACATCTTATTTGTTCTTACCAGCGTGCCAAACTGCACGTTGTCCATAAGTTCTACCAAAGTGCTTCCCGTAATTGCTTTTGAAATGTCGTATGCACCATCGCCACTTCCACCCTAGCTCCTCGGGCAGGTCGTAGAAAGCATGTCTAATTCCATGGTGTCGATCAGAAAGTATGGCAATGTCCTTCCGTTGAGTGACACGAGTGTATAGTTGGGAAAAAAACCATGCCCAACTTAAGTTGTTCTCCGATTCGACTATAGCAAAAGCAAGGGGGAAAAGTTGCATACTGCCATCAACACTAGTGGCAACGAGTAGAGTGCCCTTGTATTTGCCGGTCAGAAAGGTGCCATCAACTTGGATTATTGGCAGACAATGGGTGAAACCATCAATGCAAGGTTTGAATGCCCAAAATAGTCTCTTAAACACGCGTTTAGCACCTCCATAGAAATCTTCGTAACTAGGCACAAAAACAGACCCAGGATTCTTGTCCTCCATTGCAAGAATCAAACGAGGCATGTTAGCAAATGACTCTTCCCAATCACCATACACCTCTGCCATAGCTTTTTGCTTCCCATGCCATGCTTTCTTGTAACTGATGGTATAGCCATGTCGATTCTTCACTTCAGCGATGACACTCTTCACGGTGATCCCAGGTTGTGCCTCAATCAGATGTTTGATTGTTTGTGCAACCTTCCTTGCACTCAATTGTCGGTGATCTAGAGAAATCAGTGACGACCTACAAGTGTGATTGTTGTCTGTCTTACGAATGAGCCAAGCCCCATTTCTTTTAACATATGCCGCCCGAACATGCCACATGCATCCGTCGCCATGGTTCTCGCAACGAACATGAATTTGTTTAGTGTCAGAAGTGATGACACGATATTGAAAGCTTCTTCGCATAGCAGTTTCTTTCAATGCATCGACCACCTGTGGCTTTCCTGCAAATGTTTGGCCAACCACGAATCCAGAGTCAGGAGTCCAGATTGGTATAGGAGGGAGGTCAGGATCGTCGTTGTGAGCATAGAGAGGATGTTGTGGCACCATCGTGTAGTGAGGTGTGGGGGGCTCAAATTCCCCCTCGTCAACTTCCAGATCTTCACCATCTGAACTACTCATTGATTCTAACTCTTCGTCTTCCACGTCGCTTGCCTCGCTAGTGTACGGAGGACTTGGTTTATCCACATATGGATCATTGTTGATGCCAGATGCTGCTGTATATGCTTGTCTGGGTGCCCTTATGTAATCCCATTCTCCACCCCATACTGGCCACTCCTGTCCGTCATGTTCCACCAATGGACCAGTTGCAGTTCGATCCTCGTATGTTGGCCATGGTGCATCATGCCGCACTCTGAAATCTCCTGAACCGGAAAAACCTCCCGATCCTTCACCTTGTTCGGTATAACCGCCCCCACCATATTGGCCAACAACTTCTGTCTCGACATACACCTCAGCAGTTGGAAATCTGTTCTCTGCAATAAATTTCATCATCATATTAACATCATCATCGTCAGACAAAACTGATCCTTCATATACAAGTGCATAATCCTTGTAAACCGGCATACGGTAAGTCATCTTGCATACTCTTCTCCCTCCTATGCAACATCGTTCCGCACAAATATGGCTGAGTTCTTGCCAAGTAAATATGCTCTTAATCGGGACAGTACTTGATTCACCATCTTCGTAGTCAATACTATCATGAAAATGGGTAATTCGACCATTCCACCGAATCAATAAGTCGAATTTTCGAAAATTTCTACCCATTTCTGCAGTTTATAGAAGCAGCTCATTACATACAGTACAAACTATTCTAAATTAATCTAAAATTCTAATACGCTCATTCAAACAACGTAAGCAGAACTTACCTTCAAAAATTTTCTTCTTTGGTGGTGAGCTATGGTGCTCCAGCTGCTGCAGATTGTGTTTGGAAGAAAGAAGATAGAAAGTAAAAGAGCTGCCAGAATGTGCTAAGTGAGGGCTTTTTATCCTCGTAAACTGATGCAGTGGTTCGAGTCTAATACACTCGATCTACGCTAGTTCGAGTTTATTAAACTCGATCTACGCGATCCAATAATTTCCCCCCTGCACCCTATTCTGGAACATGTCGGACCGAAAGCGACTGGACAGAATTATTGACCAAAGTAGTTCGAGTTTAGTGTAATCGAACTACATAGTTCGAGTCCTTAAAACTCGATCTATGATAACAAAGAATCTTATCCCTGCAACCTTATCCTGAAGCATGTCGGTGGGCCTGTGGTTCGAGTCTTTCAGAATCGATTTACCTAGTTCGAGTCATAGAGACTCGATCTAGTGCAGATAAAGATCGAGTGTGTTAAAGTCGTTGCACTAAAACGAGGTTTTAGGGGTCGATCTATTTAAATCGAGTTGCTTATACTCGATCTACTTGATCGAGTTTGCCTTCATCGATCTAGTGAGATCGAGTTCTTTGCCATCGATCTATTTTGTTCGAGTTTGTCATCGTCGATCTATGTTGTAGTTCGAGTCTTATAAACTCGAACCCTTTGAAACTTGGGTAGTTTGGGAAAATTTTATAAAACTTATGTATTCTGGGAATTATGTATAATTTTTACTGTATTCTGGGAATTCTTCCTCTTCCGCTTGAAATCAAATGATCCTTGTTGTATTGTTGAGCTCGAATATCCCGGCCGGCTGTCAAACTCATTATCTTCTTGCACATCTCCGTGTGTTACCATTTGCCATTTGGGCTTGAACCCATTTGATAGCTTTGTTCTCCCGGGCAGGTCTTCCGATGCTTAAAATAAAGAAATGCTTTTGTTTTTGTGAAGAGATGAATAAACAATTGCTCTAGGAAAAGCCCCTCTGCTTCTTTTTAATATAGTTTCGCAGCGACTTCCGGCCAGTCACAGGATTTATTTCCCTTGTTACAGCACTCGTCGACAGTATCGTGGCCTCTCCTCCGCCTCGTAGTTCTGCGGTGTTGTCAAACTGTGCCTGCTGCTGACTTTGCCTCTCAGAGTCGTGACTCTTTCTCTTTTTCGTCGCTGCTTGAGACTGGTGGGTGGTGAGCCAACCTCCAGTACTCCTCTATCATCTCTCAAATTATAAATTCATACCATCTTTCGGTTACGCCAGCAATTGCGAGAGCACCGAGATCCCAAATTCAGTTTTGCCTCTCTGCTTCCATATCCACAGTCAGGTAGCTAGTATGCAGAAGCTACTTGGGTTTTGATGAATTTCGTTTCCGTCTTGATGGATCTTGGTTTTAATTATAAATTTTGTCAGGGGGATTCTCATTTTTTATTCTCGTGTTGCTTGTTTTCTGGGCCTCCATTTTCCTGGTGGCTTTACAGTTGCTGGTTTGCAGTATATCCGATCAATGAGTTCCGAGAGTGTTAAAGAGGATTGCCTTGCATGGGCAGCCAGAGATCCGTCTGGAGTTCTATCCCCCTACAAGTTCAGCCGTAGGTATGTATGTTTGACCACTTGATAGGGACAGTAGTTTTTACATTGGCTGGATATTCACTTTGGCAGCAAGTGCAGCATCCCGTTCCGTTATTCATGCTCCGTCCTCCATGTTCTGAATGATTCTCCATGAGCAGATACTTCGCAGCAACTCCCTTTCCTTATCTTTTAACTTATCCAAGATGTTAGGTTTCGTATGATGTTTGTATCAACATGACCATGTCATTTGATATTATGGGTTCCTCTTTGCTTGAAAGTAGGTAACAAATATATGGGATTATTATACAGGTCAATCAGGGAGGATGATATTTCCCTCAGAATAACTCACTGTGGAGTATGCTATGCTGATGTCGTCTGGACTAGGAATAAACACCATGATTCTAAGTATCCATTGGTGCCAGGGTATGCTTCCTGCTCTTTGAAGCTAGCATTAGTTATTGCCTAATTGCTTGAGCTAATAGACCAGCTTTCTCACCAAACAGGCACGAAATTGTTGGAATTGTCCAAGAGGTTGGTCCCAATGTGAGCCATGTCAAACCTGGTGATCATGTTGGAGTAGGCACTTATGTTAACTCTTGCAGGGAGTGTGACTCTTGCAATGACAGAGATGAAGTCAGCTGTGCTAAAGGATCTGTATTCACCTTTAATGGTGTTGATTCCGATGGTACAATCACCAAAGGAGGATATTCAAGCTACATTGTGGTGCACCAAAGGTAAGAAATCATCATTTCGCATGGCTATCCAGTCTTTTCCTCATTCAGTCCTTTTTTCTCCCTCCTCAAGGTCACTGCTTCAAGCGTTTCTAATATTAGTTCATTCATTGCGAGGAATAGGCAAAATTATATCCTCGCTAGCTGTTTAAACTTTGGCTGTAGATTCATCTCCGGCTATCTTCTGCTTAAAGTTCACTGCTTTCTGCATTCGTGCCAATTCAGATGACCTGACCCAATTCAGTGATATAAGGTCTTGCGGCTGACATGCTAGCATTAGTTTGGTTTGAGGTATTTCATATAGCTTTTAATAACTGACAATATGTCTTTGTTAGAAAGGTCAAGCTTTGAAATTTTGTGAAACTTTCTGTTGCTCGGCCCACATACTTTCAAAATATCATTCATCAAAAAGCTTTAGCTAAAGTAGAGGGTGGTGTGTGCCGACTCCAAAGCTGCTATCACTACCATGTAAAGATCCTATCTTTATGGGGTAAACTAGATCTTTCACAACAATAAAAGTTTAAATTCACCAGCATGTCTTGGTAACCTATGAAGATACCACTGCTGTTAGATTTACGCTTGATAAAAAAGACAAATCGGTGAGAAGTATGCAGATATCCAACATGTGTGTTGTACCTTAAGTTTTAAAGCGGGCAACGTTTCCTGTTTTTATAGGGTTTGGCTTCACCTTCTTGAACTATTTATTACCTGTTTATATTGAAACAACAATGTAAGCTTTTTGTCTACAGATACTGCTACAGAATACCAGACGGCTATCCTTTGGAATGTGCTGCTCCTTTGCTTTGTGCTGGAGTTACTGTTTACAATCCCATGATTCGTCATAAAATGAATGAGCCTGGTAAATCCTTGGGAGTCATTGGGCTTGGTGGTCTTGGCCACATGGCTGTAAAGTTTGGGAAGGCTTTTGGCCTGAATGTCACAATTTTCAGCACAAGTGAGTCAAAGAAAGAGGAAGCCTTGAGCGTGCTTGGTGCAGACAGGTTTGTTGTCTCCTCGGACGGAGAGCAGATGAAGGTGGGTGCTATTATCTACTACTACAAGTGAAGCTATTAGACTAAACTGCACTCAAAAGATCCCTGATGGCAAATGCTACTGCGGTTAACACAAAAAATTTCATGCAGGCCTTATCTAAATCTCTGGACTTCATAATCGACACTGCATCTGGTGATCACCCATTCGATCCGTACATGTCTATTCTGAAGACTGGGGGTGTTCTTGTCCTTGTGGGCTTCCCAAGTGAAGTGAAATTTAGTCCAGCAAGCCTCATACTTGGTAGTTCTCTTCTTCTCTTGACTAATTTAGCAGTCATTAACTTTAAGGTCAAAATATATCTTTGCTGATGTAAAATTAGCTGACATTCTTACTGATATTAAGGAAATCTCGTTCCTGTGGGTTGTAGGTACAAGAACTGTAGCTGGTAGTGTAACTGGTGGAACGAGAGTGACACAGGAGATGCTGGAGTTTTGTGCTGAACATAAAATTTACCCCAAAACAGAGGTGATTCCAATCCAGTATGTCAATGAAGCGCTGGAGAGGCTGATAAAGAGAGATGTGAAGTACCGGTTTGTGATAGATATCGCGAACTCGTTGAAGTAATCACCATGAAGAAGAGGAAATTTGAAAGACATAAACAGAAGGAATAATAAGGGCCAGTCCCAGAGAGATTTCACCTTATGTTGTGTGGTAAAGTCAATTATCTTATGGGGAACAAACAGGTCTTCTCTTTTTACAGACTTTTAAAGTACAAATAACAGATAGGTCTGCAGTTGGTGCGTTTAAGTTATACACAGACATCCAATGTTTGCCTTCTCCCTCCTCTTCCTCTCAGTATCAACCCCAGAGGAGTTATATATGTTTTTAGTTTGATTGAATTGGATGCAGGGAATGTACAGATACATTGGCTGGTAAGCGAATTTCGGCTGTCATCTTATCTGATCTCAATTCATAACTGCCATGTATTCTGCTGACTTCTGTTGGTTTCTGTGGGGGGCGGAGCTATTTTGTGTTGTGCTAACAGTACCATCTATACCAACTGCGTTTCCTTTCTGCCCTGCTCCTGCTGCTGTGGACAAAGCTGTATGGTCTCCACTTTTTCCCCATAGCACACTGTATAGCCCCAGAATGATTATCAGTGCCCCTACCAAGCTAAGGGCACCAGAGCACAAACAAAACAGTTGCTTCATCAATATCACGAAGTTGCTGAGAGGAACTGCCAGAAAAGAAAAACACAGGTACAGGGCAAGACTCACCTGCCAAGATGAAGTTGCTCCGCAAAAGCAATGGAAGAGAATGCCCCTACGATCACGAGAAGCAGAGGACTGAACATTGCAGCAAATACAGGACCCTTTTTGCTGATACACAATGTCTGCAGGTAGTACACCAATGTCGATATCACCACCCCCTGCACTCACCTCGATCTTGATTCAGATAACAGCCCAACATTTATGTGATAATTCTGACGTATGGAGGGTAAGGTAGGGTGGGAGAAAAACTGACACAGTACATGATAGTCGCGAGCTCCACGTTCCACTCCAGCTTCAACTTCCATAGGGCAGGATCTCTCGCGAATAAAAGTGCGAGCAGAGATGATTGGATTGACGCAAAGAAGCAGATCCAGGCGTTGAGCGACAGACGCGCAGGGTAGATCTTAGAGACAATGCCCTGACTCAAACATGAATGCCAAAGAAATGGTCTTGTTAAGTAAGGTGTAATTGCAGAGGCAGAGCTACCATAGACGAAGAATGACGCTGCTGCAACGAGGAATGCTTCTACGCTTCATACCTGTAGAATCAACCAGCCACTCCAAGCAATGTAGCTAGTAAGGATCAGAGCAGAGCCTTTGATCCAACCTCGATCCTTGTCATGATCAGCTCCGCCCTGGCTTGCGCTGTATGAGATATCTAAGAGAGGCTGCTGCAGGGCAAGATGACCCTGAAACAGAGAACCACCTTTCCAGAACGTAAACACAAGTGACCCAGCAACGCATATCATCGTCCCCAACACCTTCGCCCGCCCTCTACCGCAGCCTACCTTCACCTGCTCCATTCTGATCATATCGAACACAAATCGTTCACAATCGGTACATGTAATCATTCCTCTGCCTCGATTAAGGTTTCAAATTCGTAGTACGGTACCCGAGTAGAAGTGCCATGGCGAAGGTGAGGCTAGGGATGACATTACTGAGAGCACTGGCAACTGTGGCCGTTGTGCATGTCAATCCTGCATAGTAGATATTGAGGTGTACCGTTGTCCCGAGTGACGAGAGCGCCAGTATCTTGACCATCACAGAGAAGCTGAGTGAAGGCCTCTGTTTCCTGCAGCCATAGTTGCATTGCAGATTGATTAATTCATTGCGCGAGTACAAATATACATTGGTAATTGGCTGCAGCTTTATAATAGTCGTCTTACCTTTCGAGTACATAAGCGAAGGGAGCTAGCAGTAGGAAAGCAATAGCGTGGCGGTAAACCACAAGCACAAATGGGTTGAGTCCTTTGTCGAGGGAGATCTTGATGAGGATGTTTGATACACCGTAAGCCAGTTGGATGAAGAGCATAGCCACATACCATCTGCACCTGCTAATTCCCATTTAGAGAGAGAGTGAGGCAAGAAAGAAACAGGGGAAAACAGAGGTCGAGAGAAGAAAGGGCTGGGTTACAGTAGGCTAAGTAACTAGCAGAAATGGAAACTAACAAACAAGCTTTTTCATTCCACTGGAACATCATCGGTAAAATAAGAGGGATAATGCAGAAGGAAGTGTCTAATAGGTAGGTCGTGGAATTCAGAATCAGCTAAGCAATATGCTCAAAAAGAGAGACGCATGCATGCATTAGGATTGTCTACCTAACTCACCATTTCTAATTACACTGACATGACTACAACTGTTATTTTAAGTTATATGTGTATTCTTGTGTTCAGAGGGGGAAAAAGAGGAAATCAAAGTAAGTGTTTGTGTGATATATAGTGGCACAAACTAATAAGATTGGTTGAGGGAATTAGGCTATGCTATATCTGTTCGTAAACTAATAGTGTCTGTTGAGGCAATAGCCAATAAGGCTATGTTATATCTGTTTATAGTATGGTTGGCTATTTTCTCTCGACTATTTGGGGTTATCCGAAACCGGACCGAACCTGGATAGTAAACAATCCAACCCAATCTTCGGGCTTAGATTTGAGGTATAAAACCGTTTGGGACCGGATAGAAAACCGGATAGGAGAGCCCACACCCAATATTTAACCAACTCCCCACCATTTGAGTCTTCAGGCCACTCAAAACCCCACAAGTTCAATCTAAAATCAAGATCGAATTGGGACCAGACCGGGTCAAAGACCGACCGGATCAAAATCGAACTGTTTCCAATCCAATTTTTGGTCCTTATATTCTCGAAAAAACCGGACTGGAACCAGATCAATTCGGGCCAATTTAACCGGACCGGACCGTATAGCCACCCCTAGTTTATAGTAAAATAATTTGAGTTTTCAAGAATCTTATAACATTAGTTAGCACATTCCGTCAAATGAAAGCGAATTCATATGAGTTTGAAGTGTGTGTATATGTCTTAGTATCGTATGCTTAACAAATGAGATTGTAGGATTCAAATAGAAGACTCGAATATCATATCGGAAACACGTTTTTATCAATTATTTGAATTGTCGGAAGATATTCCATTATTAATTTTTACTTGTAAAATTTGATAACTCAGAAAAGTAAAGAACATGTGAATTTACATGGTATCCTCATTCAAGAGGAATGAGACTAATCCATAGAAGCAAAGCTCCAGAGAGGAGTTTCACTATGATGCGGCCGATCCTGTCACCTTGATGTGAAAAAGAGACCTACCTGTTAGTGTTGTGGTATATGATCCACGATTGAACCTCTCCCAACAACTCGAGTTATTGGGATCAACTGGTTCTTAACACTACCAAGGTGAAAAGCCTTCTGTGTGTACGTAAGATTGGACCGTGCCTCATAGAAATCAAGTTGTAAGAAATTAAAAGGTGGTAACTATTTACATCCCAAACACACAAATAGATAAGAATTTCCCAAGCGGTAGTAATTAAATGGACTAAATGAAGAGATAAGTAGTAGGAAGCAGAAAACAACAACATTGGCCGCATGCAGCAGCAGCTCAGAGTCGGCAGAGCGGCAGAGCCGATAACCCTTATCATCATCGTCACGTCAAAGTCGGTTTAACCGACTAGCAAATGGCGGTGCTGGCCTTCATAAATAAAAGGCCTCAACGACACGTCTCTCCAGTGTACCAAGAGCGAGCTTCATATATCTTCGAATTACCGTTTCCAGGATTAAAGTCGGGAAAAAACATGGAGAATTATCAGAACCAGTACGGAGCAACCCGCCGCACCACCGGCGAGTACGGGACCCACACCGACCCAGCGGTGGGCCAGCAGGTAGACGAGTACGGCAACCCGATAATCCATCCCTCGGCTGCACCCGGCTATGGCGCTGCCGGTACTACTACCACCGGTGTCGGACTTCATCATGGAAAAGAAGCTGGCCATCATGGAATCGCCGGGAAGCTCCATGGCTCCGGCGGCAGCTCATCCAGCTCCAGCTCATCGGAGGACGACGGGTACGGAGGGAGGAGGAAGAAGAAGGGACTGAAGCAGAAGATTAAGGAGAAGATCCCCGGGGTCCACAGTAGTAGTGGGGAACCTGAGCATCCACAGGCTACTTCCACCACCACGCCCGGCGGCTACCATTCCGCCGACGAGCCTCATCACAAGAAGGGAGTGATGGAGAAGATCAAGGACAAAGTCACTGGCACCCATCACAACTATTAACCACCATCATCATCATCATCGATCGGAGTCTCTCTTTTATGTGCGTGTGTTATACTGTCTGTACGTATAAATAATGATAATAAAAATAATTCCATGGCGGGTGGATGTACTGTGTACAGAGCTCCGTAGTTTCTTTTATGTATTTTTGTTCGAGTTCTCTTGTTTGTTTCTATACCATATATAGTAGATGTGTGAAGATTACGGAAGTAATAAAATGATGTTATTTCCTAAAAAATATATATAGCTTGAAACAAGAACAAGAGCCGTGAGATGAAATCAATAATTTCTCTTGAGTTTGGATGCTAAATTCTATCATATTTACCCAAGAGTAATTTTTTTTTAATTGGGATGACTTGGGGTAAATTCTCTAAATATTGCTTTATTTATTTTATTTATCATGAATATAGTGAATTAAAAAATATTTATAAGAATATTGTGTTTTGAAGGGAGAAGGAGGCGAATCCGCATGAGTAGGTAAAATAACATTATTCAACTTGAACCCGTCCCAGACTCGGGCGGATCCGCGTGAGACTCAAGTTTATTGTGTCAGAAAATATAAAAGAAGCAATTACGCGTGAGTTAAGCACAAATTAACAAGGGAATTGGAGGATTAATTAGGAGAGTAAAAGTGGAAAGAAGAGAGATGAATTAAGAAAGAGAAAGAGATGGATCAGAATTTAATGGGGGAGATTAGGGGGTTGGATTGAAAATATGGATCAGAATTTAATTGGTCCCGTCTCTCTCCTCTTGTTTCCACTTTTTTAGCTCTTCAACTAATCCCCAAATTAGATTCTGGTCCATCTCTTTCTCTTTCTACGTCCGTCTCTCTTCCTTCCACTTTTATTCTCCTAATTAATCCCCTAATTTTATTGTTAATTTGTGCTTAACTCACGCGTAATTGCGTATATTATATTTTCTGACACAATCACGCGGATCCGCGCGAGTTTGGGGCGGGTTCGCATGGGATATGGCTATTTTGCCTACTCATGCGGATTCGCCTCATCCTCCCTTCAAAACACAATATTCTTGTAAATATTTTTTAATTCACTATATTCGCGGTAATTAAAAAAAATAAAATAATATTTAGGGAATTTACCCGATGACTTGCTATCTTGGTTTTGGGAATATAATTGATAGATTTATTGTATGAATGTATATGATCAGAATTTTCAATTACTCTTTGTTCATTTTACTCTTACGAAAAATCAAAGATAATTTGTAATTCACGTAATTTTTTATTTATAAATTCGACATATGGTAGAAGGCTTCCTTTAAGAAAAATTCTCGACGTTGAATTATTATTTTTACCTGAAAAATTTTCACTTCATTCAAATTATGATGAGTCCTGCTGGGTATCCCCGCCCTGGACGATATCCAATATGCAAACTCACTAATTTTAGAAATCATTGATCTTCCTCTTCTCGAAAATGAAATGTTTGTTCCTTTGTTATTCGTCTATCATCCATTTGTTGTCCTACTTGTGATCAGGAAAATAAGAATTATGAAATTTGCATACTTTGATTCGATGAACTTCTATATTATTTCTTCAGCAAATATATGTTATTCAAAGACTCTTTCAGTCGTCAGAACCAACTTAGCTGTATAGTTCATGGAGATTGATTGGTATCATGAATTGTAACGCCGGGTAGGTTCCCTGCAAAATTCTAATTACAGAATCCCAAATTTCGTTTTGTCCTCACTTCCAATGGGCTTAGGGTACCATTTGTTGGGCTCTTATGGGAACTATAGATAAGGACCAAAACGACAACTAATACATACATTATATGCATCGATGATTCATTAAGAAGGGTTCCGTGGCGGAAAATTTTATGAATAATGTTAAAAATAGATAAAGCCAAGGGCAAGAAACTATGCAGAAAAAGTTGGAAAATGGGTTGGAAAAGCTGCGAGCTAGCCAATTAGAAAGTTGATTACTATGTTATTATTCTTATAATTTATACCAATTCAGCATACATGTAAATATTCGGTTTTCCAAATGTATTCCGGAGATTGATTATAAGGAAGACATCATCGTTCACGCGAGGACAAGGATGCCAAGTTAAACAAGAGAATTATGAAAACAGAAAATTAAAAAAAAAAAAACAAAGCCCATCTTGTGGTTTGGACAGCATAGGTCAAATAAATAAGAGTGATTATCAAAGAGATTATAAATTAACAAATTAATTACGTGATATTTTATTAGTAAGTCATTCTTTCTTTTAATTTTATGTCTGGTCGAGGCTACCACAAACATTTGCACAGTTACATGACCCCGTCATCGCCATGGTTGAAAACAGCAACCAGACTTCTATATCTTATATGTGAATCAATAACTAATACTGGAAATTGGTTGTTGAAATTTAGATATGAAATGATCTTTGATGAGGATTGAATCACGATCTCATTTCACTGTTGTTTTATCTGACCACTATTGCGAATTGCGATCTTTAAAGACCAAACTTTCAAAAATAAAACTTAAGTGAATTGTATTAGGTGATGAAATTCGACCACGAAAATTCGCAGTTAAAAAAAGGTAGTATTGTAACGATTCAAATCCAATAGCACCTAATTATATGTTGAGATGAAGGCTAAAGTATATCGTCTATGATTCTCTTACAAAAATATATTTTATATAGAGCTGGAAGTTAGGTATTGGTATTTGGGATAATCCGAATACCGTACCGAATTTATTGCTATTTGGTATATTTTTAGGGATTATGATTATTTTTAGTGCTATTTGATATTCGGGATTATGAGATTGGGATCAGTATATAACAAAATACCAAGAAATACCAAAAAGTAAAAATTATTGAAATATAGCACACAACCTTTGGTCATATTCCTCACTCTTTCACAATTTAGAAGTCCTCATCCAACTCAATTTTGACTTTCTCGTTTAACTCACTCTCGTCTCTCACCTAATCTCTTGTTATTTTCATAACACCAAAAAGCAAACACTAGTATTAGTGGTCTCTCAGCGCCTCCAATTCATCAAATTAAAGAATACCAATGACAAGAATTTGAGATGTCATCTTTCCTCCATTCTCCTTATCTATATCCTAGCTCTAGCAATCTCAAGACTCGTTGCTTAGTCTATTTGCCCTAAATTAAACAATCAAATCTAATTTATATATAATTATTAATGACAAAGATAATTAATTTTGTATTCGATAATATCGATTGGTATACCAAAATATTTTGAGATTGAGATACCGAAATTATTTGAGATTGAGATTGATTATAGGGTATAATTCGGTATTCGGAATTTTGATATTTGATATTGGGATACCGATACCATACCGATTTTCACCCTAATTTTATAGGATCAAAACAGTATATATATCATATCATATGCAAGATCAAAGTATTTTCCTTTGATTTGTTATACACCCACTCACCATCAACTATAATAGCATTTTTTTTCTTCCTAAAGAATAATAAAATAACATAAAATATCGGTTTGACAATGAGCATCGAATTGTCCAGATGTATACTAGTTTTTATTCTCTATACTTTGGTTGTCTTTGTCATTGATTGATCATCTCGACGACAGGAAGTCCTTTTTAATTACAGCACTTCCCGGGGGCTTTTACAATCAGTACAAATCAAATCAGCTGGCTGCAGACACTTGCAAATTCATAGCTAAGTTACTATACATACTAGTTTACTGTAATGTACTTTCCGTAAAAACCAGATGAAAATGAACAAGTGGGTTTCAATCGAGGGAACCCTAGAACCTTGACAACTTGATATTAGTATTATAAGTTTTTCCCCATTGAGTAAATTCCTAGAGAGAACGGACTGAGCATATATATATTAGAATATAAATTTAAAACAGAGATAGATCGAATAATAGTCTAGCTAGGCAACTTGTAAAATCAAGGTTGTATACCCGTGAGTTGATTGGCCAGTCAACCGCTTCAAGATGAACTTAATGTTCTGAACGAGAGACATGAATCCCGTTAGTAGTTGCACTGAAATTGGTCAAAATGGTCAAGAAGACAGGGAGGATGAAGGGGAGGAATGATTAAAATAAAAGTTCATTATTAGGCCAAACCGAGTTGACCCCGATACAAGCACTAACTCGAAACTCAATTGCTCGATCGGGCTGACGGATCGATCTGGATTGACAACATCACTGTGTACTACACTCAACATGCCAGCTATCTAGCCAAGCATATATACATATAGATATAGAGTAGGTAAAAGTATGAGTAAGAAAGAAAGAGATTGTGTTCATTATTGTGTATTTCGTCACAATAAGTTCGAAAACTCGTATATACATTTCTATATTGGAGTTCATGTGACATTTTATGTTGACAGTCCCGGCCACTTGATCAATTAAGTATTTTTATCAATTCGACGACCTTAGTCGTAAATGACTTCTATCTTAATAACTACACCTGAAAATAAATATTGTGTGTTATAGAAATTCCTACGTGTAATCACATTAAGTTGTATAATATATATGACCGTTTTCACAAGCTACACTATCTTACAGTAAAATATGCAAATTAATATTTGCATGATCTGTACGTGTTAACTTATTAAGTAATAGTTACAATACAAAATTCAAAATGAATCATGATTTTTATGCAAAATTTAAAAGAAAATGTTTGTAATTTGAGCTGTGAGACAACAACAAGAAAATAAGAATGCAGAAATGGAACTTATTTGCCAAGTCATAACAAGGAAGTGGGCAGTAGTCCAATCCATGTTCAGATTTAGCACATTTTTTACTCCTAACTCGTTTGGAACCTGCGTTAGCTCCAACTACGTACATACGTATTATGTACCATCCCATCCGACGTCAGCATGTATTATGTGTTGGCCGGAGGGAGCCGAAAGGGGCCCGCCGGCAAAATTATTAACCGGAGACCAAAACAAGAAATAGCAGGAAACTTCGTTTTTGCCTCGATATAATTTGGAGTTGTCAGAAAAATATTACACATTAAAAATTAAGAGAACTCAAAGTTACTGCCGGATATTATATATATAGTAGCTACTATGCCTGACATTTTAGTTCAGCACACAGTGGCTTGGATGTTGTTGATCTTATACCGTGAATGTCGATTTCACGGCTAAAATAATAATGAAAATCAAAAGGACCGATGGATTTATTGCACGTGGCATGCTGCAATATCCATGGATTACATCATATCATCAGCCTAGCACCGAGGAGACGTAGAGAAGAGGATCCCAAGAAGAACCGCCGGCGCCGGTGGGAGGCGGCGTCCAACCAGTACTATTATTATTGTTGTTGTTGAGATCGTAGTGCATAAACTGGTGCTCCGACGACGGCGCCGTCCAAACAGCCGGATTTTGATGTTGGTGATGATCTTGATGATGATGAGGATGATGATCCATTCCCATCCCTAGCTCTAGAGCGCGCGTTCTATCCAAATTATTACCGTGAGTCGTGTAATTCCCGTTAACCGTCGATACATCCATGCCGGGGCCAGAGTACGCCGACGACGACCGGAAGTTGCTGGATTGATCATGCAGCGACCACGACGAGCTGGTCGTCGCCCCGCTACTACTGCTGCCGTCGAACAAATTGTTAACCACCATGTCGGCTGAAACTTGTTGGAGGTGTTGGTGGTGGTTGTTGTTCAGCTGTGACGCCGGTGGCCACGCCATTTGGTGATCTCCGTGATACGACGTCGCTGCGGCGGGAAATTCGTGATGGTTGTGTTGACTAGGCCATGCTCCCGTAGGGGCCGTCTGTTGCCACTGTGACGACATTGGACCCTTGGCTTTTTTCCAGTAATTCGAGTCGTTGAGATTAATTGCTTCGTTCGTCGTATCTTGACGGTAACGTCGGGAATGATCTTGATCGTGGAGTATTTGATTTTGATGTTGTTGTTGTTGTTGTTGCGGTTGATGATGATTGTCAGTCGTGAACATGTTATGATCCATAACATGATGATCACGCCGACCATCCCCCTTCGCCCGAGCCTCCATCCCGGTCGAACCACCAGCGAAACCAGCAAAACCGATCGGGTGGTTTGGTTTCGGGGGCTTGGGTGGCCTACTACTACTGCCAATGTGAGCCGCTGGTGGGCCGGCTACATGACCAGGATTATTATTCATAGGGATTGTGTTGGCCGGTAAGGTCTTCTCATTGTCTTTCTTAGTACTCCCGCCGGCGGCGGGAGCTGAGCTGGACGCGTTGTTGCTGTTGCTGTTGCTGTTGTTATTCTTGTTGTTGTTTGGGTTGATTCGGAGACCTTTCCCGTCGAGCAGCTTGGCCTTGAGGGCGCCGAGAATCCCGTCGGACTCGCTCCCGGTCCCACAGACCTCCTCGAACGAGAAAGGCTCGATGCTGTCGGCCCCACCGCGGCCCCCGGCGTTGGACGAAGGGTTGGGAAGCTCGAAGTTCGTGCGCGCGTTGTCCCCACGCAGGGCGCGGGCCGCGTCGTCGTAGGCGCGTGCGGCGTCCTCGGCGGTGTCGAAGGTGCCGAGCCAGAGGCGCACTTTTTGGAGCGAGTCCTTGATCTCCGCCACCCACCGCCCCGACGGCCGCTGCCGGACCCCGACGAAGCGCTGGTGGCCACGCCCCGTCGCCTTCTTCTTCGCGCGCGTCGAATCGCTCGGCGATGGCGCCCCCATTCTGGCGATCGCGCGTGACGGGATCGATTAGGCTATATAATTGATGGGAAAGAGAGGGAGGGATAAAGAGAGGATTTGTAAATTTCTGGGAAGGGGAATGAATGAATTTTCGAAGATGCGGGACTATATTAATGGCAACCGAGGGGAGCGATTAAGGACAACCGAAGTGGCCAATATCAGCAGCTTTCATAAACTAGTATTTCATTTATTTTTTTATGAGGATTTAAATATGTTAAATTATTTATTTTATATTTTGATCATATAGTTAGGAAGGGACATTGCCAACAATATTGCCTTGCCTGCCTTGCTGCAGGCCGTGTTGATGATATCGACGATTAAAGAGACCAAACCAAAGGAAAGGAAAAAAAATAAATAAATAAACCATACGCTAAGAAACTATAATAAGATGAAAATAGGGGAGGGAAAAAGGATTTATATTATTATTATTGGTAATAAATTTTCTTGTGAAAGCCGTAAAAAAAGAAAACGTTGCAATCAATCCTACTGGGAACCAAGATGAAAAAGGACAAAAACTAATTCCTAATTAGCTAAGGGTTGTTTCCATACTTTCTTCTGGATTTTATGTTTCTTTGTTAAAAGACATAGGTTAGGCCGTTAATCATACATGATGCATACTTAAAAAAATATGACAGTATACCTACCAGTGAGGTATCTTTATGGTGATTTGGAATTGGGGTACGATGAGTAGTTTGATGGACAATTTTGGTCGATAGCTGGTCATCATTAATGGGCATAATTCATAATATGGTTCATAATGACCGATATGACGACATAAGGTGAGTCGCTCAGATGATATCATCACAAAACTTATTTATCGTGTAGGTCAAACTTTCAGTCATGTTTCGTCAAACAATTATATCTTCAATGTGCGCCAAAACAATGAAATGTATTTTTTAAGTGTGTATCATTGAATGGCATCTTCATCACTTATCTCTTGTAATATTTTCCTAAGATATCTTGTGAATCTATAACACAAATCCAGTGTTAATGACTACTTCGTTTATGATTGGATGATAGAGGACTATATACCAAAAAGATCTCATTTCTGTATGTCCAAATTGCTTATAAAGTTGCATACATACCGGATGATTTTGCTAAATCGAAACCATAAATCAACATGGAAGATTCAGTACTTCTTGGTAAGGTAAAAAAAAAATATTGATTCCCCAACATCTTCGGATTGGCTCGAAGATTCATTTAAGATGGGAAGCGTCATTTAAATGGGATAAACTTTTTCCAAAGTGAAATTGGGCAAGTAAAACAAAGTATGAATGGGATCAATAGTTGGAATAACTATCATTAAGCATATAAACTAACCTGGAACGAAACTGACAAAAGGAAAAAGACAAACGAAAGGAGCGAACCAAAGAAAGCAACATCAACATTAGTATTCGTTTTCTATTTCTTGGCGATGCATTTGATTTGTTTCATTTCATGACACAAAGTTTGATTTTACGCACCGGCTGTCTACTACTCTCCTAGATTACTCCATCTAGCTATCTATGCATACGAACGAATACGACGACGCTACCAATATTCTAATTACCATGTCGCTGAACTGGCTACGATGATGACGATGCTGTTGCATCCACCATCGGGGTGCGTTCCTTCAAGCTTATCTGACACTCTGCCATTGGTAACCCTCTCACTTGAGGAATCGTATAATCCTTATTGGGGCTTTGATAATTGGTTTGCCAATATGACAGTTAGACTCGTTTTCCTGTTTTCAAATCGTCTAGCAAACCCTTGTTATGAACAAAGCAAACGGCCTAGAATTCGAGTCTCGACTACTCACAATATCAAGTAGTAGGGCTGGCTATTTGGTCCCGGATTGTTTGGTTTTATCCGAAATCGGACCGTATAATCCGGACCGGGACCGGATAACAAACAATGCAAACTCATACTCGGGCTTAGATTTGAGGTAAAAACCGGATAAAGACCGGATAAGAGACCCCCAACACCTAAAATCAAGATAAAATTGGGACCGGACCGGGTCAAGACCGGACTGTATCCAATCCAATCTTTGGTCCTTATATTCCCGAAAAGACCGGACTGAGACCGGATCAATTTGGTCCAATTTAACCGAACCGGACCGTATAGCCACCCCTATCAAGTAGTTATTAACGAACAAACCACTCAGTCTCAATAATTCGAGTTGTTAGAAAGTGATTTGTTAATTTTTTCTCTCTCTCTCTTACACGCTTCCTCAAATGAAAGTCTATTTGTAGGGTTTTTTACAGTTTGCACAGGTTGAACATACATCCCCTATGCTGCTAAACCATTATGATTTCAGTTTGTACAGGTTGGTCATATTATCCTCTGTGCTAAATCATTGTTTATATTAAGGGTTATCATAAGGATTCGAAATCGTGACCTCTCGATCGTAAGCTTTGATACCATGTTGATTGATAAACGACTTATTATCTCTTGGTATTGCATACCTATGCATACAACATACTTATGACAAAACATTTCCAATAATTAGAATTATTGAAACAAACTGATTTTCTACACTTATTTATTTATTCTCGTTCTCCCTGTTTGCTCTTCATTTTAGCAATTATTATCATAGTCCATTAACAGTGTTTCGAATTTGGTGAAAGCTAGCTACCTTTCGTATAGTAAGGACTAAGGAGTAAGGAGTAACGAGGAGGATGCGAAAGGGAATATGGAGGAGGTGTATGAAGACAGGTAGAGAAGATGAAGATTGAAGAGGAAGCAACCAAGGATGATGCAAATGGGTAAGTAGAAAGGATTAGTAGTTAAGTCAGAAATTCAAATGAAAAGAGTTTAAAATTTAAGCTTAAATTTTTTAAAATGAAGATAAAAATGAAAACTTGTCAAATTACTATATTTCTAAAAAAAATACAAAAATTACATGTAAAATTTACATAACTTTAAAAGTTAAATGAACATAGTTTTCCATACCATCAACGTGACTCCTCACGAAGAGGAGGTGTATGAGAAGGTAAAAAAAGAGGATAGAAGGCGATAGGAGTGATATAGAGTACACGAGACAGAGGGGAAAATTATAAGCTACGAGTGGAGTTTTTTTAATAAAATCATTTGAAATTTTATTTTAAGTAGTAATAGAGTTACTTCACATGTCCATCCTCAATTTAGGTACAATAAAAATAGGAGGTCTTGAAGTCCAAAACTCTTCTTCTTCCCATCTACAAAAAGTGTTAGCCATATGGTGGGCCGCCCTATTCTTCTTTCCTCCTGCATAGGCCCATTCAACCCGTCCATACAAGTTCGCCTTTTCCAGGAAAATCAAAAGATAATAAGAAAAAAAGACAAAGAATCAAATATGTGATAAGAATAGTTTTGCATCGCTAAGGGTGACCATGATCTCCCAACTTCAATACAATAGTATTCTTTTTGGCATGTCCTCATTGCTCAACAAAGTATATTATCCAAATCTTATACTCTAGCATAATCATCATAGACTGCATATATCTATCAAGCAATTACTTAACATATGAGCAATTACAATAACAAAAATTATGTCCACTCTCCAAATCATCAGAACAGAACACAGAAAGATTATCCCATAATTTTTCTTCTTCGTATTTTCTGTAAGAATTTTGTCCATCAAGTCATGAACTACTTTTTTTAGAATTATATTTGTATAATATTTTTGTCTAACTCTTAATGTAAAAATTAGAATATAACATTAATACATAATTTGAATATTGCTAACCACTCTACTCCTTCATTCCCTCATTCACCTCAATCAAAATCCATTCGTGAGAAGGGATCACTACCAAAATAGTTAGACTCAGACTGAGCAATTGAGCCAAGGGTCAAATGTGGGATGATCCGGATTGAGTCGCTTCATACAAATCTTTCAGAGAAACATACTTTCCTTGTAATGATTTGAGATTTTAGTCATTGAATTATAATTAATTGGTTTTAAAAACAAAAGTTTTAAGATGTCGAGAGCATATTAATTTGGATGAAAAAAGTTTATTGGATATGCATATACAGATTTTCACTCATGATATGGGTTGTGTTTGACCAGGATTAGTGCCGGGTGATTAGTGTAGAGCCTGATTTGGACTCCCTCGTCTCGTATCCTTGGGAGTGGAAGAATCTTGTGGAGCAAGGTTGTCAAACCGGTTTATACCGGTGTGCCAGTTTTGAAAGTGGAATGGTCCGACCGTGGTACAACCAGTATTCACGCCGGTTGTGCCGGTTTTAATAAAATATATGAGACAAATGAAAATCCTCAATTACAAATAAATTAGTCATCAAAAAACAATTAGAAAAATTATTTCACACAAAATAATTTATAGCTAAGAATTGGTAACTCATACTAAACAATTAGATACTTAAAAATAAAAGTATATAAAATGAATTTTATTAATGTTTATAATAATTTGTGTAAAATTAAGAATTAGATATATAATATATAAGGTTAATATATACAACAAAGTTGTTTGTAGCCTACTGGTGTATAAGTGAGACTAAAATGAACATGAGGTACTTGGTTCAAATCCTAAGGAAGATGTTTATTTGTGGATAAAGAATGTGTAACATTTGAATTCCGGTTTCTGGTCTAACCGACCGGAATTGACCGGATCTGATCGGCATTGACCGGATTTGATCACAGTTAAATACCGGCCTCTTCCAGCCGGTTTGGTGACCGGTACCGATTGTACCCGGTTGAACCGGCCGACATGAACCGGTTTGACAACCATGTTGTGGAGAGTCAGAGGCGGCCCCCGTGATCTACACTCCGACGCTCAAATCAGTAATGATAGATGATAGTGTAGAGAAAAATGTAGAGAGATATAGGGTTTAGAGAGAGAACCATAAATGGTAAAGTGTGGGAAGGAGAGAAGTCCCCATGCTTGGAGGTAGGAATGGCAATGGGGCAGGTCCAGGGCGGGTATCTCGATACCCATACCCGCCCCATGGCAGGTCGGGTACAGGTCGGGTAATTTATTACGGGGCGCGGGTCGGGGCAGGTCGACCCATTGGGTATGTAATTTATGTGAAAAACATTAGAAATATTCGTTCTTTTCATTGAAAGACCAAGAAAGAAACCATAATATGATAAAATGTAGTTAAATTATTGAAGAAATTGAGATTTTCACTTATTTACAACTTTATTATAGCTAAAATATAATGTAATAAGAGGAAAATCTTAAGTAATTTCACTAAGATTATATGTAATTTAGGCAAGAACGAGTCGAGAATGGGGCGGGTCAGGGCAGGTCGGGTAGATGAGAGGTACCCATGCCCGCCCCGCCTACGGGGCGGGTTTGACCCGCCCCAAAACAGGTCAAACAGGTCGGGTAAATCGGGTCAGGTCGAAATTGCCATCCCTACTTGGAGGGTCTGGCCTCCTTATATAGGAGTCGGAGGTATCCAGTGGATGCCTCCCGTTGTAATGGACGCCCCCGGTAGACTGCATGCCTCCCGTCGATGGACGGCTTCGGGTGGACTGGACGCCTCCCAGTATACTAAACCCTAGAATGAGTTTGGGTCCAAGGTGAGACGTTTTGTGGTGGGCTTGAACCCGTATTAGGCGGGTTAATACTAGACCCAAGAGGGTGTTTGCTGATCCGTCTATTTTCTTAAAAAAGGTTTATACTAACCATGAGATGATCGCTTCGGGTGGACTGGACGCCTCCCAGTGTACTAAACCCTAGAATGAGTTTGGATCCAAGGTGAGACGCTTTGTGGTGGGCTTGAGCCCGTATTAGACGGGTTAATACTAGACCCAACAGGGTGTTTGCTGATCCGTCTATTTTGGATGGAAAAACTTGACTGAAATTTGATAGAATGATCATCTCATGGTTAGTAACTTAGTATAAACCTTTTTTAAATAATAAAAATCTAAGGGGTCGTTTGGAAGTTGCGATTGTTTTGTTGAGATTGTCATTACGCATGTATTGTTTACAATGCATCGTTTTTTTGTTTTTTTAGCAGAAACAATACATGGATTGTTTCTGTGATGTGACAGAAACTATCACTCATTTTGAGTGATTGTTATATCTCAACTTTTAGTTGTGATTGTTGAGATAGTTGAGTTGAGATTGTTTTGTCTCAGCTTTTAGCTAATGCGACATACACAATCACACATACCAAACGTTGTATTCTACAATGCATCAATTTCGACAATACATGTATAATATTATACATGCATTCTCAACAATACATCTATTTAACAATCGCAACTTCCAAACGACCCCTAAGCCACCATTTTGTTTGTCTTTCCAAAGTTAGTGACCACATTTGTAACTAACCGTCAAATTTTAGATTTTTTTTTATGGAGTCAAATTTTAGAACTTAGAAGCAACGCTACACGCTCCTGCTTAAGCGGGCGGGAAAACAAGATCCCGGGCGACGAGCTTGAAAAGAAAGCTACCAACTGGTCGGTGGTTTCTCCTTATAAAAGACACAGCCGAGTGGGGTTTCTTGGCGTTTATTCTCATCGGCTTTCTGCTACTCCTGGGGGGACTCGAATTTGATCTGCTCCTCCGTCTACGTAATTCACTGTTCGCCGTCTCTCTGTATCAGGTAACTGATCAACAACTCCATCGATTTCGATTCGCTCCTTAATGCATGCGTGTATACGTGCTCCGTTTTCTTTCTTCTTCTTCTTCGTCTTAATCGCGGTTTATTCTGATTAATTCCGTACCCGCTCTTCGTATTTCAGGCAGCGCTTCTTATTAGTCGCCTCGGAGTTCCGTTCCGTCTAAGCAACAATGGCCGGTTTTCCCAATCGTAAGTGTTCTTCCGTCTTCGTGTTGCTTCGTGACTAGCGTCACTTGAATTCGTCGTCGCCTGTTGCGCTTTGATTCGGATTTCGGTGTTTTGTGATGGTTCCAAAAGTTTCCCTTCATAATCTCTCATTCAGGGTAACTGCTCCTAGGCCGGTACTAATCAATCTCGATCGTCGGAATGCGTTTTCCTTTTCGATTATAGTTGTTTATCCTTGGACTTGGATAGGCTGTTTAGGCTATTTCTCATTCCACACTTTCATGATGGTCGAGGCAGATCAGCGTTGTTAGACTTTTTAGGGTTCAAAGCTATGTGTTTAATTCTGTGCCTGCAAGCTTTGGTGCATGACTCTTTACAGAAGAAAACAAATAAAATTGATGCATGGCATATTAACTTGTCCTGAGATTGGTGGCGTCCGAAGAGTTGATGTTGATGAACCTGATATGGCGTGATACATTGTTTCGATAACTTATGTCTGGATTTGCATGCTGAATGTGGAATGTAAAGGAACTCTATGATGAGTTCAATTGCAGTTGTAACAGTCTTCTGTCTCTAGTTACTGTTTCTTTTCAATGACACATTTTTTGACCAGGTTTTGGACAGACATCAAGTAGCCCTTTTGGGTCATTAGGCTTTGGCCAGGCAAGTGGTACTACCAAGAATCCTTTTGCTCCCACACCCTTCGGTGTTCCAACCCCTTTTGGCTCTCACGCTGGGAATTCCATGTTTGGGGGAACTTCAACAGGTAAGTTCGGTGCACCATCCTCAACCTTCCCATCTACAACATTTGGGTATGTCTCGCCATCTCCTGCATTCGGAAGCTCAATGCCTGCTTTTGGAGTATCTAGCACTCCTGCTTTCGGTAATTCTCCGCCATTAGTCGGGGGTAAGTTTAGTTTTGTATTAGCAAGCCCATCCTGTTGGTGTCCTACTTGTGGTTGCTGTGACATAAGATGATTGTATTATGTGATTGTGCACATAGACATATATGGTATGTATACCAATGATTGTGTTTACCTTGTCTTCCGATTGTTTTTTCTGCTTCCCCATGGCTTTCATTTCTTCGTCTCCAATTCTATGAGGCTGCGTTAATCCGTTTTGAAGTTGTAGCATAGCAGTCCAGGCTAGTTTACTGTTAGAGCTTATGATTTTGGTTTTTATATCTTCTCTCTACATTTCATTTCATATGCACAAATGGGTCTCCGATTGATCACCACAAATGTTGTCAATAGATCCCATATCTCAATATTCTTTGTGGCAGTATCCTATGTTTTCTGACTTGCTTAACAATTAGTTTAGTGGTCTTAACCTTCTATGCAGCAGCTAAGCTGCTGCTTTACTTGTGTTTATGGAAAAACGAATGTATTGTTGTTCTATCACGATATCCCTGTTGCATTGGACTGCAATCGGATGTATGCTGTGTTTTACATGGTCTTTGTTTTTCATGGCAATCTATTGTCCTCAATGCAGGGTCATCTGCCTTCCATCAGAATTCTGGTTTTGGAGGATTTGGGTCGAATACAACTCCAAGTCCATTTGGAGTCACAAACCAGCAATCACAGGGGAGTAGCTTGTTTGTTCCAATGGCACCTTCCAGGCCTGGCCCTGAGCTTGGATTCTATGGTACTAGCACGCCTGTCTTCGGTTTGGCAAGCACCCCTGCCTTTGGTTCAACAAACACCCTAGCCTTTGGTGCTGCAAGCACTCCAGCGTGTGGCACGACAGGCTTCCAATCATTTGGATCAACAGCAAATCCACCAGCTTTTGGTAGCACAGGGGTAGCCTCTGGTGTGTCTAGTACCCCAGGTTTTGGATCTTCAAATACTTCCATTTCTTGCTCATCAAGCACTCCAGCATTTGGGGTATCACATCCTCAAAACTTTGCTGCATCTAGTACTCCATCATTTACCTTCGTACCCAATTCAGCTTTTGGTCAGTCAACTGCTGCATTTGGAAGCAGTCCCTTTGGAGCACAGAGTTCTACATATGGTGGGTCTTTGTAACCTGATTTATGGTGATGAGCATTCAAAGTCCTTATAAGAGGTTATGCGCATGGAATTATAGTGGCTTTATATAATGTTTATTTGTCTTATGTGGTGTGACCAGGGTCCCTGCCGTCAACACCAAGCTTTGCAAGCTCAGGCTTTGGACAAGCACCAGTTGGTACACAGCGAGGAGGAAGTAGGGCAGTGCCCTATATAGGAACTGCTGACACAGAAGCCACACGAGGGCAGCCTGAGAAGTTAGAGTCAATATCAGCCATGCCTGTCTACAAAGAGAAAAGCCACGAGGAGTTACGATGGGAGGATTATCAATCTGGAGACAAAGGTGATTACTAGTAGAATTCGCTGGTGTTACTTGGAGTCAATTTCTGTATCTTGCTTATAAATCGTATGTATTGCAGGTGGGGCGCTTCCCTCTGGTCAACAATCTGGCCCAATAAGTTTTAGACCGCCAACAGCACAGTCAAACCCATTTGGTCCTTCATCTACATCTGCTAGTCTTTCTTTGAGTAATCCATTTGTTCCCAAGGGTTTTGGACCATCAGCTGCCTCAGCTTTCAGTTCTTCAGCTTTGAGTGCTTCAACGGAAGTTAAGCCTTTTCAGTCGCCCTCATTTCCATCCACATCAAGTGGTGCATTTGCTACCACATCTCCATCTCTCTTTGGCCCATCAAGCTCACCGAGTCTTAGTTCTACACACTCCCTGTTTGCTTGTCCTACTAAAGCAACATATCCTACCGTGGCTCTTCCCAACTGTTCTTCTACATTGTTTGAAGTGCCCATGTCTTCGCTTGCACAAGCAGATTCTGGATTTCGACCAACTACCTCTGTCTATGGACCGAGTTCCACCTCTACATTTGGTCCATCAAACACATTCAGTACCCCGGTGGAAGGAAGCATTTCCTCAGGCTTTAGTTTCATGCCATCCCGCTTTACTTCTTCTGCTCAAGGAACAACTTCAGCATTTAATCCTACCATGGCTTTTCCCAACAATTCTCCTACACCGTTTCAAGCAATCACACCTTCACTTGCACAAACAGGTTCTCTATTTGGACCAACTACCTCTTCCATTCAACAGAGTAGCCCCTTGATATTTGGTCCTTGCGGTAAACCAGCCAGTTCGCTTCAAGAACGCCTTTTCTCAAGCACTCCATCTTTATTTCCTTCAGCCAACCCAGTGAGTAACTCTTCGAATCCCTTTTTCTTTTTCTTCCTGTCTTCAGGTTTTTTCTTTATGAATTTCTTGTTGAAATATGGCCCCTGCCTGCTTGGCGCTTGCAAATCGGTTTTCTGGTAGTTTTGAACACTCGAATTTCATATGGTTCTTATCTCTTCTTCTTTTGGTCATTGATTTTCCTTGGGAAGCTTTTACAACAGCATGCATTGTTTTGTTGGTTCATGCCCTGCCTTAAGTTGTGACTTTGTGAGAGTAAAGGGTGTGAATTTTAGTGTTGGTATATGCTGCTAAGTGTTTTATATGTACAGGTCTCTGCTGCAGCAACACCTTTTCAACCGGGTCCATGTAGCTTTTGCCTGTCTCGAGGTACGGAAATCATTCATGTATGCATGGATGCATGCTTGTATTTCCCCCACCATCATTTTTTCAAACCTTCCACTGAAGGTGTTTTAGATGGTTATGTTGATGCTTAAAGTTTCTTTTCTTACAGGTGGGGCAAGTTTGTTTGCTGATGCATCTGGTCAGGGCCCATTATCAACACCATTTGGTACTAGAACGGTACCTTATTTGGCAACCGATCAGGCAGAGTGGGGAAGAGAGCAGCCTGAACATATGAAGTTTCATTCTATATCCGCCATGGCTGCCTACAACAAGAAGAGCCATGAAGAGCTGCGATTTGACGATTATCAATGGGGAGATAAAGGTGATTCTCAGTAAAGATGTTACATAAAACAATTTGCAGATTGTGATTTGTGTTTATATACTGGAGTGAATTTCTGTCTTACTTCTATCTATAATTTGTTACTGTATTGCAGGTGGACCGAATCTCTCTGGTCAAGCTCCTGGTGAAACTGCTTCGACAGTCGAGTCGAACCCAGCTGGTCCATCATCGGCATCTGCACAATCTTCGGCTAATCCATCTTCTTTGCCAGCCCCAGCTAGTCAGTCATCTGCTCCAAATGTCAATGCGCTGTGCTTGGTTTTTGTTTTTTGTTCTCTGAATCAGTAGGGTGCTCGTCAATGGTTGCATAACACGCTCTCATGTGAGAATGTGCAGAGTTAGGAAATAGATAGTAGACTTCAACATACAAGGATTGGTTTAGTTGAGCGATTTCGGATTATGCGCTCTTTGTTCTGACGCCAATAATAAGAGTTTTGAAGTGCAAAAAGGTTTCTTTGTCTGAAATTCCCATTACTGCATAAAATTATGTAACGAAGTCTTGTATGGTTCAACTTTGCCTCGTGCACATTTTCTAAATCGATTCCTTCCTCCCTACTAGTCCCTAGCAAAATATGGAATTGGATCTCAAATTGACGGAGTTTTCTTAGATATGGCAATGGCTAGACCTAATGGATAATTTGACCCAAATGTGATAACTCATATGGGTATGGGATCGGATCTAAATGAACTTATGTATAATGATTTTGAATATGGTTTGTATTTGAATTGGATTCTATTTGGGTCAATTTATTTATTTATTTATTATATAAACAAAAAATAATATCAACTATTCATTAACTAGTTACAACCCAACTGTACAAATTTGATGTCGGTATTTCCATCATTCTTACTTTCATAACAAAAAGTAAGGAAAAAATTGAATTATAATTGGTTACTCATTTTCTTTTGGACTTACAATATTGTGGGTCCAATTTAAACCCAAACTAAAAAATTGGATATGATTTACCCAAAAGCAAAATTACTCAAACTTGCTTTGACCCATAATAAGTTGGGTTTAGGTAATACCCAAACCTTGAGACCCAATTGACATCCCTAAGTTTTCTCGTATTCTATATCGTGCTTTCAAATAATGTGGCATATTGCAAATTTAGTCACGGAGATGACTAAAAAGTTCATGGTCAGTAAAAATATTTTATTTCATTCGTGTTACTAACAAATTTCATACTTCGCATCAATTTAGTTTTTGTTGATTTAGCTAATAGAAGTAGAGCTCGACCAAACCAACATTAGGACGGGATCGTACCGAACACAGTGTAATGTGGTCCGGTATGAATTTGATATTTGGACAGGACAAAATGGACCGAATGTAGTGATGGTTCGGTCCTTGATCCTAAAATATCTTTCACTAATAGACCGTTGTTCTCATGAGTTTGGTCCGGCCCAGATCGGACGAAATGTTGCACACCCCAAAATAGAAGTGACAAATCAGCCAAAACCCGAAAGAAAACCGATCCGCCTCGTCATTAAAACCCGTCATATCATAAAAACAAACACAACCCTTCCTTCTTGTAAATCTCATTGTTCCACTTCCTCGATGCCAACTGCTCCACAAGTTGCATTCTGTCATCCTCGACCTTCTCCTACCCATTGTGCGCTCTATCCACGATCCCTAGCTTCACCACCTCCGCTCCCTCACCTTCGTCCCTCTCAACAGAACATCGCGTCGAGTCGCAACGGAATCGAGCTTTGCCCGGAACAACATCAAGAAATGGTCACGAAACAAGAGCCCAAAATCGACCTCAAACATGTACATAACTCATATCGGTCATACATAAAATTAGTAAAATACATATACATATATAATCGGGAGTGTATGAGTTGGATGGTGAGAAAAATATATCCACCCGCTCATGAGAGCGGATCCAGTAATTAACTTGTTTGGTTACTAACCATGCATAACTTTTCACCAATTAAATTTCATGATCTATGTCTATTTTTTCTATCATGGCAGTACATAAGATTATATAAGGTCATATGAGAATGTATAATTGTGGTACTCTGGTACAAATATACAATAGTTGTATAATAATAGTAGACGATGGTAGATGATGATAAAATTGGTCCATAGTTTGTTTTATTAAAATGATCTAAAATTAGGGCTGGGAAAATAGACCAGACCTTTAGAAAAATCGTCGTCCAAACCGTACCGCACAGTTTGATCCGGACCGTAGACCGTGACGTATGGTCTGGTCTGGTCCATGGTCTGTATTATTTTATGATTTGATCTCTTGGTCTGGTCTGGTCTAGACCGCGGTTTACCGGACCAAACCGTAGACCCAACTGACTTGTCAATACGTGTTAACAGCCCATTCGACCTCTAAACTCCCACAACGACACCCAAGTCTCAACCTTAATTTTGTGAATCTCTTCCCTCCTTCATTCACAACCACATTTAACCACAGAGTAGAGATAATCGTGTCTCCATATGATATTATGTTAATATTTATGACATTATGGTGCAAGCTGGGATGCTTTTACTTTGTATCTTTGTTATGTACTAAGATTTAGAGTATCAAAATTATTCATGCATGTTAGGATTAATGTTTTAAGGCAAATAACAATTATTTTTCTTGGTTATTGTTTCAATTTTTTGTGTGGTTGACTAAACAAATTATTCATTTTTCGTTGAGTGTGGTCTATCTGGACCAGACCAGACCGAACCAGACCGCACAGGCGTGGTCTGGACCAGACTGTATAGTCTGTGGTCTGGTCTGTGATCTATACTTTAGCCTCTCGGTCTGGACCGTAGACCGTATATATGGTCTGGTCTGGACCAGACCGCACCGTTTCCCAGCCCCATCTAAAATAGATGTTCTGTAGATCACAATAACTCAGTTATTTTATTATTTTTAATTCAAATGAAGGAAATACTTATTTTTATAGAAATGAAATTAAAAAAAGTATTAAATCTCAACCATCACACCATCTAAAATTATAATTGTAAAAAAAACTCCATCTAAAATTAAGCAACCACAGCTAATCTAATTATGTATTTGTTTCTAGGCCGAACTGACATGCGGATTAGGTAACGTAAGCCAGTTCCTAATCCTTCTTTTCATTCGATATCCATCCTTATTTTAGCAGCCTTATGGTCTATTTACGAAACTACCCCGCAGCGGACTTGAAACCAACGCGACTCGGCTCACTCTCTCTCCAAATATAAGGAAGGAGGCCAACCCAGCCAAAGGGGCGTTTTCTCGGCGTTTAATGTCTGTGCGCGGGTTGGAGTAGTCTGTGTCCGTGTGAGAGGACGAGACAATAGACATAAGCGCTCTTGTTCTGCGAACTGCATCTCGTTCATCTCTTCTCCCTTCCCTTTCCCCTCTCTCTCCGAAGCTCCATTCCCGTCTTCCTTCCGCCGTTTCGCCCGAATCTCTCTGCTGCTGCTCGTCCCAGGCCTCCGTCTGGATCCACTCTCCGTCAGTCACTTTGTCTCCCTCTCAGGTAACTATCGAACAACCCTAGAACTAGCTCCATTTGATTCCGATTTCCTGATTGTGCATACGAGCTCCGTTTTACCCCTTCGGTTCTACCTCGTGGTTTATTCTGATTGCTTCCATATCCGCTTTTGGTTCCATTCAGGCAAAGAGCTCCTTAATCCCTCTCCGAGTTTGTACCGTCCAATTCGATAACGATGTTCGGCTCTCCAAATCGTAAGTGTTCTCTCTTTTTCCAAGTTAGCATATCTATTTGCTTTCTTATTGTTGCTTCCTGACTAGCGTGACTTGAATTTGTCGTCTCCTATGCCTTCACTTTGATGTGATTTTCTGCCGATTCCGGAAATTTCCTCATAGCATGCGTAATTGCTCATGTCTCATTGAGTAGCTGCTTCGAGCCTGGTTGTAATCAGTCCATCAATCTCGGTCGGTGGAATGCATTTCCTTTTGTACAATAAATAGTCTTTCATCCTTGGACTTGCATTGGCTGTTCTATTTCTCATTCAAACTACCGCGATGGTTGAGGCAATTCAGCTTGTTTTGAATTTTTGGAGCTTCGTGTTAAATTTTGTCTGCCAGTATTGATGCATTTTCTGCATTATATATTAAACTTGTGTTGAGATTGCCCGTGTCAGGAGAATTGATTGTTATCGAATCAATGTGTCAGCAGCGTGTTGTGATCTGCATTTGCTACCCCTCCTATCCTCACAAGAACCCCAAAAGTAAATTTGCACCACTGAAGATGTAGAATCTGAATGACATCTGTGCTGAGTTCAGTTGCAGTTGGAACTGTTTCATATATTCGTCTAGTTTTAGGGATTTCTGTCTCTAGTTGGTGTTTCTTATTAATTACACATTTTCATGATCTCTGTAATTTACCAGCTTTTGGACAGACATCAAGTAGCCCTTTTGGGTCAACTGGCTTTGGCCAGACAAGTGCTCCAACCAGTAATCCTTTTGCACCCAAACCCTTCGGTAGTCCAACCCCTTTTGGTTCCCAGACTGGCACTTCCATGTTTGGGGGAACATCAACGGGTATGTTCGGCACACCCCAAGCTTCCTCACCTTTCCCATCTACAACAACATTTGGGGCCTCGTCATCTCCAGCTTTCGGGAGCTCAATGTCTGCTTTTGGAGCATCTAGCACGCCTGCGTTCAATAGTTCTTCGTCATCATTTGGTGGTAAGTATAGTTTTGTATTCTAAGCCCATCCCATTCGTGTCCTGCTTCTTGTGTCTCTGCAAAAAGACGATTGGTTGCTCTCAGCTATTTTTTTCAGTTCTAGCTTATGATTTATTGTGTTACCTTGTTTTCCAATGGTTTTCTCTGCTTCCCTATGGCTTTCACGTCTCATATCCAAGCAGATGAGGCTGTGTCAAGCCTTGTTGAAGTTATATGGCATAGCAATCTAGGGCAGTGCACATCTGCATCTTCCCACTTTTCTGTTGATTTTGTTTCTCATCTTCTCTGTGCTTTTCATTTCTCATCCTTTCATTAAATGGGAATCAATTGGATCACCGGAGATGATGTTCTCCATTGATTCCATATTTCAATCTTCGTTGTTACTTATCCTTGGTTTTCTAACTTGCTCAATTATCTGTTTATTTAGTGGTCTTAATCCTCTATGCAAGACCTATGAGCAACTGCTGCACTTGTGTTTATCCAAGTTGTTTGTATTGTTGTTTTATCATGTTTGGTGCAGTCTGATTTTATCGTGGTAATCCATTGTTCTTAATGCAGGGTCATCTGTGTTCGGTCAAAAGCCTGCCTTTGGAGGATTTGGGTCGAGTACAACTCCTACTGCATTTGGAGGCACTAACCAACAATCCCAACCTGCATTCGGGAATAGTTTGTTTGGTTCCACGACACCTTTTGGGGCAGGCTCTCAGCCTGGATTTGGTGGTACCAGCACGCCTGCCTTTGGCTCGACAAGCACCCCTGCTTTTGGTTCAACAAGCACCCCAGCTTTTGGTGCTCCAAGCACTCCGGCGTTTGGTTCGACAAGTACTCCAGCTTTTGGATCAACAGCGAGCCCAGCTTTTGGTAGCACAGGAGCAGCCTTTGGTGTGTCTAGTACCCCAGGTTTTGGATCTTCAAATACTTCAGTTTTTGGCTCCTCAAGCAACCCGTCTTTTGGTGCTTCATCTTCTGCTTTTGGGGCTGCAAGCACTCCTGCATTTGGGGCTTCCAGTGCTCAAACTTTTGGTGCATCTAGCACTCCATCATTTACCTTTGCATCCAATTCAGCTTTCGGTCAGTCGACCTCTGCATTTGGAAGCAGCCCATTTGGAGCACAGAGTTCTGGGTTTGGTGGGTCTATGAAACCTGATTTATGGTTAATTTGCTTAGTATTCAACATTCTTATAATGGTTTATGTGCATGGTATTATAGTAACTTAAAAATACAATGTTCTATTTGTCTTATGTGGTGTTATCAGGGTCCCAGGCAACAACACCAACATTTGCAAGCTCAGGCTTTGGGCAAGCACCTTTTGGTACGCAGCGAGGCGGAAGTAGGGCAGTGCCCTACACAGCAACTCCTGACACAGAAACCACTGGTACAGGGGGGCAGCCTGGGAAGTTAGAGTCGATATCTGCCATGCCTGCCTACAAAGAGAAAAGCCACGAGGAGTTACGATGGGAGGATTATCAATCGGGAGACAAAGGTGATATACCAAAAGCACAAAAGAATATGGATTTTTATTTTTGTTATATTGGAGTCAATACATGTATCTTACTTTTATAATTTGTATTTCAGGCGGTCCTTCCTCTGGGCAACAACCTGGCGCTATCAGTTTTAATGCACCAGCAGCACAATCAAACCCGTTTGCTCCAACATCTACATTCCCTCAAACTTCTGCTAATCCTTTTTCTTCGACGACGGCGTCTAATCCATTTGCTCCCAAGGCTTTTGCTCCATCAGCTACCTCAGCTTTCAGTTCTTCACCTTTTAGTGCTCCTACGGCAGCTAACCCTTTTCAGTCGACATCCTTTCCATCCTCATCCAGTGGTCCATTTGCCTCCTCATCTCCATCTCTTTTTGGCCCATCAAGCTCATCAAGTTTCGCTTCCACGCCATCCCTGTTTACATCCAGTGCCCAGGGAACAACCTCAGCATTCAACCCTACCATGGCTTTTCCCAATAGCTCTCCTACATTGTTTCAATCGACCACACCTTCGCTTTCACAAACAGGTTCTGGTTTTGGACCAGCTACTTCTGCCTTTGGACCGAGTTCCACCTCTCCATTTGGTCCTTCAAACGCTTTCAATACCTCAGGAACCTCGCTTCAAGGAAGCCTTTTCTCAAGCACACCTTCTTTATTTCCTTCAACCAACCAAGTGAGTAATTCTAATGTGTTTTTCCTGTTGTTAGGTTTATACTATTGAAGTGTCTCTATTCTGCCCCAAAAGAAGTATTGCCCCGAGATATGAGTGGGCAGGGTGTGAATTTTTTGTGCTGGTATACGCTGCTAAGTATTTTTATTCACAGGTCTCTAGTTCGACACCTTTTCAATTGCCTCAATCTAGCTTTGGTAACTTTGGCCAGTCTCAAGGTATGGAAATTGTATATTTATGCATGCTTGCATTCCCCCACCCCCATTTCCCACCCATATATTGAAGGGGCTTTAGTTCTTAATGCTGAAATATTTATGCTTGAGCCGCTCTTCTTGCAGGTGGCGCAAGTTTGTTTGCCAACACATCTGGTCAGAACAATTATGGACAACAGTATGTGCCTCGCCTTTTTTTGGATTTATCTATAAACGTACTTTCATTATTTTTGCCGTACGTCCAAGTTATCAGATTTGCTCATACATTCTGGGATGTACCAAGTACTCTAATTTGAGATGTGTTTTTAGTTGTCTCCACATCAGTTATGCTACTGTAGCAATTGATTCTGTTTCTTAATTTCACTAAGTTATGCAACTTCAGCAATTGATTCTGTTGATTTTCACTATGTAAATTTAAGCAGGTCCGTGTTTGACTTTTGCAGGTCTATCGGACAGAGCTCTGCTGCTGTACTTCCAGCACCTATGACCAATCCTTTTGGCACTCTCCCAGCAATGCCTCAGATATCTATTAATAGAGCTGGAACTACACCTTCTGTGCAGTATGGGATCTCAAGCTTGCCTGTACGTGTTACTGAATTTGGATATCTTGTGATTGGATATTTTTTATTCACTGTGTCTGTTTTGTGCTGTTTATTGGTGCTATAGTGTTATCCTGTTGTTTGACACCTGCCACTTTATTATTCGTTGTTTTTGTACCAACCATGATTCTTTCTGGCTTCAGGTTGTTGACAAACCTGCACCTGTCAGAGTATCCTCCTTATTGACCTCTCGACACCTGTTGCAAAGGCGGATTAAGATGCCTGCAAGGAAATATTATCCCAAACATGATGGTCCAAAGGTATCGTAATGGCTGTTAGCCCTGAGCATGCTTAATAACTTGTTCTCGGATAGTCAAAATATCTAATAACTGAATTCCTTGGGTATAATATTGCTGCTTTCAGGTTCCGTTTTTCAGTGATGAGGATGAATCTCCCAGCACACCCAAGGCAGATGCCCTTTTTGTTCCTAGGGAAAACCCAAGAGCTTTGGTAATTCGCCCTGTAGATCAATGGCCGTCGAGAGCTAGTGTGGACAAAGTGTCTCCGGTTAGGGATGTGCATCAAAATGGCAAGTTTCTGACTCCTTTTCTGTCGCCCTCTCTCTCCGTGAAGTGTGCTCTTTATACTGTTTCGTAGGGTAGTCATATACTATTTTTTAATCTCTCTTGGGTCTTCGTTTGTTCTCTTCTCAATTTAGACTGATGATTTTGTTCTCTAGGTAAAGTTCCAGAAGCAGCAATGGATGGAGATGATGTATCTTCCTTGAATGGTACCAACAAGGCCAATGGCAAAGATAGTGAGTGGATCCATTCCCTGCCCCTTGAATTTTTATATTCAAAATTGATGCATCACTTCTCCACTCCTGAGTCTCGTTGTTTCATCTTATGAAATATTGAACACGGGATTGCGAAAATGTGGGGATGAAATGAAATGCTCCTATGCAAAGAAAAATAAGAATGTAGTAGTATTGGATTCTGTGGTTTTGTCTTTGTTTGATTGTTGACTGCCGATTGCAGAGCTGAACAAAAAACAGCTACATAATAAATAAAAAATCGACTGTTCATGTATTCTCCAAGTCACGTGCAAAGAAAAATAAGAATGTAGCAGTATTGGATTCTGTAGTTTTGTCTTTGTTTGATTGTTGACTACAGATTGCATAGAATGTAGCAGTATTGAACAAAATCAGCTACATAATAAAAAATCGACTGTTCATGTGTTTTTGTGAGGTATTAAGAATGGTTTTTTCTTCTTCTGTGTATGAACAGAGAGCCCGGCGGGTGAAAATGGTGTTGGCAACAAGGAGCATGTGGAACTGAATCAGAAACTCAATGGAAGAGTTCATCACGAAGATCATTCCAGCCCGAATTATGAATCAGACAACAAGAGGCCTATCAATGGTCGCAGAGCTGGAGAAGCGGCAATAGTGTATGAGCATGGAGCAGATATCGAGGCACAAATGCCGAAACTCCGCCGTCCCGACTACTACACAGAGCCGCGCATCCAAGAACTGGCGGCTAAAGAAAGGGCCGAACCGGGTTACTGCCGCCGTGTTAGGGATTTCGTGGTTGGCCGACAAGGCTATGGAAGCATCAAGTTTCTGGGTGAGACAGACGTGCGGGGGCTTGATCTGGACTCCCTCGTTCAGTTCAACACTAGGGAGGTGATTGTGTACATGGACGAAGAGAAGAAGCCACCTGTGGGACAAGGTCTGAATAAGCCTGCTGAAGTCACCCTTCTGAACATAAGGTACGTCGACAAAGCTACCAAGCAGGTGTTGACAGAAGGGCCAAGGGCTCTAAAATACAGCGAGCAGCTGAAGAGGAAGACTAAGGAGCAAGGTGCTGAATTCGTGTCGTATGATGCACCGAAGGGAGAATGGAAGTTCAAGGTCGAGCATTTCAGCACGTACAGGCTTGTCGAGGAGGAAGAAGAAGAAAATGTTTGCTGAGGCTCATGATGATTAATAATTGGGGTTTGGAGGGTTTGCTATGTAAGATTGGATGGCTTCGAAGTTGTATAGTATACTACTGCTACCTCGCAAACAATAGTGGGCTTGTTTCTTGTTTCTGCTTACCTGTTGCTATCCTTTCTTCCAGGTCGCTTTTGTTCTGAAGTGAAGTTTCTGGGAGCTTTTGAATTGGTATACCTTTCGTCTCCTTTCCCCTTTGTCCCTCGACTCGGGTTTTGTATTTGTTCATTTTTCAAACTTGTTGATGAGACCAAACTCGGGACTCAAAGGATCACAGTCGCGCAGCACGCTAGCTAGGTCAAGATGATGCTCTCGGATTAAACACAGAACTCGACCCTAGCTTGGTCAAGCTCTCACAAACTCAATTTCGGATGGAATCGAACGGGAACCCTTACACCTGGAAGGATGCACACTCGATATGAGGAAGCTTTCGATGCAATCGATGGCGATTCTCGATTGATAAGCAAAGTCAGCAAGTCTTTGATCGCAACCAAAAACCAATCAAACTCACAAACTCTCAAGTTTGGGAATTGTAATAAAATTCATTCAATCAACATGTTCTGCTCACCCCTTCACGTTCCAAGCCTTTTATAGGCAATTACAACCACCATCCTACGCTTAAAAGGAATCAACACTAATCCTAGTTCAACTATAACAATAACTACTACTAATCCTTGTGGCACAAGGAAATCAAGTCTTACATTACAAGGAAATAAAACAGCTTAACATAGTTACTTTGGCCGCCTTGTTCAAGGATCAAACGAACTCCAATTCTTCAACCAATGCCTTTACGTTGTAGATTGTGAAATGTAGTTTCATGGGGTACTCGTCTCTGGCCATGGTTCTCCCCCATCTGTCCAGAATGAAGCCCTAAAGTAGTCACCTCCAACTCAGTTCCAGACTTAGCCATTTTTGAACAAAATTCCAGTTTCTGGCTAGCAACTTGGAGGCTTTGGAAAATCATTAAAATGGCTTCTCCTGGCTTATCCAAAGCTTCCATTGTGTAGAGAAACATCTCTAGTCCAGCCCCAAACTCTTGCCTTGTATTTCCTTCGAGCCATTTGAGCGTAGCAAGCTTCCAAAGATGGTATCCTGCAACATAAAAATGACTTAGACAAAATTCACCCTCCTTATCCGTGATTGATCCTGTTTTTTGATCGATCCATTGAGGGTTGTAATTCGAGAGGTTTGGGATCATATCACTTGTGCAGGTGGTTGGTTTAAAATTTAAATGAACTGAAGATGGTTCATTTGGTGACACCATTGTACCAATAATATATAGAATACTGAAAGGAAAAGAAATGGAAAGGCAATATCATTGTAAATATTACACGGCAGCAGAATCAAAGTACATATAGCAGAGGTATCGAAATCGAGCTATGCCTGCAGATCGATCATGAAACTGATCGGATTATTACCAACCGTAGAACGCAAGCAATTGGAGTAACTAGATATATAGAACGCAGTTTGGAAGGCTGATGCTTTATATAATTGTTACCACTCCCGCAGGTGGATATAGTGATGAATCAGAAGAATCCGTCGTCATCATCAGATCCTCGCTCATGACGACGACTTCTGAAGCGTTCCTCGTCACCACCGTCCACAATGTTCTTCTTCCCCCTCCTGTTTCCAAGCCTGTCACCGCCGCGGTGCAGTGGAAGGTGGCGGGGGTGGTGGTGGTCGGAGATGTCCATATGGACGCCGGGGTCGTTGGTGTTGTAGTGGCTGTCGAACATGATGGAGTTATTCACGGCCTGGAAGTTGCTGTTCACGTAAGTCCCAACACCCTCCTCCTCGTCGTCTTCCTCCGCCGCATCCTTCAAATCATTAGCATTGCTCGCCTCGTCGCTCTTTCCCTTGCCCTTGTTGAGGGAAGAGTAGTAATGGTGGTGGGGCCTCGCATTGCGGTCTTGATCGTCCAAGTGGCCCCGCATGGTGGCTCCGGTGTTGGTCCCGGCCAGTGTCACCACCCTCACCCCATGTTGCTGCTGTTGCGATTCGGCATCGTCGTCCCCGGCCGCGACGGTGTGGCCGCCGCCGGTGGGGATGCCGGAGACGCGGTTGGTGATGGTGTTGACCATGTCCCTGACGTGGCGATCCAGAGGCTTTTGGCTGGCCGGCCCACCTGCTGCTGGCACCATGATTGGTTGATTATGTTGGTGTGGGAAATTGGGATTTGGGAGGGGTGACTGCCCTTTGATTGATGGCGTTGCAGCTGGAATAAGTTTCAGCCATATTTAAGGAGCGAAAAGAAAGAGGTGTGGGAATGGCTTGACTTGGAGTGAAATGCGAAGGATTTATTCTGTGCTCTTCTTTGCTGGGGGCAGGGGAAAGGGATCACTTGGGCAGCTAGTTCTCTGCCACCCTCTCTCTGCCTTTTATGAGCGGTAACAGATGTAAGATATGGTCATTATGAATTGGGCCGAGAGGGAGGGGCTGGGCGGGGAGATATGAAACGGTGGGCTCGGCCCAAAAGAAGAAAGGTGAGACAGAACAACCAGGGGACAAGGTCATAGATTCATTCGGTTTCGGTGGGTGGACGGGCTCAAGATAAAGTGCAAAACCATGGGCTATGCACCCATTAATAACTAAATTTAGATCTTTTATTTAGAAAATCTAGATCTAAAGATAGAAAATTAAATGTCATTTTTATTTTTTCTACATTTCTTAATCGACTCATGTCTTCTTCGTTTTAACTCGGATTCCAAATTGTTTTGCACAGATGGAACGAGTTCGTTGTGCTCTACAAACCGAGATCCATCTTCAATATTTTTTGAGGAAAAAATTATTGCCTCTCGATATCAACTGCATACCATATGGTATCTTCTTCATTTTTAATTCGTTTTTTAAAACGTTTGCACAGAAGAAAGGAGTTCATCATCAAATTACAGGACCAAAAAATACAACACAATACCGTACAATACCACCCTGGTACGAGGTGGTATCTTGTGGTACACAATGTTAAAAATCGTAAATGATAGTTAATATACTTCTATTATTATGTATTCAACCATCCTACAGTTTTCGTTTCGACTTAAAACGAAAGAGAAATCGTACATTAAAGATTAAAGGGGAAAAGATAAAAGGCTTTCCAGGAGAGAGGGATACTGATGTCATACTGATGTGGACGGGTTACTCACCATAAGATTACTCACTGAATCTGCTCCTGGTGCACCGGGCCGCCAATGACTACCGAACAACAAAGGAAATGAACCTAACCAACCACATAACACACACAGGAAACCCAAACTTGTTTTAATCAATGGGGTCCAATAAACCATAGGGAAACATATAATAATTCTTTGGTTAAATACACTTGTATATCCAAAACTTTCACGGTTGTGGCAATAATATCCAAATTTCCCGAAATACCACTTATATCCAATTCCTTCACATTCTTTAACGGTGTTTTTGGATATACAAGTGTATTTAACCAAAAATATATTGGAAAATGGATAGATTTGGCAAATAACAACTTTAAAACATGGATATAAGTGGTATTCAGGGAAATTTGGATATTATTGGCATAACCGTGAAAGTTTTGGATATACAAGTGTATTAAACCTAATTCTTTCCACTTATTATGTTTACGAATTTGTTCCACTTATTATTTGTTGTTCTGAGCCAAGTTGTTCACTTGCTGCTCGGAGTTCGGTTCAGACTAAATTCATTTGATATTCGACTTGTTTATTAACGAGTCAATTTTGAGCTAAGTATTGTCAAGTTTGCAAAGTCGTGAGCTAAGCCCAATCGGTGACTTGTTGAGGTTAACTTCGGTGACTTGTTGAGGTTAACTCAGGACCTAGCTCGTTTTGAGCTACGAGTTGCCTGGAGCCCTGGACAATATGTCTAGTGAGCCACCTCAATTAGCAACTTATGAGCGAATTAGTTAACAACTTACTGTTGGTTTATTGATAATTCATAGATTTGTTAGATTATATGTCTCGCTACATATTTAAAAGATAAATTATGTATCATAAATTGCTCATATACAATTATACATCTCGTGAACTCGTTATTGAACCGAGTTCGAGACAAACAAAAGTTAGGATTTTAGTAAACAAGTTGGGTTAAAGCTCGAGTTTGACTCTTTAATGAACCGAGTTCGAGACAAACAGAAGTCAGGATTTTAGTAAACAATTTGGGTTCGAGCTCGAGTTTGACTCATTTATTAATAAGTCAAGTCCAAATAAGATCAATACTCGGTTTGACTCATTTGTAGCCCTAGTTGTTCATTTGATAATAAAAAATCTTTTAATTGTTGGATCTATTATTTATAGCTAACATTTTTTCCCTTTTGTACTATGATGTATATGAAAAAACTTATATATTTCGTATCTACCTATTTTCTTTAAAAATAATTAAAAAAAAAATGCTAACTACAATAAAAATATATTTATTAATTACTATGATAATATCCACAACTGGAGGCTGGAGCAACGACCGCCGTCTGTAACTCCATTGCTAAATTTCCCGAACTCCCCTGACAACACGAAGTCCCAAATCCGCCGTCAACCCGACAGTCAGACGGACAAAGTCTCTTCCTTCATCCTCCAAACCTACCTTCTCCAGGTCAGCTTCTTAGTCTTTCCGTTCTTTGTTTTCCCCTCTTCCGTTCTGTTCTGTACTGGGGTTTCCAGTTTTAGCCCTTCTCCATTCGCCATGGGCGATGATGGCTGGTTCATACAAAACCTAGCTTGCTTCTTCTATCGCCTTCTTGCTAGCTCGTATTATTATTTACCATTGCGTTTCGATTCTCCTGTTTGCTTCTTCCGCTTTTGCATTCACTGTAATCCAAATGCACAACCGATATTGCCGCCGGATTACTCAACCAGGCAGTTCAAAACAACATCCACCAAACCCCTCCTCTCAATTCCGCCGCAAAAAGTCCCTGTAATTTCTTCCATCGAATTGCCGACAAACTAGCTCCGAGGTCTGGTTTTCTCTCCCCGCCAGGTGTTATTCTGCCGGCTTGGCCTTGGAAGCCCGGCTGATATCCAGCTACCAATCGTCTTCCTCTGTCACCGAGTTCTAGGGTTTCTCTTTTCCTTTCCATGAAACCAAGTTCCTTCATTTCGTTGCTGAATTCTGATTCCGTTCTTGTAATTTTATTGTGATGGATCAGATGCAGAAGCATTTGCCTAACAAGATTGAAGATGAGCAGCGCTCAGCTAATTCTCCGCTTCAACCTGCCGCAGACCTCCATCTGGAGGTGCAAGACGTGGATCTCCATTCCAACTCTACTGTAGAAGTAAAGGAAGAAGCAAAGCCGGCATTTTGCTCTGCGCCCTCTGTTGCCACTTCTCAACCTAGCTGTGTGGTGGTGGTAGTTAATGAGGAGGATGAGTCGCCTTTGCCCTCTGCTCCGGAGCCTCCCACGAAGCCCTCTCTCTCTAGGGATCCAAGTTCTCATGAACAGTGCAGGTATGTATATGTCCTTAATGTAGCTTCTTTTGATTGCCTGTTTTTGCACGATAACTGCAACAAGCCTAGTTTGATAAGAGCAAAGCGGTTTGCAGTTTGCACTGCCTGTAGCTGACTGAAATTCTTTTTTGAAATTGCTTTACCTCAAACTCAAAGAGTGTGTCAGCAAGAGAAGGAAGAAGTTCTCATTGATTTGGGGTGCAAATGTAAAGGGGGGCTTGCTAAATCCCACCGTTCATGCATCGATGCTTGGTTCCGGACGAGGGGATCAAATAAGTGCGAGATATGCCAGTAAGTCGATAATTCTCTGATCTCAATCCATTTCTCGATTGAAGTGAACAAACAAATTCCTATGCAACGGTGTCACCCATGATGTTCTCCTTTTATTTTATGTTACAGAGATATTGCAGTCAATGTGCCCCCTCCAGAATCTCAACCAAGTGTAGGTATTCGATGCCCCCTGCAATTGATAAAGCCTGTAATGTGGATTTCCTTTGTGTAGAGTAGCACTGTTTCTCGGGCTGAAATGTGCATATACCTCCCTTGGATTTGTTTCATTGGCCACTGATTGTGTGTAGCTTACTTACCTATGCCAAAGTTCATAGAGTGAACTTTACAACCGCTAAAAGTAGACATAAGTCTGTAGTCTGTCAAAAGCGTCCATTGGTAGTCATTGTGCTCTTTCTGCTAATGCCTAAGATTCCCAGTTCGTTTAGTTTTGTGTAGCCTAAAAAACTACGTTACAAAGAAACTGAAGGTTGTGTTGTTTGCAGCAGACAAACTACTGGGTGTGGAGACTTGATCCAAGTTACAGACCTCGAGACAGGGAAAGGGTATGTGGTGGGGGGTTAATCTCCTCTCTTCTTTCGTTCTTTCTGCATTCGGTGCTCATTCATTCTTTCAGTATGAAATTGCAGTGATATCGTTTTGGGAACAGGGTTGTTTTAGTCCTCTTTGGGTGGCATTCTCGATTCTTATCGGTGGCCTCTTGTTGGATGTGCTGATCTCCATCACTCTTGGAGTTTCTGCTCTACCTGTCAACGTAATAATTGGTAAGAAGAACAGTTCGGTGTGATTAATTTGCAGGGTTGCTGAACTATGGAACTTTTTCATAAGCTATGGTTATACATGCAGGAGTGATTGTTCTGCTTGGACTTGGAACAGCACTTCGGTTGGCTCTGGAGTTCTGCCATGAATGGAGTTTCAGGAGAGCAGTTCACAGGGTTGATGCGAATGTGAACCTCGGGTATCATCCCACATTATAGAGCACTTAGGCGCCTGTACAGAGAAGAAACACAGAACCAGATGGACCGGCTGTTACATCCTGTCCAGTGTATATAACTATATATAGTTAGGGGAAACGGGCGTGCATACTATCTGTTGTTTATGCTTTGAGCACCACCACTACTCATTCCCGAATCGAGTGTGGCTGCTGCAGTGAAAGGCGATGGTGGTCAACTGGGGAACAAGCCCTTGTAAATGATGAAACGGCCAAGATTGTGAAGCTGGTCTTCTTTTCGCTAGGACATTGATTATTACTTTCAATAAACGGCCAGTTAGCATTCTTTGTTCTCAATGTTCATTATAGAACTCGTTTTCATAGCAGAGATGGAATTAGGAATACAGCAGGGTTGCTCATTTGTTCCATGTTCTTTTTCCTCTGATAAGTTAATAGAATGTTTTTGGTAATGTGCATGCATAACAACACTTTCACTGTGTGCTTGTTAGAATTCTGGGTCTCAACTCTCAACTCTCAACCTCTATAATGTAACTTGAAACAGGTCTCTCATGGATGAAAGGGGAAGGTCCTGAAGAGCAAGCTGAATTTAAGGGCGGTTGTCTATTTTTAGTATGAATGAGAGGTTTGTATTGTTGTGGTGTATATGACTGACATTATGGCGGCTTAAGTTCGTTGTCTCATTTGGAACTGGGGTCGGTGGCGCCTTGCACCAGTTGAAACTCGGTTCTCGGAGATAAAGAAAAAGGCAAAAGAAGTGGAAAAGGTACAGGTGACATAATAAGAATGCATCTGATAAAGAAAAGTAAACTGTGGTGAATGATTCTAATTCATTACCTTCAGCATTAGTGGAGTATGTCACAAATTATATTGTGTCCTAGAGTAGACCTTATTATTAGGTTTATCTCATCAAACCAATTGGATTCTATAAGCTCGCAGAGAGCGAGGAAATGAAGGAAGAAAAAGAAAGTTGAAATATATCGTATTTGAAGTCTATAGAGGTTGGAAAAGTGAAACATGATTAAAAATACGACATATTCAGATCGTGCTAGATATGCAAATTCAAACACTACAAAGAAGGTGAGAATTTCGATAATCGTATTCCTTGACGCGGATTAGGGCATAATCATCTTCTTTACTGTGTTCTTCTGATTAGTGAAATTGGCTCTGGTTATACCTATTTTCTCTTCTCAGTTATCCATGTCAAAAGGAAGAATAGAACGTCTGGGTTTAGTTAGTAGGACGCGGCTGCCACGTTGGAGAGTCCAGTAGGAAACAAACAAGAAACCGGAAGGCGGAGGCCGCAAATAAGATACAGATACGACGGCGACTGACAGACACGTGCGTTAAACGCGACACTCACGCGCCCATTGCCACTGTACCTTGTCCCTTTTCTCGCAATTATTTTTTTAGTTTTTATTTTATTTACCCCTTAACTTAATCAATAAGACTCGTGTGCTAGTGTTGGCCGCTGCCTAGCCATAGAGTTTGACAATTGACACTTGACAGCCATTCCTCCATCCCTTCTCTTCTCTTTTGCTTTCCCCCTCAGTGGCTCCGGTTTCGCTTTTTCCCTTTCCCAATTTCCCAATTTCCATCCTCATCCCACCCCAAAACCTAACTCAATTCAAGCTCTCGCACTTCCAATTCAATTCGCTTCACCTGCTCTCTTGGCTGGCAGAGATCCGTGCGTGCAAAGATTTCTACTCTTACGACTTCTGGCCGAAGATAATAGCCCCGGTGGTCTTAGACTGGAGGGAGAAGAAATGAAAATGGCGGTGATGTCGATGCAGTCGCTGCCGCTGGGGTTTCGATTCCGGCCTACTGACGAAGAACTCGTCAATCACTATCTTAGGTTGAAGATCAACGGCCGTGATTCCGAGGTCGAGGTCATCCCTGAAATAGATGTTTGCAAATGGGAGCCCTGGGATCTTCCTGGTTCGTTCTCTTTCTTTCCCCCTCTTTTTATATATGTCAATTGATGCGAAGGGGAAATCGAATGATTCCTGCTCTTTATGCGTTCTGTGGTTGGTGGGTGGGAATAAATTTCGCTATACATAGCTCAGCAGATTCTTCCTTGCCGACTATTTACCCTACAGAGTTTTAAGTGTAAGTTGCTGACTGCTCAATTTTCTTCACTCTCTCTGTCCCGATCATGTTCTTGTAGGTTTATCCGTGATCAAGACGGATGATCCAGAGTGGTTCTTCTTCTGCCCCCGCGACCGCAAGTACCCAAATGGGCATCGCTCAAACAGGGCTACTGAAGCTGGCTACTGGAAGGCCACGGGCAAGGACCGTACTATCAAGTCTAGAAAGCCCGGCTTCCACCCAGTCTCCATCGGTATGAAGAAGACCTTGGTGTTTTACAGGGGCCGTGCCCCCAAGGGCGAGCGCACTCACTGGATTATGCACGAGTACCGTCCTACTGAGAAAGATCTTGATGGAACTGCACCCGGACAGGTCTTACTTCTTAGCTCCATTTTCTTTTTTGTTTTGTTCATTTTATAGTTTTGTTACAACTTACATGGGCTGCAGTTCACTTATAGATGTTTCTCTGAAGTTCCTTTCTTTTTATTTGTCCTACTGTCAGAGTCCGTTTGTCCTTTGTCGCTTGTTCCGGAAGTCGGAGGAGAAGATCATGGTTGTGAAATATGATGAAGTGGAGCAAACTGGTTATTCTCCTACCACCACCAAGTCTTCCCCTGAGGATACATCGTCCGATGTGGTTCAGGAGACGGCGACATCTTTTTTCCGGGTGGGGAAACAGTCGGATGCTTCGTGCGATAACATGACCCCTACTGCTTTGGTACCTGCTACTGATAGCAGCTGCAACAATAGCCTTATGAATTCAGATGTGGAAGATCATGGAGCTGACACAAATGCTGAGGAGGTGGAGTTTGTATGTGGTCTCGTTTTTACTCTCTTTCTTACAATGCTTTCATTTTTCAACAACAATAGCTTACTTTATTTGCAATGCGTTTGTTGTAGGGAAATGGATTGGTGATGGATGGAAGTTCTCTTCCTGATGAGCTCACATATGGCAGGGGCGATTTTAACGTGTTCTCCCCAATGCAGCCACATCCTTATGGGGACCTTGGACTTAACTTTGACTCACAGTATGCCAATGACTTCGGTGACGACCTTAATGGACTCCATTTTCAGGATGGCACAAGTGAACAAGATGTATCACTCACTGATTTGTTGGATGAGGTGTTCAATGGTAACGATGAGTGGTCTTGTGAGGAAGCCTCCAGTGAGAAGAAACCAGGCTTACCACTCGATAACTTCCATGTGATGGACGGTAATCATGCATACAACGATGTTGGTGCAAAAATGACTCAAGCACAGGTGAACCCACGAGGCCTTTGGATTGAGAGAGATTTGCATGTTCTCTTCCTACTGTTGAATTATATTTATTGATTTGTTATCTTACTTCACCTTTTGTTTACTTACATGCTTGCTCTTCGCCCTCTGTGTCTATATTGGTTGGTTTGGAACACTGCAGGAACTTCTTAGGTTAAATGTCTCTGTGATTGTGGTTAAATTTTGCAGATGCAACCTTCTTTTGGATCTTTTGGCGCACAAACACCATTCTTTGATAGGGAAGTTGGAAGCAGAAACGTTGTTGACCTCGGAGATGGTTTTATGAGGCAAGCTGCTGCTCGTGGTGCTGACTCTACAACAACCACATCCTTTGGAATGTTCCACCCAGTAGAGAACTCTGTAAGCTTTAGCAATGGAGTTGGGGGGAGTACTGGAATCAAGATTAGAACACGGCAACCCCAAGTTCGATCATCGTCAGACAACTTCTCCGGTCAGGGTACTGCTCCAAGGAGACTACGTCTGCAGGCGAAACTTTCAACAGGGCAAAGTGAAACTGCCCAAACGAAAGACACAAGCTCCGTGGAGGATAAAGATGAAGTGCAATCAACATTGACCGAGGTAAATCTCTTACCCACTAGAGCACCAACGTCCCATCCTACATCTATAAATACATCTTTTTGAACTATGTAATTAGTTGAGTTGTCACAAATTCACTTAGAGCAATAAGTGTCAATTTCAGGAACAAGATGCGACTACTGATGAGCAACTGAAAGAAGGAGGTGATTTTGACAAGAGTAATAGCAGCAGGAGGAATGTGAAGTTGAGGCAGAGGGTGAAAGTGAATAGTGAGCTGGATGGCGAGAAGGGTTCCCTGGGAGACGCAAATGCAGGTTCAGTTTCTGTGACTTATGGGAAGGGTGGGTTTAGATCAACAACCTGGGTGATTGGTGTATCTGGAGTCCTGTTTTTGGCTGTGGGGTTGGTTGGGATATGCAGATGCCTGTGGTCATGATTGGTATATGCATATGCTGGGAGGGGGAAGCCAGGAGCCTGTTAAGGAAGTCAGTGTGGACGTTGTTACAGTCTAGCGAGTCCCATAGTCAATGTATTAGTTTGCTTTTGTGATTTGTAGTGGTAAGATGTGGATTTGATGCAGCAGGGCATAGTATAGTATGGTTTAGTCCAAAACAGATGATGTTGTGTTTTAGGACCCGTCGACAGTTGACTAGTTTTCTGGGGGTTTTGTTGTTCTCTCTTTGATGATTCCGACTTGACAATCTAATGATCTTTATGGTTGTAGACTGACTGATCAGCTTTAGAATGAATAAATGTGTGTATATCAAGTTTAACTAGGGATCTTGCACTATCTGACTCGCCTCACTTGGTTATGTGCAAGTATTCCCTGTCCGATAAGCATCATAAGTTTGTTCTCTAAGTTCCAGCTTGTTCCGGTGTTACAAGATAATTTCGAGACTTAAAATTATAATATTTACATGTAATAGATCATGTACTAACAAATGTATTGCACAAAATGTTAAAACAAACTAAATAGTAGTTACACAACCTCAGCAGGTAGTGCCAGGTACCAATCGAATGTATACAGGTCTTCTACCCGGGAAAAAAAAATCAAGGATTAGAATTGAATGTGTTTGATTTATCTAAGATTTCATAAGTGGACTAAAATGTCTATAAGCACTCTGTTCTACAAACTTAAGAATCGCCTTAACTCCTCTCAACCACAACAACAACAAAATTAATAGGAGCATTTTATGGAACCCAAGTATTAGTTTAGATTTGATCAAATCTGGAAACTAGAAAGCATACACGCCCACTGAAATATGGACGGAAAGAGGAAAAGCTAAGAAGATGATGCATGCAATGGGATAAGGATGAGGCCCGGGTGGGAACTGGGGGCGGGATTTTGCCGTTTTGGCCAAGGCACTCAGGTCAGGTCAGGTAGCAGACAAATCTCCTTTTCGGCAAATTTGGATTTGGATTTGGAGCACACCCTAACCTCATTAACAAGTGAAAGTGATACTATTAGCAGATTCACTTTTTTTAGTTTTTGCTATAATGTTCAAAAGGTGAATTAGTAATCCCAAACCAATCTAATCATCAATTCCACTGACCTACCTGCCAGTTTTACGCAACCACAGCTAAAGAGAAAATAGTACAAAGAAGAGAAACGAAAAATCGTGAACGAGGATTTGATCTAATAATAATATTACGGTTAGTTTTCAGCGCGTAATTCCTTTCAGTAGCACGTAATAAATTCGTGAAAGAGGGAGGTACCTGTGATTGCTAATTATTTTATGGAGGAAATTAAATGGTATTGGGATTCCGGGGCGCCGTTTGGTTAGGTTTGGTTGATTCTAGGAGCCACCGCCACCGCCAGAGTCAGAGTCAGAGGCTCCGGCAAGTTGGTCTTCCCGAATTTCCTTTTTGACAAATAATGGGGCATTTTTAATGTAGTAAGAGGGGATTATACTAATTAATAATTAATCATGTGACGACGAATCGTTAATAGGTGGCGCCCGTGGGAAGTGAATTGGGTATTCTCGAAACTACCAACAAAAGCTTTTTTTTTTTAAAGCAATTTGGCAGATACAGCCATCGCACACCAGATCTACTACTCGGTGTATATAAACAGACTATAGTTAGTCATATCACAAATTATCTATTCCGTAATTACCCAGGAAAAAAGAGATAAGAGGGGATCAGAATTTGTTTTCCTTGGGAGTATTTGGATCAGCTCGGAAACAGAGAGATGATACTGGTGGCCGTGGTGGCGGAGCTGCTGGAGGAGTACACGGTGGTGGTGGCGAGGGTGCTGGAGCACCTGCTCCACGACGCTCCTTTCCCCCGCCGGGTTCGATTTCTCATCCTCCGCCGCCTTCCTTTCGTCTCCCCTTCTCCTCCTCCTCCTCCTCCGGCGTACGCTCTAACTAGTTAGTTAATTAATTTCCACTGTACAATTTGATTCAATTTTTCTTTCGAGCTAGTGTTTCCCCCCTTTCCTTCCCACCAATTTCCGTTGTTTTTGTTCCGTTCGTCTCGCCGTGGTGTTATAGCTGTCGCCGACCGGCCGGGTTTCGTTTTCCGATAGTGTCGATTTGTTGAGGATGTGTAATTGATTGGACCGTATCAATACGGGGAGATAGGTTGATACGGCGCCGTTTCCTTTTGTTATGAGAAGTTGTGTATATATAATAATAAAAAAAAGAGTTTTGTTAGAATCTTTTGGTGGTTATGAGTTTAACTGTGATTAGCTAGTGATTTAGGAGGGTTGTTAATGTTAATGTAATGATGAAAGTAAATGCCAGCTTCTTTGCCCTTTGGTGCTTGTTTTGGCTTCATTTTTCGAGCTATCTTATGGAGATGTGTGTAATGTTCCGCAGCCAATCGCTATCTAGCTAACAACAGATAATTCAGGGAATAAAATGTCAAATAGATTATTAGCGAATGAAGGATAACGACGGGAACCAAAGATTTTCTCATTCACCCGAAGAAACATGACTCATATTTGAATATATTTTTCGAATTTTAGAAGTGTCTCATCTCATGGTATCCCTTAAACTCTGGGTCCGCCTTTGGAACTCTATGCACGATCATATGGTATGGTTAAGGCCACAACATGCCACTACGCATGGCAAGCTCACGACACTGCACTAAGGCTGCATTGTATCTCTAGCACGACGAACGAGCTAAACGGTGTGGCCTACAACCTGGCCCCAACGTCATAACGATGTTTTCGTTGTGTTGTCGCGACATGTCATTACACATGACAAGCTCACGACACTGGACTAAGGATGCATTGTATCTCTAGCACTGCGAACGAGCTAGACGGTGTGGCCTACAATGTGGCCCCAACGCCATAACAATGTTTTCACTGTATTATCGCGACGTGGTTGCTAAATTTGATAAAGCCATAATTTATTTCGACCGGACCAATTTGTTCTACTTTGTTGGAATCCTCTGTTTAATGTCTGACTAAATGCTATAGACTAATTCCTATGATATTCTTCTGAGGCAAAAATATTTTGTAGGTCGTGTAAGTACTATCATATCGTCCCAAATCTCTTGTCCTATTAATTCAACTTTTGGTAAAAACCCAACCAAACACACTTTTACTTCAACTTGATAAAAACAATATCACATCACTCCTCCATTATTTGCAAGGGCATATATTCTGACCAGATGGAGGTTTCATTTCAGAAAAACTATAAGAAAAAACTGTGTCGATTCCTATATACATATATATCATATCCACCACAATTACGTGGTATTGATGAGTATCAACTACCAGAGCACTGCCCAGACTTGGCGAGGGCGAATCAGAATATATATAAGTACTCATCGAAAATCCCCTTTTAAGGGCAGATAATGAAGGGACGAACCATCGACTAATATTCTTCATGCACTATTAATTAAAGCCCCACCCCACCATACATATAAAAAAAAAAAAAAATATGCAGTGCTTGCTTGCTTGCTTGTTAGATTTATACTAGCTAACTGATGAAATCGAATATGCATCCATGCAAGCATGACACGAGTGGTTCTGTCATTGCATTTGATATCATCGACCCATCATCAGCATTGTAATCACATACATTATTACTGCTTATTATTAGTTTAAAGCCCCACCCGAACATTATTGGCGTGTAAAAAACATTAATGGTAACTGATGTTTGGTTTAAATGATATTTAGCATGGAGTCCTTAATTTTATAAAGCATATAGGAGTCATCAATTAATTAGGTGCTAATATATTTAGGGATGTAATTTTTCCCTCGATATTTGGGTATTGCCCAAACCAACTTATTATGGGTAGTTTGGATGATTTTACTTTTCGGCCGATTCATACCAACTTTTTAGTTTGGATATAAATTTATATGACTGGTATACTCAGTAAGTAGTGAAAATCGGTACAGTATCGGTATCCCAATACCAAATACCAAAATTCCGAATATCAAATTATACCCGAAAGTCAATCACAATCCCTAAATAATTTCGATATCACAATCCCAATCCCAAAATATTCCGGTATCCCAATCGGTACTTCTGTATTCCAATCGGTATTATCGAATACGAAATTAATTACATTAGAAATAAATAATTAAATATATAAATTAGATTTGATTGTTTAATTTAGGGCAAAAAGACTTAGCAAAGAGTCTTGAGTTTGCCTAGAGCTAGGATATGGATAAGGAGAATGAAGGAGAGGTGACATCTCAAGTTCTTGTCATTGGTAATCTTTAATTTGATGAATTAAAAGCTGAGAGTCGACTAATACTAGTGTTTGTTTTTTGGTGTTATGAAAATAACAAGTTATTAGGTGAGAGATGAGAGTGACTTAAATTGGAAAGTCAAAATTGAATTGGATGGGGACTTTTGAGTTGTGAAACAAAGATAAAATGATCTATGTATAAGTAAATGACACTCTTGGTGGTTGAGAGTTGTGTAGTAGTGAATGAGAGAGTCTAGTTGAGAGGGGAAAAAATACACGCTAGCTTATATTTCGGTATTGATCGGTATTTCGGTATATACCGATCTCAATCCTGTAATCCCTAATACCGAATTACAATTGAAATTCAATTTCAATCCCAATCCCAATCCCAAGAAATAATACGTGTATATCAATATGACTAATGATTCCCGTGGCATTAAGAAACGAGCACATGAAATATATATTCGATACCTCAGGGGATGGGATATTATCATATATGGAGGATTTGGGGAATGTATGGATCAGCAGGCAAAGCCAATTATGTTCCCCCCTTGTTTTGGTTATGGGCTATTATTCATAATAATGCATCCATAGGCTGGGTAGCTTGACCCTCACAGCAAGCAATTGCAACCAAAAGAGCAGCAGAAGCAGTTGCAGCAGAGACAGGGCATCAACGTGCATCCTATTTGGGATATATGCCTATGCCAACAATGCCACGTCTGAAAAAGGCTAAAGAAGAATTAGTACCGCCTGCATGCATCCCCACATGCTCTATTCTATTCTATTCTATTCTATATGTTGCTATGTAAATGTATACCTCGATGATCGAGCGTCGACACTAAAATATCAAGCATCAGCAGTACCTGGAATAACATCTATACATAACCGAACATTATAGGAAACGAATAGTTCCGGGTATGCACTCTCAATATCGGGTGTAAATTAAAACTCTTGTTTTATGGACATATTTATGGCGATTTTTTCAAAACTCCAAATCACGATGGTTTAGAGTTTGACAAACAAATTGAGTCAGAGCAGTACGTTCAATATGTTGTTTATATGTTTGTATGCTTTACAACGGTCAACTGCGTTATTCTATTGGTCTACTGTGATTTTAAAGAAAGATGCCTCGATATTGACAAAAATTTGTACCCCTATATTATATGACATATGACAGTCGATCTTAATACTAGATGACTGATCTTTCTGTTGCCGACTTTCTATTTTGCAGGACGAAAAATTTGAAAGCGTGATGTCTAATCTAAACAAACAAGTTTTTGTTATATTGGTCGATCGATCGCTTTGTCCTATACAGATGGATTGCTTTTTGTTAATCGCATTCAAACACTGATATGGCCGTGGTCGTTGTTTCCGTCTCACCATAATTAATTCCAACAGTATTATTCATTAACGACAAAATTGAATAGCCAAACTCTAAGTGATCACCCTCCTAATTTATATATGCCTGTATGGGCGGAGAATATAACATTATATCAACAAGGCCGACAGTAAAATCAATCAAAAATTATGTATTTGATCGGAAAGGAATTAATCCAAAGGGATCGAAGCGATGCGCTCACTTGCGCGGATGGCACGCGGAACGAATATATAATATCTCTTGTATTCCCCTTATACGTAGATTACATACTCAACTTCCGATTATATATTTATCTATATATCCCCGACCAGAACCGAACAAATAAAAGCAAGAAAAAGGAAACCAAATGAATCAATCTCCTCTGCAACTAATAAGATAGAAAACGTGACTAACCAGTCTACTTAATTACTCCTTTCATCCCTCCTCCTCCTCCTCCTCCTCCTCCTCCTCGACCCATGTTCCTAATTCCCTTTTTCCTCTTTTGGGATTTGGATTAGTTGTTAAGCTTCATCCCCTCTGCCGTGGAAACATATATTCCTCTTATTCGATCTGATCGATCTCCTCCATCCGCATGCTTTCTGTTCCTTAAGGGTTTGGTATTACTTTGCACGAGCTATAGATAGATAGCTTGGCTTTGGTGGGCCTATATATAGAAGCCGGCAGAGGGCAAGTTAATGGGCACCAAGATCTTCGCCGCAACGTTCAAGTCCTTAATATCTGCCATCTCCTACTGTTACTTCCACTTTCGAGAAGATCACGGTGGTCTTCACTCTGCCGTCCCCATCATCAAATCCTCCTCCAACAACAGCAACAGCCGACGAACCAAAAACAACAACATGCCTAACAAGTCCCGCCCACTTTCTCTCCAGGTTCAACAATTGATGCCATCTTCTCCTAACCTTCTTCTTCTTCTTCTTCTTCCTTTATGCATGGAACCCGTAAAAAAGTAACAAAACTCGTTAATTGCATGCAGACTGTTGAGCTGAAAGTCAGGATGTGCTGCAGTGGTTGCGAAAGGGTCGTAAAGAACGCCATCTACAAGCTTAGAGGTACGTTTGCATATAAATAAATGTTCACATTAATTCCTTTATTCATAACTAAGAAACCCCACATTCACATTCCTTTCAGAAAAGAGATTATTTAAACTTATCTGTAGATAGATAAAACTAACATCTTTATATGTACGTTGGAAGAGAGTTTATAAATTAATGCTCACGTACGCAGGTGTGGATTCGGTGGAGGTGGAGCTAGCGATGGAAAAGGTGACGGTGGTGGGGTACGTGGAAAGGAACAAGGTGCTCAAAGCCGTGCGGAGGTCCGGCAAGAGGGCGGAGTTTTGGCCTTACCCGAATCCGCCGCTCTACTTCACCACCAGTAACAATTATTTCAAGGACACCACCGCCGACTTCAAGGAGAGCTACAACTACTACCGCCACGGCTACAACCTTGCCGACCGCCACGGCAACGTTCCCGTCACCCACCGCGGCGACGACAAGGTCAGCAACATGTTCAACGACGACAACGTCAACGCCACCTGCTCCCTCATGTAGCTAGCCTAGCCTAGCCTAGCTAGCTAGTATCAGCTCTAATGATCAATTATACATATAATTCCATTATTATATATGCTTCAGCTTTTAGTTATTGCCTTCTGCAGTTCCTCTGTGTTTAATTATGAGATTATCCATATGTAAATGTATATATTTGTTATCCTACGTGCATGTCTGATGTGTACATGTAAAGAAGTTAATAAAAGAGACAGACATAAGTATTAAGTAGCATTTAATTAACTCAGCTTTATATATTAATTAATACATCTAAATTACCATGATAAGTAAAGAGAGTTACTAATTAGTAAAGAGAGCATACATTGCCTAATTGTAGAGATAGCCGGCTAAACTAACTAACGAAACTAACAATCAAAATGGACCAATGAGGCCTCTTTCCGGGCCGTAATGCGTGTGGGCTGCGCATTGAGTTACTGGGCCAGATGATTGGGCCTTTCTCGATGGAGAAGACAGGCTTCTGGGTTTCGAATGGAGGAGGGGAAGCAGGGCCAGCCCTGACTGGTTAGGGTTCATTCATTCACTTCTATTTACATCCAAATTGGCGACCCTGACCTAGCGGTGGTGACGACGCTGGTATTGCTTTACAGAGAGCGGAAGAGAGAGGAGAAGAACAGTGACAGAGAGGGAGAAAGAGGGATCAATTGAAGATGGATTTCTCATCGATGGCAGGGCAGCAGGGATCAAATCCGAAAATCTCGACGGAGGAATTTATGGATCAGTTCAAGTCTCAACTCGCCCAGGCGTATGCCCAGGAGTTCCTCGAGGTCTCTCTCTCTCTCTCTCAGTTTTATTTCACCCCTACTACTACTACTATCTCTCCCTTCTCCGTTCGCGTTCTCTATGATTATATGTGTTATGCTTCTTCCTACTGGTAAACAACTTCGATTTTTCCTCAGCCTCATGAACCCACTAGCAGTAAAAGTTTCCTACTTGCAATTAGCTGGGTCGGGATGGAGTTCGTTCCTCTTCGTTTCGAAGTTTGACTGCAGCTTACATTTGATAAAATTTTATGGAAGAACTTCCATGGCTCTCTCTCTCTCTCTCTCTCTCTTTGATTCCCTCTTATTGATTCATTCGTCTAATTGGTGCCGGAGTTATGATTGGATGTGCTTGTTTTTAACTTCAATCAGTCAGTCAAGTTATCAGTCATTCATGAATTCGGGAATTCTTCCGTGTTAGGTTTTTGTGATTGGGAAATCAATAATCTCCAGCGTTTTGCTTACTTTAGCTCTTGATGGAACACAATTGAGTATGGTTTGGTTTGGGTTTGATTTAACTAAAGTTGGGTGGCCTGATTTGTGGTGGTGGTGTTCCAATTTCAGACGCTGGGAGGGAAGTGCTTCGACAAGTGCGTGACGAAGCCAGGATCAAGCCTGAGTGGGAGCGAAAGCAGCTGCGTCTCAAGGTGTGTGGACCGCTACATTGAAGCCACCGGCATCGTCAGCAGAGCTCTCTTCAAAGCTAACCAATGAAGAAAGCCTTGTGTTTCCTGGATTCACAACTCAAAATCACATCTCCTCGCCCTCCCATTGTTCCTCTTTTTGTGCCTTTTTGGTGGATTATACCTGAGGATTTGAAGAAACGAGTTCTGTCATGTGAACCCTTGAGGCCATTCCTCTTAACATAATACTCTGGTCTCGCTGTTTGGCAATGTGCATGTATGAGTTAAAGTCCATACAATTTGCGTTTGCAGCTTCATTTATCGTAGAGCGGGAAGGATGGCATTGTTCACATATTGAATGTGGCAGAGACCGTGCTAACATGGCTATGGCAGAAAAGGTAGTATCTTAACAAAAATGGCATTGTTCCCTACTTCTGTCACACACCTGTAGGCCTCAGGCGGATGGTTTCCTATCTCAAATGACTTCTGAATACAGACAGTAAAACAAATACAAGTCCCCAAGTAGGGCTCACAGAGAACTACTACACTAGTACCTTCTGTTTGGGTTCTAGAACAGGGGGATCAATATCAATACCCATATTAGCTGCTGTTCCCGCTATGATTCTCATTGCAGACTCAACGTTTGTGCAGTTCAAGTCTGGGAGCTTTTCTGCAGCAATTGTCCGCAGTTGATCGATGGTTATCATACCCACTTTTTCATTTCTTGGGTCCTTAGAACCTTTCTCCGCTCCTGACCAAGAAACAGAAAGGTAAGGTAACAACCCAGTTCCACAAACTGTCACTGACAACTCAAAATTACGGTTTAATTGATGAACCTCAGCAGCACGCTCATAAAAAGGAATCCACCGTGCAAAGCATTCCAACCCCGATGAGCTTGTAGCGAAATCAGTAAGAAAACCGGACAAGTACACAATCCAAGGAAGGGAGAATGATTCTGTTGAAGAATGGAATGGTACTAACCAAATGCAATGGGAGATGGGAGGGCAGTGCTATGAGTTATTATGCGCAAGATTCACAACATTCAAAGAGAAACATGAGACATGCATTGAGTTGAAGATGATAATATGCTTGAACCATAATCGCAATTCACACACCACCAACCCAAATGGAAGAGAAGACAAAGCGAAGCTAGAATGAACCATAAAAAAAAAAGCATATCATCCTGTAAAACTCAATCAAGCAGACTCAATTAACAAGTGAGCAAAACTGTAACAATGTGCTCAAAGGGTTGTGTAAGCATTCTCAAGTAATGTTTTTCTTTCCGCAGTTTGTCAGTTCTGGTCAGCAAATTCTATGTGGGGGAATTAAAGGATGTGGAAAGGAACCTGCGGCCTTGAGCAACAGAACTGAAGCAGGGGGCGTCTTCAAAATGAAAGTGAAGCTCTTGTCCTGCAAATTGGCAACAATTCAGGTTAAGGACTTCTAAGGACCCAATATTTATTTGGGTGGAATTTGAAAGTGACAATCCAGAGAGAGTTAGAATTTGGGGAACTGACATCGAATACAGTAATCTCAACAGGAATGACATAGCCAGCTTTATCAGCAGTTCGGGCATTGTAATCCTTGCAGAAGGCCATAATGTTGACTCCTTTGGAACCTGTTTCCCCGGAAAAACGGTGCAACTCTGACTTCTGAAAACGATGACGATCGTCAAATATCCACCGCCGTGCGATGTTGATTTGATCGATCGAACAGAAAACAAAGAAGATCGTCAAATATCCGCCGCCGGTGTCGGCGTCGTTGATTTGATCGATACACCCTTGACTTCTAATCAAACAACCGTTATTCGGTTCGCACCTCTCCAAACTACGTTCGAACGAGGGTGTTTGAGTTTTGAGGAATCTACGCTACCGCTACTCCTATGGAGATTCCTGTGGAGAGCTCCGCGACTACGACTAAGACTACAACTATGGAGATCCTTCCTGGAAGGAGAGCTCCGCGAAGGAGTTACAGAGAAAAGATAAAGTTTGAACAGAGTTGATCTGTGTTGATTTTTGGTTCCTCCTCTCTCTCCTTGCTCCGGTGATTTTATCTGAAGTCACTTGCGTAGTCTTCACGCCCCGTAGAACTGCTTCCTCAACCGCTCCGTTGTGAAATCCCACGTGCCTCAACTGCCTTGATCTCCTCTTTCTGCTTTGCGTAAAAATCACGTGCCATCGAAACCGCTCCTGTTTGCAGAAACTTGGCGAAACGACATTGAGTCAAATCCTACAACCTTGTCCATGCAACGATGTCGTTTCACCAATACCGCGGCATCACCTTTCACTAATCGATGCTGACAAACAATGTCGTTTTCCATTCCGCGACATTGTTTCTTTTTCCACCAAACGGCACCGTTGTGCTTGCCAGGCCTCGCCAAAATCCAAACCTTTGTGGTATGGTTTTTAACTAAACGACACCGCTTAGTGATACTGCGGCGTTGTTGATGCCTTAAACGGTGTCGTTTTTAACTGAGCAGCACCGCTTGATTCTACCTGCGGCATCGTTTTAACATTAAACGACTCCGCTTCCAGCCTTGCGGTATCGTTTTCTTTCCCAACCAGCTCCGTTTGTTTTTTTTCTTCCGCGACACTGTTTATTATTAAACACTGTCGTTTGCTAATCCGCGGTACCGTTTTTAATTCCGCGGCACCGTTTTAGCTCTCCGCGGTGCCGCTTCTCCCCTTCCCACAAGGAATAATAATAATAATAATAATAATAATAATAATAATAATAATAAAACTCCTTTTCCAACACCAATACCAAACGCGCGGCCCACATCTTGTTTCCCGGTAAACGGTGCCGTTTCTAGTATCGCGGTACCGCTGAGCCTCCTTGCGGTACCGTTTTAACTCTCCGCGGTGCCGCTTGTCTCCAAACGACACCGTTTTTTACCCGCGGTATCGAATTAAATGCCGAGACTAATTAATACGGCATTTAATTAATCCAAATTAATTTTAGGTGTAAACAATGCCCCCCACAACTTGGTTTATAAGAATTTATGAACCAAGTTGTTGACACAACTTATATCACCTAAAATAAACTATCACAATGCCCTTAAAATTATCATATTAATGAGAAAATTCATTGGCCATATTTGGCTAACCGAGCCAGCTAGCAACCAATGCATTATATTGCTAAGCCTCTTAATTCTCATGCAATTCTCTGGCAAGCTAAAAAAACAAACGGGGCTTACCTTTTTCCTAGCCAATAGATAGAAATAGACAATGCCATAAGACAAACTTCGTACCTCTCTCCACGCCAACTTACTCCCGGCAATCCTGCTAGCTTTTCTTTCTCCTTGTCGCCTTCGACAACTCGGCAATGCTAAGACAATCACCCGCAACATTGTTGAGAAGAGAATTAAACGACACCGCTGCGGAAAATCCACACTGTGGCTTAAATAAGAATGGCCACGTTTTAATGATCTTTGTTTTCGCTCTAAAAAGTAAAAGCGATGTTGGCCAGCTTCGTAGCAAGCTTGCACTTGTCCCGCAATACTGTTGTTGTCCCTTTTTCCAAGCAAAAACAAGATTGCTTTTGCCAAACTTCTAGCCACTTAATTATTAATTTATTTTTTTTTTCGGCTTCCTCAGGATTGCTTTGGCCATAGCAACGTTGCTTTCACCAAATTTTTTTTTTTTTTTTTTTTTTTTAATCCTTATTCAAACGGAACAGAACAGGACTGCAGCCCCGATGCTGCTTGGGCCAAAGTATTGAGTGTCCTGTGGCACAAAGCCGTTTCTCCCAAACTTATCCGATTTTTTCTTCACCAGTTTTGTTTTGGCTTTTTATTTTATTTTTTTTTTTTTCGTCAGGGCTGTTAACAGCACAGCCGCAACGCTGAAAAAAAAACTTTTTTTTTTTTTATATTATGTCATCGGCGCCGTTAGCAACAACGGCAGCCCTGCTTGCAATTTTTATTTATATTATTATTTTTTCGTTACTCCCCACCAGCGCTGCATCTAATTTTGTTTTTTTTTTTTTTTTTCTCGGAGCTGTTTTGGCTGCCACCCATCTGCCCCCATTTTTTTCTTCAATTCAGCGCTGTTTGCATCAGCGGCAGCGCTGCATGCAAAAATTGTTTTTATTTTTTTTTTATTTCCCACCAGCGCCGCATTCGTTTGTTTGTTTTTTTTTTTCTCTGACCTGTCAGCGGCAGCGTGAGATGAGAGCCTTCTTCTTCTTTTTTTTTTTTTTTTTTTTAAATATAGCAGGGCTGTTAGCTGCAGCGCTGGGACTGGGAGACCTTTTTTTTTTTTTTTTTTTTATTAGCAGGGCTGTTAGCTGCAGCGCTGTTTATTTATTATTTTTTTCTCCCCGCCAGAGCTGTTTGGAACAGCGGCAGAGCTGCATAATTTTTTTTTTTTTTACTTCATACGGCCATACAAATAATATATTTTCAGTTTTTTTTTTTTTTAATAAAATAAAATTTGGCCAAACCAGTGTCGTTTACACTTGCTTCAACGTTGCTTTTACTTGTCTATTAAAAGGCCAACTGTGATTTTTCCCCCCACAATGCTGCGGCAAGCTTAGCAATGCCGTTTATTTTTTCATAAAATTTTCTAGACATTATGTGGCTTAAATAGCCATATTTATTTATTTTAATAATATCTAAACAAAAACAGGGTTGGCTTTAGCATAAACCATCATGCCAAAAGTCCACACCCACTGCCAACTCCACTGATCAAACCAAACAAGCCATCCACAAATACCCTGACTTGTTGGCTTCACACATGTTGGTTTTGATGTTTTGGGAGTAATGTTGGCTTGCACCTCTCCAGGTTGTTCAGCTCGAACGCCTTTGTTCGAAACTCCACGAGCCTGATTTGGTCTCATCTCAGCCTCGCGGAATGAAAAATCATATGCGTTCTTGGCTCTAGGCAAGACCTTTACGTCTTTTGACACCTTTGTCTTACCAAGTCGACCATGTGGCATTGCTTGCCCAAACAGGTCTGGTTTAGTCAGCTTCGCACTCTCACCATGTTGCTGTGAGTATAAGCACCGATGCTTACGAGATTCACCGACAAGTGTGTGGGTGTTTTGTTTACCACGACACTTACCACCCATCCACATCGTTTCTTTTGAGCTCCCGTGTGATTTTGGAGTTTGTAGAGTATTATACTTGCCGCCCAATCCACCATTCATAGCAGACTTGTTCCTCCTCGACACTGGTGTGGCAACTCCATGTCGGGCTTGCTTGAACTTGCCCCCCACTTCACTCGGTGGCGGCTTTGGGGACAACTTACACGAAGGATCTAGGTAAGTTACACCAACTTTCGTGGCCTTGGGGGTTTTCACGTGATCACCACCTCCATATTGAATAGTGTTTGTGGCAACCCACATGTAATTTTTCCTAGAACAGGGTGGATGTGGCAAACTGCTTCGCCACTTGTGATATTGTTTCTCCTTCAACCCGCCTTGCAGTGGGATCTCATGCCCCCCTAGCGGTTTAGATCGAACATCATCGTGACGTTGGATTGACAACACATCATATGTGAGTTTTCCATGCTCAACGTGCTTGTAGCCAGGTTCTCCATCCTGATTCTTATTTTCATTCTTATTAGAAGTACGTCGATACTGACTTCTTTGTAGTGGCTTCTGCAAGCCACTTCCAATTGGCGTGTCCTTTAGAACATTGTTGTTCACTGGAAAAGACACATTGGGATTCCTTGCTTCTGGCAACAATGTTGTAGCCATACTCGTCGATGGCGTTTGGTTGACCTTGGCTAGCCGATCAACCATCAAATCATCGCACGCAACAGACATGGTTTCAGATTTAAACACATCAAAATCACATGTGGCTCTATGTATTGACATACTAAAATCAGAAACACAGTCATCCAACTTATCAAACCATCGATCTATGTTGTTTTCAAACTTATCCATTTTCTTTTCAAGATTATCAAATTGGAGATTTACCTCTTGGTGAAACTCCTTCATGGATTGGCGAAACTCCTCCATGGATTGACGTAGATACAGGATTTCATCATGTAGCCGCTCTTCCATCCCTTGAGTACGTCTATCTGCCCCGTTCACCTGACCAACTTCGATGCCGGGCGCCTCCTCCTCCACAGGTACGTGTGGAAGATCACGATCTTGATTTTCTCGACGCGGAGCCGTGTCAAACACACGTGTCCCACCGGGTGTGCCAAATTGTTTCCCCGGAAAAACGGTGCAACTCTGACTTCTGAAAACGATGACGATCGTCAAATATCCACCGCCGTGCGATGTTGATTTGATCGATCGAACAGAAAACAAAGAAGATCGTCAAATATCCGCCGCCGGTGTCGGCGTCGTTGATTTGATCGATACACCCTTGACTTCTAATCAAACAACCGTTATTCGGTTCGCACCTCTCCAAACTACGTTCGAACGAGGGTGTTTGAGTTTTGAGGAATCTACGCTACCGCTACTCCTATGGAGATTCCTGTGGAGAGCTCCGCGACTACGACTAAGACTACAACTATGGAGATCCTTCCTGGAAGGAGAGCTCCGCGAAGGAGTTACAGAGAAAAGATAAAGTTTGAACAGAGTTGATCTGTGTTGATTTTTGGTTCCTCCTCTCTCTCCTTGCTCCGGTGATTTTATCTGAAGTCACTTGCGTAGTCTTCACGCCCCGTAGAACTTCTTCCTCAACCGCTCCGTTGTGAAATCCCACGTGCCTCAACTGCCTTGATCTCCTCTTTCTGCTTTGCGTAAAAATCACGTGCCATCGAAACCGCTCCTGTTTGCAGAAACTTGGCGAAACGACATTGAGTCAAATCCTACAACCTTGTCCATGCAACGATGTCGTTTCACCAATACCGCGGCATCACCTTTCACTAATCGATGCTGACAAACAATGTCGTTTTCCATTCCGCGACATTGTTTCTTTTTCCACCAAACGGCACCGTTGTGCTTGCCAGGCCTCGCCAAAATCCAAACCATTGTGGTATGGTTTTTAACTAAACGACACCGCTTAGTGATACTGCGGCGTTGTTGATGCCTTAAACGGTGTCGTTTTTAACTGAGCAGCACCGCTTGATTCTACCTGCGGCATCGTTTTAACATTAAACGACTCCGCTTCCAGCCTTGCGGTATCGTTTTCTTTCCCAACCAGCTCCGTTTGTTTTTTTTCTTCCGCGACACTGTTTATTATTAAACACTGTCGTTTGCTAATCCGCGGTACCGTTTTTAATTCCGCGGCACCGTTTTAGCTCTCCGCGGTGCCGCTTCTCCCCTTCCCACAAGGAATAATAATAATAATAATAATAATAATAATAATAAAACTCCTTTTCCAACACCAATACCAAACGCGCGGCCCACATCTTGTTTCCCGGTAAACGGTGCCGTTTCTAGTATCGCGGTACCGCTGAGCCTCCTTGCGGTACCGTTTTAACTCTCCGCGGTGCCGCTTGTCTCCAAACGACACCGTTTTTTACCCGCGGTATCGAATTAAATGCCGAGACTAATTAATACGGCATTTAATTAATCCAAATTAATTTTAGGTGTAAACAGAACCCAGTGCTGGGCCAACTGGAGGCGCCGGAGTAGCCTTTCCTGCCTCCAGGGCCAACTTGATGATACCAATCACTGCCGGGGGGAAAACGAGATGAAACCAGTAAGTCACATTACCCACATACATACAAAAATAACGAGTAGCGAAGAAATGGACACTAAAGGAACAGATAATCTCACCTTTCTTAGCCTTGCCGCCGGCGGGTTTCGGGGGAGCCATTGCTCGCAGAGAGAGGGGCCTGGGTGAGAGACGGGAGGGTGAGCTACGGAAGAATTGAAGAGAGCCACGGGGGTGGGAAGACAAGCTACTGATGCCGGCGCCAAACAGAGACGAAGATAGCTTATCTCCGTGAGCCCCGCCGATGGTGGAAGAAGAAGAAGAAGAAGAAGAAGAAGAAGAAGGGTTACCGAGATGAGAACTGAATGTGGAGATAGAAGCCGCCATAGTGGAAGAAAAGAGGAGGTGGAGGGGATTATTCTCCTGCTGGAGTTTTCCGGGGAATTTGCTGATTCTGCTTCTCTGGCTGCTCGATGGATTGGATAAATCTAGGGGTGATAAACAGTTAGTCGGTTATCGGTTAAAACCGATAACCGAACCGATAAAGTCGGTTAGTGGTTAACTGATAACCGCTACTTCCTTATTAATTTCGGTTTCGGTTAGTAGTATTTTGGTTAGTGGTTAACCGCTAACCGATTAATCGGTTAGCGGTTAACCGATAAGAAAACCGATAACCGCCTACTAGTGTGACTACATGGTTTTTTACTTTGGCTAAGGGAAAAAGTTGTAAGATTCAAAACCAATCAAAGTTGCAATTCCAAACATCCCAATTCTCACCTATTGCAAACAACCCTCCATCAAGAGTCTCAAATGTTTTTAAGAGTTAGAACTCGAAAGTCACCCCTCTCTAAATCCCCTTTGCACTTGATAGAGTGAACCTTAGGTTGATGACTATGGGCTAGATGAAGATCTTGGAGTAAATGATGACTATTGGCTAGATGAATTGGAGCGAGATCCTCGGATCATTTAGGTTGATGATTTGGAGATAATGAACTTGTTATTTGTGTCTTGTTGTGATTGTGACTTGTGGTTGAATTGTGGGCATGTAGACTTTATGTTGTGGAGTTGTGGTTGAATTGTGTGGTTGCATTAGGCTTTATGTTCAATTGATTTAGATGACTTTATGGTGTGTGATTATAGAGGCTGAAACAAAAGCAGGTCACTCAAAATTGAGGGTGAATCATTAAAAAAGGTGGTTGAAATTCGGTTTTGGGTGGTCGGTTTCTGAACGAAAACCGAGAAAGTGAACCAGAACCTACGGTTTTGGTTAACCGCAAGGGAAAACCGAAACCGATGTTTGCGGTTTTCGGTTAACCGAAGCCTCTGTCGGTTTCGGTTAGTGATCTTGGGACAATTTTGGTTGCGGTTAACCGATATTTCGGTGCGGTTAAACCGAAACCGCACCGACTAACACCCCTAGATAAATCCCTAAAGAAAAGGAAAAAGTACTAAACGTCGTCCGCCCTCTTTGATCGGCGGGGACTGTCGTTGTTGCCGCCTGCCGGTCTATCCTAATCCTATCCCGAAACTCCATCTGGGCCGCCTACCAAATTAAACATTTAGGAATTTGAATGGGGTGGGTAATGGTCGGGTTGGGTGGGTTTTGGTTTCAAATTGATTCAGTCACTTATTGACGGGTTGAAATAATTGTGACCCGCAATCCACCCACATACTTATACGGGTTGGGTTGGGTCATGGGTGGATGACGGATGGGTGCGGTTGGGTCGCGGGTCAATCCGTATAAGTAATTCTTCAACTAGCCATTAAGAAAGTTGACTAACATTTATAATAAGTTCAAGAGAAATTTTACAATGTTATATAGTATTGGTGTTATAGGTTTTTGCCTTTATGGTAAAACTTAAAATTGTACATTTACGTTATGGTACAACTTTAGATTGTACCTATACTTTTTGTACAAATTCTTTTATGGTACAACTTGAACTTGTACATTTATGTGATGGTACACGTTCAAGTTGTAAAGTTGACCATAACATAATGGTACAAATTGCTTTATGGCACAACCTAAACTTATACATTTAATATTATGGTACAACTTTGAGTTGTACATAAAAGTACTGATGCTATATAGCATAGTAGAAGTGCTCATTAACGAATATAATTTTATAGTTGGAAATGTGAGTTAAAAATGAAGATGTACAAAATGGTAATAGAATGATATGAACTCGTTCAATCTGTGCAATAAATTTCAAAAATCGAGTTACAACGAACAATGTACAAATTTATTAAAAAAATTCTCACCATGATTCATAACTAAATGACTTGATTTGATTATGCACAAATACATAACTAAACATTATATATGCACCTTATCCCATAGTCATTTATATCCTTTTGAGTCACAATTAGTATTGACATATAATACTAGTTGATTAGATTGTATCGAAATAATTTTAAATTATACTAACTTTATCAAATTTGTGTATTGCCATTGACGCATAATGAACTTTTAGCTATAGTCGCCCATTGAGTCTCCCTTGCAATTTCCTAAAATTATTATCCACATCACAATATCATCGCCCATTGCGTTAACACCAATAAATAATCCGCAATTGCCCCAACGTCGTCCCTTGTTGTGCCTGTGGGCCGTGCCGGCGTGCCGGCGTGGCCAGTGGCCACTAAGCTAGAATAGTAAAATATTTGACACAATGGGAAACCAAAACTCTTTTGAGTATTGAGCTAGCTTCATTGTTGTACTACCCTACCCTTCAAGAACGTGTTATTCGTCTTCTTAAAGTTCGACAACAAAAAAAAAAAAAAACAAATTTCTGACTTTTTTTTTTTACAATTATCCGAGATGAAGACAAAAGACCATATTTTTAATGGCAAAGTCGGAATTTAGGATGAGTAGGATTATTCCGTCAAAAAATAATAGCGAGGAGAGTTGAATACAAAAAAGACCATGATAGCGTTTTGGAATTTGAACTCGAGCCTTGGACAATGGTAGCTGATATTCCATCATATTATATAACCTAAAATCAAATATACATAAATGTTATAGTTCATCCCATATTACACATAGGGCTGGAGGGCGATCGATTTCAATTTAACCGAAAATCAAAAACTTGATTATCGTGTAACCAAACTACCTCCAGCGAGCTATGACAACCGACAGGGGAAGCACGGTTAACCGACCAATCAACCTTCGGTTTCCGGTTTTTGGCCCGATTAGCCGTGCAATCGAATTCTTGATGGCCTTGTCTCTATACTGTCTTTGCCCGCCTTTGTAGTCGTTGTGGAAGCCGGCAAGGAAAAAAAGAGGAAAGGGACGAGCGGCCGGTGGAGCGGAGGAGCGCAGGTCGCGAGGGCGAGGGGCGGGGGCCTGCCTCCGTCCATTTTGTCTTTGCCTCTGTCTCTGTCGGACGATTAGAGAAGAAGAGGAAGGAGCGAGGAAGAGGTCGGGGAGGCGAGGAGTCGGTGAGGCGCGGCGGGCGATGTCGTTGCCGGAGGCGCGGGGTCTAGAAGGGGAGACGGAGGGCGGAATGGGGAAGGGGTTGATGAAGGGTTTTGGTTTGGAGGGTGGAGGAGGCGGAAGATGAGGGAGGGAGACTGAGAGAGTGATGATTAGGGTTTCAATAAGGTTAGGATTTTTTATTTGAATTGGAAAAACGACGCCGTTTTGGGCATATTTAGGCGGGGCCGGTAACCGGATAACCGCGGTTAATTGCCTCCGGTTACTCGACTAACCAAACAACCCTTATCTCTTTCTGCCAAACGACCGACAATATATATAGTCGGTTTTCTTTTAGCCGCTAACCGAAAATCGACCAGCCACCTCTAATTACACATATCTCTGTCACTCGAGAGTCATTTTAAATAAAAAAATTTACCAACGATACAACTAGGTGGGCAAGAAAGTCAGGTAATTTAAACATTTTCGATGGGGTGAATCAAGGTTGTCAAACCCTTATTCGACCGGCCGGTCGAACCGAGTCAGGCTATAACTAGGTATAAAAACGGTTCCAGCCAGTCATATTTTACAGCTAGCCGCTAGCTAGTTAAAAGCAGTAAAAGCCGGGTTCTGACCGGTTAAAACAGTTTCCCACTATTTACTGAAATGCCGCCGTTTTGGCCACAAACCCTAGCAAGGTATAACGTGGGGTGGGGATTGAAGAAGCAGGCGCACAACTTGGCCGATGCCACAGCATCTTCCCGACACAGCCAGCGCACCTCATTATAATTATCATCATCTGCCACTGCATCTCCGACTGCTTTCTCTCTCTCTCTCTTCCTATGCTTTCGGCCACCTCATCTTCCCGCCACAGCCGCTACATCTCCCGTCGCATCATCCGCCGCCGCATCTCCCGCTAGCAATATCTGATCTACCATGTCGCCCATAGGACGAAGGAGGAGAAGGAGAAGTAGGAAACAGAAAGAAAAGGAAGGATATGGAAACACAAATCAACCAATTGGATTGGATTGGCCAAGATCGACTGACCAAGTCGACCATAGAAGGAGGAAGTAGAAAGTGCAAAATGGAAAGTGGAAACCCAATCAACTAGGTATGACAATTTCGACCTGACTCGGTTTACCCGACCCCGTTTGGCCTGTTTTGGGGCGGGGCGGGCATATGTATTCTCATTAACCCGATCTGTCCTGACCCGCCCCATTCTCGACCCGTTCTTGCCTAAATTACATGTAATCTTAGTCAAATTACTTAGAATTTTTCTTTTATTACATCATAATTTAGCTATAATAAAGTTGTAAATTAGTGAAAACCTCAATTTCTCTATTAATTTAACTACATTTATCATAATATTATTTGTTTTCTTGGTCTTATAATAAAATAACGAATATTTCTAATGTTTTTCATATAAATTGCATACCCATTGGGTGGACCTGCCCCAACCTGCGACCCGTGATAAATTACCCGACTTGCCACGGGCCAGGTATGGGTACCAAGAAACCCGCCCCGGACCTGCCCCATTGTCATTCCTACAATCAACCGAAGTAAAAATTCAAGAAAGAAAAAATAGAGGGCTTCATTGAAGGGGAACGAAAGAGAATTTGCAGGATAATGACCCCCAATCGTTACTAAACAACTAGTAAATTACATCAAACCCGGTTTAAACCAGTTGAACCCCAATCCAACTATTAAATCTCGAATCTTTTATCAAATCGGTTTTGTTGATGTGACTTGAATCGGACTATCAGCCGCTACGACTGGTAATCGGGGGTCTCGCTGACCGTGGACTAGCTAACACACATCGTGTTAGTGAACCATCGATTCCGGCGATTTCCCGATCCGTAGCAGCGAGTTTATAACATATTTGATGATTTAATCCGACCTGACAACCTTGAGATGAATACATGAAAGAAGAAGAAAAAAAGAATACATCAAAGACAAACCACAACAAGGGTTAAACAACTCACAACATTAGTCACTTCTACCCCCCACAAAAATGGAGAAAAACAAAACAAAAGGCATCCTCCTCCTAATCAAACACATAGAGAAAGGCGGCTAACTATGCCATTAAACCACTAAAAAAATTGGACAAAACTTGTTTATCTCTATTAATCGTGGTTTCTCGTTAACATATATTATATAGTGTCCATTAGTTGTCCGCAACGATTAGTTAATTAATTTATAATTACGAATTTGCCTATGGAAGATAAGTCTGATATTATATTTTTATATAGGTATGGAATCATATTACACCTGGCGGCCGTTTTTAATAATTATACGTGTTTTAGCTGTGTCGTACGCGTAGGCTGTATTACTAAGATTTGCAGGACAATTTTTTTATACAGTAATAGGGTGCAAACCCTTGATTATTATTATTCATAAAAAACCCCTTGATTATGTATAATGCATAATAAGATCTAGACCTATATAATTTTAAGTGAGACTAAACCTAAAGAATAAAAATTAATAAATTTTTTTTACCTTTTTAATCGCCTTTATCTTTTTCCTTCTAACTTTAATTTCAAAAATAGTAATGTATCGTTTTAATTAATACTATTTTAATTGATACAACAGTAATGTATCCTTTTTTATTTTTTCATTATGGCTATTAAAAGGGGAAAATAGATACAATGAAGAATGATACTTATAACATATCTTAATAAATTGTCACAATGACTAATAAAAAATTAGTAGTCACTCTAACTTATTCAAAACAAATACTGCGATACCTATAACACATATCGAGTTACAGTAATAAAAAAACTAGTAGTCACTCTAACTTATTCAAAACAAATACTGCGATACCTATAACACATATCGAGTTACACTAATAAAAAACTAGTAATCACTCTAACTTATTCGAAACAAATAGTGCGATACCTATAACATCTCCTATTCCACTAATTAACTTGGAATATTGATGATCGGCAACGGGCAACTAGCAAGACAATAAGTCGGCTAATCAAAAGATTCAAAACACCTCCCATGGGCCCGACACACTATTTTCACCCCACAAAACACTGCTTCCTAATCAAACATACAGAACGAGGAGGAGGCGGCTAACTATTATGCCGTTGAACCATTGCGATTAATGTTCAACGACAAACATGTATCTATTATTGTGGATTCTCTTAAAAAAAAAATCTAGCGCGACTTAGTAGTCCGCCAGAGATTTGACTATTAATTAATAACTTTGTTGCTGGGGATAATTAACGTCACCTTAAGCCTTAAAACGTAAGGCTGGTAATTAGAATTTAGATAGCATATTAAGACGGCCGGCCATTGGTTTTATAAGATAATTATACATAGTTTCAATCAACCCTTCAACAAAATTTTCATACCACCTCGTAATGAGGACTCCCAACTAATCACAGAGTGTTATCTAACTACAACTCTTGTTTCATAATTAATTCAATCAAGCTGCTTTCTATACTATTTTAATTAAAAATAATAGTAATTTAAATCGTGCCGAATTGGAACTTTCCTGTTTTCTATATATAATATAGCTTTCCCATTTACTTCTCTCTCTCTGTCCATCTTCACTTTCTTTCTGCCTCTCTTTCTCTCTCAAATTTTCACAACTCAAAAGGCGAAGGAGTGGTTAGCAGGCATGGGATTCCGACACCAAGTAGAGGTGAAAATCACGAGCTGGGTTGACATGGCGGCGAGTTACATAAGCTGGGTGGTGGTGTCCGGACTCGCCCGGGTCGGGTTGCTGAAGTCGCCGGCGGCGGCGGGGACGGACACCGCGTCGGAACCTAGTACCACAATGGACAGCTACTTCGTGTTGATAGACGGATGCTCTCCGATGTGCGTCCCCGTGGACCGGCTGATGAGGGTGATCAAGAGGTGTCTCCCGGTCATCACTTACGCCTCCTTCCTCGAGAAAGCCGGCGCCGGCGACCACAAGAAGGCGGCGGAGATCAGGAACACGTGTACGGTGTGCATGGAGGGGATAATGGGAGAAGAGAAAGTGAGGGAGCTGTGCAATTGCGAGCACGTGTTTCACAGGGAGTGCCTTGACCATTGGGTGGACATGGGTCGGGTCACCTGCCCGCTCTGTCGGGCGATGCTTTTCCCCGGTAGTTTGGGCCTGGCCCAATTGCGTGCCTACTCTTCGCCGTCGATATCATCACCGGATCACGAGCAGGAACGTGGCCGTGACCGCGATGAAGGCGACCACCACGCGTACGATCGACCGATGATGACGTAGGCCAACCCGACCCGGCATGGCAGCATCCCCAACCAACCGTCCGGCCACTTGTTAGTTGATATAATTAATTTAATAGTGTACTAGTATTGTAGCGTGGGTCACAGTGTCGTAAGGTGTGGATTTGGAAAGTATTAATACGCAGGGATTTGGATTTGAGTGGGAAGTTTCTGTGAAATTATTGGTTTCTAGAAACCTTAGATGATGAAATACTTCACTCATGAGTAATATAGACTCGGTCAATTCTATAACACACATCCTTAATTACTAATAAACATCACGAAATAAAGTAAAAAAAGAAAACAATTTCGCTTATAACCTTACCATAATTTTTTTTATAGCTTCGACGGGGCACAACCTGCCTTTGGGGATCCATCCGATGTCAATTCCCAGTCCTCTGTTAAAATACTGGCTGCTGTTTGATTTTGTAGGGAGCCAATTTCCGAAACTTGTTTTCCAGTAATTGATCAGGGCGCCCTCTTACTAAAAAAAAAAAAAACATTATAAACTGGGCCGATTGCAAGGCCCGTGAGTGTGGGCCGACAAGGGAGTGATGTTGTCAGTGGCCTAGAAAATTATAACAATTCCAATGACATAGAGACAGCCGCCCAAGGCCCACAACTGTTCATTTTGTATTGCACATTTTTTTGTTCATAATTTTCTTGAACATTTTAATCACACAATTGTTCATATAATGGCGGTTATATAACTATATGAACATGTGAGATACTGAATGGATTACATCCACCAAATTGAATATTTTATAAGCAATCAAGAGAATTAAATAGTATTTGAATATTACATCCACCAAATTGTACATTTTGTTTTATGGATTAGTGGATAAGAATGGTAGAGGAAAATCGGCATTAGCATCTACAGAAAGAATATGAAAAAAGGGAGAATTTGGTTAATCGTAAGTTAAATGTTGGATGCTTGGGTTTAGTGAAGATATACTTGGTCATTTTTTGTTACATTATATAAGTCTACATAAATAAAAAGGATTAATATACTTCTCAAAAAAGTGTTGGGTTTAGTTTGGGTGGGACTTGGCACCCGTTAGATTAGGATACATTTCATTTTAACATTAACACGAACATGAGTTTGATATTGGTTATTTTATCAAGTTATTCATCAATCATTTAATCTACTTATCAATTAAATATTAAATATACCTTTCAAATTTCACTTTCAAATCTATAATTTAATTTTAATTATTTATTAATAAAAGAATTAGATTAATGAAGATCTTGATACACCAACCAATATCAAAGTCTATGTCGATGTTAATGTTAAAATGAAATATATCCCAATCTAACCGGTGTCAAGTCCCGCACTGGGACACTCCTCCTGACTGACACCTGACCTTTGTCCCTGCCATTCTTGTTCTTCTCCCCGACCTTTGTCACTCATAAAATTTAAAGAAAAAGCAAATGGAAAACGAAAAGAAACCTCAAACGATAATTGAAAGCAAGATTCTCTCCATCCCTCCCCATCATCTGAATCTGATTCATTTGCCCTTCAGAACTACAGCAGGAGTGCTGAACTGAACGTAAATTCTTAACAAACGAAATCATTGTAATCACTCCGATTCAATATATAGGGTAGGGGGAAGGCTAAAATGTAAAATCAGATGTGAACTTGTGAAGTTATTGATGATGAAAACAAACAACCAAAATTGTACCGTTCCTGCACCAGCTTGCTAATCTTCCAAGCTTCGCTGCGAGTCCCCAACCCCATTTCCTTTTGTCTTCTCTGCTACTTTACCCATTTCCCCCTTCCTCTTTCTACTTTTCGATCCATAATTCAAAAAAAGAAAGAAAAAAGAAAAAGTCTTTCTCTTTCGCTTTTCCCCCCCTCTCTTGTTCTGTGCACTGGTACACCACCCCAAAAACGATCCCTCTTCCTCTCCGCCCACATTTCCCATCTACTAACCTACTCATGGGTTCTCCATGTCTGCTGCTGCTGCTTCAGTTTTGTCCCTTGTTCAGCCACCTCGCGTCGTAGCTAGAAGCTAGGAGGACGCGGTGATTAGCTGTAGACGTAGATGAGACCTTTCTATCACTCCTACAAACAGGACAGCAGCTTCAAAGAGGATTTAAGCTAGCAAACCCAAATTTCGAAGTAGAAAAAGTAGGTTCTTCAGTTCTAACATTGTACGTTCTAAGAAAAATGGCTTCTGGGATCAGACCGACGAGGTCCAGTGGCGGTGTCTCTTCCAGATGGCTCTCCATTTTCTGCATCGCCAGCTTCTTCTTAGGCGTCTTTGTCGTCGACAGGTAACGCTTTCTTCTCCTTACATTGCCGCTTTCTATACCCACCCCAAAACCCAGATCTCTGTTTTTTCTTCTTCTAATGCGGCTGTTACTTCTTTGTGTTGCTAACTTGTTTAGTTGGTAGGGTGGTGGCGGCGATTACTAACTCTGTGGAAATTGAGTATTTTGCAATTGTGGGTAGGATAGAAAAGTAGATTTAGTGCAACCCTTTTGCTGCCTTCCCCCAAGCAGTAATAGATTGTATTCTCCCTGCCAACAGATTGATTCCTCGGATTTAGCAACCTTCCAGCCTTTACGCAATTCCCTTTCCCCATTTTTTGGGAATCTGAAGCTTGAAGCTTCTACTTATTAATTTTTAACTTATGGATCAGATGCATGCACATGATGTATATGTTCTGTTCCCTGTGGCCATTTGGTTTGTGCCAAGAAGCTAAAAGAAACGGTTGCGATAAACTAGATTCTGTGCTATACAAAGGGGTGTTAGCTTCACGTTGATACATGCATTGGCGAGACCCTTTCGAGGATGAGATCTAATTGTAGGTCCAGACCTGTAGTTGCATCAATTTCGCGAGCTAAGTGGAAGAGGCAGACTTCTTTGATGCTACCCTAAAATGCATATGAAGTAGGCCGAGCCGGCATATGTTTGTAACCGCCATTGTAATTCTTCAATCTAATGATTCTTGGAATCCGTTGTGATCCTTAATCTGGAAGGCCAATTTTCAGTTTGATGTGGTTTCTTATCAAACCACCTACACTGATTGGTGAAGCATAGTTAGTGTGTCCCAGTGAGGAAGGATACATATGTCTTGTTTTATGAGCAGCTTGAAATGAAGCTGGTCAAATCGACTTCTTCATGCTTTCTAGTTCATTGTGCTGGCATTTTAGTCCATAATGGCTTATTTACAAAAATAGCATACCGGGTCCTTTATGAAACCCCTAATTGCTATTGTTATCTTGTTGGCAATGTTCCTGTTGGTGTTAAGTGTTAACTATACATGTGTTGGCTTAGTAATCTGCTGTACAGCTTGGACTTGATGCATAGCAATATAACAAAGTTAGTGGATGAGTCCAGACTGCAGAGTACATCTATGCAGAATGGTAAAATCATTGAAATGGAAAATTGAACTTTGTTATTCTTTTTCCAACTCAACTAGTGTAAGCTAACAAACTTGCAGATAAATTTCCTATTGTTGGCTCTTACCCATGTGTCAGTACTTTTGATTTGGACTTGGAGCATTAATTGTTGCGGACCCTTTTGGAAGTTGGCTGAGATAAATGAAGGAATTTATCATAAAAACTCCAGTTCTCTGTCACTAATATCGAATCTGAATCCTTCAACAGGTTTTGGTCTATTCCTGATCCAGTCAAAGTAAATGAGGGAACTTCAACCATGGAGCTTCAATCCAAGTTACCACATCCGACCGTTAATTGTGAGAAAAAGGTAAGTCAAGTGACTGCGTAATTGTTTCTGTAACCAGCTAAATGCACCTAGAATACTTTTGTAATTGGATTGTGTCTTGCAGGAGACTACTGTACAAACCAGCGATATTCTGTCGCAAGTTTCTCAAACCCATGATATGATAATGTAAGTCCTATAACCAGTTGAATTATGCTTTCAGTTTAGAAATCATAAGTGATTGAATGATATACTATTCTTTTTCTCTGTACGTTTGGGTTTTTTGTGAGAGTTTGCGACGTGTGATTCTTGTGACAACATTTGCTGATTTGCAGGACGTTAGACAAAACAATCTCCTTGCTAGAGATGCAGCTGGCTGCTGCAAGAGCTGCCAAAGCGGGTAGTGAAGAAGAATCTCTTGTAATGACAAAATCAAGCGTCGAGCATTTGAAGGACAGACAAAAGGTTTTCTTTGTTATGGGTATAATGACTGCATTCAGCAGCAGAAAGCGAAGGGACTCGATTAGAGAGACATGGATGCCCAAAGGTGAGGTCCAGTCTTTGTTGTCTTTCAATATTGGTATCCGCTAATTGCTGGAAAACAGGAAAAATGACTAAACTAAGTGCACCCTGTGGGTTATTTTCCATTCCAGGAGAGGAGTTAAAAAAGCTGGAATCTGAGAAGGGTATAATCATGCGTTTCGTTATAGGACACAGGTGCCACTTACTCTAAATTTTGGCTTCATGAAATTTGGGTGAACAAGCATATGAGTTCTTAAACTTTGTGGGTGTCAGTGCATCTCCAGGTGGGGTTTTGGATCGAGCTATTGATGCTGAAGAAGAACAGCATAAAGATTTTCTGAGGCTGGTAAGATGCATATCCATTTGGATTGCATTACAACTGGTTTGATTGATTACTCTTATTAAATGATCTAGCAATGGCTTATGCAACTGGTTGAAATTGTTCATGTTGCAGAATCACATAGAAGGTTATCATGAACTGTCATCCAAAACACAGATATACTTTTCAACTGTTGTGGCGAAATGGGATGCTGACTTCTATATAAAAGTGGATGATGATGTACACATAAACCTAGGTCAGTTTGCCTCAGTAGCCCTCCCTCCCCCTTCCCCGCCTGGGTTTTGCATAATTCTTCATCCACATCCTGGACACAGCTTAACATGGCTGGTGAATCAATATCAACACTTTGACAGGTATGGTTGGTTCCACATTGGCACGCCATAGATCTAAACCTCGTGTGTACATAGGTTGCATGAAGTCTGGACCAGTCCTCGCTCAGAAGTAAGCAAATAGATATATGCCACTTTTCACTTGTGGATACTGATCTTCTGTGAGTTTCCATTCCTTCAACTCTCTTTCTGCATTGCATTGTTATGAACGAAGCGCAGAGGGGTAAAGTATCATGAACCAGAATACTGGAAGTTTGGGGAGGAGGGTAATAGGTACTTCAGGCATGCAACAGGGCAGATATATGCCCTTTCAAAAGATTTGGCCACCTACATTTCGGTCAATCGGTGAGTAGTGTGTATACAATGCTTGATTGATGTGCACATTACTCCAGCACATTTGGTCTAGTTGAATGCATGATAGTGTGATTGCTGTCCTCTCCCTCCAGGCACATACTCCATCGATATGCGAATGAAGATGTCTCGTTGGGGTCATGGTTTATCGGACTAGACGTGGAGCATATTGATGATCGGAGCCTATGCTGTGGATCACCTCCTGGTAAAGGCTGCTGACATGCCATGCTGCAACATGTGGAGGCTTTTGCTATCTAGCTAGCGTCATTGCTTATGCTCTAATAACTTGGGGATGTGTTATCTTCTGTGGCAGATTGCGAGTGGAAGGCGCAAGCTGGGAATGCATGCGCGGCTTCATTCGATTGGGCTTGCAGTGGGTTATGCAAGTCAGTGGAGAGAATGGCAGACGTGCACCAGCGTTGCGGTGAAGGAGATGGAGCAATCTGGCACACCAGTTTCTGAGATGCAAACTTTTGCATCTGGGTACATGGATTTGTGGTTAACCTGAACAACTAACTGACTGATTGATCAATCGCTGTTCATTGAATGACTGACTGGACCAAATGGAATGGAATTCTCTTCTGCCCGGTTTTTGTGTGATGTTCGGGCAGTTGATCGGAGTCCATAATGTATTTATTTATGCTATACGAACAGAACAGACCGACTAAAAATTGTTCGTTCATCCAATTTCTGGATGTTAATTTCACTAATATTCCCTCCTTCGCGAGTAGTATGGAAGGCCTGTCCCAGTCTCCCACAATCTTCTGGACCGAGCGAATAGAATTATTTGGACTTGGATGTGGCTTTCGCGTTGGCCCATAGCCCATGTGCGAAACAGAGAAAAGCCCAGATGCCTCATGATTTGGGCGGAAACTCGATCCAATAAGTCAAATCATTAGTTTGAACGGAATGCCTGCAAACTCTGGCCGCCGCTATATAACGACGGCCGGAAAGTCGTGGGTTCTGACCGGAAACTGAAAACTGAAAAGGCCCAAAAGGGCATTGCTGGTTGGTTAGTCAACTCAAGCTCGTGAAACGGGAGGAAAATGAGGCAGCGATTGTTTTTGTCCAATTTTATGAGTGGCGGAGAGGAGAGAGCAGCAACAAGAAGAGAATTTTGCTCGAGGAAAGCATGCTGAGTTAATGTATAGTTTGTACTGCTAATGTGCGCTTTATGAATGTGGGCGGCGAAATCGATGTATGGTAAGTAATAGCATAAAGAGGCAGATCAGATGGAATTGGAGCAAGTCAACAAATTGGTAGATGCATAGTTGATATTTGAGTCTGCTGTTGCTGTATGCTTAGTGTCAGTTTGAGTGGTCTTCCAATCATCGGCTACTTGAATCTTGATTGCTTTCTTCCAACTGAGCTTGCTTTTCATGGTGGGTGGGTGGTTGGTTGACTCGCGGGTGGAGGAGCACCGGCTCCGGCTGATATGTAATTTGCTAGACCTTCTAAACCAATTCAGCTCCACGATTTTTATTTGCTGCAGCAGCAGGCCGATCTTATCTAAGTAGATTTCTATGTGATCCACATATAATTTAGACAATCCAACATTAAAAAATGGGCACCACATTTACTTTTTTCCTTTGTTGGATTTATACTTGGATTGTACATTTTTCTGATGAATTAGGTCTCATAAATCATAATCATATGTCCTTGATGTATATAATACGCACTGTACAAGTAACTGAGTAAGGACCCCGACATTTGTACAGTTTTCTGCATGTTACTAATTAATAATATCACAATTAAAATATGAGAGTCGAACTAAAAAGAATTCGATTGTATAACATGTTCATCATCATGGTCGACTGACATAATAGAACCACATAAAATAAATTAAAAATTGCTTACTTGACTTTTTATGTTCATATGGTTATCACTTATTAACAATACGTTTTTCCTTACGAGAATGTTATTAGTTAATGAGAAAAGTACAAAGAGTCTAAGTCGAAAGATGATCAGCAAGGGTGGGTGAGATAATAAAATGGTGGTCAGGGAAAAAGACGGGATTGTTGACTTAATTAATTAACGAGACAAGTGAGGATTCATGAATAAAGAAAGCTTATTGTTTATATTGACGAAGGGGAGTTAGTTAGGTCATAGGTGTGACGGCGGGAGACATATATTCATATTAGGAGTCGATTAATAAATCAATTATTTACTTTCACACTATATACATTAATAGTTATCAGTTAGTCGAATTGTCGGTCTCGTTTATTACTTTTAAGAATGAAATTATATGATCATTTACTTGATAATCAATGTTACATAACATTCTTAACTATGCCTACAACTTCACAGATCGCGCATATCACTCTTTTAGCCTCTCATTCTCCCAACAAAACAAGAGGTAGAGTAGAAATGGAAGTAAAACGAAAAAGGAATAAAGGGGTCTTTGCCTTGTGAATTTCTGTGATGGATTTAGGTATCAAATTCAATCCATCGTGAACTTGGGAGAATCATATAATCATTTAATTTTACATCCCCATTTTAAGTTAAGGAAAATAAGATTATTTTTTCTTTAACAATGTAATTTAAATTTTGAAAATATAAAGATGTTACAAAAAAATCATAAATAAATCCAACAAACATACATTAAATTTTCTCAAATTAATAATGACCCAAATTGATCACAAATTCAGGACATTTCAAAACCCAGATATTAACCAAAACACTGAATTTACAAATAAGAAAAGAACACTTTCATCTTAAATGAAGAATGAATTACACGTGGGAGAAATGAAGCAGGGTAGCGTGGAAGAAGGAAGTCGTGATAAACGAGAGTGAAGAAAGGGAGGAAGACGTGGTGGCCGGTCATACCGTTGATCTCCACTTACCAATAGAGTTAGACTGACTTATTAAATTACCGGATAAAATATCTATAATGTTACTTAAATTTGAGAATTGGGATAAACATCCGAGTTAAGTGATATCCGAGATATTTTATCCTTAAATTGCCACTCTTTCTTTTCCATGGTTTCTCCAATCCAAGTCGGACCCACTTTTCCTTTTTAGGTCTTTAAAAAAAACACAGTTAAACTAATACACGTGATATAGCAGCATATTATCATACAGATAGCACCGTTTGTTCATCAATCTCGGTGGTCTTCCATTGCTTATTTCAGTGTTAAACTCGAAGTAGTTAATTGTTTAATTCTTAGTTGAATTTGTGTATTTGGATGATCTGTTTTAATGGCTAATCAACCGGGTGGATAGAGGAGGTATTTGGTCCAAAAGGATCTGTTTAAAATGATATGATATGATCGTTTAACTCTTTGACCCCAACAAGAAGAAGTGCATTACATATTTAATGCTATGTTAGGATAGTTGTACTGGAACCTCCCTTTCAAAAACTAGCTTGTACCCCGGCCCGTTGGCCGGTTGCAATACGATAAAAGAATTTAACTAAGTTTCAAAGGTTAAATTTCAGTAATTTCCTCTTTTCTTATATTCTAGCAACGATTATATGTCAATGTAGTGCGAATTAAAAAATAATGGTTTCAATTTTACAAAATAGATAGCAAGGTAGTTTCCATGCTTTTACCTTTAAGAAAGTCAAAATATTTTTTTTAGGTAATGGTGATATAGTATTATTATAAGAAATTCAAAAAATTCTATTGCTGAAAATGAGCATTCATGATAAAGATTCCTAACATTTTCCTTCTATGTTGATTCTTGTTGAAATTCAAAATGTAGGACTTATATGCAAGGAAATAGTAACTCATATTAAACTTAATGAAGCACTATTATAGATATTCCAAAATAATTGGTATCATCTTTTTATCATCTAGAATCTTCATTATTAACTCCACTATCTTCATCAATAATAAAAGGCTTTTATTTTTGCATTTTTTGTGAAGCAAAAATTCAAACACAAAGCATAATCATATATCGAAATGCAATCTTCATAACAATTTACATAATTTTGGTCACAAATGTTGTTGGAGGTTTTTTTTCATTATTGATTATCTTCAAAACTGTTAACCCAGTTATAGGATTTGTGATGTTGAAATCACTAAACTTAAAGTATAGGAGAAGAAAACGAAAAGCCCAACTTGTATACTCATAGTACATGGTTGTCACGCTGGTGTAATGACATATGTTCAGCTTGATCGATTTACGATCTCTAAGTAACATTATGTCATTTTAGTTAATATAATTAATAAAAATGAATTTATTATTTATTTCATGATTTTAAAAGTTCAATTTTGATGTTATTTGTTGGATTCAAGTATGTACATTCAGGTATTGACATTCAATGTTGTATTTAAATATGACTATTTGATATCTTATTTGAAATGTTGTATTTAAATATGAGTATTTAATATCTTATTTGAAATATCGTATTTTATTCAAATATGAATGTGATCATTGTAACTAAATTATCTTCAAATATGTTTTATATAAGATTAAATTCGTGTTAATGGTTTTTCACAATTTTACATATTTTTTAAAGTGGCATGAACCGACATTAATTGATCGTAACTTTGGTAAAACTATTTTACTTGTTAAGCCGACGTAACGGAAAAAACCGGTTTGACAACCTTGCAATAGTATGAGCATGGGATAACAATGCAAGTTATGCTCAACATCTCAAGTCATATGAGCTACTTCGCAAAAACGCAGCACACAAACCCCATAGTACTTCAACAATATTCTTGCATATCCCCTCCAGTTTTTCAAATCAATCCTGCGGATACATCTAACTCCGAAGAATGTGTGTGTGATTCATAAATAACATCTCGTTCTTCTTATCCATTGTTCCACTAATTAATATGTTCCGCACATAATTAAGCGGGGAGTATTTCTTCAAGATATAAATTACAATAGCCAAAATTATTAGTCTTAATGATAGTAGTAGAAGCAACGCATTAGAGTTAATAATGGAACAAAGGAGTCCAATTAGTGAAAAATAATTCACATTCCAATATTCATCCTCTCATAAGAATTTGAACAAAAATCAGCATGGTTAAAGCTACAAAGAAAAAGAGAACTCCTCAAATCGATTTCATTCGAAAGAACACTTAGCCTAGCTTGGACAGACGAAGTCTGGGATGTATAATTCTAGGTTTTTAGTTACAATAATAATCACCATGTCTCAAATAAACAGATGTTCCTATATATATATATATAAATCACCATGTCTCCTTTTCTTTCTGCCGCCTGGCTAGCTTTGTGAGTAAACGCATCTCTAAATAATATAAAGAGCTTTCTCTGGAAACTCTTCCCCGCAACTTTCGGGGTACTTTGTTATTTTTTATAATTTTTTATTTATTTCCAGTCTTAAATTAAACCTTCAAACTTTGAAGTTCAAAGCCGCCCAAGAGGTCCACGTCACCTTCATATTTGCCCTTTTACATATCTCTCCTCATGTTTTCTATCCCATCGGCCAATGATTCCAAAGCGGAAACTGATCCTCTTCCTCTTCTCCGCCACAACGCGCCGCATCCCGTGTCTAATTCTATTTCCTCTCATGGTCAACCATTTCCTCATAACTCTCGTGTGTTCTTCAACGGCCTCAAATCCGCAAAGTTCTCCGGCGGCAGTGTTATTTCATACCAACCATCAATGGTTCAATCCAACCCACATCCCGCCAGAGTGGGTCTACCAGGTAATTTTATATCACATACAGATATTTGCTCCAATTTGTTTAACCGATTGTTTTGATACGTCGTTTCCGTTCCTTTCTTCAAACCCTATTTCTCTTCACTACTCCAATTGCATGCTCCCTTCGGTTTGTCCACCGCAATTTTTACTGCGCCCTTCCCAGTGTTTCATGTTCCACAAGATGTTCAACGACACCGAGGCTTGGTAATTCCTGAAAAATCGGCTTTGTAAAGAGTGCGTGAGACATACTTCCGGTGATGGGCATATTCGCATGCAGCCGTTGACTCCAGCCGCCTAGGTAAAAAACAACTACTTCTTATGGCATACAAATTATAGTGTTTATGATTTATAATGTCAATTTTATGTTTCTCGGTTCCACTACAAATAATTAGTCCTACTGAATTCAGAAAAGTTTGACGCTCTTATGCATGAACCCAGTATTCATTGTTCTTCTCTTACTAATTGATTTCCCTTAACTGTTTTCAGACTTTGTATTTCCTACTATACATGAGTTTCTCTCTACAGAAATATATGGGTCATTTTAAGAATTGATTTTGAGCGCTTCTGTCAATGCGGGTGGTTTTTTTAGATGGGATCAAAATTATAATTTAGGGAGATTAGCATTTCAATAATGTTAAGAAGGAATATGTGTACACTACATCATTACTTTCGCATATAATCAAAAGTGAATATATAGGGTAAGATATTGTAAATTTTAGGGGTTATAGGTATAATATGCCCCTCTATTATGTAATTTTATCAAACATGCCCCTCTACTATTTTTTACATCAAACATGCTCTTATACTTTGTAAAAATGATCAAACATGCCCTTTTGTTAAAATTTGCATCCAAAAACCATCAATCATGATCGAACATTGGTTTGGGCAACACCTTTATCTAAAATATTCCTAATAATTTCACTTTAGAATTTTTTTTTCCTTTTGTATAGCCAAATAACTCTAATAATTTCACTTTAACTAGACCTTGAGAAATAAACGAGGAAGAAAAACTGACATTTCAACCCCAATTTTTCCGATGTCGGGCCGTGTGCATCTCGGTTCAACTATGGTTGACCATTTTTTAATGAAATTTTTTCTGTAAGGGCATGTTTGATAATTTTTTCAAAGTATAGGAGCATGTTTGATGTAAAAAATAGTAGAAAGACATGTTTGATAAAACTGCATAAAAGAGGGCATATTATACCTATAACTCTAAATTTTAGTCATAATAAGAATAAATTATCAAAGAATTATAAACCTACATGACATGAGTTACGATTTGAAAATTAAATTACTATAAGTGAGTACTTTCATGGATTAAAAGTTTGAATGTTTTATTTTTAAAACATATATATGTTGCTTAGTTAGAGATTAAATTACTGATCAAGTATTAAGCACTTGATTGAAAATTTCATTTATACTGAGTTAATGTATATACATTTGCATAGGCAATCACATTTTTGTATAATCATTTACAACAATGTATAAAATTTCAAAGATTCCACAATAGTTATGTAAGAAAATAAATTCATCATGTTAAATGATCCCGGCCAATAGGCCGGGAACAAAGCTAGTCATAAATAGAAATGGAAAGTCCATAATACCCTGCCGTGGTTTGCGGAGAAGCAAGGAAAAAGGGAATTAAGGGGGTTCCGAAGGAGAACCTCCTTATATGTATGTTAGACAATCTGAGGCCAACTACGTAAGGAAAAAATTTAATTTAAAAATAGATAGTGGAATGTATAAATCTTTTATTGAAACACTAATTCGAAGTCGATAAAATATTTAAAGCTTTTAGTTTAGTTTATGTTTGTCTATGTACTATGTAGCAATGATTAATGGGAGAGTCAAACACCAAACTCACTCGAATCCACTCAATATGTGTTCGGATGGATGTGATGGGTGGGTATGAGTAATTTTGTGTCACAAAATAATTCGGACCGATCACCTCATATATTGTCACTAATCTACACATATAATAATACATCTCTATTTTTATGTCTCAATATGTCAATCATGACTGAATTTTTTTCCAATAATTTTTAAATGACTTGCAACATAAAGTATACATTGATTATTCAAAAATATAATAAATATTCATATAATATTTTTTTATTCACTAGTTAGATGATTGATATTAGATTATGCAATAAACTATACTTAATAATTATTTATAATCTTGTAGCTTAATATACAATTAGCTTATATTATGGCCTACATCTATCTTATTATTTAGACAAAAATGACCCACCAAAAAATCAAACTCACCCACGGTCCGCCAGATATTCCAATTTTTTCCATTACAAGGCATCAATTAATTTTTAAAAAATGTATGGTCTTCAAAGTTCAAACAAATAGAATATAAAAATGATTTTTTTTTGGGTGGGAATACAAAAATGAATTATACATAGGAAACTAAAAAACAAATAAAATGCAGGGAAAGAAAACAAGGTGCGGGGCCTACGGCAATCTTTAATAACACCCTCCTACCACTTATCTCTGCGTCCCTTATCCTGACCAAACCAATTCCCCATCCAAGCCATAGGCTCCTTCACCCTCTCTTCTTCCACCATTTTTGTCTTTTCCCTTTCTCTATGCTGCCAGCTGCTTCCCTCACCCTCATCCTCATCCCCCATTCCTTCCTTTATTTCTTCCTATTCTCTGCTTTTTAGCTTTTGGGCGGCTTCTTCACTGATTCTTCCTTTCGGAACCCTCGACTGGACCCTTTTCACCCATTCAATCGAGGGTTCCCTTTCCTTATCCGCCTCAGGTTTTCAACGGCTTCCCTTCTCCCCTCTTTGCCGCCCCCAGGAAGCTAGCTACTTCTCGGCGCTCTCATGGCTTTGTGGTCTATACTGCTCGACATTCTCCAGAGGCCCAGCCCTTTTGCTGTCATGGCGGAGCTCTCCATGCTGTTCGCTCCTCTCTGGATTGCGGTATTTGTAGGCGTTCTCGTTGGATGGTCATGGAGGCCCAAGTGGGCAATTTTGGCCAATCAATCCGATACCGCTCCACAATCGCCGGCTTCCTCGAGCTTCAAGCTTCAGCTGCCCAGCTGCATCTCCTGGATTTCCAGCGATGATTCCCGTCAACCCAACTCTTCTTCTACTTCTCCCCCACCTACTACCACCCTCGCTTCTGATTCAAGGTAGGTTTGCGTCGCTCCGCCGTTTCTTGAATTGGCTCTGTGTTGACGGGTTCAAGTTCAATTCTGGCTGTTTTACTGTCGACCCAATTTGTGATTAAGAATTCGGGACTGCTTACAGCTCTTCGCAGCCGGGAAAGGGGAAATCGGGTAGTATTGTGTCAACGGATGATTTGCAGTACTTGGCCAAGCTTGTTGAAGTCAAAGATGGCGGTCCTGCTTGGATTCAGATGATGGACCGTTCTACGCAGACTATGAGCTACCAAGCTTGGAGGAGAGATCCTGAGGTAAAGCTTCCCCCCTTTTGTTGCTTACTGTTGTCAATCTTTGGTCTTTTCCCCAAGTTTTGGGAGGAAACAATCTAATTTGATTGAACTGGGGTTTGTATTGTGTTTTGATAGAGTGGCCCTCCCCAATACCGTAGCAGAACTGTTTATGAGGATGCTACTCCTGAAATGTTGAGGGACTTCTTTTGGGATGACGAATTCAGAAAGAAGTGGGACGACATGCTCATACATTCCGAGACTCTGGAGGAGTGCCCCACAACTGGAACCATGATGGTCCAGTGGGTTCGAAAGGTATTTGAGAAACTTACAATTGCTCTTTCTGTGTGGTGTCCACTTTTATACCGGCGATTGGCTTTAATCTAAGCTGCCTCGTGCCTCTCTTGCAGTTTCCTTTCTTCTGTAGCGACAGAGAGTATATCATTGGTCGCCGGATTTGGGAATCGGGCAGAAAGTACTACTGTGTTACTAAGGTATTAGAATTTTCAGAATTATTCATTGCTTCTGAATGTCTCGCTTTTACCGTGTTTTGATGAGGGATCTATTGATGTACTTTACTGTCTTACATGTTGAACCCTTTCCAGTTATCTGTCTATTTCACTCACACCTCCCAGAATTGATTAAGAGGTAGTCTGGCTTTTCTACAGTCTTAGTCACAGTTACCAACTTACCATCAACATCCCACAGGAGTCGAACTTGTATGATCTGTTTGTGGTTAAAGGAAATGCAAGATTTCATAGTGGCAATGATTTCTTGGCATTCTCAAAGAGAGCTTTGAGCATTGAAGATCATCTATAAGTCTGTGGCAGTGATATTGTTCTGTTTTGTCATACAACTGCCATCTTTTGGAGTTGAGTTTCACTCGCTTGACAATATAGTTATCTTAACTAGCATCCCTTTTGTACATCCCCAGGGCGTCAGCAATTCCGTTCCAAGGCGTAACAAGCCACGCCGTGTTGATTTGTACTATTCAAGCTGGTGCATCCGTGCAGGTAACTAATTGCCTGGTTTCTTTCTGTTGTTTGATTACAACTCAATGATTCATTCATGTTTTCTGTGTCTCCAACGTGGAATATATGAAAGTTAAGCCTGCTCACCTCTTTGTGTTTTCAGTGGAATCAAAGAGAGATGGACAGCTGACTGCATGTGAGGTGCTACTGTTCCATTACGAGGACATGGGAATTCCATGGGAGATTGCAAAGCTTGGAATAAGACAAGGGATGTGGGGAGCTGTGAAGAAGATCGAGCCCGGTTTAAGATTGTATCAGAAAGAACGAGGTTCTGGGGCTCCACTCTCACGTCCCGGTTACATGGCCCAGATCAACTCCAAAGTGAGTCCAGACTACCTGAGATTGTTGGAAAACAGCAGCAGCAGCACTTGTAGTACTTCATCTGAATCCGAGATTGAAACCTCGGGAGATTCTTCCGAAAAGGCGCAGGGAGGAGGGAGCATACCTAAGGTTCTAGTAGTGGGTGGGGCTATTGCTCTAGCATGTACACTCGACAGAGGGCTACTGACAAAGGCAGTCATATTTGGAGTAGCTAGAAGATTTGCTAAGATGGGGAGGAGATTATGATATGGCGAAAAATTCTTTCATTTTGCTTCCCCAAATAGTCGCGAGCTGTGGTGAAAATGGAGGGGGAAAGGTGCAATCTGGGATGGAGACTTGGTCCTTGGATTGCCCACCCTATTTGAAGAGAGGAGGGGGGAATAGAAGAAGCTTTTACTGCAATTTTCCTTTTCGTTGGGGCCCTTATTTATTTCTGTTCTGCACCTGTTGCAGCTTCTGAGGAAGGAGTGGATGATGAATTGATGATACATAATACACAGCAAATAGCTGTATACAAGTTGATTGAAGGAAAGAATGAAATCTAAGCTGCATGAACAAAATAACACGAGAACTGGGCATTATCTGTGGTGGTCTAGTGACTAGTGATATGACTTGTTTAGCTGATGATCTCTGGTAAACTTTTCCTGGGGAAGCAGCCATAAATTCGCAACTAAGATAGGTAAGTGAGAGTAATGGAAGGTGGGTTGTCCACTTCAGATGTCAGCCAGTAAGTGCAGTCCTTGTATTTACGATAGGGCAGCAGCAGCAGCTAAGCTATGGAAGATCGGGGGCATTTGCCGGTGGTTGAAGATGGAAATTGGGAATATGTTTGGTGGGCCGCAAGAAACATGATGTCAAAGAAGTGGGTGGTGGTGGGGGGAAAAGGAGATGCATCATCAGTCTGTGTGTTTAGTTACTTTGGGGAACCTAATATTAATGTAGGCCATTCACAGTTGTTTTTAGGTTTAATTCACCCGTGTAGCCATAACTTTCACGGTTTTGACAAATATAGCCACTTTTTGAATAATACACAGATGTAGCCATTTCCGTCCCATTGTTTGACGGTTCACTTAACTCGCTGACTGGACTAACGGTAGCGGCTGATGTGGCGTGTTTTCATTTGCGTCTTTGCCACGTGGATTTTTTTTTTTAATTAAAAAGTAAAATTAGAAAGAAGAAGACGAAAAGGGGATTCAGATCGGGTTCCCCTTTTTCGTTCAACTTTCCCAAAAGAACTCTCCTCCTTTTCTCTCGACTCACCCCAACCCTTCCCGATCGTCGACAAAAGGAAGCCATGAATTCGGCCGGCGAGTAGCATCGGAGCATCGGACGGTCTTTCTGCTCAACATCGGCCGGCGAGTAGCATCGGCCGAGTAGCATCGTCCGGCGAGTAGGAAGAGCGAGGAACCCTAAATCGTGCGATTCGTGCTAAGAAACCCTAGTTCGTGCGATTCGTGCGATTGGTGAGTCAAGATGAACTTCTGTGGGTGTTTGCTCTGGTTTTCTTCTTTTCACAGTTCGAATGAATGAATGAAGTGCTTGTTCTGTATTTATAGGTTCAAAGGTGGAAAGCGACATTCCCAACTTCTTCGAGGAGGTCTCGACGGAAGGGATTGAAGATGGAGGGAAGGGATTGAAAATGAGAAGGAGGGGTAGAGAGGAGGTCTCGACGGCAGTGAGGAGTTGGGGTAGAGGGGAGGTCTCGACGGAAGGGATTGAAGATGGAGGGAAGGGATTGAAAATGAGAAGGAGGGGTAGAGAGGAGGTCTCGACGGCAGTGAGGAGTTGGGGTAGAGGGGAGGTCTCGACGGAAGGGATTGATGCTGAAATGGAGGCGTCGACGGCAGTGGGGAGTTGGGGTAAAGAGGAGGTATCGACGGAAGGGATTGAAGATGAAGGAAGAAGGGATTGAAAATGAGAAGAAGGGATTCAAAATCAGTCTCTGCTCTGCGATAGGGAACCCTAGAAAATAAGAGAGGAAGGGGATTAGTCGACGATGGCGATGAAGGGGAGAGAGACAGAGAGTTAAATAAAATTTTTTTTTTAATAAGAAAATAAAAAAAAATCCGATGTGGCGTCCACGTGGCTAACTCCATCCGGTTGGCGTTGACGTGTCATCCATTTGGCAGACAGATCAGCAAAAAGTCCACTTCACTGACGGAGGCGTTAACACCGTCAAATGTTTTATGTAAAATGGCTAGATTAGTCTACAATGTTTGAAAAGTGTGGCTACATCTGTGTATTATTCAAAAAGTGGCTATATTTGTCAAAACCGTGAAAGTTATGGCTACACGGGTGAATTAAACCTTGTTTTTAACTTCTGTCTTTACTTTTTCCTTTCTGAGCTTTGGTGTGTTCAGGATTTTGTTCTCTTCTCTTATGCTCTTCCGGGAGAGAGTGTAGAGGGCAAGCAATCTAGTGGGCTGAATGGCTGATACCTTGAGTGGCAAATGATCTTAGTTACTCTGAAGCGGTTTGCTATGGAAAAAACGCATTCAATACTCCGTTCAACTCATGAGCTAGCTCATCTTCAACTTGTGAGTTTGTTCGACAATGTGGCTAGCTAGTCAGCTCGACCAGCGGGCGACTTATGAGCGAATCGACCTATAGCTTATGAACGTTTTTTGTAATCTCAGTGACCAACAATGCAATTAACCCGAACTTATTATAAATGTTAGTCAACTTTCTTAATGGCTACTTGAAGAATTAATTTTGCGGGTTGACTCGCGACCCAACCGCACCCATCCGCCACCCACCCATGACCCAACCCAATACGTAGAGGTATGCAGGTGGATTGCGAGTCACAATTATTTTAACTCGCTGATAAACAAGTGGTCAATTTGAAACCAAACTCCATCCAACCCGCCCATTAGCCATCCTACTACTAAGCAATATAATAACACAGATGCAAATTTAGCGCAGACTCTTTCATGTTTGCTGTGTCACATCTCACACCACAAGACGTGTGTGGATAGGTAGGATCGGATTAGGATGAGAACTAGGAGCAAGTTTCGTAATTTTCAGCGGCCAACACATTCACGTGTCATCATGTTAACAACGAGTTACAAAGTGGAGATTGGCCTGAAATTTGGCGGATTTGTCCATTTCATCTTCCGTGTCATCATGTTAACAACGAGTTACAAAATTTATCTCGTTGCTTTTGCTTGTATTTCTCTGACCAATTTCGATTGGACCGCTTGGCTGGAGTAAAGTAACTGCTCAGCGCGCACAGTGCTGCTGAGGCCAGAACGGCATCGAGTTTAAGCAAACGCTTTTACTTTCGACACGTGTCTCAAGGCCATTGGTGTTACCTCCCGCTATCGTCGTCATCATCAATCCTTTTTCTTCTTCCGCTTGTTGATCGTTCGCCGTCCCGAGGTCACGGGGCGGATCTAAAACAAAATTCCAATCCCCCTCATTCCGTTCCACCACCAAACGGCCTCCATTCCCCATTTTTATTTTATATTTAGAGGAAAGAATACAACTTTATCTTTCTTTCTTTGGCCTTTTTATTCTACTTACATGCGTGCCAAATCCGATTTCCATTGCTGCGGTGGTTGAGATCCGGCGAGACAAGTTTCGTCGGGTTTCGTCCTTTTGGCGCCTCTTTGCTCCAGACAAGCCAGGCCCTTTTACTTAATTGAAGAAAACAGATCCTCTGCACAGAAACAAGATGAAGGGGTCCTGCACACTCGTGGCTTCAATGATCGCTGCTTCCACCGTGGCTCTCTCCTCTTCCTCGTCCACGTCGCCAACCTCTGCCAGCGACCGTGACATCATGGCTTTACAGCCCAGCGTCAGCCAGGTATGTATTAATTGCTCCAGCGTTTGATTTCTTTCATCTCCCCTTTTCTGAATTGTTAGGATTTTGTTCTGTTTGTAATCTTTCAGATCTGTTTTGTTGTATCTCAATTCTCAACCCGCCCTTTAAGATTAGATAACATTGCTCTGATTTCTCGGCTTCTTTGTGTAAACTGGATTATTGTATATGGAAGGCCGAGATTTATTGAACTTGTACTGCTGTTATTGTTGTGGAATTAGGGATCGGGGGCATCTTCGGCGCAGGACCGAGAACCAGAGGAGGAGCAGGGGAAATTTGTTCCTCGATTCGATGGGCTGAGGTTCATAGAGACGCTTGTCACCGCCCACAGATGAAATCTGCTGCGAGGATGAGAGGTCGATGAATGCTTCTAACCCGGTGATGGATTCCTTTTGTCAGTTTTGTTCGTGGATGGGATAGAAGGAAATTCATGTAACTGTATTCTAGAGAGTTTTTATTTTTATATTTGAGATTTAGTAAGGGTTAATCGGTGGCGATCTTCCATTTTGATTTTTCTGTTGTTCCTGAACGTTCTACTGATTCTGCTGGTTTATTTCACGATTTGCTTTGATGGGATGTGGTCGGGTTAGAGGTTTGGCTCTTTCTCTGTTTTTGCCATGAGATAAGGCTGGACCTTTAGTGTGTATTGTGTAATGTGGACAAGAAAGCCTCTCCAGAGTCTCCATTCAATCTTCAGATAATGAGATAAGAGGTGCATCAGGATTTCTTTTTCCTGGAGATGTTGCCTGCCTCTTTCTTTTTAGTTATTGTATTTATTTTGCAAAATCTGCTTGTTTTTACTGGGAAGGAAGAGTGCAGCTCGAACCTGTAGCCCTTGAAGCTTTGTCAGTGGATTAAAAGAAGAAGAAGAGATGATTGGAATTCGGTGCACTTGCCTTCGTTTTGTTTACTTTGTTCAATTCCAAGAAAGCTTGGAACATCATTAAAGCAGATATTATCAAAGCTTTGGATGAATTCTACATTACAGGTACCCTTCCTGATTCGGTGGCTCATTCTTTCTTCTGCCTGATTCCGAAGAGGGATGCAGTTGAAGAGGTTGGAGACTTTCGTCCAATCAGCCTTGTGGGTAGCCTCAATAAGATCATCTCGAAGCTCCTTTTCTTGCGGCTCAAGCCGTTCATGAGGAGTTTAATCTCTAGGCAGCAGTTTTCGGGTATCAGAAAATAGCAGATTCATGAAGCAGGGCTCATTGCCAACGAATTGATTGACAGCAGGTTAAGGAGTGGGCGCCCAGGCCTTGTCTTTAAACTTGATATTGAAAGAGTCTTTGATTCCGTGAACTGGGGGTGTCTTTTCAACGTGCTCTCTAACATGGGTCTTTCTCCGAGGTTCCAAAAATGGATTCGTGGTATTGTTTGCTCTTCCAAACTGTCTGTCTTAGTGAACGGTGAAGCTGGTGGTTTTTTCGGTGTCCAAAGAGGGCTGAAACAGGGGGATTCCCTATCTCCCTTCCTATTTAACTTGGTCATGGATGTCCTTGCCTTCTGTCTTCACAAGCTGCAGGAGGCTGGTTCTCTTAAGGGGTTCCACATGGATGAGTCAAGTGGCCGTGGAGCGGTCAATCATCTGTTATACGCGGATGATGCGATAATTTTTTGCGATGTAACAGAAGATGATGTTTTTAATCTTGCTACTGTGCTCGTCTGCTTCCAGTGTATCACGGGCTTGAGGGTGAACCTTGCGAAAAGCATGCTCTTCCCGGTTGGGGATGTGGAGGGTATGGACAGGCTGGCTGAGATCATGGGCTGTAACTGGAAATTTTTGTCCTCGAACTACCTAGGTCTGCCCCTTGGGGCTTCTCCTAAGAGTGCCTCAATTTGGAATCAGGTTATTTGTAAGGTTGATAATCGACTGGAAGGGTGGAGGAGCAAGTACCTATCCCTGGTTGGCAGGATTACTCTCTGCAATGCCGTCCTGGATGCTACTCCGGTTTATATACTAAGCTTATTCTCGGCTCCATTATCAGTGATCGAAGCCCTTGAAAAAATTCAAAGAAATTTCATCTGGTCTGGTTCGAGTGGTGAGAAGAAGCTTCACCTTGTGTCTTGGGATAGATGCAAAGCACCAAAATGTCTTGGAGGGTTGGGGATTACTGATATTAGAACTCGAAATCAATCTCTTCTTTGTAAATGGTGGCGGCGATTTGCACAGGAAAGAGATTCTTGGTGGAGAGAAATGATCAATATTAAATTTCCTAATCCGGTTTCAAAATGGATGCCGGGTGATCCCGGAGGCAGCGCAAGGCTTAGCCCTTGGAGACAGATCTTGAAACTGAAGAAAATCTTCTGGAATTTGGCGCATATTGATCCTGGAGCCGGTTCCGGTACTTCTCTTTGGTTTGATGTGTGGTTGAAGGGTAGGACTCTGGCCAGTGACTTTCCCAGAGTTGTTGCTGCCACGGAAGTGCCAGGATGTCGGATTTCAGATGCTGCAATTTTTGAAGAAGGGAGAGTTAATTGGGTCATTCCTCTGAAACATATCTTGAGGGGGGGGGGGGGGGGGGGGGGCAGAGAGTGAGAGGGTGAGGTTGTATGAGCTTCTTAATCATCTTCCACCTAACATATGTTTTGCAGGTCCTGCTAGAGTGGTTTGGCTGCCCTCCCCCTCCTTGGGCTACTCGGCGCGGTCCTGTTACAGAGAATTACTGCGTGAGCGGATTTCCCTGTGATGTGGTGTGGCAGTCGGTGATTCCCCACAAAGTGTGTGTGTTCATGTGGATTGCTGTACAGAAGAAGATCCTCACCCATGATGCTTTGAAGAGGAGAGGCTGGGTTTTTCCGAGTAGATGCTCGTTGTGTGAAGACTCCGAGGAAACCATCGATCACCTTTTCATCTCCTGCAAGTTCACCAAGGAAGTTTGGATGATGTTGGCTGCCTTCGTGAAGTTTAATTCAAGGGTCTGTGACATTTCTGATTTCAAGGTCCTTGTTGTTTCGTGGAGTAGAGCCAAGCCGAACAACCCATCTGAGTGGTGCACTAAGGTTGCGCTGCATGCTTTTTGTTGGAGAGTTTGGCTCGAAAGGAATGCTAGAATTTTTCAGGATGAGAAGGTTTCGACAAGAACCATTTGTTTTCGAATTGCTAGAGATATTGCTTGTTGGCTAACGGCGGGAGGCAAGGTGGACCGAGCTTTGGCGGATGGTTGGCTTCATCATCTGAAACTCCGCCTCCTTCCCAGATATATGCAGACTTCTAATCTCTCGCAGCTTTAGTTTGTTTTTCTGCTGCTGCGTTTCTGGGCGCTGTTTGGCTTTACTGCTGCCTGTTTGGCTTTGTTTTGCTGATTGTGTTTGTGTTTCCTGTTATCTCCTGGGTGCTGGCACGTTTGTTGTCCTTGCCTGTTCTTTGCTTTGCCTTTGTTCCTTTGTTCCCTTCCCCTCTTGTAAAGACTCTTTTTGATTCAATTTATTTCACCATTATCAAAAAAGGTTAGAGGCCATCTTTCTTTGCGGTTGAGATCCTTCTTCCATTTCAATGATTCAATCTCCTTCCCTTCCCTCGATTGATTTGAGATCTCTTGTGTCTGTCATAAGATGCTAACTTGCACTAGTGGGAAGTGCAACTAGTTTGTTTGTGTGAATCTAAAAATTCAGATGAAATCATTTCAAAGTTGCAAGTTGTAACAGAATCAGTCCCCTTGTTGAAGGTCGGTTGATGCAGTTTCGGTTGTTGGGGATGTGCCTTGCTTTTCCCTTTTGGGTTTCCGACGCTGGTTGGAACGGGCTGGGGCCTGGAGGCAAGGCGCAGTTTGGGCCTGGCCTGATCTTTCGTGCCTGCGTCCAGTTGTCAAATTGTGGGCTACGACAAAGGATACCTTCATCAGTCTATCCACCACCGGAACAAGACAACACTTTCAACTAGTGGCCGTAGAAGTACAGTTTGGAGGAACAAGACAACGCTTCAACTACCTGTCGTTCGAGATGTGTGGTTGAGGATCCTGAATCCCTTAGGGCGGTCGTTTTTTTCGAGCTGTCTACGATATTTTTGCCATCGGCTTTTTAATTACCCAACTTTTCCCTTCATCCGGGAATTCGCTCTCTGCCTCCCTCCAGTGCAAATTGAGCGAGATTCATGGTCTGGGAGCTTGCGATTACTGATTACAATGGATGACCACAAGCGGGTTGGGAACGGAAGCTAACCACTAAAATAAATGAATAAATTGCATCGCTAGCGAGGCACAATTCACAAGAATGAATGAGCAAAATACGAGGGATGGATGGTGGCATAAAATGATTAAATTCATGCACAAGAAGAGTGTCGTTTGTGCTCTCTGTGCAAGCAAGTTCAATTATTGATTGAGATGCACACCAGACGACAACACAGATATTTTTTGTCCAGGGCCATGCTTCTTTTTCCACCGTCAAAATTCTTGGAGGAGCAGCCCTCGACTCTCTCTCTCTCTCTCTCTCTCTCTGCTATCTCCATGTGCAAGTTGGCATCTCCCTGGCAGGCAGCGAGCTCGACTGGAATGTCGCTGTGGGACGACGTTTAAGCAATGTGCAGCTACCAATTCCCACTTTGATTTTGTGTGGCGATTAATAATCAGTCCTGTTGAAGAATGTCGTTTCCAGCCCACTAGTTGATTTGATTTGTTCCGTCTTTCCAAATTTTCAACAGAAACTCCGCAATTAAAACATAAGGGGGAAAAAAATAGAATTCAGCTTCATGGACCGATCCAATTGCTCTGGTTGTTGCTTTCCTCAAGAACCTGGGGGAACTTAATAAAATAAAATAACAACAAAAAAGAATAGCCATTTTTTTTCATCAGTGAAAGGCTAGTGGCGATTAAACATATATTCTTTCTCCGTTGCGGATCCGGCCCATTAGGTGGAGCCCAGTTAGGCAGCGGGCCCAGCTTTCTGTGAACGACCTAGTACCATCTTTCCAATTTAGCTCCCATATAATTTGCAAAAGCCCTGAGTGGTTAGCGGACCAACCGTTATTGTCTCGCCACGTGTCATGCGGCACGTGCTCTTCGTACCATCCCCTACAAATTCCTGATGATCGATTGTTTCTTCCCCTTCCCATTTCCGTGGCAGCCAGCAACCACTCTCAGTCTCAGTCCTCCACTCCACACTCCGCTGCTCCACCATCCGGTAACTGGTTCATTCTTTTTCCTTACTGTTCGCCGATTCCACTCGCTGCTCTTTGTTCTGTTCAGTTTCCTCTTCGTCCTTTCCTAATTGTTTCCGATTCATTGTTTTTTCTTCCGATCATCAAAGGGGGGATTCGTTGCAGTTTTAACATTATTCATCAATGGCGACCATCACTGCTGCGCATTTCGTGTCGAGAGCCTCCCATGTCAGCTCGGAGACCAAGGCTAGTCCCGTGGGCCTCCAGGCACAGAGCCTAAGCCACCACGGCCTCAGGGCGGTGAACACGGTAGACAAGCTGCAAATCCGAACCAAGGCGAAAGCGATAGCGACCAGAGCCGTGAAGAAATCGCAGGCGGTCACTGAATCGCCTTCGTCTGCCAAAATTGTGTGCGGAGCAGGGATGAATTTGGTGTTCGTCTCTTCAGAGTGTGGGCCCTGGAGCAAAACCGGCGGTCTCGGTGATGTCCTCGGTGGACTCCCCGCTGCAATGGCCGTGAGTTTCTTTTGATGGCCTTTTCCTTTTCTCTTCTCGGAATCGAGTTTTTGGGCCGATCTGAATGCCATCTTGATTCTTGTGAACCAAAATCACTGAGAATTCTGCCTGTGTGTTGATTTATTTACAGGCCAGAGGACACCGGGTGATGACGGTTTGCCCTCGTTATGACCAGTACAAAGATGCTTGGGACACCTGCGTCTTCGTCGCGGTAAATTAAAGCTCTAGTTTTTGCTCTTCACTTTTGAGGCTGTTATCAGGGCGAGATTTAACATTATTCTTAGGGTTTTAGATTCAAGTTGGGGATAAAGTTGAGACAGTTCGCTTCTTCCACTGCCACAAAAGGGGAGTTGATCGCGTCTTCGTTGATCACCCTTTGTTCCTTGAGAAGGTCCTAAGCCCACCTTGTTTCTTTTAATCATTTATCTTGGCTGCACAAACATTTTGTATTCTCATTTGTGTGGTCTCATGTAACTTACCTTTGGAATGTTTAAAGGTGTGGGGCAAAACTGGATCCAAGATCTATGGCCCTACTACAGGAATTGACTACAGGGACAACCAATTGCGTTTCAGCATGCTGTGCCAAGTGAGTGCAACTTTTACCCTTTCAAGTTTCTTTTTCTGAATCTTTGAACTACTGAAGCAGTTGCAACATGGCAAGAAAAGGGAACCTTTCCATATTGACACCCTTTTTCTAATCTCTCAGGCTGCTTTAGAGGCACCAAGGGTTCTGAATTTGAACAGCAGCAAAAATTTCTCCGGGCCATATGGTGCATTTCTTCTCTATGTTTCTCGCAATGTCTCCTCCAAGCTTTATAGATTGATTGCCAAGAGATGAATTTTCACCACCTCTTTTTTACTCTTGTTGGATGCAGGGGATGATGTTCTCTTCATTGCCAATGATTGGCACACTGCTCTGCTCCCTTGTTACTTGAAGACCATGTATCAGCCAAGGGGCTTCTACACAAATGCTAAGGTGTTTTGAACATTTCAAGTTTACCAATAAACACAGAAGGGGGTTGTTCATTTGTTGACTGACTTTGTGTGCTTTTGTGAATGATGATGAATGGTAGGTTGCCTTCTGCATCCACAACATTGCTTATCAGGGACGATTTGCCTTTGCAGACTTCTCTCTTCTCAATTTGCCCGATTCCTTCAAGGGCTCCTTCGACTTCATGGATGGGTAAGGAATTTTTGGGCAATGATTGATTGAAATGTTTATGTGGCTTATTTGCTTGCCATAGTGATCAGGGTTTCCACTGATCTGCAGATACAATAAGCCAGTGAAAGGAAGGAAAATCAACTGGATGAAAGCTGGAATACTGGAATCTGACAGGGTGGTAACTGTGAGCCCATACTACGCCCAGGAACTGGTCTCTGGTGAGGATAAAGGCGTCGAATTGGACAACGTCCTTCGCACCAAAACCGTCACCGGAATTGCAAACGGCATGGATGTTCAAGAATGGGATCCGGCTACCGACAAGTACATTGATGTCAAATACGATGCAACTACGGTATGCCGCCATTCACCAAGTATAATTGCGTCCCTGGATTACTACAACAAGGGTGGTGATGTTGATTGTTATTCATATTGTGGGGTTTCAGGTCACGGATGCAAAGCCATTGTTGAAGGAAGCACTTCAAGCAGAGTGCGGATTGCCAGTGGACAGGAACATTCCTGTGTTTGGATTCATTGGCAGATTGGAAGAACAGAAAGGTTCAGACATTCTTTGTGAAGCTATTCCTCAGTTGATGGAGGAGGATGTGCAGATAATAATCCTCGTAAGCATCTCTTAAATTCGAACTACTGGAATGCGGAACCTATGTGTAGCTGCTGCTTCAAATTGATTTGTGATGGCTTTTGGGTGCAGGGTACGGGGAAGAAGTACATGGAGGAGCAGATTGAGCAGCTGGAGAAGTTGTACCCTGATAAGGTCAGGGGAGTGGCGAAATTCAACGTCCCCTTGGCCCATATGATCACAGCTGGGGCTGACTTCATGTTGGTCCCCAGTAGATTTGAGCCATGCGGTCTCATCCAGCTGCATGCCATGCGATATGGAACGGTAATTTGTCACTCACTAGAGTTGATGTTTACATCTTCTGATGGATTTCACTAATCAACTGATCTGCAACCCTGAAAAAAAAAAAAAAAACCCAACAGGTGCCATGCGTTGCTTCAACTGGTGGGCTGGTGGACACAGTGAAGGAAGGTTATACTGGATTCCAGATGGGAGCATTCAACGTGGAATGTGATGCAGTGGATCCAGCTGATGTGCAGAAAATAGTGACTGCTGTGAAAAGGGTGATTGCCGCATTTGGGACACCAGCCGTGGAAGAGATGATTCAGAACGGAATGGCACAGGATCTGTCGTGGAAAGGGCCTGCAAGGCTGTGGGAGAAGATGCTGTTGGGACTGGGAGCTGCCGGGAGTGAGGCTGGCGTTGAAGGTGAAGAGATCGCACCCCTCGCCAAGGAAAATGTCGCCACTCCTTGAGTGGAAGCACGCACGGGTTTTTTGACAGCAGATCGGCTTCTTCATAAAAGTAGTAGCAGCAGCAGTAGTAGTAGAATAAGTTGATGTCTCGGGCTGACATATTATAAATTCCTGCATTAGTTTTAAGTCGTGGAAGAATGTTTTGTATAAAGAATTAGTTAAAGTAGGGTACTGGTGGTAGCTAAGCTTACTTGACTAACTGTTCTCTATGTACTGATCTAAGCGGTGGCAGATCCAAAGTTCTAGTACTTTGTCAGGCTCGTGCGTGGGCGAGACTGGCAAAGGTTAAATAGGAACCACATAAAATGTCATGGAACGTTGGATGTGCATAGCTGATTTCCTGAAGCTAGCTACTCAGTGAGAGGAGTTTCCAGGCTTCAGTTATCTGCAAGAAAAATAAGAGAAATTAGCGGCATGAGATAACCAGTATGCTTCAATATACTGATATAGTTCATACGTACTTTCCACAATTCTTGCGAGCATTCTCCTAGTTTTGTACAAGTTGGAGATCATCTCGCCTCTTGCCCACATTTCAAAATCCATATCACATATCTCTGATGAATAAAAACTGGAAAATCTGCACAAAATAATTGCATAATCAAACGTGGTAACGAAATGTAATATGAGGCTAATGAGTCCTGTCTTATTCGTAATCATACAAACATCCGATATTCAGTTAATGAAAAGTGGAGGAACCACCCCGCCTAATCCTACCATTGATTAGAGGTGGGATTGGACAAAGGAAAACGATGCGGCCGCCTCATTTCGTTCCCTGGGCCCGTTAGGCCCAAACAAACTCCAACAGCGCCGACCTGACTCACGCCCCCATCAGCCTCACACTTTCTCACGCCTTCCCACTCAACAAATAGTAAATTATCAGTAAATATCCCTAACGAATAAAAGACCACCCAAAAGATAAAATAAAATAATAATATCACTCAACCAATTTCTCCGTCTGTTCTGTAGTCTAAAGTCTAAACACTACAGTCTACAGTCTAGTGAGCCTCTTTTTACTTTCATCCACTTCTTCATCTCCTTCCCCAACTTTACCTTCTCTGACCTCCATACCCATCACCCTTATCACAAGTTCAGAACCACTCATTCATTCACTCACTCCACTCACTCAATCAATCTTTCCCCTCTTCCGATCATCAACTCTCTCTTCTTCACCACACCCACCAGCCACCAGCGAGAGCAAGCTCAACTTCCAGACGATGAAGAACTTCACATTCCTCTCCCACCCTGCTCCTCTACTTCTACTCCTCCTCTTCTCCGTTTCAGGTAAACTTCAACCCACCATTCCCCTGCTTCTTCTCAATCTCTTGTGCTGTTTGCAAAATTTAACTAAAATGCCGATGTTTCCTCCACTGCAGCTACCCTGGTCGATTCAATTGGGATCAACTACGGCCAAATCGCCAACAACCTCCCAAAACCAGAGGACGCAGTCCCGCTCATCAAAGCCCTCGGAGCCACAAAAGTCAAGCTCTACGACGCCAGCCCACCGGTCCTCCGAGCCTTCGCCCACACCGGCGTCGAGTTCGTCGTCGGCCTGGGCAACGAGTACATGTCCCAGATGCGAGATCCCGACAATGCCCGCACCTGGGTCAAGACCAACGTCCAGTGCTACCTCCCCGCCACCAAAATCACCTGCATCACCGTCGGCAACGAGGTCCTCACCATGACCGACGAATCCTACATCCCCCACCTCATCCCCGCCCTCTACTCCATCCACGCCGCCGTCGTCTCCCTCGGCCTCCAGAACCAGGTCACCGTCACAACCCCTCACTCCCTCGCCATCCTCCAAACCTCCTACCCACCTTCCTCCGGCGTGTTCCGCCGAGATCTCACCGGCTGCCTCACCCAGATCCTCAATTTCAACGCCAACACCTCTTCCCCCTTTTTAATCAACGCCTACCCTTACTTCGCCTACAAAGCCAGCCCCAAGCAGGTCTCTCTCGATTTCGTCCTGTTCCAGCCCAATCAGGGCGTGGTCGACCCTGCCTCCAATCTCCACTACGACAACATGCTTTTCGCCCAAATCGACGCCGTCCACTACGCCCTTGCCGGGCTAGGGTTCAAGGACATGCCGGTTCATATCTCGGAGACCGGGTGGCCTTCTAAAGGCGACGGCGACGAACCCGGGGCGAGTTTGGAGAACGCCAAGAAGTACAACAGCAACCTAATCAAGACCATCTGCCAGAGGAAGGGCACACCGGTGAAGCCCAATATGGACTTGAACATTTACGTGTTCGCGTTGTTTAACGAGAACATGAAGTCCGGCCCAACTTCCGAGCGGAATTACGGCCTGTTTAAGCCCGATAGGACACCGGTCTACGACATGGGGATTGACCTGTCGTCGATTGGGAGCGGCGGCGGCGGAAACAAGAGCAGTCCCGCCGCCGGAGGAGGAGGAAGCAGCTCAGGGAATCAACCGTCGGCGCCGGACAACGGTCCAAATGGGTACTTGGCGATTACGAGTGGGACGACAAAGGTGAGCGGCTTGTCATCGCTGTCGTTCACACTGTGGGGAGGAATATTGTTACTTGCTGCTGGCCTTGCGTCGGCGTGAGGCGGCTGAATTTGCTGTTTCCATCTCCATCTTTTCTCTTTTTTCTTTTGGGGAGTACGGCGGAAGGAAATTGGAGAGCTGGGTAGTGGGAACTGAACTTGGATTTGTTTAGGGTTTGGTGCAAGATTTGGTCATGTGGCCATGTGCGGCAATGTCGCAGTACCAAGATCCTTCCAGTCGCTCTGCAGAAAAGAAGAGATACTGTTGTTTGATTGTCGTTTTAGCCACGCTCTGCCTGCCTCGATGTCATCACATCATCATTGTTATTCTTTGTCAGATTAATTTATAATAATGGATGTCATCGTATCAGACCGATTTCAGTTTATATGAAACCACGATTAACGGCTATAATTGACGGTGGAAAGAAAGAAAGGAAGAGAGGGAGAGCTGAAAGTTTCATTTTTTGCCTTTGCTTGTGCGCAGCAAACTGCTAAAGAATCTACAGTAAGAAAAGCATCCTTCCTTGTTTGGTTTATCCTCGATTCAATTGGGCAATTCCTCTCAGAGACAACTGTTAGAGCATCTAATTCTGTGGAATATTTAGTGGGACGTTCGTTCCACTTCCACCTATATACTGGTGGTCCGTCCAGCTAAGCTAAGCTTGGCAAGCAATAATGGAGCCCTACCTTTTTGGCTACCTGCCTGCCTGGCAACCAACCAATTTGTCTTCCCATTTATTTCCACCTTCTCCTTGCATCCATGAAGAATCCTAGACAAGAACTTTGAATCCGAAAGCGCAGATTCATACAACAAGAACGTGCGTAGTTTTCATATCGAACAGATATGTTGGCAGAATAATCAGTGCACAATAGGGCCGTTAATTTGACTGCGTGCCTAGCCGATGCAAGCGTTCCTTATACATATATACCATACTGATATGATCCGAGTAGGTTTGTGACCGTTGATGCTAATTAGCTATAAGAAGTAAGAACAATGCAGTAGTGAACATAATTTAAGCAAGGAAGGCACAGTGATAATAAATCTTGGTAATAATTATAAACTTAGTTGAAAAAATGGAGACATCATGTTCATGAGTCACTACTACACTTGTTCACAACATAAAATGCAGCAATTTGTTCACATCGCAGCCAGCCCTCCCCATCTACCATCATCTTTACGTCTTCCTCAAAACCCCATGACAAGGCAGAAAGAAATAACCCTCCTATCGTACTTTACTATTTCCGTAGCTACAGCTAAGTATACCTGCCTCTGCCTGCCCACAAACTCGTCTCTGGATTTCTAACCGTAAAGAGTAAAGACTAATGCAAAGATAAGAAGAAGAAAAACACACAAAAGCAAAAGGCTACAACATAGCTAACCCAACGCCTCCTTCCTTTCTATTATACGACGGCAGCTGCTTAGTATCATCCAATCAAAACAACCTCTCCACCAGAGAGGAAAGGCCATCGTTCTTAAGAATTATCTTCCCTGGATAGGTAAGAAAAGGTTCAGGCTATGGTGGTATTGATCCTGACCTTTAAGAAACTGCAACAATCCTTATGATGCTTCCCGCTGATCTTGAGGTTTCACTCTTCTGTAGAATAACACGTATGCAGCCGAAGTCTTGATGTCTGCCTCATTAACTGGAGATACCCTGCTGTCGTCAAAACTATACCATCTGTCCTCATCAGTAAGCTGTACAATACGAAGTTGAAATGAAACCAAAAATAACGTAAGCTTACCAGAAACCAGGGACATCATCTTAAACAACCAACATACACAATAACAAGGAAAATAGAAAATGGGAGAACCCTCCGTTATATGGACTGCAGCTTTTAGAGACTACTTATTTTACCTTGGCATATGCTGTGTAATGTCCGCCACCTAGGCCACCATAATGGTTGCTGATGGCATAAAGCTCATATGTACATGAGTTCCCATCTTTCTTCTTCACATATTTGCTCAAATCAAGATCATGAATCGGGAAATCCACAAAACTATCCAGCTTGTTCTTCAACCATCTACTATACGAGAACCGTTTCATGTGAACAACAAGAATCTCTGGCAACATCCACAAGTCCAGTTTCTTGGTAGCTTGACGATGCTCTTTACAATTGGGGCAATACCTGCATAAACCCAGAGAAGAAACTCAGGCAATTATACTATACTACTCAAGACTATGAAAGATTTTCCACAGAGAATCAAATACCGAACTATTTTATAGTTTTCACTCACCACATGTCATCAGGCCCTAGAGGTTCTTCCCTTAAGAATGCCTCCAAGCATGAAAACAAAGAGATGGCTTCCTGTCGGGTCTTCTTTGCACTAAATCCAGTCTTATGATATACATCAGGAAGATCCTTAAGGTAACTAGAATCATACAACCTATGTTCTTCTTCACTCCAGTCTAGGAAAATCTTGTTGTGGTTTCCAGTTTTGATGACAGTGTCCCTAAATATAGGCTCCCCAATTAAGCTTTGATCTTCATATAAGAAGAGCTGGTTTGTCAGTTTTTGGCTGGCTCCATTTTCCTCCTTAACATCATCATCCATTGGATGATCCTTTGGTTCACACTCAGCTGAGCATCCAGTAGACATTTCACCATTATTGTAAGCAATCATAGAAGAACTGGTTCTTCTTAAGGGTGCAAGTAATCTTGATACAACAACATCAATATCAGCTCCAGTTGGTGAATCTTCTTCCAAATAAGTAAACAGAGGTGCTCCAAAATTCTTCCGAATGCCAGCAATCAGGAAGTCCGCTGAAGAACTACAAAATTAATAAAGTTACAGTAAGCAAATTTCGACTCAAGCAATTACGGGGATCTATACAAATGCAAGATCCATGGCCAATTCCAACCACAAAAGAACTCTTAACACCAATGTTATTCTGCCAAGGAAACACAAGCAACCATGGGAAGCACTGTTTCCAGAAGCCATCAGTATGACCACAGGCCAGATAGTATTAGCATACCTGAACGCCCATGTACTGACCATACGTAACAACCCATAAGAAAAGTATCATCCATTTATATTAACAACAATCTCAGAGCTTTGCATCTTTGCAAACGAACAAATTAATAAAAAAACGCCAGAACTGGGCTTACCTATCTCGATGAATAATCTCTAGTTTCTTTTTTCCTGTCCCCTTCCCAGGAAAACGGTAAGCCACAAGATGCTCTTCGTCTTTTATCGAAGTCAACAGTAGCGAGGGATTTTCGAAGAAACGATAAATCTCGTGTTTATAGACCTGGCAAAGGAGAGTAGATGATAAATTAGCCTTTGACATGAAGATCCCAAATCAAATGACACAAAAACTAACAGAAAAACCAGTGATAACACTTACTTCTGCTAACAGAAGGCTTTCATCAGTTCTCAAACAACATGCGGCAGCCAGTGACTGGAGAAGATCCCTACACTGCCCGTGTTTTGAAACTGACACCGTGTATGGCATTGGCAGACCACTTCCGTCCCCATAAAATACTGTCACGGTCATAGACCGAGTGACTGTAGAAGGTAATGGTAATGACAAGTACATGAGGGGATCAAAAGTAACAGAGACTTTGCTGCAATCTGGGCAGACCAATGTTGACTTGTATTGACCCTGACCAGATATTCACAGTAATTTTAGAATCAAACGTCATACTAAGGACAAATTTAAAAACTATGATGGTATTCATGTCTCCATGGGAGTAATGCAATGACATATTCTTACTTGGCAGACGTCGACAATCACAGAATCATTCCGGGCCTTGTGATACTGCCAACTCTCATTGGCAACTTCCTCATCAGGATGACCACTCCTGTCCTTCATTTCAATGTAAGGCTTCCGTTTCACACGATTCAAATCTTCATGTAGGCCATCCAATAAAAAAGCAAGAAGCTCCTAGAAATATCCAATAACTTATGTTGTCAGAGTCTGCCACAAACTTTATTTAGAGTGTATTGAGCCACCGTTGCTTTATATAAATTTCAATGGCATCCACTAACATATAGTTCTCATCCTTTTCTGGTGCAAAAAACTTTAGACAAAACAATACTACATAATACCTACGGATGCATGAAGGACATTCAGTTGCCAATCTTCAGTTACCGATGCTTAAACCAAATTGCTTGTATAGAAAATATCAAGTATTTCAAATGAAATCAGAGGACTAGAAACTCTAAAGTTCACATTTATAAGTACTCACTTGGGAATCATGCTGATTATATCCACTAAATTGTGGAGCAAATAGTGCTAGTTTCCCTTTAAAAGCACGTGGTGCAATTGTGGTCCGCCCTGACGACCACAATTTCCTCAACAGCTCACCAAATGCAAGTGCAAGCTCACCCTACACAACTAAAACACAAGTTAGAAACAAAAAAAAATCAAGTGAATACTGGAAAACTATTATCACACGACCATAAAAAGGGGAACCACTTACATGCATTCCTAATGGATTTTCTTTATTGATCTCTGCAGTATAATCCTGCAGAAAGTAATCAACAAGAGGTGGGGTGTGGACCAAGCACTGTAAAGCACTATTCATGAAACAAGTATTCCCCAAATTCTGCAATCCTGCCAAACCTCCCTTCTCTCCCTTTCTAGAAGAACTCTGACCACCAAAACCCTCATCTGCATCATTAAAGGTGGAGTTTGCATTGCCTGGTTTGATGTTGAGGCTATATGAGGTTGAGTGGCCATTTGAGACACTCGAACCCCCAGCAATTGACTGGTGGGACCTCTGTGGCTCCATGGGTACCACAGCTAATTCATTCCCAGTTGAATCTTTGCCAGGTTGGGAAGCGTATGATCGATCTACTTGTAGCTCGAGAAGAATCTGTCATAGCAGAATGCATTAGTCAAACAAAATGGAAGTTTAAGCTGCTTATACAAAGTTAAGGTTTTAAATGAGTAAGACCACCACCATAAGAAATCATTCAACTTTTCCTACGTAGTGAAAACGCCAAAAGTGGACTCAACTAATTGATTAAACATTAAAAAAAAAAAAGTTAGAAAAATATTCTATGATGTGTACATTGTAAGTCAAACAACCTCTTGGTCCATCTGCAAGTTTAATTCCTCAAGGGTATGACTGGAATAAAGCAGTCTTGAATGCCTTCGTTTGTTGAAGTAGTCCCAAATCAGGCACTGGAAACATATACAGCAACCACATAAAGAGCATTAGAGAGGTCAAGACGGCATGAATTTACCTTAAGAATGATAAGAACATAAATTTCAAAGCATACCTTTTCACGCTCTACTCCTCTAAGTGCAGAAACTTTCTCATACAACTCATGTGAAGAAGCCTGAAAAGATAAATGCAAAAATGTACTTGAAGTCCTGCAAATATACTAAACTCGTCCATGATGTTCAGCTTTTCACATTTGAATAGATTCATAAGCTATATCGCAACATATCAAAGGTATCGAGTTCACGTTCTACAGTTTCATCAACTTCAGCACCCAAACCTGTAAATTATGAGAACTAACTAGACCAGAAACTCTAAAGTCCGTTCACTGTTTCATTAATTGCCAAACCCTTTAGAGGTCACATCTTTATCCACATCACGAGGAAATCATCTCACAGCAAAGTTGCTATAAAGAGAGCAAAATTGTGAACTTATTTCTCGTAGACATAATTATTACAATATGAAAATACCAGTATCCATATTTAAACTCTCCAAGATAGTGATAGCTGAACCAAGTTGAATGGCAAGCCTGACTAGATTTAGAAAAACTTAGTCTCCTATAATGCATAAGTAACTGATGTGCACACACACATAAAGAGCACGGTAATTTCTTTGACAAGTAGAAACAGTAAAATCATCTTCGCGAAACAATTGAATAATATCAACAAAAAACTCCATCCATATCTAAAAGACATTATGTGACGTTCAAAGCAAGCCAAGGTCAAAGTCTAGCTAGAAATACTTATCAGGAGACAAATGGCAAGATTGTGCTACCTTTTTGCTAAACCTGATTGTGTACATGCTGTCATCTCTAGAATCAATCAACTTCAGACGAAGTGGATAGACCTCAACATTGAGTTGTTTTTTATTGAAAACACCCTGTGAAATCACCTTCCTCGGCAATGCTGGACCTCCCTTGTACCTGAAGACGTACCATGAAGGTTGAGGGGTAGGAAAAATAGCATCTCTAGAACCGTGCAAGCCAGCCACAAATTCATAAAATGATATACAAGTTCATCACGATTCTACTTTCCCAAGTTCCGCCATGTTAGATCTGATGGTGACTGAGCCAGTGCTCTTACATGTTGCTAAAATCATAGATGGGCATTTTTCTTATCATAACGGACAAGAACAGAGAGAAGTCGTTACCACTGCACAAGCTTTGCCCAAACTTTCTCAGAAACCAAAACGTAGTCTTTGCCTTCAAGCAAGGTTCTAACCATGTCCTGATCACCACCCTCCGATTGAATTTCATTCTCAATTAACTCCGAATTATCAATTGGACCAGGTCTATTGGCAGGCTTGGAAGTGGAGTCATCAGAATCAGATGGCTGCCACTCAGATAAGCAGTCATCGCCACTTTGACCGACATATCTCTCCCATCCCGAGAACCACCTGAGCAAGCAAACGATAGAGTAGAGCTAAGAACGAGATGCAAAGAGCAAGAGAGAGGAGAAAAGAAGCAAACGGTAGACCCCATAAGTAACATGATCGCCTATTCCCGAACCGAAATGCCAGTGAAGCAGAATCGGTTCGCCGGATAACAACCTTCGAAGCAGTTTCATTATATCTCTAAAGGAAGCAAAGGGGCAGTGTATAGGGATACCAAGTCGAAGACTTTGAATGGAGATTCAAAACAAATTACAATCGTAGAAGGGGGCCAAATATCCAATGGATGGATCGAGACCAATTGGGGGGAGATGATGAAGCAGAAGGAGGCACAGGCAAATCATACAGGAATCTTTGGTTACCTTGCGGAGATGACAAAGAACAAATCGCCTTCCTTGAAAGAGAGTTCAGCTTCCTCTGACAATTGCTTTACGATCTCCTTCTCCTGGTCAGGGTTGCAGGCGAAGCAACTCGTGGCGGCCTGATTGTCCATCTGAGCCCTGCGCGCCACACCCACATTGGAACCCAGAAGATAGAGAATTAATTCAATCAAAAGGAAGAGCAAATCGAATCATAATGACAAAGATACCAAAAAGCTCCAATCGAGGGAATTCTTTTTACCCCATACGCGGAGAATGGAGGATCGAATTGGTCGTACGCTGCTGCCCTGCGTATTTGGGAAGAAGATATGGAGAACGCAAGAAGGTTCGGGAACCCTAGATTACAGAAAGTGTGCGTGAAATACAGAGGTTCAATAAGCCGAGGATAGGAGAGGAAGCTTTTCTTTTCAACGATAAACTGCGGCTGTTATACTCCACAAGCAAGCAACACACGTTTTATAGGTTAACCCTTCTCCCCAATGCTATAGAAACTTGGAAAGCTTATAGGGGGTTTCCTGTCTCTCAAGTCTCAAGTCAGCTTCATTCAACTACCCCAGTTAAAAAGTTGCAACGTTAACCCAAATTGGAGATGGAAACCAATGTTACACATTCCTACCCCATTCCTTATTTTACCCTCTTCTTTCTCCTTACCGTTCGAGGTAAGGAATATTCTACCCAAGGCTAATTCTAACTTGACTAGCAATCCAATAATGGGAGTTGCTAAAAGTCGCTCTTAAAATTGCTAAATGTCGCCCTAAAAAACATTAAAGTTACATATTTAACCTTTTAGCTTCTTTACTCTTCCTTTAGCAAACAAACACAACTTAGTAAAGAAAATAAAACATTATTCAAAAGAGAGAATCAATCATCGTCATTCTGAAGTTGGAATCGTCGATATGATGTCTGGAGCATGACTAGCGACTCTGAATTGGTAAAGTTCACTCAAAAATTGAAAAACAAAAACAAAAAAAGGGAACCGTAGCTCATTTGCGGTTGCACCATGGACCAACCGTAACTTGCCTTAGGTTGAGCGTTTTTTTGGAAATTTCGTTAGAGAACGGGCGACGACGGCGGGAAAGACGCCGACGAACTGGTGCGTCGAGAGGGATTCGCGAAGAAGGAAGATGAGAGGTTAGGGATTGTTTGGTTTGTTTAAATTTTGAAATTTTATTGGGGGTATATAAGTCATTTATCATTAAAGTTAGGGCGACCGTTAGCAATTTTAAGGGCGACATTTAGCGATTCAGAAAATTAATAATTAGTCTCGTGAAGATGAGATAGTTATCAAACCTAACGAGTAAGACTTTGCAGAAGACAATTGGTCATTACTATCCCGAGACAGTTTACTATTCTTCGAACAGCAACAAAGACAAACTCCAGACTTGAGCACTGGCAATCACGAATCTAGTATACTAATCCGCACTTAGTTTTGTATTATCCCCTTTTGGTAGTTAACTGAACGCAACAAACAAAGGCTTCCCACGTTTGGTATCTCCTTTAGGTAATCCACAATTCCAATATAGGAGAGCAAGTGAAAATCTTCTTGCTTAGACCTCACTTCCACTATCTTTTACCTTTCTCAGATTCAGTCATCCGATGTCTGTTCAAATCTATAAGGTATCCTCGTCATCCACTTGTCTATCCACTTTATGCTCCCTTGGGCACAAATTAGTGCGAGAATGGAAAAACAAAAAAAGTTGCTACGAGCCACCAAACCCCTACATTACATTGCACAAAACTAAGGCGTCTGCACCAAATGTACATTACACCCTATTGCCCGTTTGCATACATTTTAGCATCACAGGCTTCTTCCGTTGTTATGCTGCTGCTGCTGCTACTACTACTATACACTAGCTGATCATCAATTCTCAGATATATTGCATCCGCCACCCTTCATAATCTAGATTGTTCTCTTCTCGTCGGAGCTATTGTCCGAGTCATCACTTCTGAAAGGGCCAGCTGCTGCACTTCCCTCGATCTCGTCCTTGCCGCTGAACAAGCTCTCCTCGCTTGAATTAGAGAAAGAGTCACTGTCCTCATCGCTCAACGAAGCGGTCTTTTGTCTCTTTCCGACATCTTCAATTCCCCTACCTTGCAGAGCAAGTCGCCTCCTTTTCCTGGCCTTCCGCTTTCCCTTCAGAAACACCTGATCTCTCTGTGACTCCACGCTCTTCTGTCCTGTCCTTCTTACTTCTCCCCTGCCCACTTTCATTATTGTCTTCTGATTCTTCTGCATCAATCTTCCGCCTTTTCTTGCTTGTACTTGTCTGCGTCACAGATGAATTGCCAAATTTCCCTTTTAGAACAGAGGATGTGTTTGTTTCAGCTTCAGAAAAAGCTGATTAAAAAGTAATTGACTTACCACTCAAACAAAACACAAGTCTTCCAAACTTACTCAACTATTTTTCACCCTAAACCACTACAGTCTACACAAGTTGTAAAATGTTAAAAGCCACTTGAGTAACAAAGTTTCAGATCCAACTTTGCAAGAAGCCGTCCTTAGAGTTAACTCGTAATAGCCATTTCCCAATATCACTCATTTCTCTATTATTAAGCATACTATAAACCATCTCACTAACTTTTTTCTCATTCTTATACAATCTCATACAACATTAGCTCTACTTTTTCTAAAACCTCTGACCAAACACAATTTTCCCTTTTCACAAAAGCTTACAAATAAGTCTTTTTTAAAGCAAACCGCTAAACAAACAGGAATGTCTATTAGAAGGACAGCATATATAAACTGAACTAGGGAAAACATCAACCAGAACCTCAACTAAAATCTGACTTATCTCGAATAGGGGAAAAGAACATCAACCAGAATCTGACTTATCTCGAATAGGGGAAAAGAACATCAAACTGAAGCGGACAGTTGACCATTTAACTACCTCCCATATAAACTTTGGTCCACAGGAAAATGGACAAACATACACCCTAACCAGCAGCACGAGGAATGATGCTTGCATCATGGAATCAAGGGGACTACATCCGTATTGGTACATGAGAGCAGCAGGCTGCCAAATATGATAGGCTTTGTTTTCTACCTTTTCTAAAGACAAATTGAACAGCATGTTTTTCAATCTAGTATCTATACCCCTAATAACCCATCCCATGTTTGCATGTAATGGTTCAGGATTCCAAGAGGCTGTACAGGTTAACAAATAGTTTCAACAATCACACTTAAAATTGCATTACCATGATGGAATGCAACTTTTCAGACCAGTTTATTTCCTACCTTGGGACCCCGATCCACCAACCGAGCCCATTCATGCCTATTCCTGAGACAATCAAGAACAGCCTGGGAATGGCTAGAATATGCATATCGTTCACCGTTGTGCTTCCTCAAGTTATTCCAATGCTGCAAAAACTCACCAAAACTTTGTTAAGAGATAATTTGCTCCCTTTATCGCCAACAAGTAGATAAAGACAACTGCTTCAAGTAAACATACCGGCAAAACAGCATTAAAGAGTTCGTCATATGTCATGCGCTTGCCTTTGCTCATGATCTCATTGATTAGACCTATGCAAAATAAGGAGATAAAGACGAAGGATAATTAGACCAGGCATTACACGAGTTAACTTACTACCTTCTTCAAACAATTGATCATATATAAATGGATGTTTTCTTTTTCTTCATAAAAAGCTTCAGGTAAAATAAAAAATAATAATAGGACAAAAATACTTTTCAATCTAATGTTTTCGAACCCTTAAACCTATAAAATCTTTGATATCTAAAAGTGAACTCAGTAATAAAATTTATCTTCAACTTTGGCACTTTGGAATTTGGATTAAGAATCTAATCTTAGAATTGTAGTCATAATAGTCATTTCCTAGAATATATTTAAGAACCCTTAACCTCTTCAATATTAAACAAACAATCTACCATTCTATTAATAACTAATATATTTAAGGAAAATATCTTTATCCAATGAATGATAGATATAAATAAATAAAAATGTCTTTCCTGCAACTATTCATTTTTACGAAACCTTACCAAACACGCCTTTTCTACACTTTTTACTACATCTGTTGACAAAGTTACTCATCTTTTAGCAAATCTGAACAAACACACTCATAGATAAATATGAAGCTAACTGAACCTGGCAGCGTGTGCGACGTACAGAAAGGCCAGTAGGTCCTGTTTCCTCATCGGAGATATTCCTTGGAGAATTTCTCAGGGATGACTCATTATTGAGGTCATTAACATCAGGAGAGGAAGAACGACCACGGTTGGCTGTTGAGGTGGAGGCTGCAGCTGTGTTCTTCTTAACATTCTGAGCTTTGCTCGAAGATCCCCCACTGGTTCTCTTTGACAGCACATCTGCAGTACATGCAGTATCTTGTCTCCTTGAATCAGGTGGCGAGAGAAGTCTGCCTATTTTTTTCATGTTCATCATTTAGCTGATGAGCATGATGATGGCCATCTTTGGAAGCATCTTTAGCTTTCCTCCTAGAAAACTGAAAATTTGTAGGGACTATGGTATAAGGCAACAAAGCAAGGAAAAGAAAAAAAGGAAAGGAGAAACTCTGTGATGGGAGTCAAGTCTAACCAATAAGAGTATCTTACCGAATCCCTCCTGAGCCTGATGCGCTACGCTTCATAAGCAAGCTCGTTGCAGTTGGAGAACTTAACTGCGGCAAGCTACCAGCTTGACAAACACGAGGCACACTAGGAGAACCATTGAGTTCTTTATGCAAAAGCAAAGCCAGCTGTATAAACCGAATGGCACATTTGAATGGAAAAAGAAAGAGTTAGGTGGTGCATAGGAAAATCATATGATGAAAATATATAACAGAAAATAGACTGTTTGCCACACCTCTTCATCAGTGAGTGTTGATATCAAAGAGGGTGGGACAGCAGGATTCATGGATGATGAGTGGCTTGATTTGGGTGCACACCGACTACTATAACTGATGTAATTTTTCACCCCGCAAAGGTACACCTGATGTCCTGCTCTGGGAGTTTGAACCTCGATCACTTTGCAAAGAACCAGTTGTCTTAGAAGAATGAGCTAGAGACACTTTAGAAGACGAGTGTTTCATCCTATCTTTTGAATCAGACTCTAGTCTCCTAGAAGCAGATGTATGCAAAAGCTTGCTTCTTGATGGGCTATGTTCATCCCTCTCACTGACAATGTCATTTGTAGTTCGGTCCTTATCCAAGGAATGAGAAGACACTGGTTGCTTAAGATCAGCAATATCATTCAGAGCATCAGTAGATGTAGAGTAATCATAAGAAGCTATCTTTGGGATCATGCCACTGGATGAATTGGATGACGACTTCCCCCCAGTCGGAATCATTGTGCATTGACTAGATAATGTAGGTTGGGTTGTGATTGTTTTGCTAGATGTGGACTGTTCTCCAGCTGAGCCTAAATCTTGTTTAAGTTCTCTACGAAGCTCACAAAGACCTCCAGCTAACTGTTTGTCTTCCTCTGCTTCACAATTATTTTCTACTAGCTTTTCCTCGTCATATTTATTTACTGCCTCTTTTGCATCTGAAGTCCTCTCAAGTTCTTGAGCATCCATATCCCTCGACGGAGATGTGGCCGGTCCCACGTCATCAAGTTTAATGTTATCAGGCCCACTATTGAAAGACATTCTCTTATCTTTTGCTCCAGAACATGTTAGAGGGGAATCCATCACCCCTGTAAAACTGTCAACAGTAACTTCTATCCTAACCACAGCCGGGGCAGAATGTGGCCAAGCACCGTTCATTTGATAGCCATTAGCCTCTAGTTTAGCACTTTCAAACTCTCCAGCTATATGCTTCATCTCACTCCCAGCGGAGGAAGGATTCATCTCGTCACCACCAGGGGGCCCATTTAGATCTTTCTCTCCCTGCAGTGACATCACAGTCAGAGTTTTCTTTTCAACAAGAGTATCTCTCAAAACTAAGGCCTAGGCATTACTTGTCCAGCGATAGTTGATATAAAGAGCTATAACCAAAGGCTGTGCCAAGAAAGCAGGCAGTAAAACGACAAAATCAGATCCATGATGAGACCACAGCCAACCCAGATTTCCATGCTTTGCTGAAAGATTATCCAATGATTCTGCAGCGTTATAGCACTAGTATTCTGCTTGTCAGTTTCTCCTGTGCATAATGCTATTGCTAGCATATTATGAAAGATGAACTCGTCATTTCATACGCACAAGGTCCGAGCTCTTACCAAGTTTAATATATTCATCTTTCCCATTGCAAATTTAACTTTACCCTTAAGCCCCAATATATTACGTACAATGATATGCATAAAGATGAAGTGGCACATAAAAAACAGAGAACTAAGGTGATCCAGTACAAATAGATATTCTCTTCAAGATCACAACGGGAAGGAAGCTAATGGACAGCAAGGTAATTTCATTTCATCATCTTAGCTAAACATTATAATATCTGAAGGGAAGATGAACTAATCATGCATCTAAGTTACAGCAATACTCAAGTTTTTAGCTTATAGTTTTAACAGGTACTAATGACCACTGGGGAAGATCCCTTGCCTCTGCTCTTTGAACGGCTCTATCAACCGAATTGGTGAATGAAGAGGCTATAAAATTTTGTCACGTCCTTAATAGCCCTCCTGAAATTCGTTCCTTCCAACAAAAGCCTACAGTGCACATTGTGTTATTTTTCTCTTTGGTTAAAAATGAGATACTGAAAATGAACAAACCTACAAAGAAAAGCAGAACAGAAGCTGAAGAAGGACTAGCAGGTGCTGCTACTAGCTCAAGGTCAAGTTTGCGACAGCTTTTGATAAAAGGAAAAGTTTGCGACAGCTTTTGATAAAAGGAAAAAGACCTCATAAAATCTTTCTAACTACCAGCAGGTGCACATGCCTAGTAGCGGCTGGCCATCTCAAGTACTGGCATCCTAAGTAAGAGCTTGAAAGCCATCTCACCTTAGCTAATGGACAGCAAAGTACTTTTCTTTCAACATCTTAGGTATACATGAGAATGGTAAGCTTGCCACAGCTTTTAATAAACGGAAAAGGACCTGCTGCACTGACAAAATCTTTTAAAACATTTTTTCTAGGTCATTAACAAACTCAACCTGTCCAATGAGCACATGCCTAGCACCTGGCCATCTTACGTAATTGTATCCAAAGGAAGACCTTTAAAGCCACCTCAGTTTTCATTCATACACACAGGGGAGAGGAAAAACATGTAAAATCAACCACAAATACTACAACAGGAAGTCTGGGAATACCATAACATACCTCTTGTTTGACTGGCACTGGGTTTCTCACAACATCGCCACATTCCCGGGCTATCACATCCATTTTATCAGTTTTTAGAGAACTACAAGGATATGATTGAACTCCGAGATATTCTTTTTCTTTCTTGAGTCTGTTCGGTTGGTGTCTTTATGGAGCGAGCCATCAAAGCCACATTGGCCTTGAAATCATCCACACTGTTGAACGCTGAAATATGATCGCCAGATCCACGTTTTTGAGAGTTTTGTTGCTTCACAATCCCATTCTTAGTGTCCAGACCATCATCCCCATGACATCGTAGATCTTTGGATTTGTTTGTTCCCAAGGTTTTGGCATCACTGCTGATGGATGGAAATGCTAGTACTAAGCATAAAAAGAAGAAAAAAATAAATGAATTGGGAGTCAACAAGTGCATGTCTACCAGTATTGAGATATCACCAGCCTATGATGCCCATGCCATCAGAAGGATTTTAAGTGTTTCAATTTATCCAACAAACAAAAGATAACAAGTGTAAATAAAGAAGAGGGATTCAGCATAGCAGAGAAACACGAAAGGATGTACCTGTTCTTGAAAGCAGACCCTTCTTCTTTGAGTCGACCTCTTTGTCTAAAACCCTTGCTTTCTTCTTCCCACTTTGATCTTTGCAAATAGCCACATATTCTTTTTTCCTCCTGAATGAATCAGACCTGGATGAAGTAAACTTCTCTCTCTTTTATGTCCAACTTCGGAGTTCCTAAGTTCTCCTCAACTATGATCACACTTCTTTGACTCTTTCCAAAATACACTTTTCTCGCAGTCCTCTCTTTGACTAAACCCACCTATTGCAGCCATCGGAGCAGAAAACACGCTTTTCTTTGACAACGAGAACAACACACCAGCACCCTTATCAACATTATTCTCAGTCTCTTTCTCATTCGTATCGTCCCTATCCTTTTCCCAACAGGGGAATTCCCTGTACTGGAAATTGAACTTCTTCGAGACATAGCCAGAACACTTCCATAACTACGGTGTGAAAACTGAAGAAAGACCACGGAACAAGGCTGGGTTACCACCAGGAATGCCCTGCACCGTGCACGTGGACTTTCTCCTCCAGTGGCATTTCAGTCCATAGCCTTAATTGGTGGCGAGATGGTGCACCATTAGCAATACTACTCTCCATCCGGATAGTTTTTGTGGGCAATTCAACCAGCAGCTGAGCAACCTCCGTCTCTTTGGTATCGTTATAGTGGTTGTTCTTGGCCTTGCACTTATCACAAGCGAACAAGTCATCTCCCTTTACAAACCGAGAGCAACGGGTATGGACCCAAGAGCCACACTCATCGCAATTGACCATCTCTTCACCATCATCAAAATTGACACCGCAAATGCAGTCAACCGTCCAGGAGCCATCCAACCAGTCCTCGTGCTGGTCATGGCTCTGCAGACGGTGAGACCGTCCCTTCATGTTCTTTACCACCGCCCCCGCAACCCTAACCAGCTACAAAATTCCTACGATTAGCAGGAGAAGGGGGAAATCTAAACCCTAAAACCTCCTGACTGGTTTCGATGATGATGTTAGTGAATGCTAAGAAAACAAAATACTGATTGACCGGGTTGCATTCACACACGCGAAGGCAACATTAAATGATTCTCGTGATTGCAAGGAGTACGAGCAGAGTTTGCAGGAGAGAAGCGTGTGTACCTGAGGCAAACGTTGAAGCTTGGAATGAGATTTTGCTGCCGCCGACGCTTTTCCTTGCGCTACCGGCGATTAATTATTGGGACTGGAGGTTAGAAAGATGTGAAGCGCGGCCGCGAGAGCAGAAAGGAAGATGGCTTCGCAGTTGGGTTTTCCTGCTTCGTTTCCATACATACCAACGACGAGTGGCCAACGTGCGGAACTAGGACGAAACTCGGAAGTGCAGAGGAGGATAGGAACGAGTCACAACTCACAAGCATAATTCGTAAGTACGGTACGGAAAGTTATGTATAGAATACGGGTAAATGACACATTTGGTCACTGAGATTACTAAATCGTGTCATATTTAGTCACTAGAAAAATTTAATATCAATTTTGGTCACTCGAATTACTGAAACAGGTCACATTTGGTCACTCTTCTGTAGCCTCTATCCAACTCCGGTCACTCGAATTATTGAAAAATGTCACATTTAGTCACTCGGATTACTGAAACATGTCACATTTAGTCACTCTCCCAAAAGTTTCCGTCCAACTACATTAATGGAGTTGGATGGAAACTGACGGGAGAGTGACTAAATTTGACCAGTTTCGGTAATTCGAGTGACCAAAATTGATATTAATTTTTTCTAGTGACTAAACATGACACAATTTAATAATCTCAGTGACCAAATGTGTCATTTACCCTATAGAATACGTATAAATATTTTACTTCACTTCATCTCTAAACTAATGATATGTTTAATAATAAGTTAATAGTCATAAATATATAAAATTAATTATTTTATAAATAAATAAATATATAAAAATAGTAAAGTAAATAATTTAATTCATTAAATACGAATATTAAACGTGTTATACATGTTACGTGTTTAGTATGGGAGCTGTCAAATGAACGGAAACAAATAATACGGCTTGACAATAATACAGATACGAAAGTTTTAAACAGATAAAGTAAGTACGGCTACATATACGTGTATTAACGGAGTTATTTCGGTATTGGGTTAATTCACCTACAGAATCCTCTACTATTTAATATTTAGGATTAATATATTTGTATGGCCTGAACTTTTTACATAATAAACATCCTGACCAATCTTTTCGATCTATAACATCATGGCCTGAACTATACACCAAAGTAACAAAATTGGCCAAACCCGAAAATTGACTGTTATCTTGGACGGTCAAATGTTAGTCAACGCACCACGTCAGCAACTTTCACTTAAAAAGTTTATATTTTCCACCTATTACTATTTTTTTTTTTTTCGTTTTGAATAAAAAATGAAAATTTTAAAAATGGTAGAGACAAGAAATTCATTTTTCATTTTTCAAAATTTTTTTGATTCAAAATGAAAAAATAAAAATAGTAATAGGTGGAAAATAGAAATTTTGTTAAGTGAAAGGTGTCGACGTGGCGCGTTGACCGTTGGTCAACGCGTTTGACCATCCAAGATAACGGTCAATTTTCGGGTTTGGCCAATTTCGTTACTTTGATGTATAGTTCAGGCTATGATGTTATAACGGATGGATCCGTAATAGATCAAATTGATATTTAGATTAGACCATATCAAATCAAACATAATGTGTTATGGGCTTATGGCTCTTCATCCCTTAAAATTTATAAATACTAAAGAGAAATATGTCGAATTGGCACTTAAAAGCGGAACAAAATGGTCTTATGTATTGTTGGTCCGTCTTTGGTACTAATATATCTTTCACTTTTGGACTACAGTTCTCATGAGTTATATCTGGTTTGGGTCTAACCGAAGCCCTTGCACACCCCTACTAGCACACAATAATGATATTAAAGAGACAAAAACTATAACAAGAGAGAACATTAGGAAAAAACAAAAGAAATCATCATTCCTGGAATTCTCCCAAATCAATAAGTTAGTGAAATCACCTTAAAGATTTAAAGGAATTTAACTCTGAAGGAGATAACAAAAAGGATTTACGAGCAACTATATGGACAACTCATATTGTACTTGTCAGACCGCTCTAAAATATGCAGTCGGAAAAGCTAAGTCTAGATGACGACACTCCCGAAGAAGGGGTCACCAATCAAATCTGTCAAAACATCATGACAAAGCTTATAGACCACCACCTCAGTATTCCTTTCCAAGATCACAATAAGCAACCTTTGAGAAACATCAACTGACAGGGCGTCTCTAGCAGCAAGTAGGTCCGCAACAAAAGGATTAGAGACACCATAATAGAGAGCCTCGACCGTCATAAAGACATGCTCGTCCGAACGACACACCACTAAATTATACAAACATCTAAAATCACAGACATCAACATCAAAGTTGAACTTCATTAATTAATCAAGAGGGAGCACCCAGATAGCATGAGATTAAGGAGGATGAGGAGCCAAATGTATAAGAGAGGACACGAAAAATTCACAAACTTGAGAATATTGATGAGCAATAGAACCGACATGTGGTTTCGTAGTACTAAAAAATCACTCTATCTCGAGATTTTCATATTCTCCATAACAAGCAGACACATTGGAGAATGTGGATTTAATGGTGTTGATATAGAATAATGATACGCCACCATAATCTAAAATTGGTCGTAGAAGCTTACACAACAAAATGACTCAAACAGTTAAGCCTACAAGACACCATAGCTAACGGCCATGAAGTATCTAATCTCTTGTAATAAATTTCAGGCCAACAAGTAATAGTGGGTTCTTCCACCGTGGATCACAGATTGGGAGCAAAAAAGAAAAGTTATGCGGTGCACAAGAGTTGGCACCTATTATTTTCGACAAACAAAACAATGAGTTTGATTGAATCTTTGACGAATAGAATTTGGGCGTTAAATTCATGACTCAAATTCAATATTGAAAGACCCATAGAACTCCAATTTGAAGTTGCTATTTGTGAAAAGTGAAAACTACAAAACAATTTAAATGGAGCTCGAAGAGAAAAATCCACAATTGGCACCTAATCACCAAAACTACAAATTAACTCCCTTGGTGGTTCCAATGTCTGTTTAACTTACATAATTCTCGATTACATTTTGGGATTTCTGAATTTCATTTAAAGTTTATCAATAATGTTGCTCAACCCCTTTGGAGTAAAAAAAAATTGTGGTCGGAAAGAAGTTCCTTTTTTCTTTTACTTGATCGATGATGCAATAGTTCCTCCTGCTTCCCTATTATAACATTAGTCACGAAATGGCTATAGTTCAATTAAGTTAGTAAACCAAAACAATATGCATCCATTATTCTCCGACCACAGAAAAGTCAAAAGGTAGCCAACACCGAGCCATGAAGAGTAAAGTGGAAAGTAAAGACATGAGCCTTTTTTTGTGCCATTGCATGGAGAGAGCTCTTGCGCATATGAGTGGATGAGGATGGCATGGGCATGAACCGAAGAACATCATGATGCTGGGAGGCAGTAGTCATGGTAGTCTTTGCTCCCTTTTCCCTTATTTGTTTTCCCCCCTTTTGTTCTCTCTCTTTTCTCTGAGTCTGGATTTGTCTTGTTTCGTCTCGTAATGCTTTTTCCTCTCTGTCTTGCCTTGGGAAGAAAACATAAGAGCCGACAATGATGATGTTGATGATACAAGCACGATTCTAGTATCTTGTTGCATTAATTTTCGATGACGTACAATCCCTAAACTGCCTTTTATCCTACCTTCAATTTTCTGCCCCGGTCGACTTCATCTCCATCATATTCACTAAAAACAGAGACACAAGCCAGTAGCGACTGAAAAATAGTTGAGGCATCAGACGTGCAACATCTAGCAAACACCAAAACTATAAGAAAAATTAACTATAGAGGGGAGCGCGAGAAAATAACGAGAGGAAAATGGTGTCTTTTTTACAACATGTAAAAACCAGAGGAGGTGATGTGTCCATTTTGGGAATGCCACTAGACGGGTGCTCCCGGTTTGGATTTGTTGTTGTTGGGAGGAGAGAAGAAAGATAGCAACAGAGGAGGAGAAGGGAGGGGGGGTGATTAGTTTAAAGTTGGAAAAAATCAAACCCAAAAATCTCTGAGGGTTTTTTCTGCACTTTTATCTCTCTCTCTCTCTCTCGCCATTTTTAGTAAGGATACAATCTCTCTCACCCCCTTAATTAGCTTATATTCCAAATCCAAGAATCCACAATCTTCCATTCACACTCCCACATTTCCCTTAAGTTCCCTATTCCAACCGGAAACATATCAAATCCACAAAACACACAATTATTAGCCGCCACCACCGCCTACCATCTCTCTCTTTTCCAATCTATCCCCGCCGTCGTCACAGGTACGATTAGGGAAGGGGGAAATGATTTAAAAGTATATAAGTAACAAACTTTATTTGACTATTGTGTTGCTAGCATTAGAGGGAATAATAAGGTAGTTGTTAGTTGGTTTGCTTTGGAGGCGTGGGCGAGAGAGCACCACCATCCGCATGAGAAATTGATTAAGTGATCTTTTTTACTTTGGCCGAAGATACGTTTTTTCTTAAAATCCAAAATGGGTAGCGTGGAGTCGCCGTCGATTTCATAATGCTCACCTTTTTTAATCATCTGATGTTTGAAGACTTGCTTTCATTATCTTATTCTCTAGAAATATATTTTTTGAGTTGGATCACTTCTTCGCTTCCTTCTTCTCATACATGGCAATCTTATTTTTCAAATAATTGGAATGAATTTATTATTAAATAAATTGGATACGTTGTTCTTAGCTATGCAACTTTGTTATTCTGATTCTTTTCTCTTTCCCTTTATTGTTTTTCCAGATTTCTATTTCCCTCTACTATGATTTCTATTAATCTTCATAATAATATTATTATTATTATTATTATTTTACAGAATCATAGTTGTCCTTTTTTTTTGTTGGTTTTCTTCTTCATTCTCATAATGCTGATAAGCTACAGACTCACCGGAGCCGAAAGGTTGAGCCCCAAGTTTGACCGATTCAGACAAAATAATCGAAGCGATGGTTGTTGTTGACACCGCTACAGGAGATGCTGAAATCAGTGTGGGTTTAAGCACTTCTCCGCCCTCATCCACCTCTTCCATTCCCGACTCCTCCTCCTCAATTGCATCATCGACCTCCTCCGTGGCCAATGATCAGGACCAATCCATCGACCATGATCACAACAACCCGCCCCCTTCACTGTCCAAAACTCTTCAAGGTCACCGCCAATCTAATTCCACTGTTGGCGATGACGATGTTGATGCTGAAGAGGCACGTGAGTATGAAAGGAACATAAGGGAATTGCAAGACTTGTTCTCCAAGCTCAACCCCATGGCTAAGGAATTTGTTCCCCCTTCTCTGTCTAACAACCAATACGACCCCACCAAAGCTAATGCCAATGCCAAAAATAATCACTTGCTAACTGCGACCCTTGCCACACTCCATGCTTTCAACCCTATTTTTTACCGTGACAATGCCAACAACGATAACAGTCCAGTTATGGTATTCGATGTCACTAAGAATGATCATCTCAATGGAACTGCCAGAAAGGTGCAACTCTCAAGTGTTTGAAACCCATGACTATGAATGATGGATTTTTTTTCTTTTGTTTACTAGCCTGAATGGTTTTATTGCATTGATTCATGGTGGTTTTATTATCTTTCAGAAGAAAAACTTTGGGCAAGCAAAGCGTAGAATGAATACTAGAACAAGCATGGCTCAGCGGGAGGAGATAATCCGTCGGACTGTCTATGTGTCTGACATTGATCAACAGGTATATTCATTTCATAAACTTGTATTCTTTTTTCTTCTAGTTGCGTGTTGATGTATTTGGGGTAAGGTGATTTTGCAATGTGCTCACATGTTCTTTTTGTATTATCAGGTCACTGAGGAGCAGCTTGCAGCTCTATTTGTTGCTTGTGGACAGGTATATAATTGTGCTCTAGCAGCTGAGTGGTTGGCTTTCTCTTTGAGTACTTATATTTATCTACTTATCTTCCTTGAAGGTTGTTGATTGTCGCATCTGTGGGGATCCCAATTCTATGTTGCGTTTTGCCTTTATCGAGTTCACTAATGAGGGTATGAAGATGCAATCTTTTGTAAACATTTATTTTGCAATTTTTTCATTACCATTCATGTGCCTACCGATTTGTGGCAATCACATGTTGCTTTTACTCATGTAGATGGTGCAGGGGCTGCACTAAATCTGTCAGGAACTTTGTTGGGATTCTACCCGGTAAGGGTGCTTCCTTCCAAGACTGCCATAGCGCCAGTTAACCCAACCTTTCTGCCCAGGGTGAGAAAGTTGTATTATAGAACCTCATAATCAAACATTGCAACCTTTTGAGTAGGCTTGATTACATGAATAATTTTGAATTACATGTTCATACATTTGGTACTTTGGATTTCAGAATGATGATGAACGGGAGATGTGTACTAGAACTATTTATTGCACAAATATCGATAAGAAGGTGACATGTTGAAAAAGTCATAAATATGTACCAACATAAATATGTACCAACATGAAATTGCAATGACTACTAAGTTCTATGCAGGTGACTCAAGCTGATGTTAAGCTCTTTTTTGAATCTACTTGTGGAGAGGTTTGTGCTCCCCTCCTATTTTGAGCTTAGAAGCAGTTTGTGCTATGAAGATGCACAAATACTAGGAAGGATGTCATTTATTTGGTGCATGTGGTCTGGTACAGGTTTATCGCTTGAGGCTTCTTGGAGACTATCACCACTCTACCCGCATTGCTTTTGTGGAGTTTGTGCAGGTATTTACTTCTTCGTTTCCCATTGAATTTTGGGCACACTTATGCAATGGAGAATTTTGACTAGGTGCTAAGAGGTTTTTCTTTCGTTTAGTCCCATGGAAACATGTTAATTGTATGTTGTACATTTGTGATTTCTAGTAGATACTTCCTTTTCTGGAAACTAGTATTTGAGAAAGAGTAGATAGCCAGGCCTTTGGAGGAGTAGATTGACTCTTTTCATTCCAACTTATTATGAATTTCCTTATTAGTGGAAAGAAGTAGCAAGAAAAAAACTTTTATAAGGTCTACCTCTAGTTTTTGTTAACGATGAATGAGTTTCACCCCATTTGTTTAATTTGTTTGAACCAGTGATTAAATCTCATGTTTCTAGTTGGACTACCTGATGATCTAGGAATTCACTTTCAACAACTTGTCTTTATGTTCGATTAGAACAAGATACTTGAATTCCCTATAAAAATACACCTTTTACTGATGTTTAGGAAGGACAACCATTTCATGGGTGTAAATGATGTCACTCTAAGTTGCAAGCAACATTAGAATATGACATTATTAAGTTCATATTTTATGTGATTAAGTAATTGTATTCAAGTCATTAATGATTTAGAATTCATAAGATCTTTCATGAATTTGGGAATCTATCTTCTAGTACTTATTCATCAACACAAATTAATTTGTACCTGGGGGATGGCATGTCTGCAAGATGTGAGAATTCTACCCGAGTAATACCAAAACTTTTACGGTATAGAGAGCGATAGTAACATCGTGTTGCACATAAAACCAATTGATGATGAACCTTCCTGGGAAATGAACTTGAAGTTGTCTTAATTGCTTCACGATATTTAAGTTGACAATATTATTGAGTGGTTGCTTAGATGTTTGCTCTAATATATGCAATTGGAACAAAGGTTCCAGACTTCCAGTGAGTTTGCAATCTGGTTCATTGTGTGCACTCAATTTTTATTAGATTTTATTAAGTGAGAGCATCTATTATGTTGTATGTGCAACTGAAGTCTAGAGTTTGTGGCATGAGCAATGTGCAGGCTGAGAGTGCAATAGTTGCCCTGAATTGCAGTGGCGTGGTGTTGGGTGCACTACCCATAAGGTAATAGCAACAATGCTTGCTTGTAACGTCAACATCAACAAATTTCATCATGTCATATCCATTAATCTATAGACACTCATAAATGTTGGTTTGTTTTGGATATGAACAGGGTGAGCCCATCGAAGACACCAGTTCGCCCGCGTTCTCCTCGCCTGCCCCTGAACTGAAGCATGTTGTTGGTGTCTGTTAGTTGCTCTGTGTATCTAATATATATACATATTTAGAGACAACATACCAACAACCGAGGGATTTTGCTTTTGTCATGACGTTGCGGTGCGCGCTTAATCGGAGAGTACATGTATACAGCAAGCCAATGCTTCCTGATTTTTGGGTTACAACTTACAAATGTGCCAGAGTTCCTAGTTTTTATAGGGATAGAAAGGTTTACATAGTTCCTAGTACTTTTTTGGTTTCGTAATCATGATGACATTATAGCAGAGATGGACGAGGCCTCGGCGCTTTTGGAACAACTTTTTTCAATTCATCGATGGTGCAATTTCTGATTACGTTTATCTTACTACACACACGTTTATCATTAGAACTCACAACTGAAGGAGACACCTCAAAGCTTTCCCATCGATGAGTAGTTGCAACGCCTCGTTGATTTTCTCGAAGGGAAGCTCGTGGGTTATAAGCTCATGCATATTCATATCCTGTCCATAAGTACATATAGAGAGCAAAAGTATTGTCAGTGATCATATCCCCTGGCAGTGGAGAACTCGTGTTTCTGAGAAAGGAAGTATGAGCAAATGCGATAAATTACGGGTTGCAGGCATCGGTGGGCAAGGTCGTGGAGTTGGGATTTCCCTCTGACACCGCCAAAGATTGTCCCTGTGATACTCCGACCGTCGAAAAGTTCCATTGGGTGGAGTGGCAACAGTTGGGTAGATGCATAAATCCCTACCAGCACAGTTCGCCCCCATCCCTGCATGTGGTGCATAATTGATTGCATAAAACAGGTTTCGTTATCAAGCACAAAGATAAGTTGTGTGGGTAAAAAAAGATAGTTGCTTGTAGGGGTGATCTTGCAAGGAATTACATCGTGGGTGGATAGGAAGGCCTCGCGGAGGACTTGTTGGTTCCCTACGCATTCCAGGCTGTAGTCAACGCCGCCACCACCAGTAAGTTCCCTGATTCGCTGCAATGAGATATTTTTTCAGAATTCTCGTTAGTTTCTTCCTGGGTTTGCTAATGTTTAATAAATAGGTAGAAACTGAGAATTGTGAGATGATGGAGAATGCGAGTTAACCTCGTGAACAGACTTGGAGCTTTCGATTGGGTTTACGAAGTCTGTAACACCCATCACCTTTCCTGGCAATCAAATTAATATGTCAGATGATTAGAATAAGGAGTGACGAACGATTAGCATGATTAAAATATGACATGTTTATTTATTTGTTTTCAATAAATGTTCTCTTCCATAGTCACTTTTACATTATTTTAAAACTAAAATAAATTGGTATACTCGACATGTTTAATTAAATAAAGAAATTCAACAATATGGATTTGGAGCCTCTACAAATTATTGGCTTTCATATTCTCTTTTATTGTTATTGCGGTGTTAATTTGAATCTAAGTTACCAATTCAATCGATTTCAAGCACTAAAAAATCTAAACAATCCAGTTCATTTAATTCAAATTTTAATAGATTTGTAGATTCGTGGATTGGTAGAAATTACTGGTTAGAAACTATATATATCAAGGAAGGTTCAGTCTGTCAAACATATAAGACAAGCTATGACCACAAGTCGCTGACTTCGACCTTTAACGATTCGCCCCTGAACCTAGAAAAAACATATTCCCACCTCTCCTTTCAATCGAGGCATAATTGAAACAGGAGGTTATGCACTGCATACTAGGTATATATATGTGGTGTATTGCTCACAACAATGAAAATTATATGATGTTAATATGAATGAGAGGTTATTGGATTTGATGAAACAACCTAATTAAGTGGATTCCTATAATCTAATTACGAGAAATATCTCTATAGGACTGATCATTAGCATGTATTGGTTGGTCTTACAACGCAATGCATCTAATATAAGGCCAAAATCATGCTAGAGGTTGGGGTCTCTGGTTCCTCGAAATTTTACAACTTGCTATATGTTATGTATAGTGTAACCAAAATAAAAAACATTGATTTGCTTTTAATGCGTTGGTGAGCATATTGAATAATGTTTATGTTTGACCCTACTTTTAGAAGTGTTTTTAGGTTCAATTATTTAAGTATTTTCATTATTTTAGTTTTTAGATTTAAGTGTCCGTTTAACTCCCATCCCATGAAAATTTATATTTCTAAGGGCACTTCTGGAATGAACGATTGTAATTTATTCCTTAAACATCTAGTGTGTTTATTTAATTTCTACAACACGGAACTCTATCTTTTATAAGACAACTTCAAATCAAAATGGATCAAGAAGTTTTTGTTTTATTACATTTAAAAGAAGTTTTGGACCACGTCTTATTTTTGAAATAAAGTCTCCGAAAATTGATTGGACATTGGACAGCAATGCCTATACGTACCCTTGATGAACTTCTCGGGGTTAATGTCAACCCCTATGATCTTGGAAGCTCCTCTAACTCTCGCTCCTTGAGCTACCTGCAGTCAGTCCATCGTTATCATTAATTATCAGCCTCCAAATCACTTTGCCCATAATCAGCCATGCAGCAGGCTCCACTAGCTTTAACTTCGATTGGACAATTATATTTGATTGAAACTATTCTATTGATGCAGCAATTTCTGGCATTAATAACTGCACACTGCCGTGCTGTGGCTGACTGATAGGACAGCCGACGCTATCTAGAACAGAGCTCATCATCTTGAGATGATAAAATTAGTTTGAAAATGATAAATAATCAACACTGTTAACGTTAATTCAAGTATGTTGCCAGGCATTAAAAAAATTAACCTAAACAAAAAAAAAAGAAGGTTTTAGCAGGTTTTACAGCGAGTCCCAAAGCTCCCAACCCGAAGATGGCAACGCTTGATCCAGCTTGTACATTTGCAACATTCCAGACCGCCCCGACACCTTGAAACACCATTCATTAATTCATGCATCAATTGACAGCTAATTGCTCTTCAAATAATTAAATAGACAGAGAAACATTCTGAGTAATACGAATGTGAAACATTCAAATTTCCGATTCTATGCTGAAGTGTTTTGGTGAAGTAAAAATATAAAAAGAAATTTTAAAATATACATTTTGACTACAATAAAAGCACGATTTTACGTAAAACATAAAAAAATTTAAATTTTAAAGCGCAATTTTAATTCTCCTGTACTCACCAGTGGAGACGCAGCAACTGAACAAGCTCATCATCTTGAGATGAAGCGGAGACGGAGGAGTAGACGGAGGCGGCCGAACGCCGCCGTCATCAGGGTGAGGTGGACGGAGGATGTTGACGACGCAGGCCGAGTCAACGACGGTGTACTGGGAGAAAGTCGAAGTGTTGAGGAAATGAAAGATGGGCCGGCCGTCGGCCCGGCTCCTGAACCTGCACGCGCCGTCGCTCCTCATGACGGAGCGGAACGGGTCGACCCGGAAATGCTGGCAGAGATTCGTGGTGGCAGACTTGCAGTAGGCGCAGTCGCCGCACTCGCCGTTGAAGATTGGGATGACGTGGTCCCCTTCCCTGACGTCAGTCACCCCTTGGCCGACGCTCTCCACCACGCCGACGGCCTCGTGGCCCAGGATCCGCGGGAAGGCCTTCTGCGCGTCGGGTACACGTGCCTGCCAGGCGCTGATGTCGGTGTGGCAGATGGAGGTGTAGAGGATCTTGATGCGAACCTCCGTCTTCTGCGGCGGGTCCACTTCTATCTCTTCGAGGACGAGCGGTTCGTTTGGAGCCCTCGCCACCGCGGCTACATATTTTATTATTTTAATTTTTACATACACGTCAATCATTGATTGAATTATTATGACAAAGGCATGATGGCATGTGAGCTGTTACGTACGTACCTAAGCAAGTGATGACCTTGCCGGCGGTGTCGTTGGTAGCACCGGTGGTGGAAGTGGTTGTGTCGGCTGCGGTGGTCATCGTGTTGCGGAGGCGGCGAATTGAAGGGAGGGATGGAAGGAGATTCCGTGGGTGAGAAGGTACGTAGGACGCTACTCCAGAAATTTCTGGCTCTCAACAAGATGAACCTCGGCTCGCCTGGTAGGGTAGCTAGCTTTGTTCCTGTGTATAGCGAAGTCGTTTGGTTTGTAACCTGTCTGTTAGCTTGCCACTGGTCATTATATTGAGTATACTACTAGCTAGCTGGCTAGTTGGGAGGATTGGTCACTCACCCTATTGCAACATTGGCTATGGGCATAGGGGCGGGCACTTTATTAGAACTAAACGCACTGGGATAATTGATAATAACAGAAAATAAAAAAAAACATATAATTTACGTGTTCACTAATATAATGTGTGTTAGCTAGTTCACGGGCAGGAAAAAGAGTCAGTTTCACTATTACTCGAGGAGATACACGCGAGGCCTTGACAAATAACCCGATTCAAGTAAATATCTACATCATTTGTTGTACACAACCAAATATAAAATTAAACCTTACTCATCGTGATGTTGGCTAATATGTATTCTTTTCGGGTCAATTTATCAAAATACAAGTAGGTGTGAGACAATCAGTCGGGAACTCACTACTGCTAACTCATACTAATTTTGAAATATCACTAACTCATACCCATTTTGAAATCTCGAAATCTATCTATCTATTGAATATGGTTCTTTTTATAATTTCATTATTTAGAGGTCTTATTTCTCACCAGAATTAGATTTCTTAATGCTAACCAGTAGAATGAACATATACTATTTGGCTTGTCAGTTCGATTAGATTAGTCGAACCATTAAGATGAAAACTGAAAACCTGAAATGGTTAGTTCCCCAAAACTAAAATTGAAACCGTTAAGAATTGAAAATCCTTACCTACTTAGCCGTTCGGTTTCGATACGGAGAAATGGGTGGGAGTGGTGGGGGGAAGACGAACTACTGACAAGATAATATACTTGTTATTGATTTTTAATTGTTTATTTTAAATGAAATCAAAATCGCTTACATCATATCGATTTGTACCATTAAAAAAACTCGATAAAAGCATGTAAATTATTAGATTTCGGTTAGAACCAAAAATCCGAAACCAAAATTTGCAGCAGCATTTAATATTGGATAGACTCTCCTCGCTATCTTGTTGGACTGATGGGGCCGGGCATTAATAAGCCAATCCATCCCCTAACTTTCAACTTCCCCACAACCACAAGCCAAGCTATTTGATATGGAGACATGTAGCTTGGTTATATATTGAGGACGAAATAATGCATGGCATATGATGGCAAAAATTGGACTGACACGAAACAAGGACAATTAACGGGACGTCTAAATGAGAAACCCTGAGGTACACAGCTCAATTTTGACTTGACCGCCTGTAACAAACTTCCAAGAAATTAAATTCGACCGGCCCCATGAAATTATTTGTTTTCAATTATTGTGATATCTCCCTCCAATTCCCATTCCCATTTCCGGGGATTTGTTCGATCGAGCTTGGGGAAGATAAATAATTTGCGAAGAAGAATGGATTTGTGATGTTCAGTTGCAGATCAAATCCTAGTTCCTATTATGGTTTGTGTGGAAGGAATTAAAGGAATAATTATTATTGCTTTAACGACCAAAAACTTGAGGGATGGGAGACTGGTAGGAGATTAGAGAATTACCTGAACGAGCACTTGGAAGATGAGATCCGTCATCTGGCAGAAGAACATGGACTTTGACGGACTGTGATTGAATCAGATTGTTTGACTTTGATTTCTTCAGTATTAAATGAAGAAGAAACGTCCATTTTGGAGATAGAGAGGAGATAAAGGAGCGGGGGAAAATGTATGGTGGCATTTCTGGGGAAGGAATGGGAATAAGTCAACCCATGTCATTCATTGCACATGTTATTGTGAGAATTAGGGACGAATTTCGGGTACACAATTCACCGGTTTTTCGGTCTTGCAACTATTACCCTTTCGATTACGTACATACCGTCGATGAAAGTAGTTTATGGCATAAAAAATGGCAAAAGCTCGTCCAATTGAATCTGAGCGACGGGTCAATTTGTATGGTTTACATCCATTCTGTTATGACAGCAAATATCAAGAAGAAGAAGAAGAAGAAGAAGAAGAAGAAAAACCGCAATCTTATCACAACAGCCTATGAATTCATAATGGAATGGGCCAGTACATGATAACGTGGCGCCTGCTGCTGGTGGTATATTTAATGTCGCAAGAGGTAGCTCCACATCCTCAACACCACCTAGGTGGGGTGTGAATCATATTGTATTTTCTAGAACACACCATGCGCCATTATTTGGGAGGCTGCATTTATATGTGGTACTTGTGGCTAACATGAATTACAGAGAGGGCGACCACACAAAACAGAACGCAGCTGTGCTGGTGGTTACGATACATGCCATGTGATGTGAGTGCCGGATCCGTCGTTCCGCCGTTGTGATTTTCCCGCCTCGTCTTGTGTACGTTGTTGGGGGTATACGAATAAGAAGGCCTCGGTATGTGGATGAGATCCATTAAGAGGCACGAAGTCCAAATAGTCCGAGGAAAGGTGAGCTCATTCAAGACAGGAGTGGGCCATGATAGGCGCCCGCGGGCTTAGATCAGAAGAGCAAGTTGGGAGTTGTGTACACTAGGCCCCTAGGGGTACTCGCACGTTAGGCGCCTAGAGGTGCACTTGGGAGTTGTGTACACTCGAAGAGGGCGCCTGGAATCATCTTCGGAGGGAGCGCCCTGGGTCACTCGCATTAAATGCAAGGGTGACGTGGAAATCCGTACGGGAAGGTCCAGGTAAGCAATGATCGGCTATAAATAGGGAGGTGGGTAAGCATTTACTCAAGTTGGCTTCTCTCACTAAAATCGGGCATTACAAGCACTTCTCTCACTAAGAAAGATACTGACTTGAGCGTTGGATGACTAACGGACCACAAGGCCCACCTCTGTGAGTGCAGGCTTAATCGCGAGGGAGTCGGCTGGTACGGAAGGGAAGTAGGCAGATCAAGCGGGCATCAACATACGTTTTTTTAATTTTTTTTTTTTTTCCTTCTGAAAAAGGAAAGGAAAAGGACGCGTTTTTCTAACTGTATGCCGTCGTCGTCGTCATTGATCCAGTTTGCTGAGTGTGAGTGTGATGGATGACCACAAGTTGATTGGTGAGTCCATTTGCTGTTGAAATTTCTCTTTAATGTTAGGGATTCAGTTCCTTGTACAATGACTGGGCCGGCGGGCATCATGCAACTGGTTCAGTCAGCTGGGCCTAGACTCTGATCCATTATTGCTGCGTTCGACTTTGAACTGGCCTCTTATCCATCACTGATGCGCTGGAATTGATAATGGACTGAAACGTATCAATCGTGATGGGCGACATATGGGCCTTTGGTCTCACCGCTTAGATGATTGCGGCTTCGAGTGCGGGGAGCATTAGCTGCAGGCTTCGGCCCAACATGAGACGCACATGCGATCGTGATACTTAATAGGCCGGCAGCCCAGTCGTCGCCGAAAAAAGGTTCCCAAGTTGACACGTCCGGTGGGTGGGTGGGTCGGTCTTTCTTTCCGATGCTGTAATCACGGCATAATCATGCGCCCCCCATTGCCATCGCAATCAATTTGTTCCCTCCCAATAGTTTGAAACAGCAAAAGTTTCAGCCCGCCTAATTAACCCTTTGGCTACGCAGCAAGGAGAAAAAAAGGGCAAAAAGAAAAGCGGAAAGATTTTGACCATAGTTTTACAGAAAGGAAAGCGAGGGCAAGTCTTCTGAAATTGAAACGGAGAGTGAGACAATAGGTAGACAACTGTCCACGAGAAAATAAACATAACAGACAAAGGAAAGCTTTCATTACAAACTATTCACTATTCAGCTTGTGGATCAAGAGACCGCCTATAGAGTCAAAATGAAATTGTTTATTTTCGTTGGAATTTTTTTGGAGTTGTAACAGTATTGTCTACTTTTTGTACTAACACGATGTACCATTGATATAAGTTAGTTATCTCTATTATCCTGATGTATTTTTTTTTTCCGTACGTTGACTTCTTATAATTTTTATGTTTCAAATTATATCAAAATGGATGTCAATTTGAAATATTTAATATAATTTTAGTCTGTACAAAAAATGTTGAAATCCAAACTAAATAGGTGTAGATATAGTTTGCTAAACTTGATGAGTTGGAAATGGAATTGCTGTCCATTAAATTTTACAATAACTTATTTATTTGGTTTCGATAGTATTAAAATTGTCATACAAATATTACTTAATTTTCTGTTTGGAAAACCAAAAAATGTTCATGTTATCAAATATGACGCATATGGAATTCTTAGTGATAAATAATAAGTTGAAGATCAAAGAGTCCAAACTCCACACCTTGATGATCAGATATGAATAATTAGAATTTGATCAATTAATTTATTTGTCAGATCCATTACTAAACTTTCTAACCACAATAATGCACGAGGCTTGACTACAGAAACATATTCATTCTATTTCTAACCATTCATTAAAAAAAAAAATGGTCCAGCCTCTTCCATTATTGAGAACTTATTGATAGAATAGAACCAACAATAGTGTGGAAGAAAAAAGGTTCCCTAATTTGGGGAATGACCACTTAATTTTACTCTGTCTTGTTTGGTTGTGAGCTGAGTTGAGGGCACAAGGCAATAGTAACAAACAGATGCCGATGCTACTTGCTCCATTCCATCCACCTATCCACAATCTCTCTCTCCCACTCACCTCTTTCTTTTGGCCGGCCCCCACTCAATTTTCCTTTTGCTTGCTTCATCTCTTTTTTGTCGTCCATGGCCATAAACATTCAGCCGGCTTGACTGATAAACACAAGTTATGGACATTGTAAATTTGTAATACTAACTATCAACCATGAACCATAAGCAAAAGTTATAGTGGTCCAGTTCACTCACCATAAAAGATACTGCAATCCGTGGCGTAGAGGTACCCGAAAGATTTGCATTGGCGGGAAGATCACATTGAAACACAAGTGCAGATTCTGTTCTTTGTACCTAAAATACGAAGATGCCAATTGCCCTGTGGCTGGTGGGGCAATCAAAAGTTGGTTAAAGAGTTAAATGCAAAGTACCAAAGTAAAAAGAGCATATATCTACCAGTACTACACCATTATATGCTCCCCTGTTTCTCTGTCTATCTATCTACATTTCTACAATGAACAAAAGGTCATCAAGGAAACTAGCTAGGTAGCAAGAAAAAGGAAGGAAGGAAGGAGTAAGGAGTCCCTGTAATCAGTCTCGCCAGTCGTGCCTGTGTAGCCGGGGAATCATGATGTTAACCTCGGCCTTCTCCTCCAACCGCCACCCATATCTCCCCATAATAACACCCAACATTTATTAACCAAACCCTATGTGTCTAAACGCTAGTCCTCGTAGTTGAATTGTCGTCGACACACCACTCTGGATTTCCGATCTCTCCCTATATAAAAACTGTATTCCTGTACCCACAATCAATTAATAAATTGTTCCACCACCGTGTTCTCTCAATATACTATACGCCATATTAGTGGTAGCAGTAATGCGGCTGCGGGCTGCTGCCGCTGAGTGAAACCAAGAACCCCGCGTTCCCTTCCTTCCTTTTTGTCTCTTTTCAACAAAATCTCCCACCACCATCTCTGTGGTGGGATCCATTTCTCCTATACAACAAACTACAAACCCACCACCATTACCAAGAACCATCCCCACCGACGATTCCATTTCCCATATCTTCCCCTCTCCCCTGTTTTCCTTTCCCCACCAAAAACCCACACCCGGCCCAAAATCCCACTTCATTTCCTCTTCATTATTATGGGAAATTGTCTGTTCGGAGGTCTAGGAGACGGCGAGGGAGGAGGAGCGATTAGGGTCATAACCTCCACCGGCGCCATCCTCGAATTCCACTTGCCGATAACGGCAGGCTGTCTCGCCGCCGAGTTTCCCGGTCACGCAATCTTCCCATCGCACGATCTCTTCTGGACCCCGCTCTCCCACGACGACCAGCTCCGCCGAGGAAACTCCTACTACCTCCTCCCACTCACGGCGGCGCCCAATTCCAAATTACCATCTGCTAACAGGGGACCGTCATCGGCGGCGTCGCTGTCATCCGTGAAAGAAGGCCACGTTAGGTCGAAGAGCTCCCCTTCCTCTCTCGCCGGCCTCACGCCCTACCGGATGTCGTTGGACTCCAACTACAAGCAGCAGCAGCAGCAGCAGGGTGCGCTGAAGAGGTCCTATACAGAGGCGTTTTCGCTGACCTCCTCTGTTTCCGGTAGGACCGGCGGCGGCGGAGGGAAGGTTCAGAATCAGGAGGCGGGGTTCTGGAAAGTGAAGCTGGTGATTAGCCCGGACCAGCTGCTGCAGATTCTGTCTCAGGAGGCTTCTACTCACGATTTGGTCCATAACGTCAGCGCCGTGGCCAAGTGTGGTGGCAGTAGTGGCTACTCGACGCTGACTTCTAACGCTTGCTCTGCGGCGGTGTCGTCGTCGTCGGCGTCGTCTTCTGCTTCGTCGGTTGTTGGGTTTTCTGATGACTGGATCGCTACTGCTGCTACTACTATGTCTACAGGTACCAGCAGAAATGGTTCCGCCAAGAAGGATCGTCATAGCATGGTTGATCTTGCAGTTGCTTCTAACTAATTGCTCTGTTTCAATTCCGGCCTAGAAGAAAAACCCTTTTCGTTTTATGTTTTTGTTGTTGTTTGTTAAATGTTAATCATGAATACTAGCTAGCAACAGATATGTGTAGATGTTTTTAACTTTGTGATTAGGCCTGCTGGCTGCTGCTGCTTAATTATAGTCGAAACTCAGAAACCACCTCATAGTGTTTGATTTTCCTTATTGTTTCCGCTTCTCTAATTTTGGGAATTATTTCTTCCCTTAATCGGCTCAATTGTCGTTGGATTCAGCGGTCCACGCGAGAACCACTTTCAAGGTAGTCAAATGATACCAAGGGAGAGATTAGAGAAGCAGAAACATTAATGCTTCAATTTGGTCGATATATTTACAAAACAGGTCATTCCCAGCAGTCAATTTGATTTTTGAGAGCACCACTAGCCACTAGACAATTAGTAAATTAACGAACATGTGCGAGTGCGACAAGCCATAAGGCGGATCCTTGTTAGAGATGGCAATTTCGACATGACCCGTTTTACCCGACCTGTTTGGTCTGTTTTGGGGCGGTCCGATCCGTCCCGTAGGCAGGGCGGGACGGGCATGGGTACTCTCATCGACCCGACCTGCCCTGACCCGCCTCATTCTCGACCCGTTCTGTCCTGAATTACATGTAATTTTAGTCAAATTACTTAGGATTTTCCTTTCATTACATCATATTTTAGCTATAATAAAGTTGTAAATTAGTGAAAATCTCAATTTCTCCAAGAAATTAACTACATTTATCATAATATTGTTTGTTTTCTTGATCTTATAATATAAATAACGAATATTTCTAATATTTTTTATATAAATTTCGTACCCAATGGGTCGACCTGCCCCGATCCACGACCCGTTGATAAATTACCCGACTTGTACCCGACCTGCCACGGGGCGTGTCTGGGTACCAAGAAACCGTACCTGCCCATTGGCATTCCTAATCCTTGTTAGGTTTAGGTAGACTGTTACTCTTTCTAAAACTTAGCCGGGCCGCTCGAATCCAATGTCAAGAGAGAAAAGAAGAAAGTAGCTGGGCTTAGTGGGCCTGTTTCTGAAAGATAGGGCTCTACTCTGGTCCTGCGCTTCAAATGGCGACCTCTAGTAATCAACTCATGAAAGCCCTCTTCTCCCCTAATAAAGGGCCTCTAGGACATGACCATGTACGGTTCTTATCTGAAATTGGGCCTTCCGATAGGCCAGCCCAACTATCTAGCATTGGGCTTTTGGTAGCCTACTAAATATGCAATTTGAATTCTACTGTAGAATAAATACCATTTGGAGCATTTGCATGTCAAGCAACAACATACATACGTACGTTCATGCAAGAATTAATTGCGTCAGAAGCCACAAACTGAACGCCCTTGGCTGTTTTCGTTAATTTTCTGACCAGAGAATGATATGATATTTTTCCTTTACTTACAACACATTGCGTATCATGCAAACTTACAACACATTACCTAACTTATAAATCAAGTAATCAACATACATATGCATTCCTTCTTAGCCGGAGCCAAGATGTATTGACATTTGGCTATATCACGGGAAACAAGTAAATTTTGATAAAAGAAATTAATAAATAGCTATGTATGAGAAGGAGCTCACCATTTTGAGGCAGTATAAAATATTTCACGACTATAATAAACTTCAATTCTTATCATTTGATTGCTATTAAATTAATTTATTATACTTTAAACAAAATTTGCAATCAAAATAATTTGTATTCCGGGTGAAAAAAACACATCTAGTTTTAATTTTAGTCGAGTATATTCATTCAATTTGGAGACGATGAGGCCCGTAGTGGTCTGAATTCCCATCTCACCAATTTGCCGTCGTAAAGCACTCATTAACTTCCAGTTAGCAAACTGACAAATCAATCAACGCTACTCTGAAACACTTATGCTAACATATATAGTATAAGTTCGCAGAATATCCTCTCCCCACTGAAAAAGTTAACAAAAAACAAAATGCTAGGACTAATCAACTATTCAACTGCATACAAACTTTTTTTTTTTTGGCAAGAGCTTCATCAAAATATTCTCTTATTCAGAAATAAGATTTTTGGTTTCCTAATCCGAGTATCAATTCCGGACCATTTTCTGTTTGAAATCACATTTCAATTACTTATAAAAAGTGTACATTTTCAATGTTTATGAGGTTTTAGAAAAAGGGCCATTATCATTATTGTTATTTTTATCAAGGGTCATTGTTTATCAAAGGGAGATCGACTCACTACAGCTTGTGGGATAGTAAGCTATTTCACTCATAGTTCGTCTTCATGCTCATCATAGTCGATTGCTTGACTTGAAATTACATATCGACTGTCACACGATGAAGATTTGACATATATATTGTTTACGGTGAGATATTGAGGATCAGATCGATTCACGACATAGCGTTTTAATGCCACTACATCTTTTGGCTTGCACCCATTTAAAAATAAATCCAATTTATATGAAATTAGTATGAGGAAATTCACCAAGTACCAACACAAAGTTAGAAGCCCTTGATTAATTGCGATATTGAACAAGGTTTGAGTGGTGAGGGTGAAAGTAAGAGGAGGTGGTTGCCCCGTCAATTGTTGGAGGGAGGGAGGAATAGTAGTATTAGTACTCGATCATGATGATGATTAAGCATGGAATTTAGGGAAAGAGATTACATAAATCCCCTCCTCCCTTCCCTTCATCGCCATGATTCGGAATTGACACGCACAAAGACGTCATAACAGAAAGAGGTTGTTAATTAATATATTATGAATGAATGAATGAATGTTGATGTGGTTGTAGGTAGGGAAGGGAAGGGAAGGGATCGGATCATCACTAACCTTTCTTTCTTTCTTTCTTTGCTCCCGATTAGGGTTTTGAAATTTTGATGATGGTCGATGTTAGTGCTCTACCGTTAGATCCAATTGATGAAGCGGAAGACCACCGTCGGCAAGCAGCAGCTGCAGCAGGGGGCCAATGAAGGAAAAGTTGGAAAATGGCTTTACTACCCTATTCTTAATTATGAGTATTTTCTTATCGTTATTTAATTTATTATTCTACTAAAAAATGTCCTATCTTGTGCTTAAAATAATCAACTCTTAATACTAAAAGTAGTGAGTTTCAAACCCATGAACTCTCAGCTCAAAATTCTAACACCATGTGATCAAGAATTAATTCCACATTTTAACCAATAGAATCAGTAGAAGTATTGCGAAGTATTGTGATCATTTAAGATGGGGGATATTAATACCTCGTGTTTTTTGATGTCACGAATCAGTTGGTCCTATTAACTCGAGCCGGACTTGAAGTTTGCACGTCTCCGAATATCACGTGATTAACAAATAAGGTTCGTTGGGGTTCGATCCACAAGAACACTAAATCATAGAAGATCCTAATACCATTTAAAAAATGAGTTAGTCCAAATAACTCGATTTGTTTAGAGAAATTTAATAATAAATCTTTATATAATTTATTAACACATAAACCACTAGTGTTTTTTCCCCCTACCCAATGCTAGTGTTATTTACCATATAAACCTACCCAAAAGGTCAAAAAGAAAGGTCGTTATTAAATGGCTGTCAAGTTAATTACCATATCCACTATCTCAAATACCACTTTTTTCTTAATTTCTCATGCCTCCATCATTATGCATCCACAAAACAAAATCATCCACATATATACGCGCAGACTGAGTTCATGGGGTAAGATCTTTCTTTCCCCAGGTTCATTCAAGTACTGCGTATTACTAGTCAAGACCAGCTGCCACCATATATCTGTCGGATGAATAATTTTTGCAAGGAAAATTCTGTTATAATTTTGGTAGATGATGACCATAATCAGTAGGGATTTAGTTTTTCTTACGATTACCACTCATCCACCGTTAAACAACAATGATTACATATGTGTCCAAGTCGTATTATGCCACCAGAAACATATTTTATTTAGCATCTTTGTCGGTTTATCAATTCGGCAAGGATTTATGACATCACGATGTGTCATTAATTATGCTAATACTCTTATTGCATGCGTTGCCCATGGATGGAGGGGAGGCGAGGCGAGGCGAGGCGGCAGGCGGTGGTTAAAGCTTTGTCAAACCTGATTTTTTACTTTTCGCGTCCGTCGTTCCTAATTACTAGCGCGAGAGACGCCTAAATTAGTTTGTTATATATATTCATCCCAAAATAAAAGTGAGTACATTTTTAGGCGAACACTATGGTAATTTTGTTAAAATTCAAGTTACAATGATTTGGAGGTGAGCGAGTTAATCCGTTATGTTGATCAATAATATTATTAGAATCGAGGTTAAACAGAAATAGCGGTTGAACGTTGTTTTAAAACAATCGATCAATTTGCCACAAACTTATCAATGTTGGAACAAGATTCCAATATTAGAAAGGTTTAAATATTAAACAAGGACAGAAGAATAATTTAACTAGTATTAATATCAACATAAACTAATATAAATAACTTATTGTTGTTGGATGCATATACGTGTTTACTCGAAAGTGGTCGACCTATATAACAAGGCGATCGACCGATATAACAAAAAAAAAAAAAAAAAACATTGGTGTAGACATCAAATCTTAAAATCAGTTGATATGCAACCCAAGAGATCAACCTATTCAACGAAATGGTCGGTTGTGTGGTGCTTCGATCAACCTCCAGATGTCATTTTACGTGGCTATGAATTGTTGTTGATGTAGCTAGACATCTTAAACTAGATTGGCTTACGAAAGATCAAGTCAACGTTTATAAATCGGACAAAACATATACATTATATTAACTAATACAGATCGATCGGATCCACAAAACCTGTCGATCGAATTCCCGTACCGATCAATTGAATTAAACGCCGTAGCGTGTTATGAATAATGACTCCATGGTCCCAGAGTGGCACCTTAAAACGGAGAGAAAATTAGTTGATATATTTTCTTTGCTAGGATAATTATGATAAGTTTTGTGTTAAGCGAAAAATTCTGTTTTTTGTTTTTTTTCTTGTACTTGGAAATCCCACATAAAATGAAATGGGGGCAATCAATCAAAGCCAAGGATGAATTTGGATTGGATGGGTGCGTAATTAGTTATGTTTATGCACCTAGACATAGCTAGCTAACTAGCTAGCTAGCACCTAAGCTCTCTGTTGGCTGGTCGATCAGTTTAGTAGACAATGATTTTATCCAAGAATATTAAACCTAGACATAGATTTTTTTCAAGATGGCACCTATAGAAGAACTTAATTAGTTTATCACCTATAACGTTCACCGTATTCTGAGTAAATCGATTAGAATATTACACTTGAACCAAGATATCTCCATCCAATAGAGAAGTTCTACACTATAACTTCAACAGGGAAATCAATTGCTCGAAGAACAACCCGATAAAGGACCGTAGCCAAGTCCGAGAAAGCACATGCATGTACACAGGAATCCAGTTGGAGACTTGCGAGCGCATTTAATGAGAACTGAAATGGAGCTGAAGATCCACATATATATGGAGTTTGTTTGGACGTACTATCTGCTTCCGAGCTGTGGATTGATTACTATAAGGAGATCGATCACAGCAGGTAGCGTTTGGAGATGGATGGATGAAAGATTCAGCAGTTGGGATGTTCAATCGCGGAAAGCCCCAGTTTCATAGATTCAGGAAAAGGAAAGTGCGGATAGCTAGCTAGCTAGCTTTTCTATATTCAGCTCCCAATGGCGGAGAAGGGAGATGGCAAGAGGCTGCTGTCTGTCAACCATTATTTCTGTGGGCACCGCCTTCTCTTCTCTTCTCTTCTCTTCTCTTCTGCTCTGTCTGTTACTATTATTGCAGACTAGAGGTGGCAATTAGGATCCAAATCCATGAATCCAATCCAATCCATCCACCAAATTATCCACCTAATCCAATCCATTTAAATCCAATCCATTTGATCCAAATCCAATTGGATTGGTGGATTCATGGATCAATCCATGGATTCAAATGACAAATTACGATTTGGTACCTATATTTTTTATATTTTACATTTTGGTACCTAAAATTTATATTTTTATACGAAAAATATCATTGGAAAATTACGTTTTGGTACCTAAAATTTTTCATTATGACATTTTAGTACCTAAACTTTTCAAAATTTACATTTTGGTCCAAGCCTTGGATGTTATTTGGATTCATGGATCAATCCACCAATCCATTGGATCCAATCCATGAATCCACCAATCCATTGGATCCAATCCATTTGATCCATGGAGCCACGAATCCAATCCACGAATCCGATCCAATTGCCACCTCTATTGCAGACCCTTTATTTAGTACATTATTTCCAAGAGTCAGACCTCCTACCACTTTTGTAATTTCTTTGAAATTTTTTGACCAGCATTAACATTATTCTCTGGTGCATATATAATTGGTCTGACTATAACAATCCAGTGGAGTGAACTTAAGGAATATGGATTGATTATGATCTTTTATAAGTAGTCACTTTTAGAAAGAACAAGTCTGGAGTTTTTTTTATCGCTGATTTCTATTCCGTTGTTTGTATATATTCCCGGTCGAGCTAGCTATAGCTAGTTGTTTCACACGATACGGTATATATAGAACATTAGTGAACACATGAGAAGGGGTTGATGATGATGATAATGACTGATGAGTTTGCTGGTTATAATGAGTAGAGTGGAGAAAGAGGTTAATTGGAGTCGTCTCTATGGCCATGGGTTAAATTTGTCGCAGGGGAGGGTGAGGGGCCAAGGAAAGCTCAGTGCCTCCCGAACCCATCATCTTGCCCACTCTCTTGTCGTTGTGGTGGTTGCACAAGTTAAACGAGCAATTTTAGTTAATTACATTTTTCATCAAACAAGGGAGGCTGAGGAGGGTTAGTTCACGAATTAAGTAAATAATTAGAATTAAGAAATTTAATTTTAATATATATGGTTGTAGAAAAACCATTAGGAGGAAAAAAAAAAAAAAAAGAGAAAAAGGAAATGGTGGGTTTCATTTCAAGGGTGACTATCATACAGATATTAAGGTCGTGGGTCGCAGTTGGGATGGGGGCGTGCCCCCCGCTTGGTGGCTCATTGGGCCCACAGCCTCTCTGAAAGCCCAAGTGCATTACTAGTTTACTACTGCTACATTTTCCTCAAATCTTTTTGGATATGGGCCCCACTTGTTCAGTACCAAACATTTGTGGGCCTACCAATTAGCTAGTCCCAATATTTTTCTTCCCTTCTCTCTTCCTTTTACTCTCTCAGCCATTTCCTTTAGGTGGTTGGGTGGTTTGCCTTTTTACTAGAAGGATTGAGCTTATGTGTCGAATTAGTGTTTATTCTGATTTCTGATCATCATCTTAATGATTTACAACTTATATTCGAAATGAATTAAGTTAGGAAAAGTCTGTCGTTAATGGGATAATAGACTATATATTTAGAACCAGTCTGGACGTTGAGCCGGAAAAATTAATCATTTATGATTCAACTAATAAATTTTTATAGAATCATAGGTTAATTGTTGATAGAAACATACTTGTGCTATAATATAAGAAAATATAATACATAATTTAGAAACAATTTCAAATCCATTAAATTCTTTTTTCAAACTTCTAACAAATCATTCAAACTATCTCACAAAATAAATAATATTTTTTTATTAAATTCAAGTTAGTATTTAGGATGGAAATCAATAGTTGATCACGTAAATTGTCTCATTTTACAAAACGAGTGAATTCTAATTGTTTGCCCCCGCCCTAAACAATTGTAATTGCCTAAAAACGAGTCAATTTGAAATTCCTCAGGTAAAATTGCTTTGTCTAAATTTTGTGCTGCTAAGCGGATCAATTTGGCTAGATTGACTCAAAATGGGTCAATATGGTCAAATTGCTCCGTTAGAGCTCCTCATTCAAATGTCCTCTAGAGTATTTTTCTTAATTGTTTTGTTGTTGAAAGACTAAACCAGTGTAATAGTAAACCGAGGTGGTTCATCTGGGTTCGTGTCAAATTGTCAAAAATCTTTCGGTCCACTCCTAACCATCCAAATAAACGAACCAAACTGCTATTGTAATTTATTTGATATTTTTAAATGATCAATCCGCTAATCCGATTCGATTCTTATAACAACGATAATAAAATTGGACGAAATATCTATTTTCGGTTCATATTTTATCATTTATAAAAACAATCAAATTTAGCAAATAAATGTAACATCCAGGTATGGTACACTATGATACATGCATTTTGTTGTTCAACTAATTACATCATCAATGCTAGAATTCTATGTAAGTTTGGGGTGTTATGAAATACTAAGGATTAGTCATACGGTTTATATTGTGCTCTATCACAAGTAGGGTGAAGAAACATTTGATTCATATCGTACTCGATCAATATTCTAATCAAATAGATTCACATTGAATACATTTTGATATCATAAATTATGTTAAGCATGAAAAGATAGGTCATCCGACCAGACCAAATCGAATCAAATATATTTCTAATTGGATTATCATCCTCATTTCTGTCTTTTAGTTCAATTCAATGCTACCCAATACAATCTATCTTACGCACATAAATTTTCTAGATGACAATTACGTAACTAGTTAGTGGTAAATAGATCATCAGCAGATTGAGGGTGAGACCTTTTGATGAAACACGGCAAATGTAAAAGTCTTATAGAACAAGGGATTGACCCCAGCACTCAGCAGCGGGGAAGGCAAAGTACAATATACCGGCAGCCCCCCTCCGTCCCGGCCCCCATGATTTGAAACCTGTTCCATGCAGACACACTCCTTTTTTTTTCCTTTTAGCCCTTTTTCTCTCCTCTCCTCTCCTCTCCTCTCCTCTCCTATAAATTAATTATGCCCCCCTGACTCCAAGAACTTCATTACTACTACTCTTTCCCCTTTCCCCATCCCATCCCCTCGGCCCGGCCCACGCTGCAGCTCACTCACTCACAGTTACTACTTCCCCTTTTTCCATTTCACCCTCCTCCTCCCATCTTTCCCCCTTTTTCAGGGCGTCCCCTCTGATTCTGCTTCTTCTTCTGCTTCTCCTTCTTCGCATCTTTTTCCATTCCATTATGAGCTTCTTTTTCTCTCTCTCTCTCTGTCTCTGCTGCATTAATTCATAGATAGATAGATAGAATATTGTACTGCTATATAGCTATCTACCTAGAGCCAGCTCTAGTTTGGTACCTGCACGACCCCGCACTGTATTCCTATCTAGCTACCGAGGAAAGGAATCTCATTCTCACCATAATCAAGAGCTAGCCAGAATCATGCGAGAAGGAGCAGCGGGAGGAGGGGATCCAGTGAATCTATCGGTCAATGGGCAGTCACAGGTCCCCCCCGGCTTTAGATTCCATCCCACCGAGGAAGAGCTCCTCCATTACTACCTCCGCAAGAAGGTCGCCTCCGACCAGATCGACCTCGACGTCATCCGCGAGGTCGATCTCAACAAGCTCGAGCCCTGGGACATCCAAGGTGATTACCACTAACTTTGTTTTTCAAGATTTTGATTCGGGATTTCAGACTTGTAGTTAACCAGTGAATGGATTCTATTGGGTTATTCCAGAGAGGTGCAAGATAGGGTCGACGCCGCAGAACGACTGGTACTTCTTCAGCCACAAGGACAAGAAATACCCGACCGGAACCCGAACCAACCGGGCCACGGCGGCCGGGTTCTGGAAGGCTACGGGGAGGGACAAGATCATATACAGCAGCTACAAGAGGATCGGGCTGAGGAAGACGCTGGTTTTCTACAAGGGCCGAGCCCCTCACGGCCAGAAATCCGACTGGATCATGCACGAGTACCGCCTCGACGATGCCGCTTCTCCAGACACCACCACCACGCTCATCACCTCTTCCCCTGTAAGTCCCTACAACATCAATCCCGCCCGCCCTGTAGTTTCATTCTTGATTCCGGGATAGTCGTTTCTCATATCTATCTAATTTTTTTTTTTTAATATGAATCATTTTGTTATATCTCTCTAGTCTCTGTCTTTGATTCATATTTAGGATTTAGCATCGCAAGAGTAATTTAGGATAATTTTCTTCTTCTTTTTATCTAAACTTTACGTCTATTTAGTAGCATAAAAGATTCAACAATTTTGTCGCCTCTGGTTTCACAGTAATTTGTGATACACCTATATATGCATCTTCAAATAGGCTTTATATGAATGAATGAATGAATGTGATGATTTGCAGGGATTGAGTAACTATATACTTGGAGGAGACCAAGGAGGCTCCGAAGAAGGGTGGGTGGTTTGTCGGGTGTTCAGGAAGAAGAACTATCAGAAGAGCCTGGAAAGCCCCAGATCAGGATCCTCCACCAACAACTCCATCCTCCACCATCACCACAACCCGGGGGATTCGAAATCACACATCATCGTGACGTCATCTCCCGCCGCCAGCTACCTCCGTGGCACCACTACTACAACTGTAGCTAGCGGCGACGACGACAATGGAGTTCTGGATCAAATACTCTTGTACATGGGCAAGCAGCAGCAGCAGCGCGACACCGACTGCAAGGCAGAGATCAACTACGACAACTCGTTTGGCATGAGAGCAAACGAACACTTGCAGGACAGGTTCATTCATCTCCCACGGCTGGTCGCCGATCACGAAAACCAACACCACCAGCAGCAGCAACAACAAGACAATTGTTTCAGTACGACTACCAGCAGTATTGGCTACCAGCAGCAATCATTCGGGGAGGAGGCGATGGTGACAGTGACCACGGAGAATAATAATATTATTAATATTCACAACAACAACAACCATAAATATTTTAATATGAATAATAATGAAGCTTCCTGCACCAACCAAGGTACCGGCTTTGATGTGACAGCTTCGGGTAACGACAACAGACCAGGAGGAGGAGGAGGGGTGATAAATGACTGGGTTGCCCTCGACCGCCTCGTCGCCTCCCAGCTCAACGGCCACCTCGACGACGAGGTTGACCTGCTAAACGACGACGGGGACGACGACATGATCGACGACCACGACGACACTACTGGTGGTGCTCATCCTCACCATCATCATCATGACAACAAGGCAGCGCGGCACCACCACCACCACCCGATGTGCCACGGTGGCGGCAGCATCGACGACGGCAATGATCTCTGGACCAGCTTCACCACCAACACCACCAAGTCCGCGTCTTCTCCCTCATCATCATCACACCCATTATGCCACTTGTCGGTTTAATACCTGCCGTAATCATGCCTAGCTAGCCCTACTACTACTACTACTACTCTATTACATGTAACATGCATATAGATACAAAAAAGGATCCATATCGTATCATCAGCTCCACATGCAGAAAAAACCTATACCCCCAAAAACCTCTCATTACAGTTTACAGTACCGTGAGTTTAGGTAATCATTAGGGTTGTCTAGTGAAGTCGTCGAGGTGTTTGCTTTTCTTTTTTTTTTTTATTTTATAAAAAAACCTTTTATTTTCTACTTTCTTCTTTTTTGTTGTTGGGTTTGTTGAGGTGGCTACTATAGGGTTCGATGTACGGTATTGTTATCATATTACACACGTTTATGTATGTATGTATACGATTAATGATTGATAGTGGTGTAGCAGCTGCATGCATGTATTTCATAAATAAAGAAACAGAATCCGGTGGTGAAAATGAAATATTGTTTGTGCCTTGCCTTTCCCAACTTATTGCTTTATATATGATCTGAAACGGACGTCCTATCTTGTTTCGATATTTGTCAACGAGATACTCCCTCCCTCCTCTTTTTGAAAAAGATGTGACGTATCTGCAGACGGACGGCCGGCCGACCTGCTGCTATCTTGTTTATTTTATTCCACTAAATCCCACCGGCTGGATGTGCGATCTAGCCAGGCATTGGTTAATATGGGTCTACTGATTAGCGTTGAATATATTAATTGATTTATCTATCGTCATATATATATACAGTAAATGGTTTGCTTCTATTAATTGGAGCCGCCGGCCGGCCGGTAGCATATATTTTCTAATCACACTTTGTTGCCGGTCGGTCAGGATTCCATCACCCTGCCTTATGTGTCTATCTTGGACTAAAGGAAATGTGAATGTTATCATATAATGCCCACATTTAGCGTCGGGCCAAAACCCTAAAAAGGGGGAAAGATAGCATGACTTGATCTGTGTCTCCCACGGCTAACGTGGGTCATTGGTTTTGATCAAATGTTTATGGAAATGAGAGAAAGATCCAACGTCCACATGGGCTATATTTTTACCTGCACCAAACAAAACCCAAGATTGATAACACCGAACGTAATTGAAGCAATCAATAAAATTAATCGAATTATTAGTAATTTATATCAAAAATTTTAAATAATAATCGATTTTGGACATGATTTTAATGTGGGATATGCTAATTCAAGTAAATTTTGACCCAGCGATGACTAAGACTTAGAATAGGATCAGTAACAATTGGCCTACTTACAAATCAAATTAATTGCAACCTTATATTTTTTCCCCTATATGATTATGACAGAATGTAGGTATTTCTATTTCTCATTCTCAATCTATAACATTTTTCAGACCGCCAAAAAATGACGGGAAGCAGAAATATAAACCTTAGTCGCATACTTGTTGTCATCAATGAGCAAACTATAGGATGTGATGGAATTAATATATTCATATTTTTATTTCTATATAAGACGATACAAATTAAAGAAAAAAAAAATTGAATTTGGTCATCCTTAACAACTTTTAATCTCGACATCGTCCAATAATAAACACTCCATCTTATCATTGAAGCTCTTTGTTATTGACTTATTAACATCATTAAAACTAACTCTATTAGTTTAAATAATTATACACACAAGATATTTATATACGATTAATGACGCACACATAAACAATAGAAAAACAATTTAGATTCAAAACCAAGCAGGGAAGGCAAAGATATCCATTTTCATGATACCCATTTGAATCCACCAGATATCAAATAGTATAAAATCCCAATTTGAAATTAGAGTTATCAGATTGTAAGCTTCATCAAATTAAAAAGGATGAAAGACTAATTTCTCATAGAGGACCAGTAACTTAGCTAAGTGGCCACCCTTAATTTGGAAGACAACTATGTAATGTAACATCGTTGTTGAAATTCATCAGCCGTATATATAGTACAGATGCAGAAGCTGATGCACACATGACGAGAGAGCAGACGGAACCAATTTCATTGGAAGCTTCCTTGATTTCCTTCTGTTTCATCACCACACTATGTATACGTACCGAATTTAATTTATCTAACAATGTTAATTTGAATCTATCTATCGCATGTTCCCCTTAACAATGTTAATCTAATTAATAGATATAATACAGTTCTGGCATGGCGTCGTCTTCATCGTCAAATATATATATATAAAACTGCATTCAAACCCAACAAACACGAAAACGACTCCTCCTCAACTAACTACTCTGCTCCATCGATCGTACACTTCTTCTTTCTATGGTGCAGAAAAAGGTAGCGCGATCCACTAGCCCGCTGCAGGCTACAGTACTTGATCTGCTATTGACCACTAATTAATTAAGACACTAATAACGTATAGTAACTAATTTTGTTGTGTTGCCAAAACTAACGTTTAATGACGGAGGGCCAAGCTAGTCATTATGAAGTCCATACACTAACAATATTTTTAATGAGCATAAAAGGGCTTCTTTTTTTCATTTTATAAGGCATAATTATTCTGGTTAAACAATAATTTTCCCGTCGAGGTGGATGTTAGTTTTATAAACCATACATAATCAATTTGATTATTCTGCGAAAGTATTTGGGGGCAATTTGGACTTTTTTGGAATGGTGGCAAAGAGAAGAAAATGGGTGCAAATTCACTATTTTTGATGGAACAAATTCACTATTACATACAGTTGTCCGTAATTCACCCTTCAGAGGGCAAATAGAGATATATTAATTTTAAAAATATTGTAATCTATGTATTACTCTTAAGAATTGCTATAAGATGATGATGTTATTATTATGGAAGTAAGAGTAAATATTTTAATGATTAAATAAATATTATAATATTAACTTTTTTTTATCATTGTAGTTATTACTAGTATAAATGTCACCTGGTTTGTTATTTGACTACTTCAGTAAGCAAGTTTCTCAAACCAGCTCCAATTGTTGATTAAGCCAAAAAAGTGGGATAAAGTTCGTCTGATCTAAACAAAATCTCTTGATTTACTTAAATTCTAACTCATGTCACTTGGTTAAATAATAAATACTTAAAACCGATAAGTTTGAAAGTGTATGAATGAGTTTAAATTTTTAATTTAAATCTAAATCGGTTAGGGAAACATGATAGGATGGCCGATTATGACCAAACCGATAAGTTAATATGTCAATTCCACCCCGATTCAATAACCATATCGGTAAATAAGTGCTTGAGTCGTTGGCATGAGTTAGCTGTCTGTCTTGACCACGAGTTGGGCTCAGACAAACTCATAATCATCGAGGTTGGTAGAAAAAATGACAAATTTTGTGCGCCCAAATTAAAATTGTTATAACTTATTACTATTTGAGAATTATTTTCTTAGTATCTATTCTTATTCGAGCATGTGTATTAGTGTTATTGAAGGTTTGGAATATCATTATTTAACATTTATTTATGCTCATTAATCTTATAATAATATAAATCACTCATTTTCATTCTAATTACACATTTTTTTCATTTCAAAAAAAATCCCCCCTTCACTTTAATCCTAATAAAATTTACAAGTTCCTACGATTTTTGTCTCAATTTGCACCCTTCGAATTTGCACCCGTTATCTTCCAAATACAGTGTTAGTGAGAAGTCTTTTTAAGGAAATTCAAAAGGTACTTATGTTATATGTCTGGTTGCATACGTCCTGTTTGTGTAGTTTAGGTTGATGAGCGCTGATATTTATTGGATTGGTTGATGAGATTTGGTGGGCAGCCCACATCAGAGTTGGGTGGCTGATCCAGGCAGCTCCCAAACACACACACAGCAACTACTAATTGGGCTTCCACCATAATCTATCTTGGTGTATTTAGTACACACGTATTATGGCCTAACACCTTTGACCTTTATACTAATTAAGAGAGACCAATTTTGATTAATTAATATCGAATACATGCATGCACCACCAAACCTCCCACATGTATATGTATATTATCAGCATTCAACCAACTATCCCAATCAAACCCAGATTACGTATACAAATAGAATCCTGAATATATCGACTACGGTTATATTCTATAATCTTTTCTTCACCCTTTCTCTCGTGTATACAATATCAATAGCATTAAATTAAGTATTTCTTAATATTATTGATGGGATCTCCTCAACTGTGCATTTTTTTTCTTCTCCCAATTAATTAATTACTTAACTCAAGTCAAGTGAAATGAGTTACACACTAATTATTTCTTCATTGACAGACTATTGATTAAATAACCTGCTTTTGTCCTTGACGGTCCATTTGTTTTCTCTCACAATCGATTGATTAACTTGATCAAATAATTAGTTATAAAAAAAATGAACTTGAATCGAATAAGAATGACTTACACTTGTACATAATGATTTCTCCTTTGACCATAACCTGTTTTTGGTTTGTTGAAGGTCTTTCATTTTTCAATTTACAGTTACAACTGAGGTCTCAGATGTTGGCAGTTGTTTATTGAGAGCTACGTTTTTCCTAGCAGGCGGCGACTTTTTCAGCTCGTCTTTAGTGTTGCATACTAGGGCATTTTTCCTTCCTTAATGGAAACATACAGAAAATTAAACACAAACGTGTATTATTTAGTTATATTTGTGTGGTTTAGGGCCACAGGATTCAAGAATTATAAGCATACATATTTTTTTACATGATCATGATAGAGAAACATAATGTCAGTGATGGTAATGGGGCGGGTACCTTAATACTCATGAATGAAAAATAGTGATAATAGAAAGGATAATTAAGTATAACTAGTTGAAATATCGAGTCTAACTAATTTATGAAAAACCAAACTATGATAAATATGTATAGATGTCGTAAAAAAATTGAGGTAAAATTGGCCAAGAACGAGAAGGGACAGGGCAGGACGGGTAGGAAGTAGTTGATCTTGCCCCGTCCCATACTACTACAGGTCGAGATACTCTCCCATCGCGGGTCAAATCGGGTAATACTCACGGATGCTACATAATGTGCTATTAACTTTTTTTTATATAAGACGTAAAACAAACTAGCCCCCGCACTACTTTACCTTCCCATCTTTGCTCTCCCTTCTCTCTAAAAAAACCTCAGCTTCCTCTGCCTTCCAGGGCTGCCGCCGGCTCCTTTTGGTGACCGGCGGTAGCCCATGCCCTTCCTTTTCCTTGCTTTTCTTCGTTTTTCTGTCGTTGTTTCTTGTGGCCTGGCTTTAGGCTTTTTCAGCTTCGGATTTCAGTTTTTCCAGCCGTTATGGCGTTTCAGATCTAGGATTTTCCTAGCCTTGGCTTGCTCGTTTGGGGGACCTGCTGTTTGCAGCTTGGAGTCTCGACCTGACCCGTGCGGTGGCTGGTATTCCAAGTTGGTGGTCTCATCTCTTTGATGAAGCCATTCTCATCTTTCCTTCTCCGACCTCCCCAGGATGTGGGTGTTGCTTGGTTGGTCGTCGGTTTGTGGAAGTGAGTCTTCTCCGGTTGCGGCGGTGGAAATCGGTTCAGCGGTGGCCTTTGGACCTCTTCGGAACCTGATCTCTCTTCCTAGCCCCTCTGCCTTCTCAGCTTGGAGCATTCTGGTTCATTTCCTTCTCCACCGCCATGTAATCTTCACCGAGATTTACTGTGATGGATGTCTTCGTGCTATCCCCAGGAGGCGGCAAATGGCTTTGCTTTGCTCAACAGTCATGGATTTCGATTTGATCAGACAAGCTGACCCTAATCTTGTTGTGGTTTGATTGAGTGGTTACAAGAGGGATTTTGTGGTTCCTGTTTTGGTCCGTGTGTTTGGATCTTCTCTGTGATTGGTTTTCATTCTGTGCTTTGTGTCTCCCTTGTTGCATCCTTTGAACACAGTTTGTTGACCGATTGTTCTTTGTTTCTCTCTGCTCGCTGGATCCATTTCTATGGTTCTTCATGTTCTTCTTGTAACTGTTTCAGTTGGATTGCAATAAAGATTCCTCCTTGTCAAAAAAAAAAACCTTTTTTTATATAAAAACTTGTTTTGCTATCAGCCCGATGTATACCTAGCAGAATGTTTGGTAAGTCAAAAGCCCAACTACAAGAGTGATTCCAGACCACATGTTTACTAGTTGGCTAAGAAGTGGGCTATATCTATCACTCCTATTGAAGACAGAAAAACAGCGGGCTATATGAGAGAGTACAATGCGATCTGGTACGATTTTTGGTGTTTGTGAATTTTAATATTTTTGAAGAAGTAATGGATCAAATTGATATTTGAATATGATCGAACTGAACCAAATAGACATAATACAATAATGATTCGATCTTAAGTCTAAGATGTATTTTACTAGTGAATTACGGTTGTTATTAATTATTAGTTTGAACCGTTGCACACCCTACCATTACTCTTTAGCATGCTAGCAGTAGCAGAGATCTGGTTGTCTAATTCCACCACTGAAGGACGCGCCAGTTCTTTCTATTAGTTTTGTTAATCCTCCAATGAGAGGCATAGGGCCATAGGGGTTATCGACTCCTGGTCCTGAATAATGACTAGTGGGCCAAGATATATGGACCTTAGTGTAGGGTTCACCGACGGTCGGGCCCAAATTAATCCAAACTACTGCGCTCAGTTGACTTGTGGCTTCATTCATTAATTCCTTGTTCTTCCATTTTTCCTTCTTTCAATTTTCACTATTAATTTCCCCTCAACATTTAGTTTTTCGTTTTTGGTAAGTTGTGGTGTTTAGATAAGATTGGTTCAAAGATAAAGAGATTTTATTGAACGGATCAATCGTATAATTGGCTTTACTATGGTTGATTGTTAATAGCGAATTGTCTCATTATATAGATAAAGTGTTTACAATGTGTGTACTTAATTAAATAACCATGATAAATCAAATTATTAAACATTCATCACACTTTAATTTCAAACATTAAGATCAAAAATTAAACATTTAAAATCTTACAGTTAGCAAAGTTGCAATGTGCTCGCCACTACTGCAATTCCAAGTCAAAATGCCAAGTACACATTTGCAATGCCCATGTAGTAAGAATGCTCTTGAGTCTAGTTCGAATTCGATGCTACGTCGTGATCATACATGCAAAAATGAATAAGCCTTTATACACGCTTTCACCCCTATATATAGTTAAAATTCTCCATTTATAACAATAAGTAAATCATTTTCTACTTAGCGAAACTATCATTGGTTGTCGGTTAGATTCCACGAGGACTAATAGTGGGATGAAAATAGATACTGAAATTGACCGCTCAATATCAGAAATATAAATCATTACTATTATTATAAATATTGTTAGGGTTAGACGACTAAGAATGGACGAATAGGGTAGGCTTAGTTTATTAGGTTTTTGGGTATTTTTCTATAAATATTAAATTTGAATTTTACGTTAAATTATCAATCAATCAATGAAATTAGCGAGAAAGTATCTCTTTAAACCCTAAACTCTCTTCTCTTAATATTCTTCTCCTAATCTCTAATTTTATTCTCAATTTCCAATTCTCTATCAAATCCCTAATCCTATATGTAGATGCCTAGACCCGTAGTTCTTCTAAAATCAATATGACCGTGGAAACTGTTTGGTATCCAATGCAGCGAACACTGTTTCAACTTTCATGCCAACACTTAAAATCAGATGCTTTGAACTTTGGTAATTCAGGTAGTGTATATAACAGAATTGGCCAGCATCGCTGCTGATGCACTTAAGGATAAAGAGCGCCAATCAATCAAATTTACAAATGAAAAGGATAGAAAGGAGCACAAAACTTTGCAGTCACAAGTACTGATAACAATCAACAATGTCTTGTGAGCTCTGTCACTGACACTCACCCTTAGTTCAGCAATCATCTGCAGCTCAATCAAATGGTGGGTTTGCTAGCATTCAAATCCTGATTTGAAGACTAAACATTGGACTACCTCAGATTCATTTAGCAGACAGTAAAGCAGGAGTGTATATTCAGGTCAATTGTGTATCCATTTCAGTTTCACAACCCACTAGTATGGAAGTAAGTGAGATAACTTACTCTTTTCATTTCATCATCATCAGTTTATATGTCTAGGACTACATATAACTACAAGAACAAAGCAATCAGCTGCAAATGGGACATAGCACCAATCCATTCTCATTACAATCAGGACACCTTACCACAACGGACCTAGCAGCAGCAACTTCCCCATCACCACCAGTCTCCTTCTCCTTCACCGCCGTCACCACCTTACAGCTGCCGTTGCAGGAAAAACAAGGCAAGAACCTCACATTCCCACAACCTTCACAGCTACCGCCACCGGCTTTACTTCTCGGAAGACCTTGCAGCAAATCGGCCATCCGCCCTTCCTCAACAATCCTCATCACCTCATCCACCCCACCTAAGTACCTTCCTCTCACGAACACCCTCGGCAGCACCGTCGCAGCAGCGGAAGAATCATCTTCCCCTTTTCTTCTGCATCCATTACCAGATCTAGCCATCAGGTCTTTCAGCTCCTCCTTGAATCCCCGATCCATGGATATATCCCTCTCGCAGATTTGGATCCCCAAGGATTCAATTGCTGCCCGGACGGCGCTGCAGGCCTCGAACGTCTTGCGGATCCCTCTCAGGCTGGTAGTGTAGATTACCACTCTGTTTTCCCCGTTGGGAGGGCAGAGCGGCTCGAATCCCTCCAGCAAACCTAAAATCGGGGGTTCCTTTTGCGGTTTCTGTTGCGGCGGTGGCGGATTAGGGAAATTAGGGTTGGCGTTTTCTCTCTGGACGGAGAAAGGGGTGATTTCTTCAATTGGGTGGTCCTTTCGAGATTGGGGAAGGGGGGAGAAGCGGAAGCTGTCGATAGGGTCGAGGCCGGACATTAGCTCCCACGAATTGATGACTTCTTGTGGCGGGTCGGAGCGGAATGGGCTGGGTTGGGACCAAAGGGAAGTCCGATCGGAGTTGGCGGTGGACGAGTCGGAGAGAGAAGGTGGGAAGACGGAGCCCAAGGTGAAGCGCGGCGGCGGAGTGGGAGCAGTGGTGGTGGTGGTGGGTGGGTCGAGGTTGAGGAGGCCATAGGTGGTGGAGGTGAGGGAAACGATGTGATGACCCATGCCCAGGGCTGACCCGCCCAGTTGCGTGAAGCTTTCTTCATTGCTGAGCAGATTCGAAGAGACGCAACCCATTTTGTTTTCCTATTTTGGGTTAGGAAACAAGATTGTTGTGAGGAGGAGTGCAGGGATGGAGAAGCTCAAGGGGCCAAGAACAGGGAAGGAGGGGAAGAGAATAGCTAAGGACAAAAGAGTGGATTCTACGTCGGTGGACGGTGGATAAACTCCCTATCAAAGACAAGAAAAGTGATTTTTAAAAAAGAAATTTGAAACAGAGGAGAGCATCAAAGGGGCGCCTAAATTTTTAATTCAAACAGAAATGGTGGGGCTGGAAGAGATGAGATTGAGAAGCGTAGAGGCAGCACGTGGCATTGGGGAGATGAAGCGAATTAAATTTCTGGCTTCTGTCTGTTGCGGGATACGAGACGGCGAGGAGCTGGTCCCACCCACCCTCTTCTTCGTCCACTAGGTGTGGGGACCCGGGATCACGTGCTCCTTCAACGGGCCAAAATAAAAAGCCTACAACAAAAAACTAGCGGACTGGTAGTTGGGCTAAATGTGGGCTAAAGGTGTTTCGGTACTCCGGTTGAAACAAACTGGATGAAGATGGTTGACCTAGGCCCACATAGCAGTATCACCGGGTGCTCGCCCAACTCGCGCTCTACCTCTCAAGTGGACTAACCCAATAACTCTTTAAAATGTAAATGTAGAGAATCGGTTTAAGGGGTGGACAAACGGTTCAGTAAATCCGGACTGAAATCGAATTAAAACGAACCGAAACCAAATTAATGCTATTCAGTTTGGAATTCGGAATGAAAATATAGATATTTCGGAAATCAGGGTTCTTTCAACCGAACCGAAATTTCGAATTTCCGACCTAAAAACCGAAATACTATAATTGCAACCTCCAAATGGTGGATTTTTATGTTTGTAGTTGTTTTTAGACTTAAATATTTGAAATATTTTATGACTTATGCGTTGAAAAGTTTGATTTTATCATTGATGATGCATATAATTGCATATTTATTGTTTATATTAGGGGTGAAAAATAATTTAAAAGTGAGAAGATACAAGTAGCCTCACAAATTCGGTTTGAGGGAGTTCGGGAACAGGGTATTCATAATTTCGGTTCGGTCGAAACCGAATCGACCGAATGCCCACCCCTAATCGGTTAAACCCAATAGTTATGTGAGATGTTCAGTTATAGATATTATAGTATTTATTAACATGTCAATACTCAATACTATATTCATCATTAAAAAAGGATACACTCATGTTTTGACTAATCGTAAAATTAACAATGCAAGAAAATAAATAATGCATACATTTACGAGTTTCAATATCACAATGTTTGTTGGTAAATTAGGGGTAGTAGAGATCTATTTCACGATACTTTAGTATATACAAGTTACACTAAGAATGAGAATGTAAATATCACACTTTTTCCAGATGACGGATAATGCACTACAAGTCATAGCAACAAATATTCAACTTGACTTGAATTCTTCCTTAAATATCATATGTAATCGTACTCTCTCTCATGCCTCAGAATGCCTTTATGGGCATTAACAACTGAGAACATGCAGCAAGTCCTCCAGCTAGTTTTGGAACTTGCCATGTGGATTCGCCTTCGTGAATAAATTAGCATGATTAATTGTCCACTATGTTCACTTTCATCACCTTCTTCGTTCTCAATAAATGATACTTCACGTCAATTTGCCTAGTTATCCCACGACAGACTTGATCCTTAGCCAATCATATAGAGAACTCAAGTTGTCACAATATACGTACCATAATTTGATCATGATGTCAACCTAAATCACTAGCCAGATCTTTCAACCATATCCCTCCTTCTCAACTTCTATCAATGTCATGTTGCTTCAGTGGTAGGCAAAGTAACTATAGGCTGCAATATAATGTTGTCTTCCAACAATCTTAGATTTCCTCGAGTAAACATCACCAACATAGGTTGAATCATAACAACCTATCACTAAGCACTCTGTATCGCTTTCAAAATTGACCCCCATATTATATGCACCTTTACGTTATCAGAAAAATCCTCTTTACATCTTATCAATAACCCTTTCCAGATTGCATCATGAACCTGCTGACAACATTAACAACATATACAAAATCAGATTTAGTGCAAGAGTATAACATACATCAAGATACAAACTAGAATAGAATATGAGGTTTGAATCCTTTACTCAAGGTTCATATATATACATTTTAAGGGTCTCTGTGGGGTGGGCGGAATTGATTAACTATGTGCACTTATTAGATGTAAATAAATGAATAATGTCTATGAGATGAGATCATGCATGCATGTATGTCAACACATACTCGTATATACATGCATTGAATTCGTATATAAGATGCGGAGGATGGCAATGAATAGAGTGGGAGCTAGTTGAAAGTAAAGACACACTAAATATTGAACACGGTGAAACTAAGTACGTAACGTTTGTCCTGTTCGTGTGGCTGAGATTATTACTTTACTTCTCTTTTCATTTATAGGAAATTGGGCTTCAAAAAGAAGATGCAAATTTAGTGACAGCAGCATGGAGGGGCCAAAAAATGCATGCATGAAGCCGCTGCATGCAGGCCGATCGAGGCCGTGCCGCTGTATGTTGATATATGTGGAATAAGAGCTGAGCCGTTAGTTTGTTGATTTACGTGGGAGACAAAAACCCCATCTTTGGAATCTAGAGAGAGAGAGAGAGAGAGAGAGAGACTGTGTTTCAGAAGGTAGCAGAAGAGTTTGGTTTTGACCGGTCTCGATTGATTCTCCCGGTGGGTAATGGCAAAAGAAGCCCGGACCCCAACTACATCTCTTGTCTTTGTTCCCCGATAGATAGATGCCATCAATAACACACCACAAGTACATCAGTAAAAAGAGAAAAAAAAGATACCTTTGGCCGGCCTCCATGCAACTTCTCCATCCTCTCTACCTCTAAAACCGCGAGAGCGATGCTCGTTTCTAGTTAAGGGTTATTTAACCTTATCCTGGAAGTGTTAAACTAATGTGAGATTAATGATATCTTTGTTTATAACATTTTGTAACAGAAAGTAAGTAACTTCATGCGAGCAAGCGAACTAGTGTCTTTATATACGCAGGGGACCAGGATTTGGAGATGAGGCTATGAGCTGCGTACGTGACGACGAAGAAGATGTGGAAGAGTGAAGAGAGTGTTGTTGTATGGTTAATGGTTGCAGATAGTTGGGAAGCTGGTTGTGGATTGGCGTGCAGAGAGAGATGAAATGGTGGGTGGGCGGTGGGGTTGGATTGGTGGTGTGGTCTTCGAGGTACATAATTTGTTCAATATCAAAATCATCGCTTCAATAAAAGAGAAGAAGAGAGGAGAAGGACTATCTATCCCCCTTGCCCTGCTCTCCTCTGATTATAACACGTGAAGCCAGTCCAGTAGTGCGTCCCAGCACAGTTTTCTTTTGGGTATTGGAACCTGCATTCAAAATTGATCAGTCCATGGTAAAAAATAATTAAGCGAGCTGGGGTTTAGAATATAAGTACCCATCGAGCGAGCTTAGGATTCTTACCGTTCGTTCACTAGCTGTAAAAAATAAAAATAAAAACTATGCATCCCCTTTTTACATGTCTTTAACGGTGTATCTGTTCGATGCATCTGTGAACTACTGTGGTTTTGCTCATGTTTTGTTTTAATATCATCTCAGTTCCTAAACCCTTGTTAAACTACTGAATGGATTGAGAACTGGAAAAATAAAAATAAAAAGTCAGATACAGAGAGTGGAAATTCGGAATATGATTCGTTATTAACTGTACCGTGACTCTAATTAATCTATATTTATACAACTGAATTAACTATATAAGTTTAACACCTCATTTTATCTAACCGGTTCGGTTGAACCAATCCTATCTAACCAAGAGAAAAAAGTTATCATCTCCCCCACCAACCATAGTTGTTATACATGAAACTATGTAACCATATTTTTATCGAAGAATATGCTCTATGTAACCTGCAGCTAACAGCTGATAACTACATGATGAACATGAAACTACTCAAATTGCAATAGTTGAGAGCCTATTTATAGGAGGTTTGAACTTGAAAACCCCAAAGAAGATATTGTGATCGATCGATATCTGTTCGAAAGTCGTAACTCATCCCGTCGTTCCTGTATATTAGTATTACTATCCTAAATAAACAAAGACCAGCTATTTACTATATATATAATTGAATTAATGGTTTCAAAGGTCATTAATTGACAAATGTTACAGTGTAGTTATAAATTAGGACATGCATGCTATGAAAGATAAACTTCTTAACTAGCTAGGGTCAAACTCTCAAAATGTGGGCGATAGGGACAGTTCAAGCTCTAAAGGGTACCCCCTGGATTGTAAATAGACCTCTGATATGTATGTGTATAAATTATACATGAACATGGTACATCGATCGATCAACCGTCGTCTTAAAAGAAATAGCTGTCCTCTTTCTGCAGCAGCTACCTCATTAACTTATCGAAAACATGGACCTGACCCCGCCAATTTAAACGACGATATATGAGTGGCTCCACTCACCTTTGTTCTGTAGCTACCAAACACCACCAAGCACAGCACAAGCACGCATACAAATGTGTGTAGCCCCAAAGCTAAAGCTGGTTGGTACTCCTGTATTTGTGATTATTCTAGTTAATATATCATGTCAGGTTGTGCAATTAATAATAAACCCATTAAATTTTTTGAACTGTGTTCACAGTTCCCCATCGCATTCAGGGCTCAGACAGAGTGACTGCACTGCAGAGATATATTATTGGGGGCTGGGCTGGGCTGGGCTGGGTTCTTTCTCATCATGTTTGATAATTCATTTCATTGTAAGATGCCCAACGAAAAGGAATCAATCGGAAAAAGCATCCCTTCCCTTTTTCTCTCTTTGTAATATTATACTCACTCTCACTACTACTGTTGCTATTGCTAACAATCGTACTTGCTTTTATATATACATAACATACATACATCCTTCTCTTCTCTCCCTAGCCAGCCAGCCATCAGTTTCAGTGCCTTCTTCTTCTTTTCTCTTTCTACAATGGGAAAGAAGAGCAACGGCAGCTCCCCGTCCTCATGGTTGACCATGGTCAAACGGGCTTTCAGGTCTCCGACCAAGCCCAAGAAGACCAGCCGCTGCAGAGAAGACTACGACGACCAGCTGCACGACGAGGAAGATAAGGTACGTACCCAGTAACATAATTTCTTATTTCTATCAAACTATTAATTAATTAACTCATCACTTGTTAATCTTAATCATCCGATGTTCTGCGCACAGAAGAGGGAGAAAAGGCGCTGGCTGTTCAGAAAGCTAAGCAGCAGCAATGGCAGTCAAAACAATGCCCCAGCAGCAGCAGTACTTCAGCAAGATAGCAGCAGTGAAGAAATCGGCACTACTACAGCTGCAAAGGAGCTGGAAGCGGCGGAACAGAGGAGGAGCGCGATGGCGGTTGCGGCTGCCACCGCGGCGGCTGCTGAAGCCGCAGCTGTCACGGCGCAAGCCGCTGTGGAGATGGCTCGGCTCACCAGCAGGCGGCCCGCGCCGCCGCCGAAACTTTTTGTTACGCAGCAGCAGCTTGACTACTGGGCTGCCGTCGTCATCCAGAGTGCCGTCAGAGGCTACCTGGTACTTCATTAATTGACCCTTGATTAATTAATTAGTGGATTAAGTGGATTGTTAGAGTTTGATTACATTGTTGTGTTTGATTTGGGATGGAAGGCGAGGAGAGCGCTGCGGGCACTGAGGGGGCTGGTGAAGCTACAGGCTCTGGTGCGAGGGCATAATGTGAGGAAGCAGGCCAAGCTGACGCTGAGGTGCATGCAGGCGCTGGTCAGAGCTCAAGAACGGTTCGGGTTGGACCAGCAACGGTCTGGTCAGCTCTCACATGAAGGCAGCTACAGAAGGAAGTCCATGTTTGCTGAGTCCAATCCCGCTGCTGCGTTCTGGGACCCCACGTGTCTTCACGACATTCGTCACAGAAAGTCCAAGGTACCCATTTGACCATCCTTTTTGTAAATTTGGAGGGCCAAATCTGATCTACGTAATAATATATTCGGTTATATATGGTCGTGAATGCTGGGCCAACCCATACAATGAGAAACTAGGTTCAGGCTCATTCCCTAAGTTGTGAAAGCCCACCAGCCCAAAATTATTTGTCCAATCCTAATGACCATTTCCCTTCTTTTGCCTTTTCTTAGCATCATTGTTAAAATCAAGATTGTGAAGCCATAACAAAAGATTGTGAAACCATAAGGAAAATCATATCGAAAAGTTGAATGATGGATTATTTTATATAAAAATCTTGGAAAAATTTAAGTTCAACTTTTTCATAGTGTTAAAGCTATGCTATCTATCCATTTACTTCGATATACAATATTTCTGATACGATCAGTGAATACCTTTGTAAAAATTGTTGATTAAAATCACAATATAAAGTACAACAACTAAAAATGTCATCAACCCTTATTCCAATTTATGCCCATGAATGGCAGTCACGAGATTTAAGCACAGTGCTAGATGGCTGGGAGGATCATCTGCCAAGGAGAAGCGAGGAGGTTTCTGATGGTAGAAAAGAAGCAGCGTTGAAGCGAGAGAAGGCGCTGGCTTATGCTTTCTGCAACCAGGTACAATTGCTTGATTTCTCCCCCCATGGAATCAAATTAATCATTCATTAATCCTTCTCTGAATTTTCACTGACCCGCCATCTAATCTCTCTCTGCTCTTGTACCTCAAAAGATATGGAGGTCTGAAAGGAACCCCTGCGGAACAGGGGAAGAACAGGAAGAAGAAGAAGAAGAACAAGTGGCAGAGGCAGAGGACAGAGCAAGGTGGCTCGACCGCTGGATGGCTACAAAGCAATACTCTTCTTCCTCCACCACCAACAGAGCAGCGTCCCTTGACCGCAGAGACTCCATCAAAACTCTTGAAATCGACACCTCCAGACCCTACTCATCATACAAGCAACCAAACCCTCCTCCTCCGCAGTTCCCTCATCGGAATTCCGTGGCTTCTCCACTCCACAGAGCTTCCAGCTACCACCACACGGCGGGCCCACCAGTCACCCCATCTCCCACCAGGCCCAGGCCAGTCCAGGTCCGTTCGGCAAGCCCACGCTGCCAGCCCAGATGCTACTCCGCGGCCCAAACCCCTAACTTCGGGTCGAGGACATCGGCATCATACTCCAGGTACTCAGGAGGAGCTGCCGCCGCTACTAACTCTGGAACTCCGAATTACATGGCGGCTACCGAATCTGCCAAGGCTCGGATCAGATCCCAGAGTGCGCCCAGGAGTAGGCCTTCAACTCCCGAGCGAGACCGTGGGCTCGTTGGCACCGGGTCGGCTAAGAAACGGCTGTCGTACCCGGTTCCTGACCCGCACGGTGGCGGCGGTTACGGTGGAAGCAACAGCTTTAGCCAGAACCTGAGGACACCGAGTTTCAAGAGCATGCACAATTTCGGATCCTATTATGCCAATTCCTGTTATACCGAAAGCATTGGTGGCGAGATCTCTCCATGTTCCACCACTGATCTTAGGTGGCTGAGATGATATGAACTTTTAGGGGCTAAAGAGACGCAAGTGATTATTTTGCAATGCATCGAATTGGGATCTTGATCTTATGTTGGTTGAACAAACATCCTGAAGAATATGAAACATCAGACTTTGAAGCAGTCTACTACCTGTAAACAAACCAGCACATCATCCACAGTCCAAACTTATGCATGTAATTAACCCTCAGTTACCTGATTGACATGGCAAGGAGCAGTCTGAAATATCAAGAAAGTAAGCCAGAGCTCAGAGGTGCTTCCTCGCTTCACTTTAGAGAAAGCATATTACACAAAGGCTCAAGGTCCACTGCTCCCACCACCTTATCTAGCTTTTATTACAAGCAAACCATGTGCATGTGCCTCTGCCCTTCTTTGATCCACATTCCACAAAGAAGAAGAACTGGGATCGTTCTTCTCTTTCCCCACAATTTAAAATCTAGCCCCCCTTATTTAAGTACTACTGCATTTGATTCTCAGAAGAAGTCAGATCCAAGCCACCACTTTTTTTCCTTTCCCTGTTTACAATATACATACATAACATAATCACCAGACCCTTGCTCCCTTAAAACTAAAGAAAGCTTACCCAATTGCCCCAACCCTCGAACAAAACACAAGAACAGAGGGAAAAGAAAGGAAGCAATAGTTCCTCGACTACAACCCAGCAAGCAAACAAATAGAACAAAAACCTCACCTGCCGGAAAAATCTGTCCTGGCCATGCAGTTGGAGGCAGGGGACAACATCAAACGACTTGAAGTACTTATTTCATAGGTAATAATAACAAAACTTAAATCAACTAATGATAAGGGTGTTGGTGGATGATCGAATGGGGCTCCTCTGTTTCAACAAAATCTTCAGCTGCGCCTTCTGGCACTCCAGCTTTGTCCCCCATTGCCGGCTGCTGCTGTTCTTCGATCCAACAACACTACTGCATCGGACCACTCTCCGAAACTCCACGAAACCTTTGATCCCTCGCCGTATATGTGGATTCTCAATCGCCCCAACCCCACTGCCACCAGCAATTCCCCTGTCTCTGCTGCCACCACCAACCTCATCCCACCACCACTTGTCACCGCCGATAATCAGCTTCCTGCATTTCCCTGGCAGATCCACAGCAGCTGCTTGGGAATCACCGGTCACCGCCAGGCTGGTCGGAGGAGCTTCACCGTCGTTCCCTTTCTTTTCCTCCTCCTTCCCTCCCAACCCAATTCCCCAATGCTCCTCAATTCCCTTCTCGTGGACGAGGCTCAGAATCTCCGACATCTTCTCCTCCCAGACAATCCTGGCGTCGGAGAGCTTCATCTGGACTCTCTCTTCCCTGAGCACCTCCGCCATCCTCAGCATCTTCCTCTCCTCCTCCATCTCCCTCCTCATCCGATCCATCTCCGCCGCATCCGCCGACACTTTCCTGGCCAGATTCTCGCAGACCCTCTCCAACGCTTCCTTCCCGCTCCTCTCCTCCGCCGCCTCCCTGGCCAGCCTCTTGTTCAGAGACTCCGCCTTCTTCCGCAGCTTCCGCTCGTAGTCCAGCTCAGCCTTGAGCTCCATCACAGTCTGGTTCTCTTCCATTTTGAAGAAAGTAAGATCCCAGAAAGCAGTTGCAGCGCCGGTGCCACGAGAGCTAGCGCTGTGGCTCCGCTGTAAGGGAGGGCTCTTATGGTGGTGATGAGAAGAAGAAGAATGGTATGAATTGCTAATAAAGAATGGGTTACGGTACAGCTTCCAGGTTGGGGATGTGGGGATGGGATCATCATGGAGCATTGATGGATCATTCATCCCAGTTTCGGAATAATTACTACTAATACTACTGCTACTCACCATCATCATTTGAACCTCTTGTTATATCACTTACCTCCTTCACCTCGTGGCTTTCTCGCTGGCTTTCCGCTTTCTCCAACTTCACTGTTCCCTGTCCTTCTTCTTCTTCCTGCCACTAAAAGGAAATGTGGGTAGGCCCATATGTTAAACAAAAATGAATGACCTTTGCTTTGGAGATGTGGATCCTGAAAGAAGAAAAGTGATACTTGGATCACATGCTCCCCCTTTTTTTAATAATTATTACCAGAGCTACCATGGAGGTGGCTGGGAGGTGGTGGTCTCTCTTCCACTTCCAGCCAGCCTCTCTCAAAAGTACCAGTGACCACCATTGCTATTTACATACACTCTCCCATTGACTTACCTTGCGGAGCAGCGAAAAGATACGTAGGTTGAGTTTGATACTCATAACTGCATCGTAGGTATAAGGGTTACATTACATTTTACCCTATGAACTTCTCGACAGAGACAATCCATTAGAAAATGGAGGTCCAACTCCAAGCTAGGTCGGCATGGTGATGGTTGGCCCCCGCAAATCCTCAATTATTCAGTTCTCCATCTCATTGATAACTTCATTATTACGGTCGGTCCACTGTCCCTTCCCTCCCTCCACTTTCTTACACAGAAAAGGGGGAATCCAAGATCCAACAGCAGGCAAAGGATAGTTTACATACTATCACAAGTTTCCAACCTAGAAACTGTAATGAAATATGCAGCAAAAACATGACATCTTACAGTAGCTTCTTCAAGACAGAGAACAACCCACATCTATCAAACTTTTGAGAGACCGTTACTGTAAATGGCATGTACTAAACCCATCATGGAGCAACTTACTACCCAAGAAATGAGAAACATTGTCCCCCTTCGACTTGCTATGATAGCTCAGTATAGCATTCCAGCAGCACACTAGCTGAGTCAGTTTCAAGTTTCACAGATCTAAGAATCTTTGCCTTCATCAAGGCTTGATAACTAAAGAGAGGCTACCCAATTTGTTCAAAGTAGCAGTAACTGAATATGCAAAGTCAGGAGTAAAGCAATACTATCCAAGATGGCCACTTTTTCCACGTAACAGAAAGTATTATAACAAAGAAAAACTATCCTAATAACCATGAATCCAAAAATTACATCAAGAAGCACCATATCCAGTATGTAACAATCACATATGAACGACGCCCTTAAACGGTCAAAACAGACAATGAAAGAGCTGATTGTAAATTCTTTCTACCTTAATTCTCTCAGTGGGAAGGACAATCTTCCGCACCCAACAAAATTACAACTCGAATTCATCTTCAAGCTTCAACTGTTCCGCAGCAGCTTCCTCTTCCTCATCATCAATAACAAAGTAAGGGTTATGTGCCTCGGGCTTGAACTTCAACCCGGTGTACAAGTAAAATGCAAGGGTGGCCAATTCACTCGCCACCACGCTGGTCCAGAGATACTTATACGAAGTGATGGTCTCCAGCGCATAAACCACCACACGGGTGAAGTAAATGTAGCAGATCACAACAATGTAGTACTGCCTAAACAGGGTCAGCTTCATCAAATTCACTGCAGCTTTTCCATCGGTCCTGGCAGCCTCACGCAGATTCTTGATGGACCAGACAATGGGGAACAGAACCGCACAGCAGCAAACCACATCAACCAACAAGAAAATCTGCTTCCATGTGATCCAATCCTGGCCATAGGGCCCTGTCTCGTCGATCACCACCTGCGCGATATTCGCCACAACCTGAAGCGGGATCACAATCATCAGCACCTTCTTCTCCTTGTCCTGCAAATAGGGCTTCAAGAACGACCACCCAGTTCCAATCAAGACGATCAGAGTGAAGAGAGTAATCCCCCTGAAAAAGCTGAAGATGTAGAACAACACATCCCATCCGTGAGCGCTGCCGGTCCTCTTGATATACGATTTATCCTCGGCCTCACACAGCAGATTCAGAGCCTTCATGATCACGACAGCGAGCATGAACAAATGGATTCTGAAAACGGTGAGGCGCTTCTTGTAGAGGACGTAAATCCAGATTCCGGATAGAACGAAATAGACCAAGGAGAACAGGAAGTAAACCCTAGGCAGGATCGTCCTACCGGCGGAAAGGTAATCGCGAGTGCCGCCGCCTCTCTCGAGATTGTACATAGCGGAGTGGACGTCCATGGAGACCTTGAGCGAGGTCAGGCAATTGGCGAAGACGAGCGTGTATTGATCGGCCTCGTTCTCCTTGTAGACGACGCTGTGCTCCTTCTTCCCGACGGGGATGTCCTTGAAGGTGAAGACGGTCTTGATGAGGTCGGATTGGAGCGCGCAGGTGATCTCGCCGTCCTCGAGCTGCAGGAGGACGTGGAGCCATGTGTCCCGGGTGCAGAGGAAGAATCCGATCTTGGCAAGGTCGAGATCGGGGTTGGTGTCGGAGAGCTGGATCTTGGAGACGTTGAGCTCGAGGCGGCCGGAGTGAGTGAATCCGAATTCGTCGAAGGGGATGATCGGGCGGTCGTCGGATCGGACCTCCGAGAAGCGGATCTCGGCGGAGGAAATGGAGAAGAGGAGGGCGAGGAGGAGAGGGAAGAGAAGGAACCGAGCCATTGAGAGAGATTCAGAGAGCTCGGAGACGGAGAAGAATCGGACCTCCCGAGGGATCTGGCTGGTTCGCTCAATGGCGAAGAAGAGCAATCTGTTGGGGAAGTACAAATGGGAATGGCAATCGAGATGAGACAACGGAACGGAACGGGACGGGAAGGAGAATTGGTTTTTCCTTTTCTGTGAAGAAATCTGGTGGAAAATGAAACAAAAGAAAATTAGAAATTTGGTAGGAAAAGCGTGCTGGGAGCCTGGGACAAGAAAAAAAGATTACTTGCAATGGCAGGAAAAAAGGGAAGGGTACTTTACGGATTGCTTCTGGTTCATATTTACAGGACCTAGACACGTGATGGTTCGCGAATCAGGAGGCCTAAGGGGTAAAACCGGTAAATCGCAGAGAATATTATATTTCTTTTTATCTTATTTAACTCAATGAGAGTGGTGACTGGTGGTGGTTGCTTTGCTTAAGATGAGGAACCGTTCCTAACGGTTAGGTGAGTCAATTGCCTCGATGAAAATTCCTGAAAGAAAATTAATATGTGTATGAGGTTGGAAAATATGAAGTGTTATTTGAAGCAAAAATCCAACAAAGAAAGAAAGATGGATGAAGTGATTATGAGATTCAATCAATTTATTTTCGAAATATAACTTCGTTTCTTTCCTTAATTTTTATTGATATATCTATAAAACATATGATTCAATTCATCAGTTGGTGTCAAGTTATCAACAATCCAAATTGACTGAACTTCTAATGTATAATATTTAATGTCATAATTTTTTTATAAAATCTTTCACGAAAATCACGTATCCTTATTTTTTGTGTCATTCAGCACTACACAATTTGTGTCTTATAAGTTTTCGGTTTTGCTATAGCAAACTTAAACATCTGGATAAAATGTTCAGCTGACCATGTTTTCACTACACTTTAGATTCCAATATATATGTGAAATCAATCAAAATAAAGTTGAAGGAATTTAAAAATAATCAAAGTGCTGCAGCACTAGTACAGGAGATAACGAATTAGGAGCCAACGATGAGGCCCAAGTTGAGATAGTTCGTTCAATTCCAACCCATTCATTCATTGAATCGGGCCCATCATGAGACCTAGGCTTTCATGGTCCGAAAACGACCCAACCTGCACAGAGATAAGGCCACAAACCGACCAAAAAGCCCGCCACTCCTCCCTTCCCGCAGGCTAGTTTGGAAGAGCCGTTGAAAGAAAACAGGGGAGGGGCAGAGAGTTCCATCCCCTTGCCAATACCACGGAATTAAGTTCGACAATGGACAACGCAGTGCAAATCTCCAGAAAATCCCCAATAATCTGAACAACCTTCCATTGAATACAAACCAGTACGACGCGATAGAATACAATAAAAACACTGTGCTTGGATTCGCAGAACCATATACACATGGTGATTGGCAGGGATATCCGGATGACCTGATAGCCCCAATATTCAAGTCGTGGTTGCAGCAAAGAAAGCGACGGCGCCAACAAACGGAGCATTAATGTACGTCGCCGGCTCCGACTGCTGGTAGTTACTCCGAGCATCGGCGAATTCGTCTCTACTATCCGGCCCACCTAGTATCGCACCCACGAGGACGTTAGGGTTTGGCGAGCCAGAGTAGAGGTACTGAAACCCGTCGCCGCAGGGAATCCGAGCCGGGTGCGATTTCACGCCGGGGACCGAGGATCCTCTGTGGTGAACATGATGCGGGTACTTTTCGCCGAATCCGACCATGTAAGACATCTTCTGAGGATTGTCGCCTAAGATGTAGTCCACTTGCTTCTTGGCCTGTGCCACCAGCGACTCTGCCGTCACCGTTGTACCGCCGCAGCTGGTCTCGCCGCCGTTAGAGCTCAGGTACTTGGCGTACGTCAGGAGCAAGAATGTCGTGGATGTTACGTACTGTAGATTGCTCTCACTTCCTTTGTACAGAAGTCCCCCTATTGTACAATGTTTTGCAATTGTGGAAACGATTTCACTATGACCGTAACTTAGGACTGAAAAGTGGTGACTGGTAGTTTACCCGGGGTATATTGTGCCTGGAAACTGGAACTTCCTGGGATAAGGGAGCAAATGTAGTTGTCTGAATGTGACTTGAACGTCAGGAATTCTGGTTGGCTGCTTTCCAAGAATCCCTGCATCAGCAGATTAACAAGAGAACTGACAATCAGATTTAGTATTGTCAAAATATTGGACTTTAGTTAAATGAGTTACATAGTTAAGGGAGACCTTGGAGAGAAGGACTTTGGTGCCGGGTCGCTTGTCGTCCCAACTGAAGGAGTAATCGTCATCCTCAGCACCTAGAGTGTGACCGTTGGATTGGATGTAGTTCAAGTAGGACACATTTTGTGACGCTCTGTGGAGCCATGATGCTCCCCACAGAAGCTCGTCCTAGTAATCAAATGAATACGCATAGAATTTGATTTCGAGTTCTGTTTTCAAAGAGGATTATGTGAATTAATGATATGCTTTATGCTTACATGGTATCCAGAGTAAGAGCAGTAGAATGGGCAGACAGCTGAGCTGAGGGATTCGCTGTAAGAGCCTCTGTACCTGTCGGCAAAACTAAATACCTGCCACAAAGTATCAGAGAATCAGAGATCAATCTTCTTCTGAGCCGCAGGGAGCAACTTAATTAAAGAAAGAAAAATCTATCTCCATTACTTTCATAGCGGTTCCAAGCAATTTGGAAGAATAACGAGGGTCAGAATCTCTGAACACAATTGAGGCTGCTGCCAGTGCTGCAGCTGTCTCTGCTTCAACATCGGATCCCGGGTTTTGAGCAGTCACTTTGTAGACAGTGCGTGGGGTGTCCATATCTTCAGGCCTCTCCCAACATCTGTGGTCCATGTTAGGATCTCCAACCTGCACATAATCATTAACTAATTGATTAATTACTGTTAGTATTGTGATAATCAATGCCTAATTCTGGACAGGCAGGTGTGCTAATTTTGAGTTGACTGTCTGCTCACTTGAACGTAAAGCGTATCAGGAGTTGCAGTGGCGGCCTTGAGAAGGTAGTCAGTGCTCCATCGAATGGCAGACTTGGCATTGTGAATTTGGTTCCCCATCGAGCTCCCAAATTCGATCACGCTCCAGGCAAGCAATGTGGTAGTGAATGCCATAGGGAGCCCGAATTTGACGTTGTCCCCTGCATCATAATATCCTCCCACAAGGTTCACCTGGTCGATGATGATGAAGAACATCAACTCTTGTAATTACTTACCACGAATGATGGTTAATTTGGAAGCTGAAAGAGTACATAGAAAGGGACGAACATGGTAAGTGGTGCCATCGGAGAGTCCAGAGTCGGCCCTCCAGGCCAGCCGCTGGTCGGCTGGCAGTTTGCCGGACCTTTGACCTTCAAAGAACAGGATTGACTTGTCAAGTGCGTCGGCATAATCCTGAGGGGTGAACGCACTAGACAGCAAGATTGATGAACAGAGAATACTGACGAGAAGAAAGAAGTGTTTGGATGAAGAAAACATTGATTTTTGCTCTGATGAGAGAGGTGGAGCAGGCAGGGTTAAAGGTTAAGGGACAGTTTATTCGTGTTAAGAAGAGAAGTAGGGAGTTGCCATTTATAGAAAAGCAAATGCAGAATGGGGAAGTTGGAGGGGAGGAAGTTCGTTGGTCGTTTAACTAAAAGGATAGGCAGTCACGGGGACGGGATATAACTCTCTAGTTTTTGGCCTTTTCCATGGAGACAATAAGAAAGAAGAAACGGGGGTTAATAATGACCTTTGGAAAAGTTTCCAAAGAACTTCTATCCGCATTTCACCGAGAAGACAAGCGAAGAAATGGCGCAGAAGAGTCCGTATCTTTGAAACGGTTGGCGGAATTCACAACTCTGTGATTGCATTATGGGCATCATATCAGGATGATCATGCATGCATGCGTGAAAGGCTTTGGATGCCTTAGCTAGCTTTGATTGATTACATTAATGGCGGAGGATGAGTCTTTGGCTTGTAGCGGCCAAGTCACGGATACAGTTTTCCAGTGTAAAGGAAATTCACATGAGCCTATGGTTGGTTGGTTACTAGCTCTGTGAGGTCCAAAAGTCCCCTACGCTACCGAAATGGAAGCGGCTTGCTGGGAAAACAGTTTCCATTGAAGGCCTCAACCCAACCCAACTGCGAGGAGCTAGTAATTTTTGTCAATATTTGCTACAGGTTTAGTCATGTGAATTGTTTTCACCGCATTTGGTCAAGGCAGGTAGCCATGAAGAAAACATCTGCAGATTTTCTGTGATATCCGTGACCATAAGCTAGAATGTAGTAACTCAGAGTGTACTGTTTCACATGTGCACCTCTCTTTGCTTGCATGCATGAGAAAAGCATCAGGAGACATGGATAAAGAACAGAACCTGGAAGGTTCTTTACACAGTGTCCGTATCATCACGAATTTGAAAAGCAATGTAAACTAGTGCATTTCAGTAATGTGCTGATAGAGTATAGGTAGCATGGAATGTTCTGTCTCAATTATTCTTGTTACCCTTTTCCTTTGTTTTCAGACATCTAAGCAATACATTCTTCAATCAATCATATTTTTGGTAATATTTACTCTAGTTGAAGATCAGCGATACAAGGATGAGAGCCCTTATCCAGGCTCTCTGCATCCGTCGTAGTAGAGTTGCAGCTACTGATCTGATCTCGAGCAGATTCACAAAACTGAGTTGGGGAACAGAACAAAATGCTTCGTGTGCCACCTGCAACACACTTTATAAGTGTATATATATGACGCCAATTTACCTACAAGTAATATATATCTCCCCTGGACATGATGAAAATATGAACTTGCATCTTGATCATGAAGATAATTACTGTCTTTGGGGAGTTGACATAGAACTATATGACTCTTCTTCAAGCTTGCAACTTGGGACAAATACTTGAGTTGGGATTGGCCATGGAGCCTGCTTTGATCATACAAATGGTAAAACTAATGTGAGTTTCCCATAATCTGGACTCGATGAATCTGGACTAAGGTATCGAGGCTGGAGATCTAACAGCTTACATATATTAGCAAAGCAAGGCTGCTTGGCAACCGGGTCATCCTCGAAGGCTGGTGGAGCTTGGCCATAAATCATTTCGCAGCTCATGTCCTCAAAGTCTGATAGTTAAAGAACACAGTCAAAGAAGCTGAACATACATTCAGATTGCACTTGTGATCAGCCTAATGCCACACTAGTGCTACTACCTAACAACACAAGGGGAATTAGGGGAGGTTAGCTGTTTACTTGGATTCATGGTAAGCGGGAGCCCAAATTCATTGGTGAAGAAATCTTGGGTAGGAATCTTGCACATGTTCACGCACATCCCCACACACCCGCTGTTCTCAAGGTACCTTAACCACCACAGTCAACACGGTATGAATCAAAATCTGTACCTGTTTCTTGCTAGCTCATATGATGAGATAGATGACAGGGAAGCATGTATTTTACCTGCACTTCTTTATAAGAACTCCACTTCTCTGCTTCACTCCATTTACCTCTACTTCAATAACCTTAAAGCCAATGCATATTCAACTTAGTAATAAGCTTACTGCCATTGTGCCAACAGGCAACAACCATCATAGAGAGGGAGTGGGGGAGGGCTAATCTTGTTACCTCTGAAGGTCCAACTAACCATTGGAAGAATGGCACTGTGAGAGCAGCATTGAACTCTTCAGCCCACCTCGTAGGAGGAAACAATTTCCTGAACTGAAGTAAATCAAAACAAAAGGGACATTAGAAAAAAAACCATCCCATTCAAACCCTACCTAGTACGAAATCACAATTGCAGAAACCTGTTCTGGGGCACCGGGCGGGAGCATGGAGAGGAGAACCTGGCGAACCACCTGCTGCTGCTGGATACGATTCCTTCCTTGCATAACCTTCTTCGACGCATCCACGAAGCTTTCGTAATTATAATCCAGCCATCCCTTTTCCTTGCCGGCGCCCCCTGCCTTCGCCGGAGCCCCAAACTTCTCCATCTTCCGCGCGAAAAGTGTCATGAACAGCTTCTCGAACAACCCATCATTGTACTTGGTTTTCTGCCCCACTGGCGCCGGCTGTCCGGATGCCTCCGCGATTCCACACCTTATCAGACTTGTCCGCCGGTGATGTTGCAGCAGGTTGCGCCGGAGATTCTGCTGCGGCGGATTGGAATTGAAATGAGCGACTTGGAAGCTGCTAATTAGGGCCACCATGAATTCAAAATGCACGACTTGGAAGCTGCTAATCAGCGGCTTACAATCTGACTTCAATGAGAATGTCTCCTGCCGGGATTTCTTACAGTACAAAGATTGGAGGCCGAACAGAAACTGCTGACCTGAGAATTGAATTGTATGCTTTGGTTCTCGTTCATTAGCTTTGAATTTCTAAATATCTTCCTCCTAATGCCGATTGTAAATCACTATTCTTTCTGTGACGGAGAAGCTGCCCACCTGTGCGTGATAGAGTCACAGGTTCATGGCTGAAATTCTAAGTCGCATGGCCCCAGAGACTGAGAGTGAAGAAACTTCTCAAGTTCTACACAGAGAAACGGATAAGAATTTTGGTGTCGAAATGGCTGCCACGCGCTCAGATATCATCAGCGCCTGCCAGGTGGCAAGGATCGAGTGGTTCCCGTAATGAAAGATTCGCGGGCTTACTTGTCCTCAGTCCAGGATGGGCTTTCTGGTTTCGTAATGATTTAAAACTCAGATCCATGGACGAGCAGATCAAAATCTCCAAGCCCGATATTGAGTATTGTTTCCGGCTTGCACAGTTGGGCTCAAATTCGCCATTCGGATGATGGGGATGGGAAGAGGATGAAAACACCTATGGTTTCAAATGAGGTCCCTCCAACTCCAAACCATTTGAGGGCTTTCTTTGGCGTTGGGACAAGTTTGTTGATCATGGTTCATCATCAGGTTATGTTCCTCAAGTTGCTGAAGGGAGACTAATTATGGCGGGAGGATACTGTTACATATTTGCTCCAGAATCTGACTCTCCTAATTATCTTCTAGAGTGCGACAGACAAAGATGTATAATGTTATGATTTGTAGGTATGCTAAGGTTATCATTGACTAGTGCAGAGCTCAGAATTTGAAGGATGCAAAGACTGGGCATTCTTTTAGATTAAAAGTAGGGGAACACTTTGAAGTTTGTAGGCTGGATTGGTAACATGGTGGCTCATATGTTAAGGTGGAAAGTCCTCTATTTGTCATCTCACATGTTGACTGTTGTAGATATTTGATTTTGTGTCTTTGTTGTATATTCTACAGGTTGTATTTTTGTTTGAACAAGAATGTTTTTTGTTTTTTGTTTTCCCAGAGATCTATAACGGCAACAACAAAAAAACTTGTATTCAGGCAACCAAATCGATTATTAACTCTTAAATTTTAATAAATCAACAATTTCATCATTCTCCATCCATTTTCTATTCGAGATATCTAATCATCATGCTTTGTCATCCAAAATAAATATAGAAAAGGATTAATACAACTGTAGAACTTGTGCTTTGCGACTTTTGTTATCTTTTCTTAGTTTTTTTGTACAACAAACCATAATATTGTTATTGCGTATTGGTAGCAATATCAAATTTCGTAACAATCGAGCTATCAATGAATTCCATAAGATTTGAGAAATTCATTTTGAGATGAAATCTTTTTGTGTTTGGTATTTGAAAGAATTCATTTTCAATTCTAAAATTTGGATTCTACGGAATAGGAACTAGTTATATCAATTCCGAGGAATTGAGATGAAATTTCCAAATGAAATCCACAAGTATTTACTATTTTTAATATAATACAATGATTATCCTCTTTTATTAACTAAATTACTTATACATATGACATACCAAACACATGAATTCATTTGACAATGAATTCTACACGACAATTTATTTCATTTCTAAAGATTTGAATATGACATACCAAACACAAGATTTCATTTGAGAATGAATTCTACACGGTAATTCATTTTACAATGAAATGAATTTTCGATCCATTTGGTACCAAACAGTTTGTAAGTAAAATTTCACCATCAACTAATTGGCACCAAGCCTCCCACGTAGATAAATCTATGTGGTGATGAATTGATTATTATTTCGCGATTCACCCACCCTATATGAAGCACAGATCGTTTTGAACTTCTCGTCCATTGATATCCAAAATTTTGCATGCTTGCCCTAGCTAATTAGCTTAACTTCCCTTGATGTTAGCCTATAGGTAGGATTAATTAGGATGACCTACCATACTTGTGCATTGTGTTTAGGATAGCTAGCTAGCAAGTAAGTTGGTAACCACCACATGATGCGCATTACCGATGAGAGACAAGAACCAAGCGTATGGTCAATGTCATGGCCCATATAACCATATATAATGGTTATGGCCAATTGCAGAATGACAAGCAAGCTTAGCCAGCTATATGGTCTACTACTTCCAGTCCAGCTCTTCCACAACTTCCCACTTAATTTGGCACCTCCCTGCATTATTGTTAACACCCATGTGGTTCGGTTATGGCCGGCCCTCCACCCTCCACAAACCCTAGCAGGCAAGCTCAGCAGCTGCTAGCTAGCTAGCGAATTGCATGTTTTCTCTCTTCATCTGCATACTACTGCAGTAAGTAAATGATCTTTCTGAGAAAAGGTCAACGCGCTGCCTTTAATGCTAAACACCACCGAGGAAGATACATTACTATACATTATATGTACGTCCCTTTTTTATCGAAATCAAAATCCTAGGGAGATAGTCGATCAATGGTTAGTTTGACTTTTGTTGCCCCTTCACAATTCAATTCCGTTTCAGAAAGTCGTTAAATTACAGCAGTAGGGGGGTTGACTTAGTCGGCATGCAGAAGCATGCTCATTAAATGTCGCTGCTCTATCTACCATATGTTCTGCACAAAATTCCTCAGGCTGATCATATTAATTATACCCAAACGAAAAGAAAAAGAGAAGAAGAAGCAGGCCTGAGAGGCTGAGAAGAGTCCGGCATTAAAATGGGCAGCATGGGCTTGCAATGCATGCCACGTGGATAGCTTCATGTGTTACTAATAATAAATTGCATGCCTCCAGATAGGCTCTCAATGGAAAAGGCATGAAATGCTTCTTAATTAATAACTAGTGGTACAGCTGGCGTATGTTGATTGGTGAAGTCATGCTTTGATTCCCATCAAGCAAAGCTCTCGCCATGATCAGGTTGGCGGCTTCGGTAGGGTGATACGCATCCCAAAACACATACTTTGATCGGTCATCGCAAAACACCGACCCCGTTGACGAGTTCCTAGTTGGATCGCCGAAGCACAGAAACGGCGGCAGTGCTCCACAGCACGGCTCGCTCGCCTCCTCAAACCCTAATCATAAAGCGCGTCAATCACACAATCAATTAATTAAGGTTATACGAAGAACATTATCATGATTCAAAAGGAATTTACTAACCGTAACTACGATGATTCGAAATGATGTTAAGGAAGATGTCGTAGGAATTCGCGTAGACAAAGATGGAACGATCCGGTCCCATATCTCGATTCAATCCTCTAAGTGCGCGGATTAGTTTTCCGTTGTAGCCTTGGACTATGGCATTCACCTCCGTCGAGCATTGACCGGGCGGTATTAACTTCACGGCTCGAACAAACGGAATGCAACCCAGCGGCCCGACACCCACTACTACAAGCTTCCTTGCTCCAAGCTCGTGCAGTCGCTAATTAATCAAGGAGACAGTACTTAATTGAAGCTTTTAATGAGTAATTAATAATTGTTGTAAGATTCTGTTGAAATGGTCGTATAGGTATACCAAACCTTGAGGTGGAGAGTGAGGTTGGAGATCATCATGTCCTGGAGAGTAAGTGGGGAGACATCATCAGTACCCATCACTAATGGAGGAGATGATTGTACGTAGTTGAGGATGTCATTGGAACCCGTAGTTACGATGAAGATGGCTTTCTTTAGGAATTCCATCGTACCATTCTCCCCCATCATTTCCACCATGTAACTCTTGCTGTGCTCGAAGTCATTCACCTGCTCCCTCATACTAACTCTCCCAATCTGTTCATTGTCGTCAATGTTTACATTCGTGAATGTATTTCAATACTAATTGATTACTAGATAGATAGATAATTGACTGCAATCAGACTGCTAATAACTTAATTAGTTGATAAATAAATATGATCTAGCTCGTAATTAATAAAAAAAATGCTAGTGGTAATGCTTACAAAGAGTATTCCCGTTTGATCCAGAATTCCTGATGCCCCTGAAGCATAGTTTATGCCAATCCGTACGGTGTTTTCCAGTTGGTTAACGCTTGATGCCAAATAGGGATCAGGAAATGACTTCGCTCCAAGCTGTTGCCCTGGTAAATTTGATGAAATAATAATAAATACCGGTAATATGGAAAAAAATCATAATTTTGTTTTATTTGGATGCAACATAAATTAATTTAAAATTATATTGATTTAAAGTGGGAAGATACAATTTACTACCGAATTCGACCAACAATTATGAATCATAAATTCCAAACTTTAAAATGTGCCGGATATACGTGCATGATCTCCTTTTCTTGAAAGAGAGGTGTCAAAATAATATATAGGAAACCATATATATATATATATATTAGTTTACAATGTACTCACTTAACATTTAATTGGCTTCAAAAAATTAGGCATGATAACAAAAATTTGTCATGTCAACCTTTTCACGTACAATGTACGAAACATAGTGGATTTGGAGGTATAGAATCAATATGCTACTATGTAGTCCTGCTCTCATCCACAAGTACTCTTATTTCTGTTTCCCACCCAGAATCAACTAACCCACGAACAAAAACAAACTATAAACATAATTGCCTTTCTTGTAAACGGAAAAAATTATTAATTAATTACAACGGCTTGTAATAAGTAGCTTCATAAACTGGTGCCAGCAACATTCATTAATGAGTGTAGAAAACTTGGAAGTTTACGAAGGCGACGCATGCATGGAGTACAAAATGACAAACCTAGAATATAATATGTCATTGACATCGACACGAATGCTTTCCACCGTCCGGGCAAAAAGAAAGAAAGAAAAAAGATGGCATATCCGATCCAAGCGACTTCGCAGTTAATTATCATGCATGATCAACCAACAAATCAATCACTTAGTCGATTAATTATTACCTATAATATCCGGTATGGTACGGCCATTAGTGAACCTCCCAGTTGGCCGGCCACCAGAAGGCTTGAAGTCGACGCCGTAAGGAGGGGAGTCGGCCTTGGCCAGAGTGAAGAGGTAGTTGTTGTTGCCGGCGTCCACCAAGGAATCACCGAAGACAAACGACGTGTAGCATGGACATGGCTGAAACTGCGAGGACAGCAAAACAAGCAGCAACCACGTTAACATCGCCGGGAAAGAAGCGTAGCATTTTCTCGCTATAAACATGGTCATGGTATCTCATGGGTTGTATATACTACAGTTAATATCGCTGGCGAGTGATACTGTAGATGGTATCTATATATATGAAGACAATATCATTTTATCAGTATCTGGGATTCGATTCTTCTACAGCTTTTGGTAGTAGCTAGTGATGATGAAATGGTGGTTGCAGCCGTTACACATGGCCCTGCTGCAGCCAGGTTTTGAACCAGTCATCGTTGGAATCTGTCAAATTAGAATGTGCATAAGTTAAATCTAGCTAGCTAGTCGAGATTTATAATTAATCACGTCAGTGGAGGAGTAATGCTGTGAGAGCATGGTGTAATGCTTGTTAGGGTGGTTGGGAAAAAATGTGTTTTGCTCATTAATCTTCCAATATATGCTTTTTAACATCTTGTTATTTTTCTTTCCATTTTTGTTACAAAACTTTAAATGATTACAACTAGCTAGCTACGTGTGTAATGTTAAAAATACAGGGATGGAGAGTTCGGTTGTAGGATCACAAATTCTAGAGTGACTAATTATCTTATTGGGTTTTCTTTTACTAACTCATTTGATGCACAAATTATATAATTCTTATCGTTTTTTATTATGGAATGTTTCTTTTATAAATATAGTTTGTATCTGTTTCTCATTCGGTGAATTTCGTTCTCTTGGGAGTGAAAATTTACAATTTATATTGTGCTATTATACCTAATCTCATTATCATTATTTTGATCGGCCAATTTATCTTTACAAAAATCTATATTCAATTGTAAAATAATGAAAAAAACTACGTGTTCACTTTTACCTCCTATGCTCGGAAAACCTGCACGAAAATAAAATCATCAGTTGAATGAAAAGAACCCCACTCCCCAATCTCCATGACTCTTTCTGTCGTTTCTAATTTGTTTAGGTTATCTATTTCATTATGAAACTTATTCTTGATCTAATTTAAAATTGAAATGAAATTGGTTAGCGAGATTGAAAAAATACACATTAAGGGTTGTCAAAGATTTTCATCTGTCAAGACGCCCTAGAATAGCCCTCGTGGTTCGCTACTACATGCCATATGGACTTTTGCTTCATGTCGTTGATCATCATATGTAATTAAACCATTATTATAACAGACAGGGCGATCGACAGAGTAAAAAAAGAAAGTAATTGACATAAAAATTCACGTGGTTCGCTTTTACAAAGTTAGCTAACTAGTCCATGAGCAGAGGAGAACAAATTCACTATTCCGAGCATAGTACATACTAAATAATGCAAAGAGCGTAAAAGATTTTATGGAATCCCTTTCTTTAACCCTAAATTATCGGTCATACTACAAATCGTAGATCATATAAACAAATTTAAGACAATTCCATTTCACCCTAATCAATTTGATAGGATTGGTAGATGATAACCACGGTTATAATAAGCCTAAACACATACCTAATTTTGTTTTCTTTGGTCAATACTAATTGTAGGTGAATAGTGATTCCTTCAATTACTTTCTAAAGAATCCACATGTCATCATCGTGAATGGTTTTTGGGACAAGTTAAGTTACGGCATGAAAATTCGCATATGCATGCACAGAGGTAGATGAGAATTTTTCGCCCAGCTGGGGTAAGAAAAGTGTAAAGATCATTTCAAGATCCGACCAGGAATCGGAGGTGGAATATTTGCTAATGTAGTTTTCTGCTAAGAAAATGCATTGTCATCTCATACTGCAACGGTGGTGAATCTTGTAAGCGACCGGAAACAAGGAGAGGTAGGCCCAACCAACCAAATCGAAGTTTATTTTTAATATGAATGCCACAAGCGATTAAAATTAAGTTGGACTGTTTGAGAGATGGAAGCAGGCTGTTTCGCTATTTTTGTACTTCCTTCTTCATTTCTTAGGTTCTTCTTTTTATCATCTTGCCCATGCGTGCCCTACAGCTTTCATTGGCTGTTCGGCGGAAATCCTCGACGCATCATGTACTGTACACAATTTAGGTTGTTCCGCGTTTTAAAGAGTACGAACTATACTTGCTTATTCACTTTTTGTATGTGGTAGACTGGTAGTCCAATGTATTATTGATCTAACCTGCTAAGCTAACTATCATTATTAGTAATGATAGTATTAATAATTAGTACAGTTATACTTACTAGTAATTATAACTCATAGTAGATGGTAAATTAGCAGTGATAAGTTAAGGTTACATTGTTTGAGGTTTAAGTTTGGCAGCCAAATAGTAGGGTTAGGAGGGGCTTTACAAAGAGCAAAAGGGAGAAGTAGGATGGTACTAGGAATAGCAATGGGGTAGGTCCGGAGCGGGTATCTCGATACCCATACTCGTCTCATGGTAGGTCGGGTAATTTGTCATTTGGTCGCGGGTCAGGGCAGGTCGACCCAATAGATATGTAATTTATATGAAAAACATCAGAAATAATCGTTATTTTCATTAAAATACCAAGAAACAAACCATAATATGATAAAATGTAGTTAAATTATTGGAGAAATTGAGTTTTCCACTTACTTACAACTTAATTATACCTAAAATATAAGGTAATAAAAGGGAAATCCTATGTAATAAATTGACTGAAATTACATGTAATTTAGGCAAGTACGGGTCGAGAATGGGGCAGGTCGGGTCGATGAGAGGTATCCACGCCCGTCCCAAAACAGATCGGCTAAAACTGGTCAGGTCGAAATTGGCATCCTAGATGGCACTGGTAGACATAAGAAGGGATATAGGAGGAGGAGTAGGGAGCAACAGTAGTTGCTGCTATCCTTCCTAAGACGACTAAGTGGGAAGGGAATGGAGATCATGTGGGATACAACAGGAGGCAATAAATACAGCAGAGAAAGCAGTTCACCGTTGAAAACAACTGTGTACATTTTCGATCATACTTTTGCATTAAATGGAGGCTGTGAATGGCCATATGTTTCATTCATTCATTCTTTCCTTTTCACAGTGGTATAGTATAGGGATTAATAATAAGGTTACATTACATATGAGCCATGGATGCTCTGCCCTGCTCATATACACGATGACTTGTGCACTGCGACATTTAACTAAACAAAATGAGTGGATGAGAAAACCAATTGATTGAAATTTCAAAACACAAAACAGTAGCCTTTAACAAATTGCCAGCCAGCCATCTGTTAAGTGCAAGAAACAGTTTGCCTTATTTTCTCCCTCCCTCACTCACTCTCTCTTTACATGGCCATCCAGTTTGTCATATGCACTATGATACAATTAAACAGGAAAACTTGGTCTTGTCCCCCTTGGAGGTTCAACCACCACCTAACCAAACCCATTTCCCTCCCTCCCTCGGCCAACGAAATAATCGATGTACGTTAAATGAAACAATCAAACTAGCCTACTAGATTCATTAATTCACCTCTCCTCCTCCTCCTTATAATGTGGGACTTGACCCATTTCCCTTCTTTCCCATCTCTCCCTCCATAAAAAGTAAAGCCAGGGAGAAGGGAGAGCCAATCCCACACGCCTGATTTCCTCCATTTCCCTCCCTCTTCTCTGATATTTGGCACTTGCTCAATCAAACCAGGTTCATCACTCTGTTTTAGTAACATTACTACTGAGAAGGTGCCCACAAAACCCAATTTCCATTTGCATCGTGGTGTCATTATAAGTAAGGGATCCAAATCCAAATCCTGCTAGCTACTACTACTGTTGATGACAGTTTGGCTTCTCCTTCTTAATTGGCCTACCAAGGAGGCGGCCATTTGTTCTTCCTTCCTTCATTATATCCCCAACTCCCCTCTTCCCCTGTTCTGCTTGATTTCCTCCTAACCCAAAAATAAAATGGCTGCATTGGCCATGGAAAAACCCAGAATGGCGTTGAATTGGATGGGCAGAGTGATCCACGAGGCAGTGAGCTTCGTCGTCTTCTCGTTCCTCGACCTTCTGGATTTTGTCCTCTGTTTCGCTTACAAGCTGCTGGATTTCTTGATTGAGGCAGAGTGGAAGCCCTGTTACTGTACATCGGCTAAAGAGGCAATCACCAGCAGCGGCAAGATCTTGGTTTCGGAACACGGCGAGTCCAGAATCGTTTCCCTTACTTCCACGAAGCTCGAGCTTGAAGAGGTCTCCGACACTCTGTTTTCCAGACCTTCCCTCGTTTCCGAAGTTTCCAAGTTCACCGTCAGCGAGGTCGTCAGGAGCGTCTCTCTGCGGCATTGCGCGGAGTCGACGGTGACGGCGGTGAGATCCAGCTTCACCGTTAACTCAGCCGTCGTGGAAATGCTTCAGGGGAAGATCGGAAGCGGCGGCGGCGAGAGGCAGAGGATGCGTCCTGCGCCTCGTTGGTCCGACTGCGACTGTAGATTCTGCACCAGTTGGAGCGCTTCCGGCAGAGAGGATTTGTTCGTCAGAGTCCAAGGACCAAAAGGTAAAAAAAAAAAAAAAAAAAAAACAAAATCTTCAATTTTGTTTAATTTTGAAAGTTCCAAGTGGTTAAATGTAATTCGCGAAAATTACATACAGATCATAACAAGGCGAAAGAAGATGTTCTGTTCATCCACGGGTTCATCTCTTCGTCGTCGTTTTGGACGGAGACTCTGTTCCCGAACTTCTCGGCGACGGCGAAATCGACGTACCGGATGTTCGCGGTGGATCTGCTGGGCTTCGGGAGAAGCCCAAAGCCCAGCGATTCGCTGTACACGGTGAGAGAGCATCTTGAGATGATCGAGCAATCGGTCCTGGAGGCGCACAAGGTGAAATCCTTCCACATTGTGGCTCACTCGCTGGGCTGCATCCTCGCCCTCGCACTTGCCGTCAAGCACCCCGGTTCCGTCAAGTCCCTCACCCTCCTCGCCCCCGTTAGTACTCTACTCCCAATTTAAAATTATTACTATTATTTTATTGTAATTAATCAATTCGATTAGATTACGGTGACTAATTGATTGGAATTAAAATTAAACTTTGCCCACAGCCGTACTTCCCGGTGCCGAAAGGTGTACAGGCGACGCAATACGTGATGAGGAAGCTGGCGCCGAGGAGGGTGTGGCCGCCGATTGCGTTCGGCGCGTCGCTGGCGTGCTGGTACGAGCACATCACCCGCACGATTTGCCTGCTCATCTGCAAGCAGCACCGCCTCTGGGAATTTCTCACCAAACTAGTCACCAGGAACAGGTAATCAATTCATCCGTTTTTTCATTCTGTACCTTAATTACCCAGCGAACCATTTTTCCGGCTCAATTAATTTGGAATTTTGTCGCGTACTTGATTTGATTTGCTTCAACTTTTATTTAACTTTCAACATCACACGTACGTACGTCACTGCGACTCGTGGTTAGTGCATGGTTTGGGTTTGTGGGAAGGAAGATTAGTATTTCTTAACAACACCCACCAAAATCTAAGGACTCATTTCGCCTACGTAACCTCCTTCTAATTACTTTCAAAGCGAGCTTACTTTACTTCATTAGTTCGTAGGGATGGGTGTTCTGTCCTGCCACCTTGTCCTTCACGAATCCCTAACCACGGTCAATTGGGTCAACACGTAACATACCAAAACAAACTTATCCCACTGCAGTGGTTTTTGTGTATTTTAGGTGACACGTCGGCCGAGAGCATTAAACTGCATTCGCACCCAACTTTCGAAAATATAGATAGATAAAAATTTCGTAAGAGAAGGAAGCAAAAAGTGAAAGGGAGGGTGGGACTTGTTTGGCCAGTTTGTGAAGCCAAATCAAGTAGCGTGACAGAGGCCATTGAAGGAAAAATTTATGGTAAAATTGATTGAAGAGCTTCTGGATATAACAACAACTTGTTTTGAATTTCATCATCATGGAGAGTTGGGGGGGTCGAGTACTTGGCCAAAAAAAAATTGTACACATGTAATAATAATGTGTCTCCCCTAGTTCCCAATTTGACCGCGTGAGGTGGTCAGATGGCCCGCCTCTTCCATAAATTCTACGAGTAGAACCCAGCTGCCACCTGCAGGTGGTGCATTCTGTCTATTGGAGAAATTTTTACCAACACGTAAATGTTACTGGTTCAGAAAAACACTGGGTTTTCACTCACCTTCTTTGTTTAATAAGCTGCCATCAGATGCATTTTTCATGCAACATTATTAGGTAGAGAAGGGAGGGTGGAGCAAGCTTTCTTTTTCGTATTGACAGGCAGTGCCAGACGTTTTGGTAGGTCACCAATATATTTAATACTGAACCGAAATCCTAGCTGATGATGGAATCCAAGTTTTAAGTTTCTTGTTTGGAAAATTGCGTGTGATGGATACGCACAACAACAGTCTCATTTTCCTTTGTAGGGTGCTAAAGTACTTCCCAACTGTCCCTCTAAATTTCCTTAACAAGAAATATAGAAACGGTTGCAACCATGTTAACGCCAATAAGTTTGGTTGGCTCGAGTTGCAATTATAAATATAGTTGACACAGAGTGCTATTGGGTTTTGTTTCTAAAAAAATTATTATTTTGAGAAATGTTTTTAATAGTCATAAGTAGGTTATGAACTATCTCGCATGAGTTTGACGAGTTATCGTAAGATTAAGACAGTTTCGAATATTTGTACTTGTTAGTTCGTTTAGTTAATATTCCATTTTGTAGCTCGGGAAATTAGTAAATTGCACCTCCAAAAAACCTCAAGAAATAAGTTTAATCTGCATATATAATACATTAATTAGTAATATTTCCAGTTTGAATATTCATCAGTGGAAATAATAGAGGCACTCTCCTGGTTCCCATGTTATCTCGCTAATTTAGGCACTCTCCAGTTTGAATATTCGTGTTCTGTTGGTTCCCATGTTATTGCAGCACCTGATGCTACTCTTTCTTACGGGTTGTACCATGACATTATTGGGGTCCGAACGACCCGCTTTATTATTGAATAAAGATTAGGGTGCCCTTTAAACGCCCCATTTCGCCCAAAAAAAAATACTAGAGGAGTTCTTAGATTTCAATTTTGGGTTAACAATCAATTAAAGAAAAGAAAGAAAAGAGGGTATGCTCACCGGCCAAAAGGGAAAAAAGGAAAGTAACTCGAGGCTGAAAATGGGTCAAATGTGGATGGACTACAAGTCATCCAACCAAACTGATGAAGACAGAAGAAATCAATCAATTTCTTTCGGTTTTCCATTTATTGTTACTAGTTGCACTGAACATCTTCCTGAGACGTATGGCACCGCACAGATGCATTTTTATGGGTGCTCTCTGTTTCTGCCCTCTCCTTCAGAATTGATTGATACAATAACAACCTTCACGATAATGACCTCTATTTAACAAAAAAATTCCTGCATTTCCCGCTTGAATCTACTGACGGTGACGATGAATTCTGTTTTGGCAGGGTGAGGACTTTCCTGCTGGAAGGTTTCTTCTGCCACACCCACAACGCGGCCTGGCACACCCTCCACAACATCATCTGCGGCACCGGCAGCAAGCTTGATGGCTACCTCGACGAAGTCCGTGACCGGCTCAAATGCGACGTCAACGTCATCCACGGCAACGACGACGAGCTCATCCCGGTGGAGTGCAGCTTCAACGTGCAGCGCAGGGTGCCACGTGCCCGTGTTAAGGTGGTTCACGACAAGGACCACATCACCATCATTGTGGGCCGACAGAAGGCCTTCGCCAGGGAACTCGAGCACATCTGGAGGCGGGCTTCTTCTTCCTCGTCGTTATCATCGTGAGCATGGTCAACGGATCTTGACCGACCGGGTTCGAGATGGTTGTTGTTAATTAATTAATTAATTAGTCGTAAAAGCAAAAGATATAAATATTGATAAAAAAGTTATTACTTAGTTCATTTCACCATAAAAGAGTGTCGGTCCAGTCGAGGTGGGCTGACGAGAGAGAAGCCCAACAACTCCAAGGCCCAGATTGGCAGGTTTTTTTTTCGTTTTCCTACTACTACTGCTGCTGCTACATGCCTACATCAACAAAAACATAAATGTGAAGAGAAGTACTACTGGAAAGCTACTGTGTACTTGCTGCTTGATCTCATTAGTTATGAAATTTTTCTTCCTTTTTTTTATTACTCTTCCATATATTTATAGATAATACGACTGTGATTAATTGAGGGTTGCGATGGGTTGGCGTGGTTGAAACATAATCGTGCCTCATTCAGCTACACATATGTGTGAGTTTTATTAAAGTGAAAAACATAAATAATAAATCCAAATCTTACTTGAACTATGAAACTTGTTTACTGTTATAACAAGTTTTATTAAATGTCACTACTGATTAATTGAGGCTTAATTAAATTTAGATGAATTGAACATTAATTCTCTTGAATTATGAGCGGTTCGAGATTTAGAGATTGTAGAGGTATAAAATTTGATAGTTGTTGGGCTATATAGTTATACTAGCTCTATATCAAAGGAAAACATGTGCATAGGAATAGGAGGAAGGAGTTGGGAGAAAAGAAGACGTGGTCCGTGCACCAAAGAATCAAAACTTTTGCAGAAAAGAGAAGTCCTAACATCTTCCTGAAAAACTCAGAAATAAAACTACGCGTTTAACTTTAATGAACAATCATCATCATATTCCATAAAATAGAAAAGGCATCCAAAGCATACAAGAAAAATTCAGAGATTCTCACCAAACAAAAAATTGCACCTAGAGCTGATTGTGTCTGTAATTGGTCTAAGCATGTTTTAGTATCTAATTGTATACTGAATACCAAATTGCATCAAGATTAGCATGACTATATATAAAGCAACCCACATTGGATAGTATGTTAATTGTTAAGGATTTTGATTGTTCCCTATATATTCGATGTAAGTTCGTTCAGTTTATTTATGAAGAATACATTTCATATGTCTATTTCCATTTTCATCACAATTTAATACAATTATATAATTGTATAGAGGTTCTACTTCTCCATTTGCCAAATAAAAATATGTATATATATGTACGAATAAAAAACTTACTTATTTCTAATATTGTAAGTAGGGCTGTAAATGAGCCGAGTCAAGTCGAGTTTTACCCCAGCCTGAGCTCGGCTCGTTAATAAACGAGTCGAGCTCGCGTTTATTAACGAGCCGAGTCGAGTCGAGTTCGAGCTAGCTTGTTTACTAAAATCTTGACTATTATTTGGTACTTCATTTTGTATATCATTATACAAATAATTTATATTGTTAGCTAATCTCATATTCTACTTTGTTGGTATCATATATCATTTAGTTAATAAATTTTAATTTTTAACTACTATAAATCATGTTATTTTATAGTATCGAAGCAATCTATGATACATAATTTCTTTTTAAAGTAGAAACTACGATATATTTGCTCACATACTCAATGTGTTAAACTTTATATATGGTGAGATATATAATTTAACAGACATATGAATTAAAATCATAAGATATAGATTGATTCGTCCATAAGTCGGTAATCGAGTTGGCTCTCTAGCCACATGTTGAGACATATCATGAGCTCTAAACGAGCCAGCTCACGAGTTTAGCTCAACAAGCCAGCGAGTCGAGCTAGCTCGTGAGCTTCACGAGCTGAGTAAAGCTAAGCTCATGTTCAGCTCGTTTATTAACGAGTCGAGTTTCGAACAAGCTTTTCTCGACTCGAACACCGAACTGCTCGCGAACAGCTCGGCTCATTTGCAGCCCTAGTTGTAAGCACTCGGACCGAATTACTACCCTGTGGTGGTGGGTACCCATGCCCTCTTCTTGTCTCATCAAAAGCCCCAAAAGCTTAGAAAAGGTTGAATTCTTCACGTCCTCGTCTAGCTGTTTCCCCACCAAGTCCAAGTATATGTTTTTTTCCCACCATCACTCCACGCCTTTATACCTTTACTAATCCCCTCCCTAACTGTGAAACAACAATATTCCTCCACTAAATCCAAAAAAAAAGGGCGAACCGAGATGGCGCTGAGCAACAATGTGATCGGCGCCATAAACTTCGTGGCGATGCTGCTGTCGATCCCGATCATCGGCGCCGGGATCTGGTTGGCGATGGAGCCGGACAACTCCTGCGTCAAGCTCCTCCAGTGGCCGCTCATCATTTTGGGGATCCTCGTTCTCGTCGTCGCCTTGGCCGGCTTCGTGGGCGCCTTCTGGAGGATCCCGGCGCTGCTCATCTTCTACCTCGTCGCCATGCTCATCCTCATCGTCCTCCTCGCGTCGCTGGTGGTGTTCGTATTCCTGGTCACCGACAAGGGCTCCGGCCACCCTGCCCCCAGCCGGGCGTACTCCGAGTACCATCTCGACGACTTCTCCGGCTTCCTCCGGCGGAGGGTTCGCAGCCCCTTCAAGTGGGACGGGATTAGAGGGTGCCTGAGTTCGACTAATATGTGCGCCGAGCTTAATCAGAGCTACCGCATGGCTCAAGATTTCTTCAATGCCCGCATTACTCCCTTGCAGGTACGTAACAAAATTTTTTTTTTTTTTTTGCAAGTTGGATAGAATTAGATCTTCCGGGAAAAAAAATACTATACATAATTTTTTGAATATTTATAATTTCTATAAATTCTCAATATAATGAGACCGGTCTCTTCTATTGGTTAATTAATTAACGCACAATATGATAATGAATCACATAACTGTGTGTTCTTTACTCTTTAGCATTGTCGATTTTCGTTTCGTTTTAAGTGTTCTTTATTTTGTTGCATGGTCGATTTGCAGTCCGGGTGCTGCAAGCCGCCGACGGGGTGCGGGTATACGTTTGTGAACCCGACGTATTGGATAAGTCCGATAAACAACGCGGCGGACATGGATTGCCTTCAGTGGAACAACGAGCAGACGCAGCTCTGCTACAACTGCGATTCCTGCAAGGCCGGCCTGCTAGCCAATCTCAAGTCCGAGTGGAGGAAAGCCGACGTCATCTTGCTCATCACTCTCATTGCCTTGATCTGCGTCTACGTTGTGGGCTGTTGTGCCTTTAGGAACGCCAAGACCGAAGATCTCTTCCGCAAATACAAGCAAGGATATACTTGAATCCTCGCCGTGATCTGTTAATTATATAATGCTTTTTATTTGTGCTCTGTCTTCCGGCTATGGTTAATAGTTTGATTAATGCTGAATTACTGATGATGATGAAAACCATTTTTAATTAGTGGAGCGGGGATTTTTTCCCCCCTTTACTACTCTGGTTTTGGTTTGTTTTTTTCTCGAATCTCGAGCAATGTGAAATCAGAGACCGAGGAGGTCGCCGAAAGTTCTCGCTTTCCCGACAAACATAGCATCAAATTTGAACTTTGCTTCAGGGGTAGTAGGGTACGTACACTTTTCTTGTTCCCTTTCATGGAAGAGGAAATGATAAAGGTTAGGAAAACCTGTAGCAGAATGGAAGAAAGTGGACAGAACGTGTGCGGTGTGCCTGTTTCAACTTTCGAGGTTGTGGAAACCGGTTTAATTTGGTTGTTGATCTGGCAAGATGAGTGACTCGCCGGTCAAATGGTTGGTTCAGAAATCAGAATTGATTCGAAATTGACTCGGGTTAATTAAATTGTCCTTATATGAAGGATAAATATAATAATAATAATAATAATAATAATAATACGGGTGTGCCTACGGTGACATGCATGTCACGGTAGGGGTGGGCATTGGGTGGGTCGGGTGGATTTTGACCATAAAATGCACTCACCCGCACTTAAGCGGATTGCTAATTTTTAACCCACCACCCACCCACATTTAGTCTCGGGTTGGGTCGGGCGGATGGTGGATGATGCGGGTGGGTTTGTGGGTTCACCCACATCACAATGTATATAATATAAAGGAGTCAACTTGACATGATAATACGTGAAGAGAATCATCGAGGGAAACAAGAAGTTGAAATAGGGCGAAAAATGTCGAATTGGTTCTTAAATTGGATAGAAATTCTATTGTGAAAGAGTTTTCTACAGATTGAGACGATTAATAGGTACAAGGAACTAAGAAAAATATTTCCACAAAGGAAAGAGCGGTGATCTAGGCACAAGAATTAGAGGAAAAAGTAAAGGGAAGAAGAGGGGATCTCTATTTGGAAGGTTGGCTTTAAGGTTCAAACTCCAGGAGCAGTCCGAGTTTATATCTAACGTCTCCACTCTCCTCTCTCTAGCGCCAACGACTTTGATCTTTTTGTTGTTGGGTTGAGCGGGTCACCCGCACACTCACCCACAACCCACCCACCACCCGGCGGATGGCTCCCAGTGCAACCCGTCACCCACCCACTTAACGAAATTCGGGTCAAATGCGGGTGGGTCGGCCCAAACCCGCGGATGATCCGCCCACATGCCCAGCCCTATGTCACGGTGACTTGCACTTTCCAGTAGACCTAAGTTAGGATTAGGTCGACCTCATTTAGAATTCGGTCGACCTCATATAGGATCAGGTCGACCTAATCTGTTGTTTCAGTGTAAAAACAGTTCTTGGTGTCTACTTTGGATATTCATATCATACAATTGGCTAGATGGAAATTGAAAACTAATGACTTGTTTTGAAGCTGGAGTGTCCCGCTACATATTGAAGTGATTGAGAGCTCGATAGGAAGTCCAGAATACCATTTTTGAACCTCATCAAAAGGCTATGCCAAAACTGGGAAACTGCCTGGAAATGGCTAAGTCTGGAAATGGCTAAGTCTGGAAACGTGTTTGTGAAGCTTATTTTGGAGCTCAATTCGAGAAGCATGAATGCGAGTCGAGTCCAGGAGCCTCTACCACGTTAAATGAGGTATGTTTTTATACAAATTCAAGGAATTGGATGAAAGATTGGATATCTGTAAGGCTTCAAACAAAAGGGTCGAAGTTGCTAAAAAGTCTGTTTTTCTGGCAGACTTCGAGCACAAGCAAGCAGCCAGAAAAACAGCCTTTGTAGCAACTTCGAGCCTTTTGTTTGAAGCCTTAAAGATATTCAATCTTTCATCCAATGCCTTGTCTTTGTATAAAAAAATACGTAATTTAACGTGGTAGAGGCCCCTGGACTTGACTCGCATTCATGCTTCTCAAATTGAGCTCCAAAGTAGGCTTGACAAACACGTTTCAGGCAGTTTCCCAGTTTTGGCATAGCCTTTTGGTCATGTTCAAAAATGGTCTTCTGGACTTTCTATTGAGCTCCCAAGTACTTTAATGTGTAGAGGGACACTTCAGCTTCAAAACAAGCCTTTAATCTCCAATTTCCATCTAGCCAATTGTAAGATATGAATCTCCAAAGTAGGCAAAAACTGTTTTTACACTGAAACAACAGATTAGGTCGACCGAAAAGTGCATGTCACCATGACATGCATGTCACCATGACATGCATGTCACCGTAGCAAAGTCCTAACATTTTAGTGTATTAAAATGGTTAGTCATTTGTTATGCTTGCTTTATGTTACAAAGTTACGATTGTTCAAATGAATTTTTTTAGAACTTTGAAAGAAGTGTAAGTTAATAACCCGGTTTGAAGAGATTCCACCATGCAGTGAGGTCGGAATTTGCTCTAAACCATGGAACAAAGTAACTAAGCATTATTAGAATATAAATAGCGCCTAATTGCTTAAGGGGTCCAGTGGGATGCGGAGGAGTCCACCTTAAGTTTCTGTGCGCCTCTTTCCCCAATTTCTCTATTTTTCCGTCGGTTGTTTCGCTGGCGATTGAGCGAGTACCCTATGTTTCTTCCCCTCCACCGATCCACCTAAGTTTCTATGCACCTTCCTTCTCCCGGACGTTTCCAGTCCATTCTCCCCTGTTATGTTATTTCCGTCAATCTGCCTGGCGACGTTTCTTCCCCTCCTTCGATCTCCCTGGCGACGTGCCAAGTCTAGGCCTCCGTCATCCATGGATCGATCCGCTGCCTAGCGACTAGCTGTCCCTGCATCACATCAAGTGACGCAGACAATCAGAGAAAAGGATAAGTAAGAGATCGGATACCACCGTCAATTCCCTGCGAGTCACTTTTGCCTACTGAGCTCTGTTTTCCTCAGATGGACGATTGGCGGCTAGGCAAGATGGAACTCCAATTCTCATGAATAGATTTGCGGCCGATGGTGGTTAGATACGTCCTAGGTCCTTTTCTCCTTTCTTTTCAAGATTCTTCCCTCGATTCCCAGGGGAAGTCCTCCTCTGTTCTACAACCTATAGGATTTGGCAATCAGTGGATTTTTAGATCCTTATTTGTAACCAACGAAAGGAATTCAGCCATTGTTTTTGACCGATGAAATTGGTAATGAGAAGAATTGGGTAATCAAAAGAGGAGCGTAATTAATCGACAGAAGTTACCACACTTGGCCAAGAAGTTCAATTGCATGCAATGGGTGGGTTTCCAGAGTTCTCAGCGCTGGCAAAAGCTCATAATCTAGAATCAGGCTGCGAGGGAGGGTGGGAGTCGTTGGAGATTGATGTTTGATTTCAACAGCAAAAAAAGCAAACCCAAAGAGTACAGAGAACTGCATTAACACTAATGAGTGTGGAAACTTCAAACTATCACTATAGCGAACTGCATGTCCATATATGGAACCATAAACACAGTGGGAGAGACATGGAGGGGACAAGTGTACAAGTAGAAGGAAGTTATATTTTCTGACACCTGTTATTCTTCTTCTCCGCGTGTAAAGAAAGTGGTCGATTATGAGAAGCAAATTTGTACAATGAATGAGGTTAAAATAATAGAAGGAACTTAGTACTGCAATGGGGATTTGTGGTTTAATGAGGAAAAAAAATGTTGGGAATAATAATAAGCAAGCACGTATAGTGATTACACAATTGTAATATGTTATTTAGCTATAGAATGTCGTATAACCTAAAATGTCACGTGCTTATTTCATAATATGCGTTTATCTTAAATAGTGGAGAGTCGAAAATATTTTTTTTCATGTTTAAATATAAACACTCATTTATATGGAGTATTAAGCTATTAGAAAAGGCTTAAGCATGTAGCTCATTTGTTAATATCTTATGCACACTGAAATTAATATCTTTTTGTAACTTTAACTGCAGTTTTATCAAGTCATGGACGACTGTATAAGTTATATCTAATTTTTTTCAAGTAATAACAAAATAGAAAGAGAAAGTTATACAAAGAAAGTTTCCACTCAAGAAGTCTCCCAAGGTAGCAGGTTAGTGAAACCACCCTACAAAATCACAAGAACCTAATTTTAGATAAGGAGACAACAATAAAGTATTGTGTGTCACTCTAAGGACAACCGTGTTGTGGCATGCGGTACTGCCCTAAAATCTATACAACTAGATACAGGAGCAACTACGTGACGACATTTCCGAAGCAGGGCCCTCCAAGTGAACCCACCAATAAGATTTGACGAAGCTACCAGATCACCAATTCAGAATCATCTTCCACAATAACAATCTAAAACCCCATACAAGTCAAGTGTTTTGCACTTTGTTTTTCAGCTACTATAATCTTCGTGATAAATAACCATCATAGAGCTCTGCTTGAATAAAATAATTGCTAATTTTTAGTGTTTATAATCTACAATGGTCTCTGATTGAAAATTGGACATATTTGTGATGATGAATTGGTCTAAAAATTAAAATGTGGATAACTATGCTACACTTAGATTATAAGAAGATCAGATGGGCACATTTTGTTTTTTTTTTATGAGTACTTTTATGAAAATTTTCTTTCTGTATTTAAAATTGTTCATTCTAACTTATTTCAATTGCTGACAATGCATCAAATAATGTACACAAATGGTAAATCCTTCACGAAAGACTGCATATTTCTCCATGAAGACAAAGTGGTATTTTTTTCTTTAGAATTTTATAAAACAAAAATAAAAAAATGCCAATTATGATTATCGAAATCAAACTACAATAAAAAAACTTATAATCTAATTCAATTTCCTGTAGTTTAAATATATATTCAATATTACCCGCCGCAAAGCGCGGGCCAATTATCTAGTATAGTAAAATACCACATCCCACCGTCAGTAAACTTTTTTAAGTCAAATCATTTATTTATAAAAAAATTAGACAATTCAAATTGTCACAATCTAAATTGCCTCATGTCAAAATATTGCATTTTCATTCTTTTCCTACAAATGGTTATCCAAAGAAACCTGGAGAAATTTCAGATATTTTTATTTTTAGAAAATCGGAACTGAAATTCACTTACTAGTTACTATTTTGAAGAAGGGTATGTTTTAGCCTTTTAGGGGCAAAAAATGGGCAATGAAGAGTTCCTCTTATCTACGGACGTTCTTGGGGCCCGGTGGGCTTTAACCACTTTTTGGCAAGAAAAGCAGTTATGCCGAAGTTAGGGCTGCAAGCCCAAAAATAATTTTAATGGCGGAACAGATGAGACTTGAGAGTTATCACCAATTGGGGCGGTCATATAGTGGTCCAGCCCACGGGCAATAATTGGGCCCTTATATCCATTACTCCCAAAGTCCATTG